CTAAATCCCGACACGCTGCACAGCTGGCTGTTTCCTTAGCAGCCCGCTTTGACGACTCAGGCGAGCCATAGTGGGCTTTCCCATCAACTAAACTTAAGGGGCATTGCATTAATAGTAGCAATCACAATCAAGTGACCCTACCATGGCAGGTCCAAGTCAAGCGCACACAGCGTTCATTACCCTCTAAGGTCTGCTCGAAACAATATTCTACACGCAGCGACATGCGCGCCGCCCAGTTATTGAGCATGTTTTGTCCCTGATAAAAAAAAGGCTATGATTAGGGCAGCGTCAACTCCGGTGTCACTGTGGGACCTGGCTTACACATTCAATCGATTAAGGGTTGATCGTCGTACAAGTACAGTCTTCAGAAGCTGTGCAGAAGAAGCACGCTAAGGAGTTGTTTTGTAATTACAATTTCTGTGTATCAGCACAGCCTCGAAGCAGTTGCTCTTGTTGGAAACCCTTCCTCGGAGCTCTAGGGCGTATCAACGATTGTTGGTAAGTTGTTGTGGAAGCCTAACTCCCAGGATTTCATCCGATAAAGGGCGAGTTTTTCACTGCATCGGGGTCGACCCCGGGCGGCATGCCGATTGGGACTTTGCCATCTAGAAAAGCCTTAATCATTTCGCGGAGCTTACGTCGACGCGCCTTGCCAGCCTCAATGATGCTCTCAACGGCGCCATGATGACCGTAGAAGAGAGTTTCCCATATTGACCCCGCCTTTCTTAGACGTAGACAAGCGGATTGGAATGATTAGAGGGCTCGCATATATATATGGCCTTTTCCCATTCGGATCCAGAGAGAATGGGAGAAGAGGAATTGTGACGTCTGTGGTCGCGGTTGATTGATGAGGTTTGCTCCTGCTTTATCCGTCTTGCAACCTGATCACAAGGTCTGGACCCTTGATCGGAATTAGCCGTTATTCTGGTATATATCGATCTCCCCGATCCCTAGTTCATCTCAGAGGAGGCGGTGGCACAGCGCTGCTTGAGGAAGCCCTTATACTGTCGCTGGAACACCCGGTAGGACATGCGAGTCCACTGACCATTCACCATATGCCTTCTGCAGTGAGGTATGTAGGTGCGTGTGGTTGTCTGAGCCAGAAGCCCGGACACAAAGCGGCTGGTGGGCACGATAGAGGCCTAGCAGTCTGCGTTAGGTGCTGTCCAATGCCTCAATTCCACTTGTCGCTTGGGCTTCAATCTGCGTGGATCAATCATAGAGAGATGCAGGGGTCCACCTATCGGTCCACCAGCCAAAAGAGAGTCTAGTCGAACTCTACTTACTCGATGTTCATCTGTCACCAGTTAAGCTTTCAGGCAATTGGTTCGCAGGCTCTCTGTGGGATATAAATCCTTCTTTTGTGCGTTTCGCATGTCAATGTGGTGCTCAAGGCCCATGCAGTGTGCACCCATTACCATCTACTGCAAAACCTCCTCTCTCCCCGCTCCCCTATCCTTCCACAATCACCCGTTACTCCTGTCAGCTAGACAGAGGCGTGGCTTTTTATCTATCCCCATGCAAGAGGTATCCGTGAGGGTGGCTCCTGCAGTGGGTCCTATCTCAAACCTCGACGAATGTCCTCGTAGTTTCTGGGAGCGCGCGCCAGTTACTCACCACGCTCGTCCCTGAAACGATAGGATAGATTCATTTCCCTCTCATCATAATGATTGTCATTCGACGTAATGTCGCTATCCAGGCTGTATGGGATGTCAACTATGTATGTATTGCAGAAATATATATATCTCAGGGAATTAGTATATGTTTGATGGGCAGGAGAAGCGATGGGAAAGAAATGTGCAGTCGGCCTCACCAATGGCCGTCAAAACTCGTGAAGCCGCAAAGAAGGAAAATGGGGAAGTATCGTTTCTTCTCCAGTAAGGAACACCAATTCCAAGCGCTCGTAAGCCGACCATCTATACATGAACCAGCATCATAGAAGCTATCAGCCCCCGAGCCATCGAATCCTGGTGGACATGCATTAGCTTCAACGTCAACTGTGACGAGGGTCGAACCACCTCACCATGACGAAAGAAATCGCCCAAAATCTCGCGAATACAACCATCCACACCGCCAAATTCAGTATCAACATATTTCTTTAACTGTGGCTTCTTCATCAACTCCGGGATTTGAGATATGATATTGCAAATGGGAAGAAGAATCCGATAGATTTGACTATACTTGTCGATGAACATGAGGGCATTTGGCACGTTGTGATCTCCCATGTGTATCACGCTGTTGTAGTACACCAAAAATGTCGTTAGGAACGAACCAAACAAGTATGGCAGACAAACGAACCTCGAGCCTACCCAGAAACCAATGCTCTTCTGGGCACGTTGGAGAACAAGTTGCATCATCCTCGCCGTCTTGGGTGCATGCTGCATCCGATTCAGCCCTTGCCCAGTATCGCGTAACCGATATCCGTTGGAAGGACTGAGTAGATCCGTCTCTGCAAGAGACCACAGGCGGAACATATCTAGAAAGGCGGAATGATATCATCAATGGCCGGATAAGCGATGATATAACTGCACATGCCATGGAGGACCTCTCGCCAGAGAGTCAGACTCTGCAAAACATACTGGTATTGCTTCCGATGATCATGACTATGAAGGAGCTGATCAATTGATGGACGACGATAACGCAGAGGCCATTTCGCATACCTCAACCGTGCTCCTCCCTTCCCATATCGGATCGCCAACGATTCTGCGGGAGTTGGCCCGGGCGAATCAGGATTGAAGTACTTTTTTAACAGAACGATCATTCCGTCACACGGATCCCGATTCACCCTGAGGAACGCATGGTTATCTCCAATGCTGTACAAGCACTGCCGAATGGTCTCGGGATCCAATCCGTTTCTCGCATACTTCGACGCCAGTGTCTCAATGGCACGTTCCTTGGCTTTTATTTCCCGCTGGATTTCATAACGTGGACGACCATCGGCTATGATTTCGCGTGTGGCGATGGAGATCCGATCATCACGGAGGAGCGTGAGGGCATTGTGCTCATTTAGGAGGTCGTATACATTCTTGATGGGGGAAACGAGGGAAAAGCCAAGCATCTCACTGACCGTGGGATCCTGGGCATCCATCAGAATGTACATGAGTTTTCCATAGGTAGTTCGAGACCTGTCAGGGTTGAGAATCTACAGATCATTCGTGAAAGGGAGATCTTTGGTGATCTGCCGGGTTATCGTACCTTATGACGCCTCCCTAACTCGAATATCGTCTGAAAGTACTCCTCGTTAGCGGCAAAATCTCGATTCGCGAATAGTTCCTGTCCAAGTTTATAGTTCGACGCAATTACGAGACCGGAAAGAATGGAACAGAGTTCTTTTATTTGGTGAACAATTCGTTTTGGTTTATTGGAATATGTCAAAATGTCTGTTCGGAATGCCGACGTCGGTGAAAAGTTAGAAAAGCAAATCGAGGGCTTTTATGGTTTGTGGAATATGTACCTATGCGATCAGTGTACTCGGATACCTCTATAGTAATTATATGCTCAGTTTTGTGAGGATAAATATGACGGACACCCACCTAGAGCGGCTTCCAGAAGCCGAAGGAGTTTTCGCTCTTCCATCGTGAGACGTAGAGGAGTGTATTTAGAACGCTCCACGTACCACTCGCCTACAGACTCCCCGATGGAGGGCTGCGCGCCTAGTAAGGAGGCAGCGGTAATATTTCCTGACGGAGCCTGAGCCTCTTCATCGGCTGAGTCCATCTGCAGACGCCTCATAAGTCCTACTGGACAAGTGAATGATCGGATCATGCTCACCTCTTCGTCTTCTATATGCCCATTATCGTTATTCACAGTATTCCCATTCACTCTTGTTTGTAATGACTCAAGTGGTCGTGTCTTATGGTGTTTCCTGCCGTTCACCACGTTTTAAGACCGGGAATCAATAAGGCTGAAGTATAGCGCACCTCGATCCTTTCCGGTGCTGAGACGTAAAGCATACCTCACAGAATGAGTCCCCACACGTCTCGCAGTGGAGGTCAGCAGCTTGGTCTGTTAGGCGCGATAAGATGAGCCAAAACCGGTGATTCACGTCCTGACCCATCGCTTTCCGCGCACCTTCGCATTCCACACAGTATCCATCTCTAGGGGGTAAATTCTCAGCCTCGTCATCCTTTTCTTCAGAGTCGTCCGAGGTGCGTAGCTCCGGACTATCGGTGTCATCGACAACAGAGTCTAAGATGTCGCCGAGAGATTTTTTGGTAGTAGGATTGATGGGAGCAGAGGATGTGGACGCGGCAGATGCCATTGCGCCTTGCCAGAGTTTGAAAATGATGATCGACGTGGTTGGGAACTTGACGGCCCTGTGGTAGAGGGTGTGTTGAAGAGAGTGCTGAACTTTTCGCGAATGAATTGAGGCCTCTCGGCCTCGGTGCACCAGTGGCGGTGCTGCGACTGAATCAAACTCGGACATTTTTGAGCGACGAACGCCGGAAAGGTCACTGCGCCGCTGTGACCTTGTTTGCCATAGAATTTCACGCGAGGGGTTACTTATGGTTGACGTTTCGCACAATATTTTGCTGGGGGATGCGTAGTAACATTTTAAACTCCAGACTACCGAATAATTCAGGCATCACCGTAGCAAGAAGCTTTGGCCGTAGAGAGCAAATTTGGCTAATCTTGGGAGACAAAAGGAAGGTGGTTCTTGCATCGACAATGCGACTATCGAAAAACGGGGAGCGGAGAGAACGAGGTTGCGATAATTGTGGTCATAATGTGCTAGAGCTAGAGCCACTAAGTAGACAATCGGGCCGTTGACCGTTGACCTTCCTCCTTGAACTAGCGTGGTAACAGGTGACCTTCCCTTTCAGTGGGTGGGAATAGGATATTGGTGCCAGTGAACCGGTGAATCGCGACATCGCGACACCAGACTGGAAACTTGTGGCGGTCAATTTGACCTGCATCGCCCGACATCATGATCGAGTGGTACAAGTGGCTGTGGAAGGTCGAGCATCGATATCTCGATGACAGACAAGTCAAGAAAGGAGAGAACCTTAGACGCACGAAACAAGTAGTGGGCTCCTGCGTAGCTTTAAGTAAAGCCTAGCCGTAGAATTCACATCTTGATATTTCTATTCACTTCTCCTTGCGGAGGGGAAGGGCCTTAGGTGCGCGGCTTATGTCGTGTGCGAACAATAAGCCTACGCATACGCCTTAAGGAAAAGGCGCGCATGAAACTAGAATCCCTATAGTGCGGGCCCGCATTATTGTTTTCCAGTCACAGATGACTTAGGTGATTCCATTTATTCCATTGGTAAACTGGTGGACGCCGCCTGAGGCGGCAGAACCCGCTACTCAACAGCGCTGAAAATTCATTCGGTTCCGTATGGACATTACATCCAAGACCGTTCAAAGTAGTAGGCATGATTGCTGTGGGGAGAAGGAGCGGTGAGAGAAACAGCTAGGTTAGGCCCCGTATATGTAGGGGGGTAAAGGACCCTAGGTTACCGTTCAATGCATTTTCAGAGGACCTTGTCATTTTTCCCATTCAATCAGGGGCTCTAGGACTCGCTACAGAGAAGTACATACTTGTCTGACGAATTACAGGTGACAACCTCCGTCGACGCAGCTAGCTTGGACAACTTGAGCATGCTACATTAATAAGTTTGTACATGGTGACAAGCATGGAAATCATAATGCTCATTCCAAAAAAAAATCATCGAGATCCCCAAAAACTGAGACGACCATGAGGGGAATTGTTGACGCAAAACAGGGGTAAACTCGGTGCATCTAAGGCCCCAAGGGTCGTCACCTTGCTCCGATCTCCGTCAAGGACATCGGAAAGTCTCCACAGACATGAGGGCTATCACGGTCTGGGGTAGGCCAGGCAACGGACCAACGCCTCCTAAATCTCCCGTCATCCATAGTCGCTCCAATTGCAACAAGACCCTTCCCCGGCTTCTTCCTGCAACTCGATCGATAGGCAGCACGCATCGCTTCGAGGCCCTTCCCGATCCGCCTGATGTCATTCATTCGATCTTCGCTATCCAAATCCAAGTCATCTTTGTTCGGGTACACCCGATTTGTCGAATGAGATCGCTTGATAGAAGACGCTCGCCAACTGTCACCGTCGATATTCAGGAAGGGATCGCCGGGAATTACCATGAGGGACATGGCGGTAGACCATGACTCATTCCGTGGTCGTGGTGAGCACGGCCTGGAAACTCCATCAAGGGCAGAAAGCGCGGAATGATATGAGGATGTAGACGACGTCGTAGATAGGGATGAGATGGACGAAGGGCGGCTGGACCTGGACACAGAGGGCAGATAAAGCGGGGAGAGCGACACGAGTGAAGTCGGTTTGTGAGGGTATTGATGTCTAGGTGTGGATGCATTAGAATAACCTTGGGTTGAGTGAGAGCGTGAGGGGAAAGTAAAGGTGGAGAGCAATGGTGCATTGTTGGTGGCGGATGATCTTGATGCAATTGTTTTCGCGTGCTCATCCAGTTCTTTAAGACGTTGCTCCCATAGCGCCTTATTGTCGAGACAACAGTCAGAAAACGTACGAATCTCGGGGATGTATGCAGACACTAAAGTGAACAGTGGGGAAGAAAACCCGTTAATGAAGAAGAGCTGTCCTTTCGCCTGATGAACTGCGGCTTGAACATCGGAGGGAGACAAGGAGGCTAAATTGCTGATGTGCAGCCTTTGCTTTTTCGAGGACGATGAAAGCTCAGAAATACGGAGGGTTAGCTGGTGCGAGGGAGGGAGATTCGGAGGTACAGATACAGGGAGAGCAAGAGACCTCTCCAATTCGGCCTGTTTAGACCATTCATACATAAGCGATGTTGACCAAACTTCGGATATTTCATGTGGACGAGACTGTCCAATCAACATCACAATTTAGTCAAAATGAAATTATTCGCATATGAATCCATCGTACCGGATTGCTGATGTCTGCACATTTTAGTAATGCCTGGCAAACCAGCAGCTTGTTGCACTTGGTCGGACCTTCAATGTGTTCCCGGAAGCGACGCATCCAATCGCCATGAATTCCCATATCTGTTGCCAAAATCGTCCCAACGAGGAGGTCTCGGATATTGACGGTCTCCTGACCATTGGTTGGTGGCAAGAACGACGTTATGAGATGACCTAGGCCCGTATTCCTCATTAACTGTAATAGTAATGCGCAATGCATTTGTTCGAGAGCGGAATTATGGTCATATATGACAGAAACTGGTGTTGAGGCATTTTTCTGAACAAAGGCAGGGTGAGCTACATCAGCTAATTCATCAAGGTGGAACGCCATACCATAAACGCGTTGTTAACGCCAGGGTGTCCCACATCATGGCCTAAGGCGGCCACGAACAATGTAAAGACGTCAACATTTGATAACATGCCTTGCAGGTGTCCTCGTGACGACCCATTTCTGGTCCATCTTCTCGCAGAAGGGGTTAATAAAATAGAAATATGTGGGACGCAGCCACCTTCGTTGAGGAAAATGTACATCGATTGCAGCACGTCGAGCGCATGTCGAAAGTTGTGATAGGCGTTTTCCCGATTGTATATCGACTTTGTCGCAAGAAGAAAGGATGTGAGACTCTCCGCTTCTAGTCCCAGATCCTCTCCCATCCCCTCGATAGTAAACAGGAGTTCAAAGAGATAAAAAACACAGGCCAAAACTTGGTCCTCAGTCAATTCATGGGGATTGAATGCCCATTGACTAATCCTTTCGATTAGAGAAGATCTTAAGGACGAAGTGATAGTTTTGGAGGAATAAGGGGCACTACACGCCGTTTGCAAATACATGGTGGAAAGGAATTCGGCGTAACTACGTGGAACAAAGCTCAGCCGACAGTCATAAAACGATTTAAAAGTAGGTTCACGCACGGAATAGGAGTTTGTTCGTCTTCGTCCCAACCGCCCCACCCGCTTCCGGAGTCGTGACAGTGCAAAGACAAAGCCAAGCCGCCTGTATCCACACTCCTCCTGCGAGTGGCAGCCACTGAACACGGTAGGATTGAGCTGGATGTGAAGCTGGCAGTTGATGGCGTAGGATATGTGGATGAAGACGCCAGCGTCCAGGGGGGAGATGCGAACATGGTTGCAGACATCAGTTTGAGTGTGAGACTACACTCAAAACAGCGGATGAGACTTTATGTAAGGGAGGGAAAAAAGCCAGTGAAACCAAAGGTCGATTCTGTACTTACTACGGCTAGGTGGGAAGCGGTCAGTAAACACAGTCAAGGTTTCCGAATGCAGGCGAGAGACAGACTGTATACAAGGGTCAATTCAGGAATCGAGACAAAAAAGGATGATGGAGAGCGCTCGAACTGCTGCGAGGGGCGGGTTCGGAGAGGGGGCCACTAGGGGGAAATGGGACAGCAGAGCGGTGCCCGCCGATCTTTGCTCTTGAAAGCAGAAAATGAACGAACCCGCGCGTGGGTCGCTGGATCACCTTTCAGGACTGGGCTTGCATTGAAGCCAATTCAATTAAGTTGCCACGCGAGCGAAGCAATAGCCATTCATTGTCACGTGTGGACTTGTGCCTTTTCTCACTCATTCAACCCCTCAAAGTCCACGCGAACCCCAGGCCACAGCCTTCACCAAACACTTCCACATCAGTTCACCGCAAGCCTCTTCGAGGAAAGATCTCAGAATATCGCCGCGAGGGTTGATGGCGAAGGGAAAGAGGAGTAATGATCAATATTCCATGTGCTCGACAGGCCTTCTAAATCACAGGACACCCGTATTCATACACACGCCGGAACAAAATAAGCTGTTAGGAAGCCCAGTTCAAACGATACAATCAGTGACCACGCGGCTATAAACTGTGTGAGGCAAGAGCAATCCAATTAAAGGCTAATCGATCCAACTGGGCGGCCCCGATACATACTGTGCTTTTTACGATGGATTTGCCACTGTGCGCCTGGGTACTCCAGACTGAGAAACTGCAACGGCTGAAGGCCATCATGGCCGTTCTGGAAGCGTGCCATCTGACGAAACGTTGCCGAAGCCGTGGAGAAGCTCAGGGGGATAATTGGCTGCGGAGGGTGGAGCAGCGTAGAGTTGAGGGAACTGGAAGGCCATGCCACAAGCCTCTGAATGTTGTAGGGTAGAGTGTGTTTATTGAATTGACACGCCCCAATACCATAGACGGAACCGGTGTCAAAACGGACGGCGACCCAATCGTCAGGTAGCCTGTGGAAAGATTTGACACTTCCATGCACAGAGCCTGAACAAGTGCGTCACCTCCGTACCAGGCATAAAGGACATCACAATTTCCTATGACAGCGAGTTACCTTTTGCCAGAGTTGACCGAAGACGGCGTCCTTCCTAGCTGCAATGCTAGCAGCCACGGAGAAATTCGATTCAGGCAAGCTGTGCGGCACCAGCCTTCGCAATATTAATGGAAGAGAGCCGATCAACGAAGTAGGGACGTTACATTCAGTGATATCGTTCCCCGTTAGCATAGAAAGGGTTGGTGAGCCTGGACGAACCACTATGTCAAGAATGCCTTCATTACAGTGGCCACAGTCAGGGAGGTGTATCCAGGGTGACGCGAACAGTCTATCCTCTACATGAAACCGGCCATGCATACTATTTGTATCGTAGGGTTCGGGCCAGCATCACTTTCAACGAGGTAGGTTTTTCCAAAGGCAAGGTAACGTAGTTCAGCGTCAGTGTCTAACGTAGAGTTTCCAGCTGCAGCTCAGCAGGAACTGGATTGTATTTGTGTGACCGAAGATACACTCGTCTGGGTAGAGTATATCATAAGTGAAGGACACGCGCTATTTGTAACCTCTGGCCAGTACGGCAACGAGAAATGAGGACTGAGGGGAAGATGGATTAATTTGAGCAACGTCTATTATCAACCTATTGTTGAGCATCACTGGTTTATCAATGAGCCCATGTGTTGCTGTCTTACAACATACCTTTGATAAACTAGTCATAGTTGCTCTAAACATTGATACGCTGTTCGTTTCCGCGGGGGGCGGCTATCAAAATCGATTGCGGGATCTTGCCCTGGCCACGAAGGGAGGATTTAAATCGCTATATCATTCACCCTGTCGGGTACTTCGCCGGAATTGACCACGCCAAGGAGAGCGCATTCGTGGAATGAGATTTCGCTGCACACGATGGCGGGGCCAGCGGTCCACGAAATATTGTTGACGACAAATGCAGGCATTACCATCTGATCAAATTAACAAGAGGCAACGTACTACTCGGATGTCAGGGTACACACACGAAACAGTATGAAACAGTGTGTCTGAGACTCATCAGCGTTAGTCCATCAAGTGGCGAGATGGGAACAATCCACAATATTCGAAACCGGGTACTCGAGTTTTCAGCAAGTCATGAAGGGTGCATGCTCCTTCTCGCACGACCAGGTGGAGTTAACCTGATTATATGAGCACCTGATGACGGTAGCAACCGCCTGAGCGTCTTTCGGGAACGGGAAGGTAGATTTCGTGCTCCTGAGTGGTGAAGGGATGTTGACCCACATCTGCATCTGAAAGCGCAAACAATGACCCCCCTTTCGTGAATTCTGGATCTTCCAAGCGGCGACTTATTAGCCGTTCCTTGTGCAACTTACACGCACCATTCCAATAGCGAAGATGAGCTCTCGATTAAATGCGGCAGCAGGATTCGCTCGGCTGTGCGGTAATGCACTGGAGAAAGGCGAAGAAATAATATAGCCAATTCACGTTGGCCATACGGACACAAGATCCGTGAGACGTGGACTAGCCGTAGAATTTGCAGGCAGAGCTGTGATGGCTGTGGAATTGAGGTTCCGGCTCAGGGATTACTGTCAACGTGGTTAGTAATCCTGCGCGTGCGTCCTTGCTTACTTAACTTGCCAATTGTCTAAACCCTCCTGCCTTCAAGTGAGCCAAAGGCCATTTTCCAATGCGAGGGATGCTCACGGAGGTAGGGGATATTGACAACGCAGGGGGAGAGGCGGAAGTAGATGACGGGAAAGTGGAAAAGACTGGAGATTGAGGTCAAAATGTTGTAGACAGACCCATGCAGGATGAAGTGATTTTCTGAGAATCGGTCCTTCTTACTGGATAGCCTCCCGCAGCTTTCACTGAACTGATTGGAGGCTTGAGGTGGAGGGAGGAAAATCGATCTTTATCCAGATCGTGTTCAGCTTCACGAGGGCTCATTGTGAGGAAGGAGGGGACTTGGCAAACATTGGTTTAAGGTATCTCGAGCCAAAATACCTATAGAAAGTAGGTTTATATCTTTGGGTTATGGCTAACGCATGAGAATTTATGTTAACTACGGAGAATGCAGGGTCCTTGCCACATCACAAAGGGTTGGGGCCGGAATCCTGACACTAAACGCCGATCAGAGAAGTGAGAAAGTTGTCGGGGTATTCGGCGAGGAGAGTGGGAAGTCGCTTGGCGTCCCTCCTATCACGTCCGAGTAGCACAAATGCCTCGGATTCATTATCTATCAGCCCGACCAAGAACATGGCATCTTCTGATAACCTCACCTAGGTGGCAGAAATCAGTTGGTTGTGTGATGAAGTTCCCCGTAGTCATCGGCATGCCATTGGTAAGGTTCCCGGCAAAGAGCTTGTTTTCTTATCAACCCGACTGAACCTAACATGAAAATGTTGCGTGAGTGAGGCACCCCAACCTAGATGTGCTCCAACCCACCGAATATACTGTAAAAGGGAAACCCTCTGCGCTTCACCCATCCATTTGGTTAGTTATGGTCACAACATGACCCAGAACGCAGGCAGGGCTAAAGGCAAGCTTGATGACCGTATGGGTGGCGGCATCAATAGGTGGTTTGTGGCTGTATGCCATGTTGGGTCGAGCCAACAAGAAGCTCTGATCCACAATAGATGCGGCAGTTACCGATTGCAGCTGACTTGATCAGTGAATCAAACATGAACAACGTCCCTTGGCATATCCGAGCCGCTGCACCAGAGGACGTAGTAAGTTCCCTCCAAACCCTTCAATTTCATAACACGTTCACAAGATTAGGGAGCAATCATAAAGCTCATCGTGGATCTAGTGAGTGGAAGTTCTATTCGGTTGCGAGGAGACTGTTCATCATCGCTCGATCACCGAAATCGCAGGCAATCTACGAGAAGGCTGCTGATCGGGTGAAAGTCACCCCTGAACTGGTATATCAAAATCGTGATCCCTGACATGTGAGCTGAATTTGCGGCTTAGCTCCAGAAGAATCTCTTCGAACACAAGTATGCACATGCACTTCTAGCGTATGCAGGACCCGAAGGCTCTCCAGACGCGCAGCCCGTAGGGTTTGCTCTTTACTTCTTCAACTTCTCGACGTGGACCGGAAAACCGGGCTTATATGTGAGTCAACGAAAATCGGATGAAACAGCATTTAGTTGTCACAGAGCTGAATATAAGCTTCTTTCAGCTGGAGGATCTATATGTAATCCCAGAACATCGAGGGACAGGTATCGGCAAGGCGTTGTTTGGACATCTAGGCAAAATTGCGATCGAAAAAGATTGTGGACGTGTCGATTGGCAAGTTCTGGATTGGAATCAACCTTCCATAGACTTCTACGAGAAGGGCTTGGAGGCTAAGATGTTGAAGGAATGGCGAAGCATGAGGCTTGAAGGCGACGAGATCCAACGGTTGTTGAAGTTCCTTGCTTCGTGAAAGGCAGTCAGTGATGTCGCCCTGTTATCGAAAGGACAAGCGGTGCTAGACCCCCCATAAGACACAGAACGACAGTGCAATGCGCGGCAGTGTTACCAACGATTGCACTTGTCGCTCACCATTCTTCAGATCGCTGGTAGCACCAATCTCAGAACCAGTTAACAGGCAGAGCAAGTCAGCACACCCCAATCGAGAGGTCAAAGCGCTGATATGGGATCATAAGCTAACCCGAGCATGGCGTCATTGGCTTACGAGGATAAGCAAAACAAGGACGCTAGACTCCGATGATCCACTACAAGCGTATGCCACACGTCCAGTCATTCTCACTACAGCATGGCCCAGCAGTCCGAACGACATAATGTGGACGACCCCCTGATCTTGATCAATTTGGCCCTTTCGCTATGAGGAAAGCAGTAGTCTCACTCGATTTCAAGTAGCCACTATACGCGGGACATCTCTGGAGAGGCATTCCTAGTACGTAGTGCAGCGGAAAAAGTCACAAGATGATACCACGATGGATCAACATGTATAGAGCATGCATCCAGTCTCGTTCCCTCCGTCTAAACACGAACAGCGGGATGGGCTGAAAAGGGGACCAAACACCACAGAAGCGCAAATCAAATTGATTCCTGAATTTGGAATATGAAAACCGCATGAAATGATTTCATTCCACTCACGAATTTATCCAACAACAAAATGACCTGTGTACTCCGGTATCGCCTGCAGCTTTTTGAACAACGCAACTCGAACGGCGGAAGCATTGGGTTCTTTAAGCCACTGCACGAACGAAGTTACACTTGATGAGACTCCATCTTGTGATGTGGGATCAACATCTACATCTTCGCCCAACCGACTGCTGTACGCCGTCAATACTCGTGTGGCACGTTCATATTGCCGTTGAGCGACGACGCTAGTTCCAATCATGGCGCACAAGATGTCCATTTCCGGGGCCACCGTCTCCGCATCAGTGATGCCAGAAATCAGTCGTGGGAGGAACACCTTTAGAGTGTACGGCAATAAAGTTTCATGGACGCTCGAGGGTGACTTTGATCTCGGTACAGAGGAACTTCCTCTTGGAGTGGTCAAGATGCTAACCGATACTGCCACTGCTTGAGGCGATAGTGCCTCATTTCCTTCTGAAGTTGTTGAGCGAAGTTCGTGGAAGAGGCCCATAAGGACATGATTTAGGGGATAGTGGAAGAGTATTGGGAGGTTGAGAGGCAGGGGATCCATTGAGACATGCGCAAGTGCTTCCCGGATGATGAGGCGAGGCGCATCAATATATGGGACCGACTTATGACGAATACTTGTCTGATTTGAATCTGCTTGAACGGCAATATCAATCTCTCAAACGTTGGTCGCTTATGGCACAGCTGACACACCGAGGAATGGCAGGCCCAGAGCAGTTCGTACCCTGTTTTCCAGGGGCACAACATCCAGCCTGGCTGCTTGTGCTAATGATTGAAACAACTCGGTTCCTAACAGTCGCAGGAGAGCCCCGCCGGCAATAAGCAGTGCGGGCCGGGGCATCCGGGAGAAACAACGATTATGTTGATCAGCTCGACATGCATTGAGGCAGCAGCTCTGCTCTGTTGCAATTAGCAACAGTTCCAGAACCAAAAATAATCTGTACTTGCCCTTGTCGCTGTGTGTCTTCAGTAAGTGCGACCAACACGCCAGGCAGAGTCCAATTAAGTAAAGACCCATGGAAAAAGGAAGCGCCATTCCTTAGGGTCTCCCTATCTGAGCTTGCTGAAGTCACATAATCCGTGAGGGCCTGGACAAATATGCTGGGCGCCAAGCGCAGAAGAGATTGCGGCGCGGTAGTGCGCAATAATTCATCATCGATCCCCTCGCTGTGCAAGTCGAAGATAGCTTTCAACCAGTTCTGGGCAACCTGCTGGTCCACCTGAGGGAGACAACTGATAGGCACTGATGACGGGTCGCTGTGAAGATTCTGGGATCAATGGCTTGACCGTTCCTTCCGAAGAAGGTTTCGTGATTCAGCTGACAGGGAGTTCAGAAATACTTCACGTTGATCGGTTGATCTGGACGTACGCTGTGTCGAAACCGACGAAACGAGATTTTAATGAATAAAACTACGTCACCAAAATGTCCTATGGCAGTTTGTACATCGCCTGAAGCATGGGATTGGATAATGGGTGAGATAGCGATCAATCTGTCCAGCCGATCCTCACGTACCTACATTGGTGAAGCTGAAAGACGACGCGAAAGCAAGAGCGGACGCGACCAGATTCACCAGCATTGATGCTTGATGCAGAGCGATTATATCCATGAGATGACGGTGTGTATGAAGGAGGCGTGATAAAAATGCCAAGGATTCCAGGTTGACAGGTTCTGAAGCCACAGCTGAGGCAAATTTCTGATCATAGGTGGCAAGTGAAGTTTGATAACCTGCTTACGATGAAGACGCACCTGATGAACCTGATGGACGAGAATCAAGTGTGAGGAGTAGTCCCAAACAGCCGTATCGATCAAAGCAAGCGAGTCCTCAAAAATGCTGTCTGCTTCAAGCTTGGATGCTATATACGCCTGATTGACCGAGTGTCATGAGCTCGAAGCACGACACTGGATGAAGCTTCATTACCTCAATGGGTACCCCGATTTCATCAGCGTCCGCCGAAATTTTTCCATTCCCAGTCAGATTGCTGATATCACGTCCAGCTACCTGTAGGACAGTCTCAGGATCAATCAAGGACACAATCTGATAACCCAATAGTAGGTCCGCTTTGAAAGCTAGTGTCGCCCTAACAAACATTATGTAGGCAAATTTTTCCGGAACGTGCTCAAAGGTCAACTCACCTCTCTCTAGCTTGACCCTCATGCTCATTCATTTCTTCGTCTTCCCCAAATAGATCAGGAGAACGACTCTTGAAAGGGTGGTCATCGTACGCGCAAGCGTTTAAGAGATCAGAATGTTCAGTGAAGAGCGTAGTCAGAGACAGTTTGATGCTGGACAGCTACAGATTATAGAAATCTGTTTGCATAGGCGCCGTTGATCGCAGCCGGAGTACACTCACATAACCGCTGCCATTTGATGCCATTTGCGGACGCTCGTCCATCAGAGCAACTTCGATTACCTCTCCTAAACGAGCTAAAAGCGCCGGAAGCTATATTCAGCGATTGAATGGTTCAGCACCGAATCTGGCCCGTAGCACTATGATGCGTACCCTGCTGAGAGTGAAGACTCTCCAACGCACTAAGTCTTCTGGCAAGTTCGACGGGTCAAGATGACCTCGAGCCTGCTGAGTGATTTGGGCGAGAACTCGAATGGATGCGAGGACTATATTATCCAGAAACACTTGTGCGTCTGATTCCATCGAGCGGTACGCAGCTAGGAGTCGGGCAATCGCCGAAGGCTGATTCCCAGCACCAATGGTGTCCATGGAATCAACCTGTTGCAGAAACGCAACATAGCGGTTAATCGGACTTAAAACGTTGAACTACCATATGTGCTTACTAATAGTCTCAGGAGCATTACACTTTTGACATCAAGTCCATCAGAGACGTAAGGCTGAGGGGTGGCCTTCTCCTGGCCTTTGGTCCCAGCACCTTTCGTTTGCAAACTCTCCACAAGCGGACCGGGCCTATTTCCCGAAAGCGAATTCATGTACGTGTCTCCAGGTGAACTGAGTGCGAGGAATGTCAAATGATGCGTCCACTGCATCACACGCGCCACGCAAACGGGAGGTAAAAGTGCAGAAACATTGTTCAAACCCTTCATGAGTGGGAACAATCGCGTAATCAGGTTGTTCGGTGCAATAGATACTGCCTTATTATCGATCGAGTCCAAAACAAAGGATAGAATTTCAGGTGACGTTGTGTGGAGCGTGTGGTAGAACGGCCCCGAGGACGATGTTTCACCATTCGATGCAGTGGCAGCAGTTTGTTCAGCCGCGTGAAGCGTCAGCGAATACTTGCAGAAATCAGCCGCATGAATGGCCGCTTCCATAAGGGTTGACACATCTAGCGGGGCTTCGGGTATTCGTCTCGGCCTAGGTGGATGGTGCCCCGCCGCACCAGAAACTGTAACAAAGGTGTTCGGTTGCAAGATACCACCAACCCCACCGTTCTTCTCGTAATGCGCAGAAACAGCCATCCGACAGAGCGCTTCGACAAGTGCAAGCTCTTCTTCTTTCGCGGGAACCTCTTGACTACCTATGATATCTTCCTCGATCCACCTCAACAAGCCAACGACGAAGAATCGTAAAGGCAAGAAACCGCAGTTGATAGCAATCTGTAGGTACTGCTGAAGCGTCTTGTCGCGAGGAAAAACGCGTAAAAGCGGCCTAACTCCTATCCACACATCCTCACCAAACGCCGGGAACACGCGTTGGGGAAATGAAGTCCCTCGAAGTCTATCGAGCCATTGGCGAGCAAGTATCTCCCACTGTAAAAGATTAATCAACCCGACATATAAGGCCATAGAGAACGCATCGTGGATTATACGTCATCCACGATTGACCTTCTCCTAGGCCGTCCTGAATGGCACGCACTTTCTCAGGGGATACACCAGCCACAATAGCATTCCGTGTCAGTTCAGACAGGGACATGACATCGAAATCAACAGGTTTGGCTTTGTGCTTCAACTGAAGGTAAGCAGACAGAAACAGCGTCTAAGTGGGAAGCCAAGGTTGATGTGACCGCTGTATCGTGGGAAGAAATATATCTGGCTTCCCTCGCAGTAGCGCGACGTTTTGCTCGGTGCTTAGGTGATCATTCCATGCGCAGCTGTAGAAATGCACGTCAATGCCCAGTTGTCAAACATATGGGTACGATGTTAGCATTCTGACCATTGAAACTTCACTGCAACAAAACAAGATGGATAGCTAGCTGCGCTGCCGGGGACAAATAAAAAATTAAAGATTACGGAGAATACAAAAAAAGGAAACGTGAAGAATGGACTGGCAAAATGCAGCGCCTCAGACTCCCATTATCCGCCATCCTTGTTGGGGGGTTCACCTATATCGCTGCTGTAAACTACTGGTTGAAAAGCAGTGAAGATTCAGTAACTCCTGGCTGGCGTGAGCCACGCGAGAAGTGCAAGTGCGTGAGTTTTGGTTCGGTTGCGATTGGTTAATAACGTCGTCAATTAATCGAGGAGAAACGAACGGATAGAGGGAACCGGGGAGTGATGGGTTAAATCATCCTCAACAAAAATGTGGACCAAGGTTGTGCGATACAAGATAAAGATTCGGGGAGGAAGACAGCGAAAACGGCAAGGAGACAGACGAGAAAACAGAGCAAACCGTGCCTTTTAAAGAACAAAACAATTCGTGGTCACCCCATGGCCCAGCCAGCTATTAAGTCTGATTCCTTCCGTTAAACTTCTCCACGACTTCCAATCGACGTTGTAAAGACATGACTAATACGTGAACATAGAACGTAGGACAGAAAGAACACGAGAAAAAGAGAACGAGATGAGGAGGGAAACACCCGCAGAACTCACATCGAACATTTTTTTCTATGCAGTACGTGAAGGGTTACGAGCTAGTGTAGCACCAGACTGTTGAGCCTGAATACTGGCAAGGCGGCGAAGTTCGTGCTCTGATAAATGCAACCGGTTGGAAAGAAGAAACAATACGGGCGGATCAATCAGCAATCATGCCAAGAAATTTGATGGAAGGTCGAGAAGCACAGGAGAAAGATGCGATGAAGAACTTACCGCTCATCTTGGGAGGATTGTTCCCAAAGCCAACCTTTCGGACGGCACGACGCAAGAAGCTCGTTCGGTTCGAGTACAACGAGGCAGCACGCGACTGAGTGCGATAGATCTGAAGCTCTGAGGTTTGGGACACTTCCTTAGCGATCTTAGCCATGCGGCGTCGTCGAAGGTATTTGATAACGGTGGCTTTCATCGCAAACTTGACGAGATCCAGTGGGAAGAACCAAAGGATGTTCTGTGAAACGCGGGTCGAGTTGATATCATAAGAAAACGGCAAGGAAACAACAAGGAAACACACACCCAAACCCAAACAATGCCTATCCATGACGAATCGATGCTCCGGATGTTCGTGAAGCCCCAATCGGCCCAAGCGGCAATGACGGAGGAAACAAGCTGAGCAAGGAAGAAAGCACAAATAAGCGCAACTGATGGTCTCTCCATGAAGAAGAATCCATGTGCACGAGTGACGAAAATGAGGGCTTGGGAAATGATGGCGACTTGGAGGTAAATGATGGTGTGGATCTTGGGGTTGTTGGGATCCTTCTCATGAAAGACTTTCCTCTCGTCATAAGTGTGTGCACCAAACTTGTCTTCAAAAAAGGTTGTTTCGATGATGACCAGCATGAGACCGATTCTGTGAAGCGAAAGGAAAGGAAATAATTAACAGGTTGAACGAGCAAGGAATTTCGAAGCCTTGGATGTACTTACGTCGACATGGTGAGGTAGAGACCGTAAGCAACAGCGTAGGAAAAAATCTCAGCTAAATCCCAAGCATCCGGAGTAGTCGAGGAAGTACCCGATCAACTGAAAGCGTCATGATCGTACCGTCGTTCAAAAGTGCGATGATCAGCACCATGAACGGGGGGAAGTCAAACTTCCAAGCGAAAGCCATGATGGCAAAGCACACAACGATACGAATCGTTACTGCACAAGCATAAATGGAATAGTTGCGCATACGCTGAAAGATGATGCGTGATCCCCGAATTGCATGAACGATAGTGGAAAGACCGGGTTCGGTAAGGACGATATCAGCAGCGCCACGAGCGGCGTCGGTCGCTCCCTCGACGGCAATACCAACATTAGCACGGGACAATGCAGGCGCATCATTAGCACCGTCACCAGTCATAGCGCACAAATGACCAAGACCCTGAAGACGCTTCACGATTTCGTACTTATGCTCAGGGAACACACCAGCGAAACCATCCGAGTCCATGATCATCTCATCAAGAGTAAGGTGCTTCCCTCCAGGAGGTGGACCATCCTTAAGGACCTTCGCCGGGTACATATGGTCGCCTAAACCGAGACGACGGCCAGTTTCCTTGGCAATGGCGAGTTGATCACCAGTGACCATCTTAACCTTAACACCAAGTTCCAACGCATGATCGATCGTCTCTTTGGTGTCCTCACGAGGAGGATCGAAGATGGCCAAAAGGCCGACGAGTTCAAACCCATTACCCTCTCCTTCATGATCATCATGCTCGAGTTCCTCAAAAGCGACGGCCAAAGCACGAAGACCACGGGCGGCGAACTCCTCGACATCAGCCTCCAGACGATTCTCGATCTCATCAGTTTTATTACGGGTGCAGAGTTCGATAATTTTACCAGTCATACCCTTGGTGACACGCTTAAGACGACCAGTCGATTCTTCGCGGTAGGTAATCTCCGTACGCTTGTCGACAGGATTGAAAGGCTTGAAATCGAGAAGAGTGATGCCGGCACGAGCACGCTTAGGATCATCAAGGCAGCCGACGACGCAGGTATCGATAGCATCTTGGTTTTCTGTACGAGAAGCGTACGCTGCAAGGAGAAGGGTATCTTCCGCGGAGAATGGGCCGTAAGTCTTCACGAGAGCTTTGTCAATTGTAAGTTTGTTGGTGGTCAAGGTACCAGTCTTGTCAGAGCAAAGAATTGTGACGCCGGCGAGCTCCTCAATAGCGGTGATACGAGTGACAATGGCCTTGTGCTTTGCAAGTTGCTGTGCACCAACAGCGAGTGTGACGGAAAGCACGGTCGGCATGGCAATTGGAATACCACCGATCAAGAGCACAAGAATGTTGTCAAGACCACGCCGATACGTGAAGCGGAAATCGGCATAGAGGATGAGGATTTCGAGGAGGACGAAGATACCAATGGAAACCAAACAGAAGGAGCCGATGAGGAAGAGAATGTGCTGCAAGTGACCGGTTGAATCATCGTCTTGGCCGACGAGGGAGGCGGCCCGACCGAAAAAAGTGTTGGGACCAGTCGCAATGACGATCCCCTCGGCTTCTCCCTGTTTGCACGTCGAGCCTCTGGGAAAAAAAAAACGTGCCAAGGCAAGAAAATGGTGTGAGAATCGAATTCTGAAACAGCCTGGGAAGGCCAAGAGATTCCTCCCCCAATTAACATCACTCACGAGAAGCATTGGTCACCAGCCTTCTTGGACTGCGGAAGGGATTCTCCAGTGAGAGCAGCTTGGTCAATGGAAACATTGACGGCCTCCGTAAGACGGCAGTCGGCTGGAACGATGTCTCCGATCTTGAAGGCTATCACATCTCCGGGGACAAGATCGGCGGATTCTATTTCATTCCATGAACCATCGCGGCGAACCTTGGCTTTGGGCGCGAGTGAATCCATGAGGGCCTTGACAGCGTTGCCGGCATTGTGCTCCTCGTAGAAACCGATAGTGGAATTGATAAGGAGCAGTAACACGATACCAACGAAATCTTGCCAATCTGGAGCGCGGCCTTGACCGTTTGAAAGTGCGATAGCAACCAACGCAGCACCTTCCATGACCCACGACAACGGGTTCCACATGAACGATAGAAACTGGACAACGATCAACATGTTTGCAGGGACTGGAAAATCTGTCAATCCACCTGCAAAAAAGGATTTTGATCCTTGCTTTCAAGCTTGTTGGGGCCGAACAGGCCCAACCGACGCTCAGCTTCCACAACGGTCAGACCCTCTTCGCTGTCTCTAGCAGCTTAAGGACATCCTCCATTACGACGGTCTCTAAGTCAACTTTCTCCTTATCGTAGAGGTCCTCCGCCTTGAGTTCTATCTAGATGATGTAGAGGGGCCAGTTAACGCCGCGGCCAGCAGAGTCGTATCAATTCCGGCCAGACATACCTGGTCCATGTTAACCTTGGCATCTGGATAGTAAGGAGGTCACGGTCAGCGCCTTACACGCAAACGAAGAAACTCTTCCGCTGCAAGACTTACGGGTTGCCTTCTCGTCATCGTGCCCGAAATCCTTATACTCATGTTTTTTCTTCTCATTTCCATTAGAAGGGGTTATTTCGGCAGGCGGAGTAGAATGGGATGCATCGCTTGGAACTGAGCCAGGCTCTTTTTGGACAAGACTGAATCTGACATGGTTTGTTCGTGCTATCGAAGTTACCCCAAGGAAGGGGAGAGGAAGTAGGGTAAGTGGTGGAGGTCAAGTGACAACCTCTAGATGCTTTGGGGGGCACTAGACGGGCGCACAGACACAACGATGAGGGCGAGAGCGGGTTGAGGGCAAGGAACGATAACGAAAGAGAGGTTGAGTAAGGACGGTTTTTATCACTTGTGTTGTATATTATCGGTTGCACTCGGCTCGTTGCGTATCACACGGTCCAAACATGTATAAATACCGCGATGGATATTTTGGTCGAATTCAAATTCGTCCGGACACGAAGATAAAACTAAAACTCTGCTAGTTCTTGATTGATCATCCTTCAGAAGTCGTTCGTTGGGATATATATACATGTAGCCACTGAATAAAAGGCTTTTCTGCTGTAATTTACAGACGGGTTGGGGCGTAGTGAGATGAAGTTGTGTTGAGGGAGGCAAAAAAAGCGCAACTGATGCGCTCATTGCGGCTCAACCTCCCGATCTACAAGTTACTAATATAAAATGAATATAAAATGATCCAGAGCCACAAGCGAAGGAGCGGAGATGGCGTTTGCGTGCCGCTTGTGCCCTTGTGCACATCGCATGGCTGACGAGCCTGGCTCGTGTTCCTTAGAATTAGCGACGATTGTGACGTAGCGGCATTGACCGAACGAGGCCTTAATGAAAAAGAGGATATCAACTTGAGGTGGTTTTGCCATGGGGTGTAACCAAGTTTCGCATACATGGTTTTATATACTTGACCACGGCATCGGCAGCGCAGCATACATTAGACGCCCTTCATCGTATTTGCGTTGGCTTTCGAATGGACCCTCCTCATGTCATTCCGTGCGAAGCTGCTGTCATTGATATTCAACGCCCATCACCAGCGCTGGGCGCTTCTCGAAGCTAAGCAACCCAATCCACTAGGGCACTGATATATCTAAGCATAGCTGATTGCTTGCATAGGTCTCCTCGCTTATCTCGATGCCTAAAATTACATGGATTCCATATAAATAAGTGCCTTGCCTCGACTTTAGCCAGTGTCATCTATGTACATGACTCCGGCCTCAGTCTCGCGGGCTGAGCCTTTCGTCCGAGGCTGAAGACTTCGGCTAGAGGAGTCAAGCGCACACGGCACGTGCAAACGGATCTTGGCGGTCATGTTTACGTGATGCATGCACCCATCACCGGCCGGTCTTTTAATAAATCCAGGTATCTAAAACCGCAAGCCCGCTGCCAGAGCATGGACGCCCTTCAGAACATAATACCCTCTTACCTTATTTATTATCTACCAAGGCGTCGTAAGGCGGACTTTGCCTCATCCACTCCCTCTTGGAATCCGGCTTTCTGAGCTTCCGCCAGTGACCCCTCGAAATAGGATCTTCCTCCTTTGGGTTCTGAAGAGGAACGAGAGGAACCGAAGCGGAAAAGATGTCAGCAGAGAAGTGGCGAGACCCCGAAATGAATGGCGACGTTCCCGGGAAAGGGTCGCCGTGTTGATGACGGACGTCGTGGGATGACAAACTTACGTCCGAAAGCATTCCCACCGAATGCAATGCATGCGCAAGAACGATCCCACATTCGAGCCCTGCTTCGCCTTTTCTTTCTTTGGCAGACATGTCATTGATAGCCTTTTGGGCAACTTCTGTGGCGCGAGAGGCCCAGATCCTCGCTTGGTCTCGGTCGGACCACGAATGACCATGCTCAGCACTGCTCGCCGAACCTTCAGGGGAGCTATCTTTAAATTCGAGGGGATTAAATGTCGAAGAACCACCAGGAGTCCTTGGTGCAGCGGTCGCAAAAAGACACGCCACATTGGTCATTAATTGCGCAGCTAAGGGAATTTGCAATAGGCAGCGCGGCAGGAAATCAGTACTCTTGGGGCATGTGGTGCACAAGGGTGATAAGCAAGCAGCCATCTTAGGATATTCCGTATGTGGTTGACATGGGGGTTTGGCAATTCAGCGTGTGACAGGGACAATGCTGTAGCGCCATTACACTGAATCTCCGACCAGGAGACGAATGCCAACAGCGCAGTCAATTGGCCTCCCAAAGATCGACCAGGGGTGGCCCGGGGAATGTGAAAGCAATGGGAGAAGTTGGCTTGGAGCGAGCATACTCACCTCGGCAGATATTGGTAGGGGATGGGAGTTTTGATGAAGGGTGAGAGATGGATGAAAGGATTGGGCCAAGACTTCCAAAAGCCTCATCATTAGGACTCGGGAACAAAGATGAGATGGCTCGGATATAAAGTGGAACAGCGAAGCTGTTGGCATCAGGTTGTCAGAGGGATAAATCATATCTGTTTCAAAGAAAGCCCGTAGAGTCTTCTTCTAGACGGACACAGCACCGCCTCCCGATGACGCTTCGTCACCATGCAGCAGGGGTTGCATGCACGAGATGGTAGTGCACAAGGCGAGCCACGGCGCCAAGGCTGACCATAATAATGGACGGAGGCGCCACCACCAAGAAAATGATGCAGAAATGATTATTTACTTACGCGAGGTTTCCTTGTCGACCGTAGAATTCTGCAAGTCTCTCGAACACACTCACAAACTCCGTCCGATCGATCCACGGTGGGATTTGCAACTCTTCCTTCCATTTATCATCGTTTGGGTCTATGTCAGATTGCACTGGCTGTGTGAGATCAAGTTTGGCTGGCATATCCCTCGCTAGCCTAAGTGTTTCTTCAACTGCCAACGAAAGATAGTGCTCCTCGGTCGCAGTGTCATTGATTTTCGATGCCAGTTCACCAAGACGGACGGCAATGGATACAATCCGGTGGCGTTCTCTCGGAGTTAAGCCAGCCTCTGGTTGAGGGGGCCGAGATGTGCCATGCAGAGATCTGAGGTAGGTTATTGTTTCCTTGTAGGCCTGGATTGCACCGGTTAGATCAGGAACTTCCTCGAGGGTAGAAGCGAGTGCAATCATGAGTCCCGATATTTTCTTTCGATAGTCTTTCCCAAGTTCTTTCTCGGGATAATGATACCTCTTCACTTCGTCCAACGCTCTTCATGTTATAAAAATCGTACACGAATGATGACATCTAGTGTCAACAGGGTACAAGAGCTGCCAAGCGACAGTCGTGCAACTTACTTTCGAAACCAATATGCAGCAAGCTTATAGTCATTTTTTCTTTGCGCCTTGAGCGCTGCACGGAGGTCTGACCGTACTTTGCTTGGCCAAACAGTGAACCTCTGGTAGACCTCCCACCTGTGAGATTACAGGAGACAGCTTAGAGGCAAAACAAGACCCGAGATGCCACAGGGGTGCGCAACATACAACCCGTATGAAATTATTGAGAGAGCTATTATCCTGGTCACAGTTATCCTCGGGCTTTCTCTCTCCCATGGGTTGGAATTGGAGTTGTTCACCCATCTTCCAGTAGAGGCATGCCGAATACCAAACGATTTCCTTGCAAGGTTCCGTGACGAGCAATATTCTTCGTATGGTCGGGGCACATTGGACTGTTTAACAGTTTGCCTCAAGAGCCACGCAGTGTGGGATCGCACGAGGTTCATGGATTGGTTCATGGTAGTGGCTGAAATATTCCCACGTTCTTGTGACCTTGCCTTCCGTTTAAACCACGTCGCCATTCCTTGAGTACAACGTCTTCTTCTCGCCTTTCTGCCTGTCACTTTCAACGCTCGTTGACGGGGAACAAACACAAGGAGAGCCCTTGAGTCGAGGCTCGATATGTTGAAAGTCCTTTGGGCATGTGTACTGTTATTACTCGGTGCATATGGCGCCTGCGCCAGTTCTATGGACAGTGCACCGGTTAAAGTCTGGTTAAGGTCATCTTGGGCCGCATCGGACTTGCTGCTAGAGATAATGTGCGTGCTCAATATCCGAATTTTCTCTGTGCATACTAAGGTTGCATTGTACATCGCCATTCAGTGAGACTGTTGCCCTCGAAAATTCTGCTGATTTCTTCCCCGCTTTCGATCTTTTGACGTCACCAAATTCCGGGATAATTTCCACGTCGTCTTCCTCTAAGCGTTCGCAGAAGGAGACATATGATTTAGCTATTGAAGCGTTGCAGGTTAATGCGTTCTTTGCGGAGCCCAACTCAAAGGCCAGCGTGGAGCTATCTCTTTCCTTACATGCAGCTGCCCCTAAGCTAGAGGCATTTTATGAATTCTATAAAGAGAAGTTTTGTGCTGGAGCCGATCCTACTCCTCAGGGAAGCTGGGTGGATTGGCATGGGGAGCGACTAGGGAATCTGGATGCGCTTAAGCAGAGGTTGGAGAGTAAACATGTTGGGTTAGTATGCTCTATTATCAGAAGCCCAGAGCCTTTTAATTATTACTTTTGTCAGCATTGAGCAACCGAGGCTCCTTCCATTTGACCACATCAATCCACTACCCCTGACAAACACACATTTGTCCCCTTACACAGCTATTCTCTATGTTTCCTTTGAGTCGTTGGACTTTTGGGACTTCCACAAGACCCTTTACACCGCATCACAACAGGATTCCAACATCCAATATATCATTCGCTACGTTCCTCCTAGAAAGAACGCCAAATCCCCAGAAATTATCTTTCTGGCTATGGCGTTTCTCTTGATTTGAAGAAGATGGACTATCTTGCCGTGGATGACCGAAAGACTGCGATAAAAGACAACGAATGTACATTGTATTATATCATTTCTGATTGGAGCGTTCCTGACCTTGGTGTCTGCAGTTTTAGGGGAAAGGAGGACGTAAACGAGGTGCCCCCTGATGAGGATGACCAGACCTATTTGCTGGATGCACTTAGGTCGTTCCCGGAATTCGCAAATGCGACGGAGCAAACTAGGCCACTTGACGAGGATGAACTTGCCAGTAAGTAAACCCATAGAAGACATGATGATCAGGGTCGTGGCTTATTACTGGATCTAGACGTTGGGGTTAAAGCTACCTCCTTGATAATTAACTCGACGTCCCCTTTCATGATGCTCCGTCAGATATCACAAAACTTCCCGAAGTACGCTACATCTATTGCGCGCCGTGTTCCTGGGCCTTCAGATGATCTACAGTCTGAAATTATGACCAATGGGATGACAATCTCGCTTCATGGAATATGGATTAATGGGCTCCACATCCAGGATACGGACTTGAATCCTTTCAGGTTAGTGGGCCTCAGTCATGGGATTCGCTGGGCTTATCAATGAATTCAATTCTTAGTCTGATTAAATTCCTCCGTGAGGAACGCCGACGAATGCTTGCTCTTACCACTCTGGGCTTGTCACCCGCACAAGCTGTAGAAGTGATCTCCGACCCGGCCATTGGGCATGCATCTCAGCCGTCTCGGGGACTGGGCGAGGGCTATTTTGATGCAAGTGACCGCGAGGAAGGGGGCAATACGATACTGTGGTGGAACGACATCGAGAAGGATTCGAGATACGCTAGGTGGTCTCCTTCTTTGACTGCGGTCAGTAATTTGATCATTTCAGTTCTTATTGGCTCACCTGCTCTTAGTTAATGCGTGGGATGTTCCCTGGCCAATTCCTTACCATCAGGAGAAACCTGAATAACATCATTCTTGTTGTCGACATGTCGATACCGGCTTCGCTGAACTTCATTGGTGGGCCCATAGCGCAAATAATCTCTCGAAACTTACCTTTCCGCTTCGGTGTGGTTCCTATGTTGGAGACCGGAGATTGTGAGTTGGAGCCTGTCTGCTAGTCATCGCTGTCACTTACCGTGGGCTTGAAGCGCGGGGGGCTGCACGGCTCATTTTGTACTCGGTGAAGAAGTTTGGCAGGCCCAAGACGATGGGATTTATCAATGCTGTGAGTTTTTCTCAATTATGTAGGACGTTGCTGATTTCATTGCCGATTGCTTCACATTGTCTTTAGCTTATGGATCTACAGCGTGAAACCATTAATTTTGCTGTTGCTCGAGCTGCCTACGATGGTCTGGTGCAGGCATACACCCCTCTTGATAACCAAGATACCGAGCCTCCTTTGCCATTCGATGCCGTTGTTGCTGGCGGGGATTCTACATCACTCGCCGCTCACCTGGAACGTGCGTCTCAGTACGCTCGTCGTCTAAGCACTACCTCCGCCTCCTACCCCCGGGGGCATGGATTTATCAACGGGAAGCACTATGATTTCAATGATGTGAGTTCTCTGTAGTTCTCTGTTGTCTCATCGATTGACCAGGCTTTCATGGCGATCGGGTAGGAATTTCTCAGGGCGGTACAAATGGAAAGCGCGGTGCAGACCGAAGCATTGCAGGAGGCAGTACGTGGTTTAGACCCCAATAGGCGAGAACACCTGACCCACCCGATATGCAAAGATGTACATGGGTGAATTAGAGGATGACGACAATAGGGATATGTCTGTCTATTTCTACGATTTGCCCACGACGTCTAAACGTAGAAATATGCATGTCTATCCCTCGACCAAGACCGGCAGTCTTAAAGTCTTTTCAATGCCGGAGTTGTTCGACCAGGTTGGCATTGATCGCACGACGCTCGATTACATTTATCCCAGTAAGCAACCGTACCATTACCTACACCTAAGAGTTATTGAAGGATTTCATAGAAACTGAAAGTCCTGTTTCTACCACCGTGTGGGTGGTTGGAAACCTAAACGAGCGGTCCCATCTCGGCCTTCTTCGGGAGGCAATCCTTGCTCAGGTCCCGTCGTCTGTTCCTTATGTATCATTTTTACTAAAATTATCCTTTAGAATAATTCGGCCTCTTTTCGTCTTTCATACCTTCATATTCCAGAAGATCTCACGACATCTAATGCCTTGTCCCCGTCGTCCATACTGCAACGTCTTCAGCGGAGCCATAGGCTCTCCGCATCTCCTACATCCGCGGACGATATTCTAGACCTCTTGAATGCGATCGCCCCAGCGGAAGTCTATGTTGCATCTCCAGAAGAGCAAGCTGTTATCGCCGAGAATTCTAAGCTACATCGGATGCTATCGGATGCGGGCGATGCGGGCGATAGCGCCTCCGTTCGGAAGTATACCGAGTCAACGCTGCCCCTGAGAAGAGTGCTGGGTTTGGAGAAAAACGATGTGGTTCTCATTGTGAATGGGAGGGTAAGCGATAGTTAGAAACCTTATCTGCTAGGCTATTTATACCTTCCTTGATGGTAGGTTATTGGACCTGTCGAGCCTGGTGGCTTCACGTCACTCGACTTTGATGACCTCCTTAAATACGAATTGACAAAACGGATCACACCAGTCTTTGAGGCTTTGAATAGCACTTATCCAGGGTTTGAAAGTCTCGATCCGTACGTTCATTTGAACTTGACATGACTAATATCATCTCACTCAATCGCTTGCTAGTGGAGCCTCCGCTGAACTGGTGACAATGGCCTCAAGTATTATTTCAGCCGCCAATGTCCCCGATGCAAGCGCGCAGGGCCTCTTTCGTTCTCCACCTCTCAGCCGCAATCGGGTTTACAGGACTGTTGAAGCTGAATTTAGGTACACTTGAAGTGATGGCATCCTTTCAAAGCGTTATCTGACGGACCAATAGCTCATTCCAGGCTGGCGACATTCAAAGCGCCATGCTCCAAATTGGTGCCATCCTCGATCCCCTTACTGAGTCAGCTCAGAAATTGGCCCTACTTCTGGATGTGAGCAGTGAACGGGGAAGCTGCTTTGCGTAGCTAATCAATTTTCACAGTGGCTCTCTCAGTTAGATTTCAGTCACACTCAGGTTGTCTTGCTCCCAATGCCACATACTCAGGTAAGTTAGCATCTAACGAGGTCGTTTATATCGTAGTGACATTCCTTGATGGATAGCTGCCGCTAAAAAGGTTTTATCGCTATCACCTGCCTTATTCTCTCTCCTTTGATCACCTTGGGTAGGTAATGCGTGTTTTTGTTTCGACGCACACTGAAGCATTTGTGCAGCCGTTTATCGCAATCATCCCTGGCTTTCCGGGGTCTTCCTCCAGATCCTATATATACTCTTGCCATGGACGTTCCCCAATCGTGGCTTGTCCGCCCAAGGGAGTCGCCGCATGACCTTGATAACATCCATCTTGCCTCCTTGGCACGTCAGGAGATATCTCACGGAGTTGAAGCAGTATTCGACCTAGACTTCCTCGTAATCGAGGGACATGCTCGCGAACCTTCAAATGCTCCCCCGCGGGGGGTTCAGCTCCAATTGACGGACGCGTCTGGCTCGCCGATTGCTGATACGTTGGTTATGGCCAACCTCGGATATCTGCAATTTAGAGCAAAACCAGGAGTGTTCAAGCTTGGGATTCGTCCGGGTAGAGGCCAAGAGGTGTATGAAATGGAGAGCGTCGGAAACGAGGGATGGGAGAGTCTGGACGTACGGACTGCTGGTGATGAAGTTACCCTAATAAGTTTTGAAGGGTTAACTCTTTTCCCAAGGCTCAAACGCAGGACAGGGATGGAGGTAGCAGAGGTCCTGGCTCCGGCTGAGCTTCAACCGCAAAGTGTACTCACTCCAGTATTTTCGTGGTAAGCGGGATATAGCGTCCTTTGTCTATTGACCTAAGGATCCTTTGCAAAAGGCTTAAGTCCCGATTCGGTGCATCTGAATCGCAGGACGTCATCACCATAGCCCAACAGGCCGATATAAACATTTTCACTGTAGCTTCCGGACTGTTGTATGAGGTTCGTGCCTTTCTTCCTCGTCATCATAACGTTCACATCCTTCCCATCAGCGCTTCGTTGGCATCATGATTCTGAGTGTGTTAAAAAATACGAACAGCACAGTGAAATTTTGGTTCATTGAAAATTTCTTATCCCCATCCTTCCTGGTGAGCCCACCATGATTTATATAAGCCACAGTGAGCCCTGACACCTCCTGCAGGAATTCATTCCTCACTTGGCCTCAGCTTACAATTTCCAATTTGAACTTGTGACGTACAAGTGGCCGTCCTGGCTTCGTGCTCAGACAGAAAAGCAACGAGTGATTTGGGCATACAAGATTCTTTTCCTGGACGTTTTGTTCCCTATGGATTTGAAAAAGGTCATCTTCGTTGATGCGGACCAAATCGTCAGAGCAGATCTCAAAGAATTGATTGATCTGGATTTGGAAGGGGCGCCATATGGTTACACGCCCATGGGCGATGATAATGAGGCTATGGAGGGCTTCCGATTTTGGAAGACCGGTTACTGGAAAGATTTTTTGAAAGGCAGGCCCTACCACATAAGGTTGATGCCTCTCTTTCACTGCTATGTTCGTTCTCTCATGATGCGGTGCCTCAGCGCTCTTTACGTGATAGACCTTGTACGATTCCGCCAACTAGCGGCAGGGGTATGAACTATCCCTAGAGCTTCTAACCCACTTCTTACTGTTTGTTAGGATCGTTTGCGGGGACAATATCATGGGCTGTCGGCTGATCCTAACTCGCTGGCAAATTTAGATCAAGGTTTGTTACACTCAATCATTCTTTGATTTTATGGCTCAACGACCGTTAGATTTGCCAAATAATATGCAGCATGAAATTCCCATCGTATGTCCTTCTATCTGTCATTTCTGTCACAGTTTCATTAAGGAACGTCATCCACTCCAGTACTCACTCGATAAGAATTGGCTATGGGTAAGCAAATGCTCAATTTCTAGCTGATGGTCGATTGATACGATTTTCCTTCCTCAGTGTGAGACGTGGTGTAAGTCAGCTTACCTTATTCTTGTGAGCTTACTCACATGCATACTTCCATTTCAGGCGGCAAGGATAGGTTTGACCAAGCAAAGACGATTGATCTGTGCCAGAATCCCTTGACAGTAAGTCGTGACGTGTTAACCTGTTAACTGCTGACTTGGGTTGCATTACAGAAGGAGCCAAAACTCTCTCGAGCGCGCAAGATTCCTGAATGGGAAGCCTACGATGCTGAGGTTGCCAGCTTCGCCCGGAAGCTGGTCGGTGAAGGGAAAATACATGGTGGCGCCATCGCCGCGAGCTCGAACGATCTTGCTGGCATTGGCGCACAAACACCAAAGTCTCTGTCCGAAAGCGAGCCGGAGACACGGGAGCAGGTCACTGGTCGTAATGGGGGTCACCCGCGGGATGAATTCTAGCCTCGTGTTTGAATGTGTCCGATACAATTAGAGGTGCATAAATTATCACCCAAAATACATAGTGACATGAGGGCCAATAATGGTGGAAATGTGACTATGTAGTTCTGACACCAATTGTTCCCTTCCCCACTCATCGATAAACTCAGTCATTCCCTTCGTCCGCAACTTCTGCAATTCTTGACCGTGTACTGGAAACAGGGATGGCGGTCGAGATACCAGCTGCCAATGCGTCACTAGAAGACTCAGCTGATCCGTTCTGACTTTTCGGCTCGCGTTTGGATTTCTTATCACTTCCTAATTTCTTCTTTTTTCCCTTCTTCTTCGGCGGGAGGTCCCAATCCCATGCAGGAATGAATGATTCAACCTTTCAGGAACCAATGGAATAAATTCTAGTTTCAGACCGGAGCACAATATATCACTTACGAAGCCGACGTCGGCGAATAGCTTAGGGAAGATCCAAATGCCGGGGGAGGCAACGAAGATTGTAATGATGTAGAAGAAAAGTCGGAAGACGGAGAGTGCCATGAAGAGCCCAATGAGACCGAAGAATGCGAGCGAGAGATAGTAAGCGCCGAGACGCATGATCGGAGGCCATAAAGGAAACATGACTCCGCCGAGAATCAATGCGACCATTAAGGCACCACCAAGGTAAGTTGTCCATTGAGACCCTTGGTAGAACCAAGCAAAATATAAATCAGGCTGGAATGTCTGTTGTTGGACGATTTGAAGTTGTTTCGGTGATGAGGACGATGACCCTGAAGGCGGCCCTCGCTCGACACGCAGGAAGAACGCAAATGGAATAGCGGAAAGAAGCAGTGCATTCGCTTCCTCTTCGGTCTTTGGTTGAGGTGGTGCACCCTTCAATTTAGCATACGCCGGGGACATTATCGCCTTGACAGCAGCCTTGCCTTTGCTAAAGTGAGTATGTTAACAATCCGAGTCGTAAACCCGACTCACCTTTGAAGTAGTCTAAACGGCTGCCATTTAGGATGCCTGTCTTAGTTTTAATACCCGAGCTTGAGCTTCTGAGCCACTGCACGAGCTTAACAATATCAGGGGGGGCAGTAGCCTGCTGCTCCATGCTACGACAATAGTTGTAAAGGCTGCTTTACATGTGCGCAGTGAATAAACTCCCTGCTTACCTGTCCTTGACGCGCTGGCAAGTGTGTGGACGGAAGATTTACTTCCGGGCCGAGGCGGTGTTGAGGATTATTTACATTGACGCGGTGCGACTTCGAGACGCGTCGCCAAACGATTTCCACTATACTATTGCTTGACTAATCCTACGTTTCATGATGCATTTCAACCTTCAGGAGGAAATTCTTGCCATCCAAGACCAATCAACCTACCACATCCCTAACGAGATCACAGTGCAAGGGGCAGACTTGAATGACCTACGAACCAGTTTAGAAGGTGACGCGTAATTTTGGCACACTATTGCAAAATTGACTGAACTATGGTTTCCCACAGAGGTTGTCGAGGCTGTCGCTGAATCATTTGACGCGATCGCCCAGTCTCGTGTCTTCGATGTTTACCGAAGTTTCCTAAAGTCAGCAGTAACATTCCAATTGCTGATCCTCAGGTCACCCACTATACTCCTTGATGATAGGTGCTACGACTCGCTTTCTGGGCTCTTTATGACCAAAATTTTGGATTCTATCTCATCTGGACTCTTGGCGTCAGTCGAAGCGATTAACCGAGAGCTGGATGGGACTGAAAGAAGCGGGAAAGAGATCGGTCCGGTGCTCAGAAGCGCCCTAGAGATGTTCTCCTTTCTCCTTCAATGGTTTGCTATCGCGGCAGAGAGGCATTCGCCGAAGGAGGATGCAGAAACAATTGTGACCACCTCCAGGTCAAAGGTTCGTCCGAGTTTCCTCCCTAATAATAGGAATCAATTGAATCCTTCTCAGGGGAAGAAGACAGCTAAATCTGCACAAAGACGTGCTGCTGCCTCTGAGCAGTTTATATGGACAAATCATATCCCATCTACATTGTCCCTGATATCCAGAGTTCTGAGGGACTTACAGACGCATCGAGTATATACTACAACTGCAGAGAAGGATGCATTTATCAAGTATGTCTCGTACCCTTGTTCTATCAATTACTCATGTGAAGCTATCCAGTTGCATCACTCGACCTGCCTGGAGGATAACGGAATCTGAGGAGCATATGAAATCCAATGAGATAAGGATGAGCGTGTATAAGATCATTTGCCATGCGGTGAAAAAGCACGGCCACGCCTTTAGCGCCCAAATCTCAATTATGCAAGGTTTACAGTACTTCGAACATCTCAGTGAGCCCATGGCAGGGATCCTAGCAGTGTTGCAGAAGGAATTTGATCATACTCAGCTGGCCGAAGAGGTGCTAAGGTATGGTGTTGGTTTCATACGCAACTCGTCATATCACTGATTACTGTGTAGAGAAATTTCGCAAAAGAGTTTCAACGGCCAAGACACTAAGGGACCACGCTCTTTTTCCAAATTCTTGATCCGACTCGCGGATTTGTCCCCCCGCATCATTCTGAAGCAATTCGCGCTCCTTCGTGTGCACTTGGACTCTGATGCATATCCAATGCGTGTTGCTTTGGTTGAAGTTATTGGCGTATTAATCCGCGAGATTGCCCAGGACGCCGAAGATATCCCTTCTAATGGGGATGATGCTATTGGGCGGTCCCAAGAGGGGCAGGAAAAGAAGGAAAAGAAGATAAACAAGCTTTTCGAGCTACTGCTTGAGCGTTTCTGCGACATGAGCAGTTATGTTCGTGTCAAGGTAATTAACACCCTTTCCAAGTTATGGGAGTGAGTCCCGCTCTACATAGTTTGGGTCGAGCCAAGTAATGACCTACGTTCCCAGATTGCGCGTCAAATTACCTATACAACGCGCTCAAACAACGCCATTGGTCATAGCTGCTCTTTCCGACAAAGCTTCATCAGTTCGACGATATGCAATCGCTCTCTTGACCACGATGATTCTGACACACCCTTATGGTGCCTTGTATGGCGGCTATCTCAACTTAAAAGAATGGGAAGAACGCTACCGATCCGTCAAAGAGCAACTCGCCATCATAGAAGTTAAACAAGACAAACATTTGAACGCCTTGGCCGGTACCGATAAGGACGAAAGCCAAAATGAGGGACCTGAAGCCAATGATAGCGGCGATGAAGAGGACGAGAACGAGGATGAGCGGGGGTCTGATGACGACAGTCACGGAGCGGACCAAGTCCCTAAGAAAAAGAAAAGCAAAGCTAGGGCCCGGAAGTCTGCTACTGAGCGAGCATTAGCAATCGAACAGGCCGAGGCACTCAACACTCTAGACATGGCGAATCTAACTCGCTTCCGACTAACTAAGCGATACATTGCTGATGCACTCCAATTCATCAGGGAGGTCGAGAGTGCCATGGACATTGTGGGACAACTGCTGGGGAGTACGAGCAAGGCAGAAGTCCTAGAGGCTATCGAGTTTTTTAAGGTAGCATATGAATATCAGATGCTTGGTGCGCAAGTAAGTCGCGAACTTATCTTGCTTGGAATGGGATCATTGATCATACTTGTCAAAGGTGGGCGTCAAGAAAATGCTGCACCTCATATGGACCAAAGACAACAGTGGTACGACATCAGAAGAGGACAAGGAGCTCAAAGGCATCCGTCAACGGCTCATCGAGTGCTATCGTGCATTATACTTCGACCCCGTTGACGACGGAGATTCTCGCCAACAAACAAACCGCATTGCAAAAAACATGATCGAGTAGGCTACATTTATCAGTGTTGGGCGCTTTATACTGACTAAGTATTAGGCTCACCCGGAACTCCACCCTGGCTGAACTCACTTCCCTGGAAGAATTGATGCGAACATTATATGAAGACGATAAAGTTGACCAAGAAGTGTTGAACACTTTGTGGCAAGTTTACAGTTCGTTGTCTATCTTGATCAACAATATATGGCCTGCTAACAGCGTTCTGATTAGGCACTGAGCGTGAAATTCCTCGCTTTCAGAGAAGGGGTGCTATAATTGTGTTGGGCATGTTTGCTTTATCGAAGCGCGAAGTGGTCATTGAGAGGACGGATACTCTTCTTAAGATTGGATTAGGTCCACTAGGACGGGTAAACTCGCCTTCACACTCATCCTCAATCAACTGACACATGATTCAGGCCGACTTGGTTCTCGCACAATACACGTGTATTGCTCTTCAGCGGATCGGCGGGAATGCCAAGAAAGTTAAAGGTAGAATCACGACCTTCGTCGCTTCACAATCACTTATATCGAGACTCGTTCCCAGGCTCTCTTGAGGATAAAACTATACGCCTGTCCATGGATAACATTATGTTCAGAAAGATCAAGGAAACCGTCGAACATCCGTGCACATCAAAGGACTGGTATGAATTATTTATTCCCGAACATCCATATCTCTTATTACCCCGCGCTAGGTTTGGGATGGCGGAGCAGGCAATTAATACTGTTTATCTACTCGGGGAACAACCCGACGCCCTCTGCGGAGACCTCATTAAATCGTACACTCGTCAAGTCTTCGCAGAAACCAGGTCGCCGTCCGAACCCAATGGTGTGCCTAGTGACCTCACTATCCCAGGAGCTGATGCCTCATCCCGTGGTAAATCTGCTGAGCCTGCTGGTGATGCTGCGGCACCCTCTGGGGACTCGTTCTTGCTTAGTCAGTTAATTTTCCTTGTTGGTCATGTCGCGTTCAAGCATATCGTGTATCTTGAGCTTGTTGAGCGGGAGTTGAAACGGAGAAAGGAGCTTCAGGCGAAGGGCATGTACTACCTTCCCAATGTGTTCATAATTACTGACTTGAACACATAGAGAGAGGTGCTGCTGCCGCTAAAGGCAGGACCTCCAATACGAAAGATGTAGATGAGTTGGAACAGGTCGCCGGAAGTGCTGAAGACGATACCGCTGATCGGATCACCAAGTTCTGCGATGATGAAATGTTGTATGGAGAGAAATCACTACTTGGCCTGTTTGGGCCAATGATTGTGCATATCTGTGCTACGCCGAAGATGTACAAGGTCAGTTGCAGGGTCGCGATTCACGCCAGCCTTCTCATGCCATCGTCAGAGTCCAACCCTCCGGGCCTCAGCGACACTCTCCCTTAGCAAGCTGATGTGTGTTAGCACACACTTCTGTGAAGACAATCTGATGCTGCTATTCAAGATCATGGAGACCTCGAAGGATCCGATCATTCGCAGCAACTCCATCATCGCCCTGGGCGATATTGCCGTCCGCTTCAGCCATCTCATAGATGAGAACAACAACAAGCTCTACGACGGCCTCTCTGACCAGAGCATTGTTGTGAAGAAGAACACCCTCATGGTGCTTACCTACCTCATTCTTGGGAGTATGATAAAGGTCAAGGGTCAGCTCGGTGAGATGGCCAAATGTCTAGAGGACGAGGACCAACGAATAGCAGACCTCGCGCGACTGTTCTTCACCGAACTTTCCAGCAACAAGGATAATGCGATATATAACAATTTACCTGATGGTTTGTGCACCCTATGTCGTGACAAGGCCATCATTAACCTCAGTCCACCAAATACAGTAATCAGTCATCTCTCAATTGGGCAGCATGCATTGGAGGAAGAAGCGTTCCAAAGGACGATGCGATATATCTTCACTTTCATCGAAAAGGTACCTTCGTGTCAACCAATCGACAAGATTTGAATGACTAATTGGCCACAGGAAAAACAAGCTGAAGCCATTGTGGAAAAATTATGTCAACGCTTCCGCCTTGCTTCAGAGCCTCGTCAATGGCGGGACATCGCATTCTGCTTATCTTTACTTCCCTTCAAGTCAGAGCGATCAGTGAAACGTCTGATTGAGGGTTTGCCATTCTATCAAGACAAGTTGCATGAAGAGGCCGTCTTCAATCGATTCAACGAGATCCTGATCAAGGTATGACCGTTGATTCGCCAATCAATATAAGCACCTTCTCATCCCCAAATCCCCAGGCCCGCTCAAACAAATCATCAAATAAACCTGATACGGAGCTGAAGGAGTTTGAGCAGGTGAGCCGATCATCGGTAACTACTGACGTTACATCTCACTCCTGCATACAGATCCTGAAAGACTTCAAGGAGAAGGGTGAAGAAGACCAGGCACTAGAGGAGAGTATGCAGAAGAAAACGGCCGCCACCCGCAAGAAAGTTTCCCGGCGAAGTACGGCTTCTTAACCTCAACCATTCCGCATTACTGATGTCCTCCTTACAGAACAACCAACTCGCGGGCGTAAAGCCTCAGCGAAAAGTGCTACTCCAGACAATGACGGCTCAGAATGAGTTTTTACCTGGCTGATTTCACATATCCATTTGTATACTATGTATATGTAATCACAACTCGGCGCATTGATATAATACCACTTGAGTACCCGCACAATTGATGTAGTCCTTTGAAATCGAGACCAAGAAACAAAAAAAATGGAAGGAGCGTCGATCTAATCAACAGAATGAGCAAAAGCAAGGGGCGCTAGAGAACGAAGTAGATAGTGTCCAACATATGACGGGAAAGAGTAAACGAACGTGATATGGACCGCAAAGATCCTTTTTGAGGGGGAACCCGGGCAGCGAGCGAACCGGGGCGATTAATGAAGCTGACGAAGCTATTTGAACGATTGAGCTCCGCCGCCGCCACGCATAACAGATTTGAGAAAAGCAAAAAATCGGCTACCATACTCCTCCGCTGGCACCGGGCTGATCTTGTGCTATACAAATTCAAATCAATGATTGAACCAACTTCACAGTCCGACATACGACCTACCCTATCGGCATGAAGACCTTTCCATGCGTGCTCCAGCTTCTTGAAAGTGGTGTATGGTGTCAAGATGTCGATTATTCCAAGATAATAAATAGTGTCCATCTGTCTATTAGCTTCATCGGTGGCTCGGAATCCACCTTCGTCCTGGTAGAAAATAAAGTGCCGTCTATCGGTCGAGTCCACTTCTGGAAGCAGGGACGAGTCTGTCGTCCCAATGGCTTGAAGATCAGACCGCCGCATGACACGCCGCACAACGCTGGCATCCGTTGCGGTGTCTTTCCCAGATTGCGACGCTCGTCTTCTCCGTACCAGGTGTTGATAGACATCAGGCTATGCATAAAATCAGAATTAAACGCACTAGTCCAGAACGGGTGAACGCTAACCTGGAAAACCCTCAGCGTGTTGCGCCGCAAGTTGTCCCTATTCCCTCGTTGCATGTTATGTATCCCCACGAGAAGGCTGTAGTCCATAACGTTCAGCCTCTTGAGAAATTCGGAATCACGGCGCAGCTGCTCAGTCAACAGAGCGCACTTCTCGGGCCCAAGCTCGAGCTGTCTCCCACGATTGATCCAGTTTAAATCTTTTAGAACGGCTCGAGAATTGTTCAGAGCCTTCTCTTCGGGGTATTCACGTCCGACCGTGGAGCCTTTGAGATCATAAGTTTCATGAATATCGCGATGGGGTGGAAAAAGATTATTCATGATCACAAAGTGTATCTTCCGACCGTGCGGTAGTTTGACGCGATGAAGTCCATAGAACCTCGATAGTAACGTATGCGGGTTTGTTCTAACGTGCTCATAGTAAAGGGGCAAGATTTTACGGAGGAATTTGTGTTCGTTATGATGGATCGTCTTGATGATGAAGCGGTAATCGCGGGAGAAGTAGAAAAATGATCCTGATTTGCCGGGACTTCCAAGTTCGGAGAGGATATACTTCGAGGTAAGAGAAAGGAGGTAGTCAGCGGGATCCAGGTGAAAATAATCTTCCCGAAGCTCTCTGAACACCCAAGAAGCATAATCTTTGAACTTGAAGTCATATTTCGCCGAGGGGGTTAATTCATTGCCAATGCTGGAACAAGTATAATCAGGAAAGTTGCCCTGGAGATATTGACCATGATAATTACATGTCGAAGGTATATTTGTGCCGTGCGGTGTAATCCTTGGGAGTTAAAGGTCGTCTTATCTTGCAACGCAACGAGATACCTGATCATACGTGCCTTCAACTGTTGGTGCTACTACTAGAGTAGAGTGATGTACTTACGCCAATGCGAATCCCTGTTAACATGTTGTACATCAAAATGTAATTGGCATGATCTTCTCCGATCAAGTTCCCAACCAGAGGCTTGTGATCCTCCTCGTCCCTGCCTTTCGGGGGAGGCGCAGTATGCGGGAAGGCTGTCGCTGCAGTTGCGACCCCCATGGTCGAAGGATGGGCGACGCTGACGCCGCCGTCTTGAGCTTTCGTTCGTTTCGAAGTCCGCTCTCTCCGAATCTGCTCAGCTTCTCTAAGAATATCCGGATCCAGAATCGCGGGTGTAAATGCAGACGTGGATTGCGTAGAAAGATCCCCTGCACCCGTGGCATCTGCGCCCTTCATGAAGTCGAGGTTCAGCGACCGTGCCTTACGATGACGAGGCCGAAATGAAGAGTCAGTAGTATTGCGACGAAGGGCTCTCATGGGAGATGCAACCGCACTCAGGGGATGAAGGAGATTTGATGGATCGACAACAGACAGGGAGGAGTTATGAACTGGACGTTGGGTTGCGACAGAGGACATAGAGGCACGACCATAATCTTGATTAGTACCTTTCTCCGGACTGGATGATGGTGACGCCGTGATAGTATAGGTAGAACCGTTGTTCGTTCTCGGTGAGGAAGCATTTACGGATGTCTTGTCCTGGTTTTGTATCGCATAGCCATTCGCCGAATATGACGAGTCCAACGACATCTGATCATCTTGTCTTCGAAAATCGGCAGCAGTATGGGAGCGCATTCCCATCGCTACCCGAGGTCGGCCAGGATCTAATGATGGGATTCAATTGAATACATGTGCGCGCAATGTAGATTCCAACACACAAGAGACTGGAGGTGGCTGGGTGACCTCCCTCACCTGGGACGTCCCTTCTACCGCAGCAATAGCATCACCCGTTGAAGGGGGCTCTTCGGTCAACTGAAGACCAAGCACCGGTCCATGTTCCTCATTCAAACTTTCAGATGACGGTGGTGAAGGTGGTGCAAGATACCCGTTAGGGAGGATTGTGGCAGTCCTTGTATGGATATTTTTGGGCCGATCATCAGGAATTTCCTTCCCATTTGGAACATTTGTCGTCGCAGGGGCCGCAATGCCTGCGCCCGAAGTTTCCTTATCCACAGAGCTGTCCGATGTCACAACAACCGTTTGTCCTGGTGGGGTGGCTTTGGTCTCACAGACGGATCCTGGCGAGGAGTAACAATATTGTCGGTAACTTTTTGAATGTGAATCTGCGCAGCGCCGGAACAACTGACCTGTGTTGTTTCCAAAGCGTGCGTAGGACCCAAGAAGGGAGAAGAGGCACGAAAATATGCAAAGCAGATGCCGTATTTTCGCTCATTGATGCAGATGGGGCACCGTCGAGAATAGCAGTAGCGTATGAAGCCGCAGAAGTGGACACGATACTTGACCGCGGGTTATCCGAGACCGATATGAAACTCTTTCGACTGCTCTTCGGAGAGACAGTGGAAGGCGCTCTTAGACTCAAAGAGGGCCCTAGGTGCTGCAACGGTGACGATGAGCGCCGCGGCGACGCTGTCAGCACATCCGATGCCATTCGTGGTGAAAGTGTGACCAATTGAAATTGAATCCGACAGACCTGTGCACGTACACGCGCCCACAAAGGCGAAATCTTATACAGGGGAATAGCTCTCTGGGGATACGTGTCCTAAGCTGCGACAGCGCACTTACGCGGGAAAGAAGCGATCTGGCCAAGCCGCGCTAACAACCAGTTCAGCGCTCCTTGATTCTTGGTAGCTGTCGTACATTATTATCTACTTTAGTTAGAGGCTGGGATCCTACCTACATTATTAACGAGTTGCCGTACCTCCTTGGGTGATGCGGAAAGGTTTTTTCTGATCCGCTCTGATTTCAACAAGTGCTGTCGCTGGAATGGGGGGTGTCATCCCACGACAGTTACCACATAACAGCATGTTTTGTGAACATCCCTAATCGAGACTCCTCACTGGTATATCGGTAGAACACACGCCTGTCATTGAACCGTACGCGTGGGAGCTGGGTTCGACTCCCAGGTGGGGAGCTTCTTTTCTTTTCTTTTTTTTTTTTTTTTTTTTTTTGTTGAGTCGCGGCCGCACTTGCCCCACTAATTTTTGAGGCACGGAGTTCCAGACCAGAATGTCGAAGATGCATGTGTATGATTAGCTTTGACTGCGTTGATCATGTTGTTACGTATTTCTGATACCTAGTTCGTGGGGCCCAGGCCGCTCCATGCATTGACTTCACGCCAGGTGTCTACAAGTACCTTACGTCTTGTGAGAGAAGCCCGCGCGACGCCGTCCTCTGGATGAGCGAGAACCCTCGTTCCACCGTCCTCTTTAGCCCAAATAACCAGTTCGTCCAGTACTCTGCACTGGCACTACTGATATCACTTCCACTGTCGGCCCAGTTGGTGACATTGCCTTTCTTCGAACTCGCAGCCCACGAGGTGAGTCTGGGATCGTGGAATATCGTACGGCCTAGACGTCTGCAGCGTGCTTGGATGTTAACGACGAAAAGCTCCTTATGGCCTAGACCTCCAACCACCGCATCCAACCCATTTGTATGCTCAGCCAATTACTGGGCAGATTGTCGACCGAATTTAAATTATTACCCAATTGATCATTTTCCTTTCACTCAGCCAGGTTCGTTCTTCGAGTCCTCTCCTTGCAAAACGTTACCATCATGGTTTCGCCTATCCACCAAGCGAACCTAAGGAACGAACAATCGAACACAACATCCGGCGCCGGGCCGGGGTGTTTGGACTCGCTTGATCCGTAGAATTCTACGAAGGCGTAAATCTTTGCTCTGCTAAACGGATTTAACCGCTACCTTCCTCAGGAATCTTGTACATGTGTGCCCCAACCTTATGGTATCCCGTACGCACCATTCAGTGTCCCACGTTTCATCGTTGGGATCGTGTCCGTTAATATCGCTAATTCAATCAGGACAAAAGCTGTCGTGACGAGATCGATGAAGTCTAAATCCCTGCCCTCCGCTTAGGGATCTGCTGACTCGCTCAAAGGAGGCGAGAGTGTTCGCCGCGGCTTTATCTTCGCACAGAGACCATATTTTCCGACCAAATTTATTTTTTATTCGGCTGCAGGCTGATATATCTTTTCTCTCACTGTTTCGCCTGACGACGACCAAATCTAGGCCGAACAAGCCTTACTTGTCGCGAGAACCAAGTGTGCCAATGAGAGAAAACTCAACAGCTAATGAGAGCCCTGACTTGTGCTCGACCGCGACCGACCGCAAGATATAAAGCTTCTGTCCGCGACTGACGGATGCCCCTCAATAATCTTCTTGTCCCTAGGCCCTGTGCCTGTATCTCTACTTCACTTTAGCCTTCCACCAACTGTTTCCTATCATGGGCGTAGCTGTGGAGACTATTACGCCAGGAGATGGAAAAGTGAGCTCCACTGCCGGTAGTACAAGACAGTCCATAACTCACATTGTTCCTCTGTTGTCCGAAGACTTTCCCCAAATCTGGAGGTGAGCATGCAGACTCCATGACCGTCATCCAACTTCCCGCTTACTCACATGATACCCATCAGATCGCGTCACAATAGAATATACGGGCATGCTGGCAGATGGAACAGTGGCAAGTTGGCAGTGTCGCGGCACCTAAACATGATATCCCAATGACAGAATACAGTTTGACATAGCACACGGTCCAGGCTCAACCCCCTTAACCATCCAAATTGGCACGGGTGCCGTCATCAGAGGTCTGGATGAAGGTAATGCACCGAAGGGTTATTAATCTGCCACCCCCGTTTTCCGACACCTCCTTTGTGACGTAGGCATTACTCAGCTCTCCCTTGGACAGAGGGTCGTTTTGTGGGTGACCCCTGAATACGTCAGTCACTTTGAATTTGGATTGCCAGATCCGTGTCGTCGTACTGACTGGTACCTTGGACAGGGCTATGGTTCCCGCGGTTTCCCACCAGTGATACCAGCTAATGCACCCCTTCGTCTGGAAGTGTGTTTAATAAAAATCAATTGAGAAAGAATTCAAAGGGATACCTTAAGTTATACCAGTTATTGTACCATTCGATCTTCACCCGATAGGCTCGGGACTGCCATACTTCTGTGAAACTGTTCCCACTTTCTTGGACTTTCTGGTCGGTTACTTCTGGGTGGTTGGTGTTCCTTGGTGTTCATCAGATCATTCCAGCGTGCAGGACATTCATACGACAAATATAGCAATAATTCCCCCAGTCTGTCGAGCAGCGAGTACGATTATCGTACCAAGTGGGAACAAATCAGAAGCGAGTCTGAATAGGATCTGAATAGATGACCGTATTCGGAATTACAGACTTACAGCCACGAGTTCTGACTGAGGACACGCACAACAGAATCCCGACTGCAGGGGTGGCGTTATCGCATCAATGAATGAATGGAATCGCCAAATACCACATCGATTGGTCTGCACATACAGTACCGATCTCTCGATTCAGCAGCAGCCTCAATGTCAATCACGACCCCCAACAAGCGATAGACACGATCCTCCAACATCAGGAAAGTGCTCTTTCTTCGCGTTCACTCGGCAAGGTCATGAGTCCGAGCCGGCGGGTCAAGTCAGACCGGCGGCCACGATGTCGTCTAGAACAGTCGTGAAATTTCACACAGCACCAATAAGAGGCACAAAGGGACTTCCGTCCAGAAGGAGGGGTTACCTTCTCCCGAAGATGGGGAGCTGGACCAAGAAATTCAAATTGGCGGTGTGAGCTAAGCAGCGAGGGCGGTGGAAGAATTGAAACGACCTCGCGTCCTATGAATGGAAGCATGCGCGGTTCCACTGGATAGGACGGATGACGAATAACGGACGAGTGCAACTCCGAGAGTCACCTGAAGGGGGCCACGAGGCCCTGTGCGTTAGGCAGAGAAGCAGTAAGGGTGCAACGTCGGAGTTCCATGATGTCAAATGCATGTGGAATTAGGGTTCATTGCAGCAGACCAGAGAAGAGGATCGTCCACAGGCACGTCGGGCAGGCAATTGATGGATCTAGGAGAAAAGCTACCAAGTGTTCGACGGTACCAAACGGAACAATGGACATCTTGCCACGCTGCGAATTCACCAATCGCAATTGAATTCCGAGATCTTTGGACATATAAGGTAAATGTCGTGCATCAGGCCCGTTGGGGTGTTTGTGCAATATGCATCTGAGTGCCTGCCACGGTAGGGAAATCTCAACCTGGAACCATAACCCGATATGATAGACTGGGAGTGCTCAATGGCCAGATATATACGTATTTTACGCCTACAACACGAAAGCGGCCAATCAAAGGAGTGTAGGGTGGACAGTGGGAACGGCATATTCTGAAAGCTCAGCAAAATATGTGTCAGAATCCGAAGGTCGACTAGTCCTGCACTTCAATAAAACGCCGCGCTTACGACAAATTAATAAGGGTAGAAATGTCAATTATGGAATACAAATCTAAATAATACAATGCAACAGTAAGGTAGTACGATAACCAGACCCAAGAAGATGTTGCATTACATCTCCTGCGATTCAAAGGGTTTCTGGAAACATGCCAATCAGCCCCGCTGCCTGTATCAACCAGCGACACGCATACACACCTTCGTCTTAGACGGAAGAAGCTCCTGTGCAATGTGAGGAACGACACCACCTTGTGAGATAATGACAGAACCGAGTAGCTTGTTCAGTCTTGAAGACCATTCGTCAGCACCAGCGCGAGAAAGAGGTAAGCATAGACACACTCTTCATCATTCTTGATGGCAAGCTGAAGGTGGCGGGGGACGATGCGGGCCTTCTTGTTATCGCGAGCGGCATTTCCTGGACCAATGAACCGTTGACTCAGCACCTGGAAAGAATATCATCGCAACAAACTGAACGGACCAGCGAGCTCCAGAATCTCTGCAGCCAAGTACTCCAGAACAGCGGCGAGGTAGACAGGCGCACCTGCACCAATGCGGAGAGCATAGTTACCCTTCTTCAACATACGATGGAGGCGACCGACAGGGAACTGCACTATACGCCACCAGTTAGGATCCCAAAAACGGACGAGACGCGTCGCCAGATGAGTCACGCACGTCCTGCTCTCACTGATCGCGACGAGCCCTTAGAATCGTCACCACCGGTTTTCCCACTCTTGCCTCCGGCCTTTCCTCCCTTTCCTTTGCCTACGACGCGAGGAAACGCGTGGATTAGCGATCCCCTCACCAAGTATCCAGCTGACTGTTGACGAACCAGACATAATGGTTGCGTGCTAGTTGCGAAATAAGAAGGTGTTGTGGTTTTTGACGCGAGACGTGAGGCTCAAGAGATGATGGGGGTACGAAGGAGAGATGGACCAGTGGAGGACGCGGAGATGCAGGGCTTTATAGTCATAACGGTCAGTTGCTTTCGAGATCATCTGCTTCCGAAAGTGTAAACAAACATCACAACTCACGTGTGAAGCTTGATGGTCCAAAGCACGTCCCCGTGGTATTGACTGGTGAGTTACGGTTCTCGTGTGCTCGAGGGGACCTGTATGAAACGTCGAGGGCCCCTCAACTGGTTGTGCGCTTGTGCTTATCCCAGTTGCAGGTTTTTCCCTTTGCAATACAGGAAGCTTGATGCGCAAGTCGATGACGCACGGGGTGGATTTTTCATTCTTCACCGCTGGGGCCGCCTCATGGAACTATGTATGACAGCACCCTTCAGATTTTTGGACCTGGAAACCTTCTGGATCTCTTTTTCCGATGACTATGACAAACGCACCATGGTCGTCATAAGCGGGGCCAGGCTACATATTTCAGGCCACGAAGAGTCGACCTCCATTGCTCCAAAACTCCGGAACTTCCCAATATGTATGTTCGTGAATGAGCGGACGTCGTTGGCATTATCCAGGTGTGTTGACGAGGTCTCTGCGCCGGATGCTTGGTTGGACGAGCAATGCGGGTCGCCACCGCGCTCTACCGGTTCACGGATGCTGAAAAGAACTACCGTGTGCGGAAGTTCGACATGAATGGGAGGCCTAAGCTCGGAAACGCGACGTCGCGTGCCAAGGGTATGAACTCTCGCTACAGCTTGCTCCGAAAGAAACACTAACAAGGTGGTTTCAGAGCACATAGACATTTCACGATATGGTTTTAGCAAGATATGTTGGAGATCAGCCTCGAAGTGTGTACTTTGCTTTACATGCGAAGCAGCATGACAATTAATGAATATTGCTGAAATATTCCTCCCGCTGTTCTGATCGGTGAATCATCACAAGACGCTTGCCGCACAAAAATTCTGAACTTGCGCTTTTTCACACTTCCCTAACCATCACTTCCTCCGATCTGATGCACCCATCGGATCGCTCTGTTAATATGAGGGCTTTCTTGGGCCATGCACTGTGCAACGTATTCGGCCAATCCCGTATAACAATTTGAGGAACGAGATTAACCGGGTCGTGCTCTCAATCCAGAAGTCTCGGCATATGTCGGGGCTGTCTCAACAACCCCAGCCACTTCTGCAGGAGTACAAGATAACATTAATCGAATTCCCGTATGCCACATGCACCTTTTTGAACACTTGACTCTATTTAGAATATAGCACTAGCGTGATATAAGCTTGAGCACTAGTACTATCCCACTTTCGTAACATATCAATCACCAACTCGCAATGCCGATCAGTCTAGCCTCAACCGTCAAGCTCAACACTGGGGCAGAAATTCCAGTCGTCGGACTTGGTATGTAACGATTCGGTCGAGGGAACGATCGAGATGAGATCCTATTTGCAAAACACTTGTACTAAGTTTGAGACATCGTTCAGGTACCTGGAAAAGTGCACCAGGTCGAGTTGAGGAAGCCGTCGAATATGCCTTGAAGAAGGCAGGCTATAGGCACATCGATACAGCCACGGATTACGGGTGAGTTCCTGTCCTCGATTTCAACCGCGAGAGTGCCGCTTAGGGCCGGACTTCGACCGTGACGTGCACCGATCTCACTCATTCCCAAATCACAGCAACGAGAAAGAAGTCGGTGAAGGTATCAAGGCCTCGGGAGTGCCGCGCGAATCTATCTTCGTCACCACCAAGCTTAAAAATGATGACCACGATAAAGTGGAGCAGGCGCTGGAATATTCATTAAAGCAACTCGACACTCCATATATTGACTTGTGGCTATTGCACTGGCCTGCACCAATGTTAAGCCCTACCGGGGACGGAAAGCCTAACAGGGACTTGGACTGGCTTGACACTTGGAAAGAGCTGGAGAGGGTTCACCTTGCTAACAAGAATAAAGTCAGGGCAATTGGAGTAAGTCGGATCATCAACTAACAGCATTAAAGGCCGACGCCAAACTTAATCCATTTGCTGCCTAGGTCTCTAATCTCTCTGTGCCCTTCCTCAAGCGACTCCTCAAGGAAGCCAAAGTCATCCCTGCTGTAAACCAAATTGAGCTCCACCCGTAAGCCGCTCCTACCCACACCCTCCCTGATTCCGAGTCCTATCCCCTATCAAATCCAGTTCCCTGCCTCAAAAGGAAGTCGTCAAGGTCACAGAAGAAGCTGGTATCCTGCTCACCTCCTACTCGCCTCTCGGCTCCGACGAATCTCCACTCCTCACGGACGAAGTGATCGTCAAGATTGCAAAGAAATACAACGTCGAGCCCGCAGCTATCCTCGTTTCTTTCCAGGTCGCTCATCCAAACCGAACCGTCCTTCCAAAATCCGTCACTCCCTCGCGTATTTCGGCGAACGCTCAAATTGTCGAGCTTACCCCCGAAGAGTTCGCGGAGATTGATAAGATTGGCGAATCAAAGATTTTCCGAGTTTGTAATCCTACGTGGGCAGGATGGGGTGATCTCGGGTTTGACCTCAGCAAAGAAAAGGAGAGTGAGTAAGAGATGAAGCCTTTGGAAGGATATTCTCATCGATACACGGCTATTCGTGCATGTCATTGACTGCGGTCATTCATCCTATATATAATCGATATTCCATCGTGGTACGGAGCATCAAACTACATGCTATTGAAATTCATCTTGTGTGCACGCCGGAGGAGACGCAATGGAATAGCGTGGCGACAGTCCCGGCAAATGCCAGAACCTCTGGAATTGAAGACGAGCCGGGTAATTTACAAGGATGGAGATTGGGGAAGGAGGAGGGCAACGCGAAAAAACAAGGACGAGGAAGAACAAGGAGGAGAAGAACCGAGGTTACAAAAACAAGGGAACAACCGAAAATAAAGAAACCTAGAAAAAACTAGAGTAAGCACTCGGGATCCAACCCACCGAGAGTAACCGGAGGTCACAACACCCCCCCTGCTCAGTGAGACCGAAACGCTTACCAGAAGTAAGGGACTCCGAGAGAAAACTTCGACAAAAATCGCTTTTCAGGCTAACAGAAATGAGACTAAAAAAGAAACAAAGAAAACGCCTTCAGCAGAGGTTGAGGAATAAGAGGGCCAGAGCCCAGAAGCGTGAGCGGACGAATAAACACGTACGGAATTCGTCCGAAGAAATCGACTCAGGTATGCAGCGGCAATAAAACCTGAATCGGCATGACTGTAGCCTCGGAAGACACAGTATGCGTAAGGCCGACAGCGGGTACGGCGCATAAGATGAAGGCATCACCGGGTATCTCGTACCTCCATTAAATAACAACAAATGCAAAATTGTAGCAGAAACCATCTGCGGCCATAGGACTCGGAAAACACCGCATCCCGTCTGATCTGCGAAGTTAAGCCGAGTACCGTTTAGTTAGTACCATAGTAGGGGACTATGTGGGAATCCTGAGTGCTGTAGTTTCTATTTTGTTTTGTTTTTTTTGTTTTCCTCCCTTCACTTCACCTCACGTCTGATCTTCTTATCTTCAGACTTGATCCCCAAATTTTCGTTGGCTGACTCATACTATACCCTGGCCAGCCCACCGTGAACGTTCTATGTCACCCGGTCGCTCGTAGTTGTACAATTGTATACCCACGCGCACTCAAACTGTTTTGTGGCATTGTCACGCAAATGGTTCCTGGTATCTCACAAAGTTCGAAATATATACCATGCCTGTTGACTGGAGAAAAGCTGCCCCAATTTACCATCCGAACGAAACAGCAGAGGAATAGTGTCACGGTCAGCAACATGTTGAATCGATACAGTCACCACACACCAGATCCGTGCGATCTGATTCCCCGAACGCATATTAACCTGACGAGTGTTTCCACCTAGAGTTGTACGCTCTTCATCTAAATAAACTTCTCCGCTCCTCTTAGCCAGGCACTCTTTTGTCTTCGACTGATTTTTTCCCGTACATACACACTATTTCAGATCGTCTCCTGTTCTTGGGGGCTTCAGGGAAACAGAATTGTATGTTGAAGGCCCGCTCGGTGTTACGCAGGTGCATCAATTCACGGTTGGCGAGCAAGACCTGCCGCAATGCCGTCTTTGGGCTTGGTCCACTCCTTCTCTACGGCCCGGGGTAGCTTAGACATTTACGCCGTCTGGACCATTTCCGCGAGTTATGGCGGGCAGCCAGCGCGCATGCTGAATGGAATCTTCTGTTTCCAAGCACGGAAAGGCACGAACGATCGATTCATTGGTTGATATCAAGAATCGAAGAAACCAATTCATGGTTTGCACAGCTCCCGCGCGATCGACGTCTTACCTGTTATGGCCACTAGGGTCGAGCAGCTTCAGGTTTATACATACGTCCTGTCACCAAGTGCTCCCTTCAACACACCTGCACGATGTCTGAAAGGCTTGCGTCCCGTCACTCTACTAGGTCACAACGCCCTCATGAGCCTCCTAATGATCGGCCCCAGGCCTCGATCTCTCAGATAACTCCTTCCGCGGCTACAAACGACGGAACGATTCACAGAGACGATGATGGTTCCGCAGGGTCATATCCTGATACCCCTGTTGCTACGCCGGTGCCCTCTTTTAGCGGCACTTCACATGATGGCGCGAACCAACAAACGTCTCGTCAAGGCAGAATATTTTGGCCATTCCGGAGAAAGCCTGGCCCCAATCTCAATTGTCTTGATCAGTCAAGTACGTCCCATGCCAAACATCCTACGCCGATGGCACCCGTACAAATATCGCCGAACGAACCACGGCTACCGCTGTCCCCTCTTCCGACCGAAGTGAGTGTCGATTCTCCACGGGCAAGGAATTTATGGAGAAAAAGGACGGTCATTGCATCCGCTTCTACTATATTATTAGATACTTACTCGAGCACCTGGACCCATTGCAACTTTTTTTGCAAGAGTCCACTGAATTGCAAGACGAGTTTAACACCTTCATTATGCGAAACTTGCTAACTTTCATGCACTTGCGGGGCACAAATTGGAGATTTCCTGAAGAATTCCTTCAATTCGAGGTAAGTACAAACTATTCTTGTTTGAATATTGACATGTTGTCACCATTGATAGAATCACAATTCAATGCGACTCTTGGGGATTGTAAAACTGGAATTTGAATATAGCTCGCCTTGGGAATTCTATCGATCGATCCTCCCTTTCAATCAGTCTATCTTCAAACATTATGGCCATCTCTCTGATGTCCGGGTCTTCTCCATTCTTGACAAATTCTCTGGTGGCACCATCTCATTAAGCGAGGATTTACTCAGGGCCCAAATGACCATGCGGGCAAAGCTGAGTGAACTACCAAGGACGGTGGTGGACGAATGGGGAACTGTGAGGGTCGATCACGAAACCGAGTTCTACGAATCTGATGTTCGTAATGGCATTGTGACTTGTGCCGCACTCTCCCCTGATGGTCGCTATGTTGCGCTCGGGTTTGGCAGCGGTGTCATCGAAGTTGCCGATATCAACGATCAGCGTACGATCTGCCGGTTGCAGCGTGATCCAGGCAATCCCCCTGCCTGGATCAAATTTGTCTACAGCAGCCACCAAGTCGCGGCGGAGGGTGAAGACTGGAACGCACTGCCCCGTCTTATAAGGCCTGGTGCTCTTCCCACCAGTTCTTATCCACGACCCCAAGACAATCCCAATGACCGTCGTTACCCCATCAAGAGGGTCATATCTAATCCGAAGGGCCCATACATTCAGCTCCTTGCGCACCCTTCGAACCTAGGCGGGCCTTCTCTCACACGTATTCTCCACTGTCTGGCATTCGAGCCTACTCCAGGAGTTCAAAGTATCGACGCCTTCAATGATGGGATCCGCGTTGTCACCTGGTCAACGGAGTCCTGCAAGTTCATTGGGAGTTATCATGTGGAGAAGTTCCATTCTTGGATTATTGGTCCGAACGTCCCTCCGACTCGCTCATATCATGTTCCTAACCCTGGATTCAATCCAGCCACTGGCGACATATCTTACGTGCATCACCCCGAGATGGATGCAGGACGCGAACCTAAAGATGAGTTTTGGATCGAGTGTGCATTTTACAACCTCCCCGACTTCCCTTCACTCGACCCAGCAGAATGGGCTTGGCCTCCCAGCGTCTGCCCGTCTACAGCAATGACAACCTCTCGAATCGATTCCTCATCAGTATGGCTCAATGACGGAATACTCACGCTTCCAGTGGCCTATCAACCTACTGAATCTCGGCGAGCCTGGTACGGTGATCGATTGCCAGATGCCGATATCGAGCCAGATGACGATATCGAGCCAGATGATGATATCGAGTCCTACCCCAAGTCCAGCCGTATTGAGCTCCTCCAGTTCAACAGTTCCGAGTTCTACCGCCCTCAGTCCAGCAGAGATGGGACTCGGTTTTTGATCCAGGGCAAGTCAAGAGCCCCAATTGTCATCGATACTCGCCGAATTGTTTAACATTTACCAATACGCCTGTCATTGCTTTCCCATCACTCCTTTGGCTATTTGCTTGATGGGCTTTGCATTCCAACGCTATGTAGAATTGCGGATAGTCGTCGGAATGTACACTATGCACTATACTCAATATTTCTGCAGCGTTAGAACGGCAGTGCGTGGAACACTTTGGCGGCGACGATCTCTCACGTCCTGCACAGTACAGTAAGTCGAGCGTCAGAACCAACAGCGGAGCGGAGATCAGCTGGATATGGTCCCAACCCGAACACTGGTGTTCAACCTCCGATCTATTCTGGTCAACGTGGCTCCCCTCGCACCCCGCTTGCACCGGGATCCCGTAAAGACCACCATCACGTTCAACCGACGCGGTCTTAGCATCCAAGGCACAAGGGCTATTGGGAAAACTGTCACAGACCGTTCGTAGGGTTCGGGTTCTGTGTGGCCTAGAGCCCCAAGTATTCGGGGCAGGATGAGCCTGCGATTTTGGTCTTCAAGGATGAACAAATGGACAGGACTTTAGCAGATTAAACCTTGAATGAAGAGCTGGATAGTTGGGAAGACGATGCGCTATGTCGGTTGCGGAACGACGGTAGCCTTGTAGGAGAGGTTTCATCCGACAAGGGAGGCTTGATTGAAGGCTCAATGCCAACATCATATCAAGCTGGGGAGGTGCACGCATACACTACGGGTAAAACTATATTGCAACATTGTCACATGAACACGGTTCTTGGTATCCTGCCAAGCTGAACGACTAGATATATACTGTGCATGGCCAAGAAAGGTCCAAGTTCCAATCTACTACCCGAGCGAAAGGAGGAGGGCGGGAAAAGTGACAGCTCGGGGAACAAGGGAGGAGAAATAGTGCCTCGATCAAGCGGCCATGGCTACTCCAAATTGGTACGACTGCTGCAGCACTATTATAACCTGATACACCAAGTTAGCCCTAGCTCCAGGGAGGGCTACATGAGCAGGATAACATATACAACGTATGGGGGCAGCGGCTAACGACGGAGTGGGATCGCTCCTGAGAGCTGCTAGGGATGGAGATATTGAGTGTGAGGTGGGTGGCAAAGTGGGCAGATGTTGAGGCCATTCAATCAGTGTTCTATTACGTAACCTAGATAAGTATCTGAGGTCATGCAAGTAGAACAACTTTTTCTTCGTCCGTGGCTAGAATTGACTTTTAATGTGACACAGTTGTGCTTGCACATAAATCTGTGCTACGCAATGGAAGGCATAAGTCCGTCAAGATCAATGAACGCAATCATCCCTCCTAGTCCACCTAAACAAAGGTTGTTCCGAGATATTGCAACGGAAGAGCTAGGCTTGAAGTAGTCTGGAAGCCAACAGATGCGACAGGTGATACCTCCTTTGTTGATACAGAGAGAATTGCCATCAAGGTAAACAGGGTGTCGAGCAGGTTGGGAGAGAGACGGTGAAGTTGGGCTGCGGACTTCGTTTGAACTCAAAGTTTTTGTCTCACCTTGACCGCCGAACAAGATGCCATCAACAACGAATAAAGTCCTCAAAGGACGAAATGTCCTCACCAAATGCCAGTGGTCTCCGTCCTATGCACCGACCGCCAGCAGCGTCCCATGTACACACTGTGCCATCCTGAGAGGTCGAAGCCAGATGGTAGCCATCCCGTGAAAACTGCAGGGATGAGATCGAACCAGTATGTCCTTCCAGTCCTCGAAGGGGTGGTTTCGTCGCTATATCCCAAACACGCATGGTGTCGTCGCAGGAGGCCGAAGCTAGATGACGGCCATCCGGCGAAAATTGCACAGACCTGACCCGATCCGTGTGCCCCCTCAGTTCCTGAAGAAGTGCTCCCGTCTCCACACTCCAGATGCGTACCGTATGATCGCTGCTCGATGTCGCATAACATCCATCAGGTGAAAATTTTACGAACCTGATGAAACTCGTATGTCCATCCAGTATTCGAAGAGGTGCACCTGTCACCCTATCCCAGATTCGAACGGTGTGATCTCCAGAGGCCGTGGCCAGATAACGGCTGTCAGGCGAAAACTCCACGGACCAGATCGAATCGGTATGTCCCTTCAGTGTTAGAAGAGCCTCCCCCGTTTCCAGATCCCAGACACGAACGGTGTGATCCTCCGAGCCTGAAGCCAGATGACAGCCATCCGGTGAAAACGTAACGAACAGGATGGGACTAGTATGTCCCTTCAATATTCGAAGGAGTGTCCCTGTCGCTACATCCCAGATGCGCACATGGTGATCATCGGATGCCAGATGACTACCGTCTGGCGAAAAGGCGGCGGAGAAGACCGCAGCAGTATGGCCCCTGAATTCCAGAAAGAGATCTCCTGTCACCGCGTCCCAGACGCGCACGGTACGATCGTCCGAGGCCGAAGGTAGAAGGCCATTTGACGAAAATGTGACGGAGTTGACGGGACCAGTGTGTCCCTTTAACTCTTGAAGGAGTGCCCCAGTCACCGCATCCCAGAGATACACGGTGCCATCCGATGAAGATGAAGCCGAGGCCAAATGACGTCCATCTGGAGAAAACCCCACCGAAGACGTTCCACTTGTGCAAACTTCTAGTACTTGTGGTGGCCATGATTCGCTACTATACATACCACAAGCAACAATGTGGCATTCAGTTGCCGCGATCCTTGGAAATACTGTCTTTAACGGGCTACCCGACGGGATGAATGGGTGACCACTGCCAAGTATGGATAATGACGAGGCCGCGAATGCACTTTTTGATCGAGTGACCAACTGGTACAAATCACGAACTACGTGATTCATTCGGAGATCTTGCGTATCAAACTCCTTAAAGACGCCAAAATGAGTCACGAGGTTAGTTTAGTTTATTTTTATTTTTATTTGCAACCTTCGGACATACCAGCCATCGAACAAGTTCGTTCAGCCCTCGACAAACCCGGTCAATTTCATCCATGATCCCCATCGCTGCAATCCAGTGAAGAAGTACTGGGATGCAGCGAGACAAGGCCTTCATCGTTTCATCACTCCGGTCATCCGACTCACAAAGGAGAGGAATCCACTGGTGGCATGCGAACTTGAGCTCCACCGTCATCAACTTCTCAAATTCGCTTTGAAGATCGGGAATATCGCTGTTCAGTTGGAAACGCCATATCACTGGTAGGCGGTCGATCGCCGTACACCGTTCCAGGAGCTCCAGCGCCGATAGCACAGCGTTACATCCTGGGATGAGCTTGGAAAATGGTCCGAGATGGTGATTGACTGGATCGTAGACAACTGAAGAATGTTTGTGAATCGCAAATTCCACTTCCAACTGGGAAAAACAAGTGAGGACGTTGACGGCTACAGTAGCGTGATGTGCGTACCGATGATTCCAACAACTCAATAATAGTTGATATCAAGGCAATCACGTCATCCGCACCTGCCAGTGATTTATCTGAAGACGTCCCCCCAAGGTTTCGTCCCCATAATAGAAACGCGCGAAATAACTCGCTGAAATGAACCATATGTCAGGAGCTATACAAACAGATCCCATGGTTCGATATTTTACTGACCGAGGGAAACTAATTGAAAACTTCCGTGCTTCGTGAATAGCATAACATCCGTGGAGGTGCTCGTGAAACGTCCGGTTCAGCGTAACAAGGAGTCTTTTCATGAGTGAAGAGACATGAAATGCGTCCTGCCCCGAAAAGCTGCGATAAGCGGATCTCTGGCAGACTCAATTAGTTATCGTGCCCAGACATCTAATATATGAGGGAAAGCCGTTACATGGTGATTTTCCATAGCTTTCAAGATGGACTTGACAGCTTTGGATATGATTGAATCCCCAATCAAGGCGGTTAATCGTAAAACTGACTCCCATAGGTCGTTGATTTCAGCAGCGGAGGAGGAATAGACCAGAACTCTGATGCGGTCCCGGCACTCGGCACCAATATTAGGGTGGTTAAGGGATCCATGCTTATACACGGCTCCAAACCGGCACGTTAACATCTCCTGAATTGTGGAGGCGAAGAACCAACAGTTCTCCTATGTGTTTCACCGAAAGTTGGTTAATTAGTGGTCGCGTGGGGGTTGGAGGACGACGCTTACTCTGGATAACCTATATCCCGGAGATTCTGCGGTGACGGCATACAGGATTTGTGCAGCTGCAATGAGAGGAGCAGGCTCCGAAAAGCCCATGACTGCCTCTACTCCAGCTTTCGTGTTCGTGTAATCTAACAGATGGCCAAGTCGGCCTGATATAGCAGCCTTATCAAATACCCGCGCCTCTTTTAGCTGCTGTGCAAAACACTGCTGTAAAGTTCCACAACTTACGGTGTCCATCGCAGTATTAGATGTTCCCGAACCCACCATCCCAAATTTCCACAATGAGATAGCATTATCCCGTCTACGGTCCAGGCGCAGGTAGAAATCCCTTCCGTCGACTCGAGCAACGTGAAGGATGAGAAACCGATGGGGAATCCCATAAACATCGCCATATCGTGCAACCGACACGATCTTAGCATCTAGGGCACGACGGCTACTAAACAAACTCTCACAGAACGTTCGCACGGAATAGATCCTGTATGGTTTAGAATCCAAGTATTCGGTGCAGAATGCGCCCGCCGATGTGAAGCTTGCGATCTTGCTCCTCAAGGATGAACTAATGGATGGGGCTTTGGTAGATGAGGTCTCAGATGAAGAGATGGATAGCCGTGAAAGCGAATCCCTGTGTCCGCCGCGGAACAACGGTATCCCTATGGAAGATGTGTCGTCCGACTCGAGTGAAGTCTCAATACCTGCGTCGAGCTATCAGAAACAGATGAGTGAGTGATGTGTGTGTAAGGTTCGATATCACGGCGATTTGTAGCTTACTTCAAAGAGGAAATCATCAACGGAGCCCGGTTCTGGAAACGGCGTAGGCTGGGCGGTCACATCCAGGCTCAGGGACGTTGAGTCAGGAGCTAACGTGGTATATGCCTCATCCGCGTCATTAAAAGGACCCTGGATAGCTGAGCGCTTATCAGACGCTGTAGAGATCGATTTCGATAAGACTTTGAACGACCAGAATATCAATTTTAACTGAATATCTTACCTTCACAATCGGAAGCGCTACCCATGACTTCACCGCTGAACCCTTGGTTCATGGAGGTTGCCATGCCTGCTATAATGGATCCTTGGGTCGGTTCCCTGATTTCCGTATGCGTGGAAAGGGAGGTATCTGCCGCGGGGGATGGTACGGCGGAGCGTCAAAGCTATCAGCCTCATCCCTGGACCATGAAGGATTACTCCCTCACTTTAGTCTGGTAGCCGCTGTGGCTAATTCTTCAAATGCAGTAAAAAGAACGAGGTGCACTCTTGGTGTTTGCGGATGTGCTTTTTCCAGGTCAATAAGATCCTTGATCCCGATGAAGTCTCAAGTTCTTGCTGGTATGAGCACAACAAAATTAAGAGTTTACGTGTCACTCAAAGCGCCATCCTGGTCTCTTTACGGCTGATTTCAAACGGCAGAGCGCATTCCAGAACGGGCTAGAGAAGTGAAAGTCTAGATGAGCCAGCACAAGAACATTCATATCACTGCATCCCAAAGTCAGCTAGCAACTCTGTGAAGTGTATCCCTGCGCTGCATCCCTGGTGAGGGATATTCGTTGGCAGACAATCTGTTCACAAGTGGCCCGCACCGTCTGTTGCGATATGTGTATACCGAGGCATGATCATCCCACACAATAGGGGTTCTTATCTGTGATGATAAACCGAACGAGGCAGGCTGGTGCCAGACCTGAGTGAAACGCGATTTTTTGGGTGTCTCCCGGCCACTCGAAAACCGCTTTTGCGTGCGGCCCCGAATCCTGTTTCCTCAACAGAGCTGGCATGGAATCACCCGACGGGAAAATCACGCCATCTCATCGGCCTGGTCTAGAGATTGGTTCATATTGACGCACGGATTTTCGTTTCGAGCCCTCACGGTTACTGATACATAGATATCAAGACCTACGTCATTTTGTTTGGTTCTCCCTCTCACATAAAAGAGAACCATGTCCGTGCTGGGTTCACGATTTGGATCCGTTTTGAGACAATCATACGTTCTACGCCCTTTGACTGCTCGCGTAAAGACATCCTCGCTAACCTCCATTTCACGCTTCATGTCGTCCTCTGGAACGGTGTCGAACGTCGAGGGCAAGGCCGATCCGTTTCTGGAAGCTGTCCAGATCCGACGAAGCATATATGCGTTGACAAATCAGAGCACTATCTCAGACGAACGAATCGTCAAGCTCATTGAACATTCAAGTGCGTGTTGTGTTCGTTTCTCTGTTTCTCTGATACAATCGTTATTCAACTTGCCCATTCAATTTCGAACCAGTATTGCATACGCCAACTTCGTTCAATGCCCAGTCAAATGTGGCGATAGTGCTTTTTGGGGAGCACCATCTCAAGCTATGGGACATCGTTAAAGATGTATTAGTGTCCAAGTTGGGCACGGAGAAGTACTCAAAAACTGAAGCCAAGATCAACGGTTTTCGTGTGCGTCTATAAGCTAATTCACAATAGCACAAGTGCATCTCGACAGCTGAACCGCACTCTGACCTTGCTTCCCCAACCTATAGGGTGCGTACGGTACAGTTCTCTGGTTCATCGAGAACCGTCAAGTCGAAGCCCAGAAGCAGAAATTCCCCACGTATGCCGAGGAGTTCGATTCGTGGGCGATCCAGAGTATCGGGATGGCCCAGTCGAATGCATGGGTGAGCCTCGAGCGTGAGGGTCTCGGCGTGAATTTGCAGCATTATGGAAACTTGATCGGGGAGCGAGTTCGGAAGGAATTCAATGTACCAGAGGACTGGAGTGAGTTGTTTACTAGTTCTCTGTCTTAGGTTTCTCAAGGTTCATTTCACTGGTCGATTTCCATACAGTTCTTATCAGCCAACAGCCATTCGGCACTCCGGCAGCAGGCTGGGTGGCTCCAGAGAAGCAATTCAAACCAATTGAGGAGCGACTAAGGGTACTCAAATAAACAGGCTACCTAGGTCTGCAGATGATGATAACGAAAAGGTAGAAATGTGAACTTGAATGTAAATCAATGAAAAAATTGTTTCTCCCGGTGGAACTAGAACAAAAGCGCAAGTGATGAGATTATGCATACGACACAATTCGAGTCACCGGAGAAGATGCATGGATGCATAGATGTGTCCCATTACAACATGACCTGCTGTATCCAACAAAGCGGGGAATCGTAACTCAAGCCTGCCGTCAACAATTAGATTTTGTTTGTTATTGTTTTGATTGGTCACCTGATCTTGTTTTTGTTTTGGCATGCGAGTTTTGCATCCGCATCCACCAAAATCGCGAAGGATGCGAAAGGTATAAAACGCGCCCACCAGGGCAAAGGCGTCTCTTCCTCACTTCTTTTGACTCCACTATCTCAAGTTAACTTTCACTTCTCCATCGTACTTCTTACCAACTACAACTTCTTCAAGTAATGGCTCGCACCAAGGTAAGCTTGCTTTGATACTTGTCAGTGCTGTCGTTGGCGCGCGTATCCTGATTGTTTTTTCCATATCAGCAAACCGCTCGTAAGTCTACTGGTGGCAAGGCCCCTCGCAAACAACTTTCTACGAAGCAAGCCAAGAAGAGTACTTCGGTGAGCTTGCTCTCGTTCACTTTGCCTTGGCGTCGCGCACCAAGTCCGATCTCCATCTTCGTAGGCTGCCACTGGTGGTGTCAAGAAGCCTCACCGCTTCCGCCCTGGTACCGTCGCTCTTCGTGAAATTCGCAAGTATCAAAAGTCTACCGAGCTCCTGATTCGCAAGCTTCCCTTCCAACGTCTCGTCCGTGAAATCGCTCAAGACTTCAAGGTCTGTTACCATCTAGCCAGCCACGGCTACTAGTCCTCCTGGGCTAAACGTCTTACCTCTAGACTGATCTCCGCTTCCAATCATCTGCTGTCATGGCTCTCCAAGAAGCCGCTGAAGCTTACCTCGTCTCACTTTTCGAAGACACTAACTTAGCTGCCATTCATGCCAAGCGCGTTACGATGTGCGTTTTCCCCCTCTGTTCTAGTTGTAATCATTCATCTCACCTCGTTCATCTATCACAGTCAGCCAAAGGATCTCGCTCTTGCCCGACGTCTCCGTGGCGAGCGTACCGCTTAATCCATCCAAACTGTTAATCCCTCGTCATTTACATTCCCTACAATTCTGTCTCGGGTCTTTACCTTCCTGTGTATTAGTTTTGTCTTATTTGTTTATCTATGTACTAACACGGCTATTGCAATGGAGTACTGCCCCTGCGATGTCTGCTTCCGTGGAGTGAACGCTCGAGTGCGCTGCCTTGTGAACTGATTCGGCTCTCGGACTAGGGCCTGTATGAGCTCCCGTCGATGTTACGATCCTAAGATACTCAGCTTTCCATTATCCGAGTCATTTTTCCTCTTCTAGGGCATTGAACAACTATGTTTCTCGCCCACTTTGTAACGCTTCTGGGCTTTCCATAGACAGGATCCCAGCCTCTACTTAGGTCTTCCCTTTTTTTTTTTTTGTCGAATGTTCCACTTTCACTTTTTGCTACTACGGCCAATTGATTGTGACCGATCGAGAGGTGGACATAACGAAGTGAAGTTCCCTAGCTCAAGAATGAGTTGTCGGTTTCAGTTCGGAAGGAGGTTGTTAAGAATAAGGGGAAACACTCGAGCAGATCCATCGGTGTTCACCATCTTGGCTAAGAGGTTATGAGCCCATGGGGTAGAATCGACTGTTCGAGCTCACAGTTCGAACCCCAGCTGGAGTGATGCATTTCCCACGACACAATGTGTCTCATAAAACCCAAGAGGGTAAGCCACCCACCAAAGATAGGAACAAAAAAACAAGAATAGTTTCCTGAAGGGGGTGTGTTGAGCGTGAGGGAAAAACACTTGACTAGACCAAAGAGGTGTTCACCATTTTGGTCAAGCGCAGTGGCATGATATATAATTTTATGTATTTATTGTTCCAAATGTCTTTAATTGCGCCAGCCACAAGCAGATACGCACGGAGGAACAAAACAAACGGGAGTGGTTCTCTACGAATCACGCAAGTGGATGGCGATGTACAACTGTCAGAGACGTGATGCCAAAAAACCCGATACCCTGGTCATTGTATTCAGAAACCATCTGGACAGACCAATCCCTATCGTGATCACCAAAATTAGGAAACAAGAAAAAAGAGGGAAATGGCGGGAACAAAAAGACAAGACAACATATAGGTTCTAGGAGGGGCACGGTCTGCAGGGCGACGGATGGTAGTACAGTGCAATGTACATGTAATGGAAGGCAAGCAGATTCAGGTGGGCCGCTAGTAGACGGTCGGGAAGTGAGCTGTGGTGGGTGAGGGATTATTACGAGCTATAGTGGCAAATAAACTCGAGAGACGGTAAGATAGATCGGGCGAAGGGGAAGAGGAGAGTTGACAGGGACATGCTATGGTCCAAAAGACCGTCCAGGGGAGAGTGTTTTAAACGGTGCCCCTCTGGCATCCGCAGTGTTATCATTTATTGTATTTCCTACCCAATTCAATGTTAACCCGCCTCTATGAAGTCGGCATATAGGTTCAGTCCGACAACTTGGGGCACCAAGGGAAAATAACGAACTTAGCGAGGGATAATGAGAAAAAGATAACGACGACCCCTATTGCAACACCAGAATCTAGCGCGGCACTTAAGATGTAGTTATATGAACTCCACCACTGTTGAACATCAACGTCAATCTAGGCTGACTCTGAAAGGTGTGGCTGGCGAGACCTACTCGGAAGTGCCGTCGCCGGATCCAGTACTTCACGAGGACACATGATTAGCATGACAACAACAAGCTGTTGCCTTTTGGTCATACTTACTTGGAAAATAAAGCCAACCTAGTCAAATGGCTTCGATTCAGTGCAGTAACCTAAATCGTACACAGGCGAACTTACCAAGGCCCATGATGAGAAATTGATTCCTGAAGCAGGTGGCATTGCTCCCTTACGTAGAAAAAGGGAATTAGCTTCAAGGAGGAAGGTGAAGCATCATTCTCACCGTGCCCGTGAAGAATACAGGCGCATTGAAGTACTTGTACCACGATTCCGGATATTTCCACGAGAGGTAGTAGAAAAGTATTGGAATGAAGGCACCAATTACAAAGAAGCTAGGGGGGGGAAGATGAGTAATGGATGTCGGCGAATCGCAATATAAGCGGGCGCACTATAACAATGGATAACTGGTGCAAAAAAGGAATACTGAGTATGGAAGATGCGGGACATTGGTAAGAATGAAAGACTCACTATATTGCGCCGTGGCTGAAGGTTCGCTGCGGGCCAACACTCCCTAAGGATAACCGATTATTTCAGTGCCACCTTTTTGACCATGTAGGTATGTCATACCGAATATGAGTGAAGCAACACCAAATACTTTAATGTGGGGGCATGTGAATTTGTCTGATTGCTGTGGATCGCAGATATCCGCAATGTTGGCGAGGCACCAATCTTGTACTAAGACTGAAACAAACGCGGCAACGACTTATAGCCGAATAGTCGGAAGTTCAGCATAGTTCAACGAAACAGACAAATCATAAACTCACTCGTCGCAATCGTTTGTACTGTGAACATCAGACGCGGTGGTATCTTCATGTAATGACCGAGTTCTGTTCAAAGGGTATTAGAGAATATTTGAGATACTAGAACAGTCACGCACTAAGGTCAGATGTGAAGGACAGAGCTTGAGTCATCGCTGGAAGCAGATATCAATGTTGACTGATTGTACCAGAACACGCCCAGCGCGACTCACTGATGTAGCCGAACGTTTTGAAAATCATCATAGCGACAGGCTTCCCTGGTAATGCATAGCCGATAATCAATTCAGTGAAGACGCTATTTCGGTAGAGGTTAGTTTTAGATGAAGACAAAGTAAAGAACACGGCATACTTCAGCCCAACCTGCACATTTGTAATTGCTTCTACCATCCCTATCGGCACTGCATAGAACAACGCAACAAAGATGGCAACAATGAACGCCCAGATAGGTAACTGCGTATCCCACACGGTGATTGCCACAACACCAAGGGCGAACGAGACTGCACCGATGGTCAAGTAGTACCATTGAGGCACTTCCGGATACGCAAGCATTAATCTGAACAAAGAATGGGCAAAACCACAGGAGACTGAGGAGTCACTGAGCGCACCTTGCGTGCACGTCGGGCTCTTTGTCGAGTGAGCTCTGGAACTGCTGCATAATCTCTTCCCGATGCCATACTAATGGCATAAGGATGAGTCAGGCGATAACAGAGCGACGGGAGGCAACATACGCCAAGTGTGCACAAGAGTGGCCGTTAGTGCAGCGAAAGACATGCCATAAGAGAGAGCGAATGTCATGCTGTGGTTCGCTGAGGTGAGTGTCTAGGGAGGGTGTGTCATGACATCCAATGCTCACGGGATGTAGATGGGAGAGTAGTGATCGTCTGCGCAATCATAGTGAGTAGAAGTAAGGGGTAAGTGAACCAGGACATACACGCTGTACGATTGAAGGTCCCACTCGGTGACATGATTATGGTTGAATTATAAATATGGGCGAACTTGTCAAAAGCGTCATTACCTGATATTGGGAGGTACGCCCCATAAAACACGTTAGAATCTTTCGAGTCGAACCGGAGCACACGGCTATCAGCCCCACCACTAAATGAAAATAGAAACCAACAGCACCCACAATACAAGACGGGGCACAGGATCCAAAAGATAACGAGAAGCGAGGCGAATACATTCACTTCAGCCCACCTTATGAAGAACGATCAGTCCCATTGACACTCCGTCACCTCAATGAGGTGGAGTAATATGACAACTGCGTACCAGGGCGTGACCAAGGGACTACCGATATAGGCAATCATGCTCCAGTCAAAAGTGATAATGTTGATTCCGAGACCCGAGGTGTATCCAAAAAGCTAAAAAAAGAAAACGTGTGAGCCAGCTCGGAATCTGTGATGTGCGACAGAAAAGCCCTCACCTGATTGACGACGACGTTATTCGGGGCAGCCCAGCAGATGAAATTAAAGGTACTTAGGGCAGTGAAGAGATATCCGGGCACCCAATACCATAGGAACGAGGCAACTAAGACGTAGCTGAAAAACCGTTCTCGAGATAGTCGCCCGTCATCAAAACCTCCATACGTGGAATGTAAGGTATTGAACAATGCCGCGTAAACGAGCGTCTGAGGCCAAATCATCGAAGCTGGCCAGACTAGGAACCGCCGCAGTAAACCCCCAAAGGAGAATCCAAGCAATTGAGTGGAAAGTACTGGGAAACCGGAAAATACGCGCTTTGGTTTATCGATTGTAGGTTGACAGGAGATGGGAACATTACCTAATAGCATCTGATAACCAAATCCCCAACTTTGGCCATATATTTTCCATTGGGCAGCAACGACTTCTGTAGCGTACGCACGGCCCCATACCACATTCGCCATAACCGTAATCAGCACATGTTCCTTGATGTTGAATGGGCCGGGGTTGAGGGAGAACTGCGATCAGAAAAGGCGCTTGGTCAGACATCAATTTCCATTCAGGTCTCCTCCGGCGGACCAAATGTCCGCTACCGGTAAAGTGGAGATCTCGATATGATGGATTTTATGGCACACACCTTGCAACCAAGTATTTTAAATTCTGTCGTTGGGAGAACAAGTTCCATGACTTTGCCGCAAGGCAGTGCCAGAAGCTGGGCAATCAAAGCGGTGATTGTGACTGACGGATCTGCGTGGAGGTGTGAGTCAGCCCCCAAGAAACGTAAAGTAGAAACAGGAGAGCATACGTACATCTCAGGCTAAAGAACTGGTTAAGGCCAGCTATTATAATTGTGAAGAGAAGCCCCAAGATCCACCTGTGGTGAAATCCGCGTTGCACGAGTGTTCACGAAGGCGGTACAAAGTTCCGAGTGAAATGGAAAATATATCAGAAATCTCGTTCTTAAGCATCTGGGGGCCCAGATTCATGGCCGATGATGTAGGAAAACCAACTGACATTCTGAATGTATTGGCGGGCATAGTTGGATCATCCAGATTCGAGACTGCCGCTCTGACTTCTGGGTAGGGTGAGTCTTCCCCCATGGCTCTGCAAAGGGGTAAAATGTCCGGTGGGTCCAGATCAGTTTTTGTTGCATCTTTTAGAGCTTCCCTGGTGTCAGAACGCACTCGTCATATTGGTAAGACAATGATATTGAAGCCACCTCAGTCTTGTCGTATGATGGGGTCCCGAGTGTTGTGGACGCCATAGACGTGTCATTACTCATAGGGGAGAAAGTCTGACTGAGGTCGTAGATCTGGTCATCGAGGCGCGGACCATAGACGGCATTCTGGTCTTGATGGGAGACCTCCGTGACAAACATATCTGTGGCCATGGCTGCTGCTGCATACAGAGATGCGACAGAGACAGGAGTACAAGTCAAGGAGAAACGAAACGTCGAAGGGCAAGAGTTCGGCGATAATCCCCTTGTGCAGTGGTGCCTGGATCCAGCAATATTCAACGGATCTCTCCGCAAGTTCTCATCAGAACGCCCGACAATCTTACTCTCAGGGCTGATGAAGGGCGATGTGTATGAACAATGGCATGTCTGCCAATTTTTAGAGGAAGGTAAGTAGTCACGCCCGACCAGCGCCTATTTGGGCGCTATGCCGAGTGGCAGGAGTCCAATTATTTATGTTTGTGGCTGACGCCAATAATAAACTGTCGGCACCGAGTCCTGGGAATGCAAGCTAGACTTAGATGGCCAACATTGTCAGCGTTACGACTTGCGTTGGGGTAGATTGAGTGCGGCGCATCCATTCATCGAGCGCCTGATCTAACAGTCATACACAATTGCATTCCTGTCCACACTTGCTCGAACATCAAACATCAATTTGGCTAGTCCTACAACACATGACTGGGTGTTCTAGCGCCCACGAAGTCGGGGGGAAAAGAAACCATTTTCCACAACGCGGCCGTCGCAAAACCACACAATGCAACAAATTTGAAATGCAAGCCCGAGCGCCAAATTTCAAACGTCGGAGTGTGGTCTTGCCCGATGAGTCGTCCCGTGTGGATGCATGTATATGCTGCCCTAACAATCGATGCATCGGTGAAGCCTTTGGAGTTGACCCAAACGACCAGGTCCGTGGCATGAGCACCTTCGCATTGCGCAAGAGAACCCGTCCTTCAATCTCCAGGTCAACCCCCCATCACTCGAGAGTCGTCCAGGACCCCAGCTTCGAACCATCGACTGTCAGCCGCTACGACGTTCGCCGCCAAGTGGGTAATTAAGATGCACGGGGACCAGGGAGGAGAAGGACTCGGCTTACATGCAACCTGACATGGTTGGTCTAGATGACGACGGTACCATTAAGAAGCGGTACATGTTTAATTTGGAGCACTGCCGGTCGGGGGCTGATACTGTAAGATTAATCCTTGCCTGGACTCAAACCCAGCGACATAGGTTATCAGATGCCAGCCCCTAATACCAAGACTGTGAAGCCCTGGCGCACTTGTATTCCGCCGGCGATGTGACAACTTCCGCTCGCACCTTTGCGGATGTTGGCAGAAACGGCAACAAAGTGGTGCTGGATGTTGTATGTAGATGGGTGCGGAAGCACCCGGAGTGGCCACCCCGATAGTTTCATAGCGACAAGAGCGCCGTCTCTGACGGCTGATCGGCGGTGCTGGAGAATCTTATCGTGGGGAAAAATGAAGCGCAGGAGAAATGAATGGAACTGGAGCGAATACTTGTCCTACGTTTGGGAAATTAGTTTGAGAGGTTATCTTGCTCAAGAATGCTGGGGGCTGGCTGGGCGCCGTTGTACTGGCTCATTCCACGCACGGGGCATCGTGCGTTTGATGAAGCAGTACCTCCCCTCGGATGACTAAAAATCCGGATCCCATCATGATGTGGCGCCAGGGCTGCCCTGACATGAATCGATACAACTCCTGAACGATATTACATAAATCCTCCCACTTTGTGGGCATTGGCAGCTCCTGCATGCTTGTCCGGATCGTGCTGCGGTGATCCCTTGAAGGACGCTGTCCTCTCAATGGCGAATTGCGCAGCTGTCGCCCAAATTATATAATGAAATTGATTCGCTCTTCTGTCTGGCACGTATCTCCTTTGTGCTCTTTCTTGCGTGCACCAACACGAGACGTGCGTTCCTCCGAAAAGACCGTTCTTATCTTGCGCCCAGGAGGGTCAATATACCGGCCATCTGGGATCGACGTACGTCTCATAGAGCAATGTGACTTCTCAATTGGGCGAGTAGATTGTTTGGCTGTGTCTCCAGAAGTTGCCTAGTGGACGCGTTGTGGATCAGTGATATATAGACCTACAAGGTCGTGACCAAAACTTCCAGGTTGTGACGCAGGCAAAAATCGTATGTGCCAGCACACGCTGAGCATTACTGCAACTATTGATCTGGGGATCTCGGGAGGGACCGTGAACTCTTTGGACATGGACGTGATGCAATTTATGCGCTTGCAGGTGCATGGTGTAACTAGCTCGCCAACTGAGTGTGTGCTTTTATCTGGACACTCAACCACCTCCACGGGAATGACGAGAACGACATTGTTACTACTCACTTATCTCCCACTGCACAGGAGGGCAACGTTGGGGCCTGGTGGACCTAAGTCATGCGCAGTGCACGCTATTTTAAGCAGACTATTACAGGATTCTTTCGCCATTTGGTGCACCCAACTGCAGGAATATAGTCATGCAAAGCGCGTAAACTGCGAGTTTGCAAGGAGATTCCGCTTCTTGAAACTAGGCAAAACAGTAATGGCGATGGACTCGAGCATCCATACTTCTGACCATATCCTGGCCATCCTCACTATTCATGACAGTCTGTACCGATGCTGGTCCCACATTCTTACACCACCCCGGCGCGGGGCGCGAGGTTCTTATCCCAATACGGCTTCATCCTTCCAAATCCCTCCGAATCCCCAAGCAGATCCACCAATTGAAGGCTTCTGCCATCTGCTCCAACTGAGCTTGTCGCAATCGCGCACCAAAGTGGATCAGGTAGGTTTCTGATACCGTCGAAGAGGAAGTAGTCAGGTTTCACGATTATGCGGAGGAAGGCAGCAGAGGGTGTGTCGGCCCGGGTGGCACGTAAATGGTCACTGCGCTCAAGTCGAAGGCATTTGGATGCGTGGGGAGGTTCCGGAGGCGAGTGTGGAGGGTCTTACGATCGTGAGTGATAATTTTATACTCGTGATTTAGGTATGCTTTGGTGGCTGGCGAGATAGAGAAATCGGCGGGCGAAGAGGATGGAGTACTGGTATGACCAGCGGCCCAGGATATGGTACAGGTGAAGTGCGAAGTATCCGAGCTCACGAATGGTTGACATTGGCATGGACATGGAGAAGTTGTCGAGGATGATGACGGGTTCAATCCGTGACCGTGCCACCCGTGCCCTCTTTTGTTGATTGCATTAAACAAGTTACTGGAATTGGACGTTCAAACCAAGTCAGAGAAAGTGTCTGGGAAAGCGGCTGTCCCAGCCCTGCCTCTAATGGAGCAAAGAACCCCTCTCAAGGAGAAAGGGGCTGTTCCTGTCATGCCGGGCACGCCTCCATAATTAATCATTCCTCGTCACCCTAACTGAGCCTATCACCTGGGAAATTTCCTCCTTGTTCTATCCCTAGGAAACCAGATCTCCACGCGGAAGCCTGAAGCCTTAGCATTCACTGGAGAGCCCTTCGCTGCCTTTTTATTCAACAAATTATCCACTGCGGCCACACACTGGCCCCGAAAATTGGGGGTAGCCCCGACGATGCCCTTCCGTCACCTATGAAAGCTACCGACAGCCTTCCCACTGCCGCAAGACAGGACATGCCGTAGCAGCCCTCGCGTTCGGCCAGCTTATTCAAGATGCAACCAATGATCCTCATCACTTCCGGATAACATTAATATCATGTCTGTCGTCTCAAAGGCCTTCCAAATAGTCGGGATCGACGCATCGAGGCGTCAAAATTCAACGAGGATAGAACTGGACTTTAGCGAGAAATCTCGACCCTGGTGGAGCCTTTGATGCTTTATGTATCTCCCCCTTTTTGGTAGATTGTGCGTGTACGATAAACAGCACGAACCCTGGTCTCTACGACAGCAATGCCATAGTGCTGGCATTCTAACCCCCTGACTTTGAGGACATGGGTAGAAACAGCAACGGAACAAGAGCCCAATACCCTGGATGAGAGCGAACACATAACAGGAGTTGTGAAACCCGATATGAAGAATATTACAATGTCATAGAGGCTGTTGGAGTTGAGGCGTGGGAAAGTTTTCCAGTCATATGTAATCGAGCAGGCCCGTGAAACTTCTAGAATTCATCCACGAGAAGCGCCGTTCCGCACGATTGAGGAACACCTCCCAGCTTGAGAGTACAAAGTATCGAGTCATAGAATCAAGTTCCCCCTTTGGATTCACTCTTACACTGATTTGTGAACAATGTCAGAGAAAAACCAAAAACTTGTCCTTGCAATCTTGGACTTTCTCAATGCATCCATTCAAGATGGCACGGTCAAGGAGGATGACAAGGAGGGCCTCGACGTAGCCAGTAAGTTAAAATAGTGTTTTCACACATACCCGTTCACTGCTCAAATGATCGATTACGTATCCAGTTCAATGTATCGGTGAAGCTTTTGGCGTTGATCCTAACGATCCGACACAATGCGAACGGCTTAGTATCAAACCGGCGACACTTTCTTCTCTCTTCGATGTCTTTTCTAGAACGCAAAGCAAGCTGAAGGCTGGTGCTTCGACGACACCTACCCCTCCCCCAGCATCGTCGTCCGCCCCCAGGCCTCCAGTACCCTCCGATGCCGACAAAAAGAAGGCCGAGGAACACAAGAAGGAAGGAAATGCTCGAATGTCCTCAAAGGACTTTGACGCTGCTATCCAATCGTACACCAAGGCCATCGCACTCGATCCCAGCAACCCTGTTTATTACTCAAACCGCGCAGCTGCCTATTCGTCCAAGGATGAGCACGACAAAGCCATCATCGATGCTAAGAAAGCTCTTGAAGTAGATCCATCGTTCGTCAAGGCATACTCAAGATTGGGGTAAGTGATGCGTCACACACTTTACCCATTACTGACAAGTCCATTCAATTCAGGCATGCCTACTATTGTTTGGAGGATTACGCAGAAGCTGTCGACGCTTTCTCGGAGGGGTTGAAACTAGAGCCAAATAATGCCAATCTGAAATCTGGTCTCGCCAACGCCAACACCCGTGTTTCATCTTCTTCTACACCTGCTACACGATCCAAGCCTTCTGCCGGAGGAGGTTCAGAGGCTGGTGGTCTTCCTGACCTATCGTCGCTTGCCAGTATGTTTGGTGGCGGCGGCGGCGGCGATGGTATTCCAGATTTCTCCAGCATGATGAAGAATCCCGCATTCCTTAAAATGGCTCAGAATGTGATGGCTAACGGTACCTTCCAAAAGATGATGGAAAACCCGACGATAGCCAACCTTGTGAGAGTGTTTTTCGATAAAATTCATTCTAGAGTCCTGTTATTCACTTACATGCAGGCACAGAATTACCGGGAAGGCCAGACTCCCAACCAGGAGGACTTTCTGAAAGATCCGGAATTGAAGGCTCTGTGAGTGTCTTGAGGCGTGATGGGTGGGCCCTTGTAGCTGACGAAACCTCTCCAGCGCCGAAGAATTCATTGGAGGGCAGGGCCGATGAACAGATTGAGACGTGCGGTAGAATCGGATCGTCGGGGTAGATCTTGTTACCGATTAGTACGTGATGGATAAATTCCGTAGGGCGATAACGATGGAGGGGATTCATAATTTTTTGTTGTGCCACACTGTTCAGAAGTCTTTGCAATTGGATGCTAGTTGCAAATTGTTCCTGTACATCATTCACAAATTGCACACATTTCCCTACTGAGGGTGAGGGCATTGGCCTGAGGGACTGATTGATGTTATATGGAATTTGCTGTGGCGCTTGTTTGCTTCCGTAATACAGACTGAGACCCCCAAAGCAATTCCCGTCTTGCCCTCGGTCCTATCAACCTTCTGGGCGTCAACTTTCCCTCCTGACGCACTATTTAAAGAGATAGCCTCAAAGACAGCACGTCACACATTTAGTCCTACCAATATCTCGGCGCTTCGCACGGTCAAATGTTCTCTGGTTTGTACCCTTTTTGCGTCCTCTTGGCGCCGTCGATCTATTCTTTCCACAACATCAACCGTTGTGATCATGGGAAATGACCCTTCCTTTGTGATAGAGACCAAATCCCCAGCTCCTCTGCAAGCTTCACCCACAGTCGAGCTCCTTTCACTCGCTGTACACAGAATCTGTACCACACCCCCAAGGCTTATTGCTTCGCCTCCAACTCGTGAGTAATATCCTCTCCAATGATCCATTTACGAGTCATTGTCGTGTGCGAAGGCACAAAGATGCGACGTACATTGCTATGACGCATGCCAAAGTCAATGGTCAGACGATGATTGCGTTAGCACCATTATCACCATTATTCGCACACCATCAGCTTTTGGGCTAACAAGTTGACCTTTGGTCGTGCAGAGCCGCGACGTGCAGCCGTTTCCCTCGTTATGAGGATTCGCCCACCCGAGGGGTATCCCCTCCCGGAACAATCGGCATACGAAGTTCCCTCTTTGGAGAAGTTCTTCGAGCAAGATTGGGCTCGACATCCCGAAGCACGCGCGGAATTACTGTTCATTCGACGAGATAAGAGCAAGCAGAATTTCAAGGACGTTAGGGGTGCCGGTGCCGGTGCCTCAACGAATGGTGCATCGGCGCATGTTGCATTTCCTGGTGGTCGGACAGAAGAAAGCGACGAAGGGGCTTTGTATACCGGTGAGTTTCTTTTATTTAACGAGCACCCCCATCCCATCAAAACTTCGTCGCTGAAACAGTTCAATTTATTCCGCGTTGTCCTTATGCCGTCTATTCCTGGCCTGCTCAGCTATGCGACAGACCTGGGAAGAGATAGGTTTAGACCTCGCCGAGAAAGAATTCACTTGCGTCGGGCAATTGGATGACCGTGAAATAACCACTTCGTTGGGCAAACGCTTGCTCATGATCCTCAGTCCATTCGGTTCGTCCATCGAAAACTAAGTCAATGTAGTTCAGAAGAGTTGATTAAATTCGGCGCTGCTCTCGACGTAGTATTCCTCTACCTATCGCCATACGAGATGACCATCGAACCTCCAGAGGAGGAATCCGATGTGACGCTGCATTGGGTTCCTCTTTCTGCTCTCCTCTCTCCCTTACCAAAATGGTCTTTCGTAACCGTCGATATCTCGTCACGGCTCGCTCCTCGTCATAACATTCTTCGTATACTCGTCCGTTGGCTCGTTGGTAACATGAGATTCCGAGCACTAGTCATCACTGAGGAAGACATCGAAGAACTGGATGATCTGCATGTTAGTTCAAAGGCATGGGAGAAGCGAAGGGAGAGAGAAGGAAGCCCGAAAGAGGAACTTAGACTGTGGGGTTTAACGCTCGGGATGACGCTGTAAGTATTATTTGCTGCTGAACCGTCCATTCCCTAATGCCACACTATATAGGGATTTGATCAGATTTATGTACCCTCGTCGATCCGAACTACCACCCGGCGATCCTTCATCGAGTGAATTCGATGAGATCGGAAACGTCGCGTTGATGCCATCGATGGCGTAAGTCTCTGATACGGAAAAGGTCGGTGCTCGAAGCTTAAGAACATCACATAATAGGTCTGTCTTCCCTCGGTTTTCCATTCCTGACGTGAATTTCTGGATATGGTAAGGAACGTCTTCGGTCATATTTGATGCATCTAATCAATATCATTCATTGTGAAGGGTATTTGGACGAAGATACCGTGCAGTCCTTAGAGCATGGGAAGCTTCTGTCGTTCGTTCCCGAATCACACCTGGGGGCTCATCAACCGAACGTAGGATCAACTGGTCAGGACAAGCTCTCTCGACGTTTTACGCGGCAGTACGAAAAGCTCTGATCGTTGTTATCGTGGGTCGTGCTCTCGGTTTACTCGCTGCTTTGTTTGGGCTTGGTTGGTGGCTGAGGAAGAGGTTTGACGGCTGGTTGGCGGATGTGTAGAGAGCTTGTGACCCATTTTCCACCTTCGTTCTTTACGGGTTATCCAAACAAATTGGGGTAAGTATATCCAAAGTGGGTTTGCAATGATACACTATGTATGCACAGAATAAGTATGCATTGTAATGCGAAGGCAAAAATCGTTGTAGAAGTACGAAGCGGTTGAACAACCGTCGCCAACTGTCCTGACGTATGGTATAACAATTCACCAGCTGTTAGGGAAAAGATCAGACGTTGCGCACGACTTGAAGGGGAGCAGTAGGGCTTACGCTTCACGAGTACAATATGGACTCCCGCCAACCTCATCGACATGCATCGCCAACCAATCTCTCATCTCCTGCGAACTTGGTATCAAAACAACCTTCTCCAACCGTCGATCATCCCGGGTCCTCCTACCGGAGCCCGTTAAACTGCTTCCATTCCCACCCCCACTCCCACTCCCACTCCACCTGTACCTTTCCACGCTTGAACTTACCATGGACCGAAGATGATGATGATGATGATGTGTATAGTACCTCGACGATGGCATCGAAGAAAGATATGACGATATCATCTCACGCAAACATTCTTCCAATTCATTCGAAGGCAAACTAGATTTCGGCGAGTAAGGGGACCAATCGAGGACGATGTCGAGCAGGGAGAGGTTCGTGAATGGGAAATGATTCATCTGCTTGAGGAAAGTGTAAATCGTACAGGCCATACCTCTGAGGACGAGGCTTGATATGTTTGGAAAGCGGTTGATCTAGGGGAGGAGAATGGTGGATTACAAGTTGACCCAAAAAAAAAGAAAAGAAGTCTGTTTAATCTAATCTGCGATGGAAATAATGAATATCCGGAGGAACGTACCAGTTTCTGGGCCCCTATGCAGTCGTCCAAAGTAAGGGAGAAAATGAGGGTCCTCAGCGATGGCATTTCGACCAAGGACGTGAATAGTCGAACCACATCGTCCTCCATCCCAGTAAACATCAATCGCTCCAATGACATGAGTCGCACTTGGGGAAGTTCCCAATGGGGATCGGGCTCAATCCCGTCACTACCTCCTCCTGACATGCTGAATTCGATTAGATGGGGACAGGATGAAAGCATCACAACCAAAATCGGGGCGGGATAGAAGGAAGTCAAGGTTAGATTCGTGAGGTTTTCGGAGATGGAGGAGAGGTTGAGGAATGCAATTCCATAGAGGCGCAAAGTACGCAATGAAGCGATCCGATAGGGGGACGTGCGGTAAACGATTGGGGATGCCTCTCCACAAAATCGTAAAGAAAGTTTGGTCAATTTGGGATCAGGAAGCGATGAAACGGGTTGAAGAGTTTGATTCATGAGGTTTACGAACGGGTTGGTAGTAGGTTCGCTTGAGCCTAAGAGGGAAAGTGAAGTCCAACGGTGAGCATGCGATGTCAACATGCTGATGTAAGGTGAAGATGAGCGAGTTTCGGAGTGTCCGTTAAGAGGGACGACCAGAGGTCGGTTTCCAGATCTGGACAAGCAAACGTCGATCCACTCGGGCTTCCAATTCTCGAAGTCGGGATGAGCCCACAGAGCTGTATGCTCGACCGCCACGCTTCTCCAGAATCGAGAAACGCTCGAGACAGCTCTCACATCGCGCATAACACATTTCACCGACAATGATGATGATGACGACGACGACGACGACGGCGACGATTCTTCACTTTCCGACGCGAGCATGGAGAAGATGTAACATAATATCTCAGGTGGGAGGAGTGCAATAGGTGAGAATTGTCCCTGAATGTCATCACAGCATGATCGAATAGATTCGACCATAGAGTCGATGCTGGCGCGCACGTTGGCCACCTGATCGCGCGCAGCTTCCAGTTCACACAGAGTTGAGGCGGTGACACGATCCATTTTGACCTTTCTCCCAGGACGCCGATTTGCCGATGTTGAATCCACCACAGACTCGATGCAGGTGATGCTCATGTGTTTGCAGTCCGACAATACCCTGTTGCAGCTATCTTGAAGCCCAACGAGCCTCTCCCTCAACGAAGAGATTGAAGAGCACATGAAATGAAAAGCAAAGTCACACAGACGTCCCTGGCTCCCCGATTTGTCCTATTCAGTCTCAAGTTGAATACCTCGATCAGTTCGTGAGACTGCGAAAATAAGAGGTTACCTTGAACGATGGATATAAACAACCTGCGGACGATATAAGACCTGTGCAAGTACAAAGATCTTGAAGCTGACCCTTATTATATCATGCAAAGAGGAGCATTTCAACGGATTCTTGCGAGGATGACAAATGGAATGGAATTAACTGTTTTGTTTCTCCCAACTTGGCTGACGAATCCATGCGTGGAAAGGAGCTAACGCGCATGGCCGAGACTACATAGTAGTACTTTGTCTTCGAGATGGTCAGATGCCACTATTTGGAATCCACGGGCCGATCCGGAACCACTCCATCGAGGACCAAGGCGCCAGCGATCATGAAAAGCGCAAGGGTTGGCCAGCCTCACTGTGTGCATGGTCACTGAGCTAGGCTCTATGTATTCACGTGCGTAGAAGCCCACTGCAGTTACTTCACTGCACCAAACTTACTGACACCAAACCAGGTATTGATTGATGAGTCCCGTTACACAGACGGTGCAACCGCGAACGTACTGGATAGAGGATAAAAGGACCAGTGCTATGTAGCGCTTCATTTATCTAAACATACAAAATCTGCTCCTGATCGTATTTACGTTTATCAGCATCGACTCGATTGTACGCCAACTGGCATCATATTGTGCGCATATATTGCCGTGAGTTAATACCTTGGAGCTAGGTCCTGCATGCATGGGTACAGAGTTTTCCTATCGGGGAAAAATGTTTTCTTACGAACTGCATGGGGTTTTGTGATTTTGCCGATGGCTGTTACTCAACCGCATTGATTGACGCGGTATAGTCCCCGCACTTCAACAAGTACGTACTAGCGATATTTGCTGTGCTGTGCAACGACAATTGCCGAGTCACTGCCATGCGCAGTCGACCTAAGTCTGCATCCTATGAAAATACTAAATGTCCATCCTTTTCCGGGTGTGAACTAGTGATGAAGGTTCCAAGTTGAGCAAGGCAGACACAAGAATCACCACCTCTTCGAGATTGAATCATAATATCCAACATGATACGACACTGGCCATCTGTACCCACTGCAAACACATAAACTCTGTGTTTATGTTGCCAGGTAAGCATTCGGTACTAAAACGCAACCTATAGGTTCTTCGCCCGTTGGCCCGGTTAGAAAGAGCACTGGCGGTTCAACTCTTAGTCCGCCTGTAACTCGTAACTAGGGGGACGTCCTACCCCGACCGAACAAAAGGAAGGGCCCATATCAAGGGGAGAAGCTTCTTCACTGGAAATGTGTGACGAGAAGCCCCCGGGGGTTTCTGTCTAGTGCGCAAAGATCGGACTACACTCCGTACAACCCATGCGTACGCATGGGAGGAAAGATGCGCCGCAAGTGAAGGCGAAGCCACATCGAGTTTCGAAACAGGGCTTGCGTTGGGTATCATAGGGGCAGGGGCAAACCAATTAGCCTACTGCTCTCATTATAGAGTCGTTATCGGATTGTGGTCTTAAAGAAAGGGGGGAGGACGTGTCATGAATATTGGATCCACCACGTCATCGACAAGCGATAATGGGACTCACAGTTCTCGTATTGGAATAAAAACTTTCACCTCTATAGGGCCATCAACGTGCAACTTCAGCCGATTGGCGGTACTTTCTGTCAATTCCGTAACTGCGACACTTTGCAGTTTACTTTCCACCTGACCTAGTTTGTACTTGATGTCGCGATAAGTCACAAAATGGATGAGAAGCTTCTCAAATTCGATCTGACGGTCGAGAATGGCGTTATCTAGCTCGATGTCTAGGTGTCGCAGACGTGGAAGGGCGGGCCTGTCATCATCTTGCGCGCGAAGGAGCCATAATAAGGTAGTCTTGAGACTGGGAGGGGTACCTTCGATATGCAAATATTCTAACTGGTTAAATCGCGACCCCTGAGATGGAGAGAAACGTAAGGGACGTGGACATCCAATTTAGTGGCGATAGTACTTACCAGCTGGACTCGCAACAGAGGGTCTTCGTTTTGTGAAATAGACAATCTGCGGAGGTTGGGGAAATCGACATCGCATTGCAAGAATTGAATGAGACCAGAGCCTGCTCCATCCACATAAAGCTCCTCTAGTGTTGGTACTAGAATACTAGGACCATCCTGAAGGCCTTTGGATACCAGTTGAGGGGTCATGACATCTGTGATCGTCAACTTCCTGATGAACTTCAATGCCATGAACAAATATTGCCAGTCCAATGTTCGTAACTCTAAATTCGAGAGCGTTATAATTTGTGCATGTGGAGTAATGTGGCCTAATCGATGGAGATAGATCCCATTGAGGCTGACGTTCTGTACAGAACGTAGGACAGGAATGGGGCTTGTTGGGAGAACCACTCGTCTCTCCGCAACGTCATTGATGACGAGCTTCTCGATACGTGGTTCTGGGCGAGCGCTTACCCACCGTAGGAGACGCACAAGAGTGGGAAGGTCGCTCAGGCTTCCCCCAGTGCATCGCCACTCCAGACTACGCCAGCGAGGGAGATACGGTAACAAGCCAGCCGTTAGATCAGGCCAAGTAGCGAGGTGCTTTCCACTCCCTCGAAGGCATACATCTAGTGGTCGGGAGTCACCAGACCGCTGGAGGCAGATATTCAACCACTCAATGCTGCCTCCGCCAGGGGACCACAGCGAGCTGCATCCGACAGCGGCTGCTCTCCAATCTCTGGAAACATGGGATACAGCGAGTATATCTCTCCAATCATCCAAAAGCGAGAATATGTCGCAGAGGAGTTCGAGAGGGAGCATTGCCACTGGACACAACTGCGAATCAATGATGAGCCGCTTGTTTTGATAGTGTTCGTGAATGTTGGATATGTGGTTCTGGAGGTATTGAAGTAGTTTCATGCTAGAGCTGATATGGGTGCGATAGGAGGCTGTCGATGGGTCAGCTCGGGGAGGTCTTGGGGCGTCATTGTCGGATCGAGGTGGGAGGGCTGTAAGGCTTTCTTCTTGGTTTATTGCATCGATATAGATAGCAGCAGTGCTGATTAGAGCTCGCAATGCCACCTGCGAATGTTCTACAACTTTCTGCGTAGTTTCGGGGTCAGCGCTGTGAATATTGCTCTTAGTGCATGAACTGGGAAGTACTGTAACTACACACGTCTGTGGTTGCTTAGCAGTCTGGTCATTTGTAATGATTTCGTGGGGGGCTAGGGACGGCATGGAGGGAGGGAAATTGACCGCGTGCCGGTTGCACATGGCTTATAAGCCCCATATGTTCCGTGGTTAGGACAAACATGTGACGCGAGTCTCGAGGAGTTTGATGGTTCAGTACGTGTCACCGCCAACGCTCGAATACGTAAATAACCTATTTTGAAATTCATATCTTATTGGGAGCTTAATTCGAAATTCTACGAAGCAGCAAGGCACATTCATCTCCAAGAAGCTTGAAGAAGTTTAAATCTTGAGGGTAGGCATAACTTTACAAGCATCAGTCATTAGGCGAGTTCAACACCTGGTTTTCCGGCTTCCTGTCTTGATTGCCTTTCCGGTCATTTAATGCCGTGTTTTCAGTAAGCGTCTCAATCCCCGACCGTATACTTACGTACGAATAAGATGATTAACGGGTCAAGATGAAACCAGCTTGCCCGAGCGCATCATCTGGAAGATTCCTACTCGTCTGGCCCGTGTTGAGCACTGTCGTTAATCCGATGGGTGAGTCGGTAAGTTAGAATATGCGTCGAAGGCTGCAGCCGGCCATTACACTTTGGGAACCCACAAGTCGAATTCCGCGTACACCACAAACTCCAAGCAGTGGCTATCGAGGGTTGTCGGTATCAGAACTCGCCTTCAATCATCCTTCTGGCTGCCCTCGATGGGGCGAAGCCTGGCCAGACGCTATCTGAATTCCGGCGGCTAGCATTAGCTCCGAGCGCTGATTAATTCCTCTCCACGTCCGGGACTCGCTTAGAGATTCATTGCCGTTTGCAGTGCCCACTATTAGGTAGTATCACCCAACAGCGTTCGTTACGAATGGCCGCATGTGGAGGTTCACCAGCACTGCAGCTGTGACAAAGGTGGCGTGACAAAGCATTGTACGTCTCAAAGCACAAATTCGGAAGACAGGAGCTTTTATGCCTCTGAGAAACTCCTTTCCTAGGCCCAGCTGGACACCATTAGCATGCATGTATGTTGTCCAATCGTGTGGGTCATGACGTCTTCGGTGAATGAGGGCAGGTCATTTTGGAAGACGTTGGCCGAACAGGCAATCCTTCAGTTTGGAATGGGAGAAAAATCTTTAGTTGCGTTGTACTGTGGAGTCCCCTTGATGTAGTCAAAGATGTATTCCGAGGATTTTTCTACCATAACTCTCACTCAATCTGTCAAGATTGATATTACACCGAGTGTAGATATCCTGTGAATGCTGCTGGTGGGCTATATACAAAGATCATCGGAAATGGACATGCTCGACGGGGCTCCCACCTGACTGAGGGGGACCCCCCTCACTTCCTCGGAGAAGGCAACGAGACATACAACGACGTGGTCGGAAAAGTGACGCCTTCGATTTAATGAGCACACGTACTGGCTTCATCGCATGACAGTTGTGTTGCATATTCCATATAGATATTACCTCGGTCGTTCTACTCGGGAGATTCAGGACCATCACTTCCTGGCACGATCTAAGGCCAGAACGTCAGAGACGCTGGGGTGGACGCAGTGAATACTACACGGACCATGCAAATATTATTCCCATTTATCAACGTCGAATGAAGCTTTGTTTTGACTACTCCTTGCTGAGAGTGTTCACTGTAAGAACTCTGAGCTTCAGGAACGATAGACTAATAAGGGATGATATGGCTTACAATTCCACCACATCCTCGAGTACCAGATCTAGTTCAAATAAACGTGTTAGGGCGAGCGATGCATCTGGGCTTGAAGGGCAGCACTTCACGCACTAATGAAGTCATCAAAACCTAGCAAGGTACCTGTGTACTCTTTGTTCAACCGGGTGATGACCCATACCTTTGATCCAACACAACGGTCGATCAGCTCTTCAACGTGGATTCTCAGCTACTCTCCCCTTCAAAAAATGAACGAATCTCATAGGACCAACCCATTGGATATATTGGCGAGGCCATGGCCGATCACTAGACGTTGGGTTGCAAGTCGCTTCGGGAACGACCGAAGGACGTGAACAGCGCAGTTTATTATCTCTTTCTTGCCACTAACAACTTTACAACCACACTTCCAATGGACGCTCGCAGTTCGATTCCTGACCATCGTCGCGCAAGTCAGTCTTATTCCCAGTGTTTCGATCGTGGATCTGTCCACTGACCACTCTCCCACATAGCTTACAAGAACAAGGGTTTAGCTAAACCAGATGAACTTCGTCGTCGTCGCGAAGAACAGCAGGTAGAAATTCGGAGAACAAAACGCGAGGAGAACATCGCGAAACGCCGCAACTTGGATGTTGCTGGCGTCGATTCAGATGATGAAGACGTGGCTGGCGCTGGTTGGGACCCTAAGACTGCCGCTGAGATGGTTAGCGGCGTCATGTCCGATTCACCTGAGCTCCAGCTGGACGCCACCACCAGATTTCGAAAGCTCCTCTCTAAAGAGAAAAACCCTCCAATCGAACGAGTCATCGAATGCGGTGTGATCCCATTTTTCGTCAGGTTTCTTAGCTCAAAGCAATCAATGCTTCAGGTAAGCATATTGGGATTCTGGGGCAGCTTGGGAACAATCTTTTTTTTTTAAACTGACTTGTTCTCTAGTTTGAGGCAGCTTGGGCACTCACAAATATTGCATCGGGAACTGCTGAGCACACACAGTTCGTGATTGATGCGGGCGCCATTCCGGAATTTATCAACCTCCTGTCATCCAATGTCATGGACGTGCGTGAGCAAGCTGTCTGGGCTTTGGGTAACATTGCCGGAGACAGTCCAAAATGCCGCGATCAGGTTCTTCAGGCTGGAGCTCTTCGGCCGTTGTTGAACCTGCTCAGCGAGAACCCCAAGTTGAGCATGCTTCGAAACGCGACCTGGACTCTGAGCAACTTCTGTCGGGGAAAGAACCCTCAACCCGCTTGGGAACTGGTGAGTTTTGCTCCCATTTGTTTTCGATGAATTCGTCGCTCACTCAGGCGACATTCAGATTTCCCCCGCTTTGAGCGTTCTCACCAAGCTCATCTATTCGCTGGACGATGAAGTTCTGATTGACGCGTGCTGGGCTATATCCTATCTTTCTGACGGCTCAAACGACAAGATCCAAGCCGTTATCGAATCCGGCGTATGTCGTCGCCTGGTGGATCTGTTACTTCACCATTCCACATCTGTCCAGACCCCGGCGCTGCGATCAGTTGGGAATATTGTCACCGGGGATGATTTGCAGACGCAAGTCGTCATAGCATCCGGCGCACTCCCGGCGCTCCTATCGCTCCTCTCTTCTCCGAAGGACCCCATTCGCAAGGAAGCCTGTTGGACTATCTCCAACATCACTGCAGGCTCTCCTCAGCAGATTCAGGCAGTTATTGACGCTAATGTCATCCCGCCTCTCATCAACATCCTTCAAAATGCCGACTTTAAGACCAAAAAAGAAGCGTGCTGGGCCATTTCAAACGCCACTTCCGGCGGTCTTCTCGAGCCTGCCCAAATTCGTTATCTTGTGGCGCAGGGATGTATCAAGCCATTGTGTGACCTGCTGAACACGATGGACAATAAAATTATCCAAGTCGCGCTCGACGGGCTCGACAACATCCTCAAGGTCGGCGATCTGGACAAGGATGCAGCTGGGCCAGGCGCCGTGAACCAATACGCTAATTACGTTGAAGAGGCTGGTGGAATGATCACAATCCACCATCTGCAGCACCATGACAACCTAGATATCTACAAAAAGGCGTTTTACATCATGGACAAATACTTCCCTGATGACGATGACGAAGAGAACATCGGCGCTAGCGTCCCTCAAGTCGACGAGTCTGGGTCTTTTGCTGTAAGTTTCCCTCGCTAACTGTCTCCCAGTTCCGTGTGCTGGAATGAGTAACCTTCCTTTGAAATAGTTCCACACTGGTGTTTTAGCTCCTCAGGGAGGTTTCTCGTTTGGGCGTTAGATAAACTTTGGCACGTTCTTCGTGTCTGTTTCTATTCTTCCTTGGTTGCAGGTAATCATTTGTTGTCACTTGTCCCTCGTTCCCGTTACCCTTGCAGTTGGAAATATTACTGGCCCAAGATCAGTACAGTTCATCTGCTAATCATATTGCCTTTTGTTATCGCTCCGTCACACACCTTGTCTATCATTCCTCATATCTTTTTTCATGTTGCTACAGAGCATAGCCGTCCAAAGGATGGCGTAGGTACGAGCTACATCTGCAATAATATTCCATGCACATGCCGACCCGCGATCGTCGGTCGATCGAATCGCTCAAAATAATGAATGAATTGGGGTGCGTTTGTTGGCCATGTGATGGCGCGCACCAAGCGTCCCGATCCCCTTAAACCACCTCAGAAGCCCCTGCTGGCATTAGGTCTTGAAGGGAGTGCAAATAAGCTTGGTTCTGGGATCGTACAGCATTTGCCAGACGGAACGACAAACATCTTAAGCAACGTCCGACATACTTACATTACGCCACCGGGGGAAGGTTTCTTACCCAGAGACACCGCTGTTCATCACCGGGAATGGGCTACAACAGTTATCAAAGATTCCGTTGAGAAAGCTGGAGTGAGGATGGGCGATCTGGATTGCATTTGCTTTACAAAGGGTACATGGGGCGCGGACACATTTCTCTTGCTGTTTCACTCTGCTAATGGGGTGTGGTTCCGTTCGACTAGGTCCGGGGATGGGTGCGCCCCTACAATCTGTAGCGCTGGTAGCAAGGACCTTGGCTCTCATGTACAATAAGCCTCTCGTAGGGTGAACCACTGCGTTGGACGTGCGTTGCCTTGTTGCCCTGCTAATTTGGGATGTAACTTGAAAAAAAGAGCTTTTCCCTCGGTCCAGATATCGAGATCGCTCGGACCATTACACATGCTCAAAATCCGGTCGTTTTGTACGTGAGCGGCGGTAACACTCAAGTCATTGCCTATTCTCGTCAAAAATACCGTATATTCGGAGAAACGCTCGATATTGCTGTGGGAAACTGTCTAGATAGATTCGCTCGTGTCGTTGGCTTGTCTAATGACCCAAGTCCCGGATACAACATCGAGCAAGAAGCTAAAAAGTGTGTGTGTTTTCTCGCGTTCAAGGAGTTGCTTTGGTCATGAGTGCCGGGTTGACTGACTGTCGTGCAAGGGGCCGGAAGATTCTTCCGCTTCCCTATGCTACTAAGGGAATGGACGTGACGCTTTCTGGTATTTTGACATCGATTGAGGCATATACCCAGGACAAGTGCTTCGTCGCCGGCCCGGAGTCTGTCGATGGTCAAGGCATTCCAGAGGATTCCTATACATCTGCAGACCTTTGTCTCACATTGCAGGAGACTGTGTTTGCCATGCTTGTGGAGATAACGGAACGTGCAATGGCCCACGTTGGGAGCAAAGAAGTTCTGATCGTTGGGGGTGTTGGTTGTAGGTGTCTAGGTTAATGCAGCTTGCTACTGCTGTATTGAATAACTATTTTTGGTGCAGCGAACGTCAGATTACAGGAAATGATGAATATAATGGCGGAAGAGCGAGGTGGTCGGGTTTTTGCAACAGATGAAAGGCAAGTCACCATCAGCCCGATATTCTTATGCCACTCATCGATGACGGCAGATATTGCATTGATAATGGGATCATGATTGCTCAAGCGGGGCTTTTGAGTTATAGGATGGGTTATTCTACTCCCCTTGAGGAGACCATTTGCACACAACGGTAAGTAACCGGCTCTCCCTCCAGGTTGCCACCCATTTATTGTGAAGCAACACAGATTCAGAACGGATGAAGTCCACGTCGCTTGGAGAAGCTGAAACCTCGCCCGGGGTTCCTGACATGACTATTATATCACAGACTCATTTGGTGTAAAGCGAAATATTCGGTACTGTGAATCAAGTCGAGTACAAAATATCTAGTGAGGTTGTCTTTACGGGATAAGATAAAATATTGTGGGCAGTTGTGTCCAACAACGTCCACAGAAAAAAGGGGGGTTGTTTAAGTGGTGCTCGGGACATCAACGCATTAGGTACTTGTCGAGACGCTTCCTAATGGCATTGTCAGGACCTATTCCAGATATCTTGAGCGACTTGGAGAGTGTCATTGCCTTTTCACGTGCGCTGACACCCTCGGGACTGTGCGGAGGAACAAGAATAAGCTCTCCAACGATACGGTTCAGACGATCCTTGGATGAGTCTGTCGATATGGAAGGCGATGGGGGAACGCTACTCCAAAGCAAGGACGCGCTGCTGGAGCGGGATAATGTTGGTGCTTGGAGCGTGGAACTAGCGGGAGTAGATGGGGATGGCCCGGGGGAAATATCGTCACTCGCGTCATCATCTTCAGCGCCGTTATCCGTCTTTACCGTCACTCTGCCTTTCCCTTTCGTGTTCTTTCGTTTTGTCCTCCTTTTGGCAAACCTAGGTGTTAGGTGACTCGGTACACTGGGTCTGGACTGAGTGGAGCGTGGAACGTTCAATGTGAGGCCTTTGAGTTGAGCAACTACCTCATCAGAGTGACTGGGTGAAGGTTGGCTGAAGGCGTAATCTAGAACCGATCCTGTCGTCGTCGTCGGTGGTGTCTCAACGGGTGTTTTGCTTGAAATCAAAAGGGGCTCAATGACCTCCAATCGCCAGCAACGATGAGCAAGAGAGGCGATAGGGATTATCTTGTCCGAGGAACTATGTGCCTCCGCGCAGGACTCTGCGAACCTCTTCTGTTCAGGGGATCCGCCACTGAAGCCCCAATGCTTCAGAACTTCCTCTTTTTGTCTTCCAGTAACTCGATTTCCTTCTTCTTCTTTAAATCCATCCTTTTCTCGGATTTAAGCACAATTTCCTGAAGCGATATCCAACCCATCCCTTCCTCGGTGGCTCGAGAGATGAAGTGTCGATTCAGGTAGGCGAACTGGCGGTTTATGATAGCGACGCCACGGAAAAACGGGAATAGCCTCGAGATAATAATCGAGTAGTTCGGAGTCGTCGTTCGGTATTTTGGAACGAATTTCCTTCGCGACATCTTGGAAATACTCTTCAAGGTGCACATAGAGCTCGAATCCCACCATTGATTTAACTCGTTCAGCACGCTCAGCACCCAAGCTCTTGGACACTTGAGATGGCGACGGCAAAGCAAGTTCTCCGGCTGAGGAAACGAAATCAACGGAGGCAGGTGGAAATGCAAAGCCGAAGTGGGACATCAGTGAATTTGAGTTAGCAGACCGGAGCGTATTTTCGATACGGCTGGTGGTAGCAAAATTATATATCATGGTGTAAACGCCCATGTAGTAGTTTACGTCTAGAGCAGGGGCCTCGCCATTCTCTGAAGGAGAACGCATGACATGATCCAGAGCCGGGACTATGTACGCCCAGAGAGCTGGGAAGCTGATCACCCCGCTTCCCGAAGCTACAGGAATCGAGTCTGGGGCAGACATCCCTATTTCTTTGTGCCCCGGCTGGCTCGTTGATTAAAGTCGATTCAGGTGCACGATGAACCAAATTTTCGTGATTATTCTCAGGAAACGGATATTGCCGTTTGGCGATATGTATACATATCCATATTCATCGTCCCGGCGCTAAGCTTATGTACATGGCTTCGAATCAGAAATTTAAGAGATATAATAAATACCAATTGGGACGTCGTATGGGTGGGTTGAAATCGCCGAAGTAGAAGCTGAGGCAGAGGAAGGGGACGCATTTTCCATAGACTGGAGTATCAGTGTTTGTAATTGGACCCATGAAAGATTTGAGGATGCTGGAACGAGGCTTCTATTAGGCCATTGACCATTTCCATATCTAGAATGGAATGAACCTCAGCGGATGGAATTCTTGACGCTAATGCTTAACGTACTGATTTTGTCTCCCATGTCCGAGATGAATTTCATCTTTATGGTGGTGTCTGATAGAACCGTTCCGATGACTTCGACGTACGTGTCTGGTAGTTTTGTATCCTACGCGCAACACCAGGAAAGTAAGTATTGCACAGGAATCATTTTGCATTAACTCACCCGGATAAGCTTGACCTCGACTTCACCAAGGTCAGTTGCCTGTACCCTCAGAAGTTCGTCTTGATGCTGTCATGCCACCATTGAGAAGGCGACCTTACGGCTACTTGGGCAATGACTAACTTTGATAACTCTTCCGGGAAGTCGCACGGTCTTCCCTAAGAACTTCCCCATCATCGCACTATTGATCCGTGGCTCATAACCCTCCATTCGAATACCCTAGTATATGATAGGTACCCAAATAGCAGACTTGGTGGTGTTACCAGCAGAGACGCGCAGGAAGGACGCGTTAAATTAAATTCCCCGCCACATCACGTGTTACACAAGCTTCATCATGAGTCGCGAAACGAAGGATCACAATCTGGTCACCCAATATCTGCACTCTCGAGCAAGGGAAATCCTTAAATGTTTGCCCGATGTGCTTCCGAGCGATAAAGTGGATCCAGGAAGCTTCAGCAGCTGCTGTTGGGTTTCCGTCCTGAAGAAATCTCTTTTGAAGTGATTCAAAATGTTGCCATTATCTCGATCGGCCCTTCGTTTGACCCTTCAATAGGAGTAGAAATTGCTCAGAAGCTGGCTTGGGTTTCTTTCTCGGAACCTGCGCGTGTGAAGGAGATCGAGTCTGAGATTATCTCGGCCTTTAACCATTTGTTCCAAGGATCCTTGAATGCCACTACAGATGCAGCGTACAAAACCGCGTTTTGCCTTTACGCACTTCTTTCGGCCGTCCCATCGCGCATTATAGATGTTTTTGCGCAGAACACAGAACTTGTCACGTCTTTGGCACGCTGTTACGATGCACCGTTGCTATCGAGCTCACCCAATGACACATATGCCATAAACGCGAAGGTATTAATCCTGGATTGTCTACATATCGTCTTCACGCATCACCTCAACAAAAGATCCAATATTTCCATGGGCTATCTCTTCGCGCTTCTCCATGCCGTGTTAGATCTCCCCTCCACTCCCAGTACATCTTCCAAATTTATTCCCTTCTTCAATAGACCTATGCTGGGAGATTACGAAGCCGTATGGAATTTGTCGGATGAAATATCTCAACGTGCCACTGAAAGCTCGTTAACACGTGGTGTTGAGTACGTGGTGTCAGCTCTTCGAATGAGAAAAGGGAACATGGTAGGCACTGCCGGCACTGGCACCCCGCTGAGCGCACTTGCTCAGCAGCCAAGGTTGCGGACATCGGCTACACTGCCGGCCGCACGGAGTGACGTAAAGGGAAGGGCAGAATATCAACTTTCAATGTCGACGAGTCAGCCGTATATCAAGTGCTGGATATACTTCCTGACGAAAGCATTGTTTTCGTCAGGAAATGCCTTGCGCATCCAGCGTTTTATGGCCCAGATGGTGCTGAGAAGCTGGTTGGGATACTTCTTGAGGGATCCGAACTGCCTGACGGATTGGACAAATTCAGGCACTCCCAGGACGGGAGTTAGGAACATCGTTCAGAACTTCGGAAAGCGTCCCGACCGTGAGGGAAGAAGCCTCTCTACTTGGTTCTCGCAAAAATATTTTTGACAGCGTGCCTATGGACTTTTCCCGGCTTAGGATCGGAAAACAGTGAGTTTCAAGCGATTTTCTTGCTTTCCACATCTATTCTTCCCCTTTTATGAGTCCAGACGTCCCGATATTGGAGCTTCCATTGAAGATTCCCAAGCGTCATCGAGGGAGAAGTACGATTTGAAGGCAGCCATCCTTCGTCGTGCCCGTGAGCAGATTGAGGCTGAGTTAGAAGAGGCGGGTGCCCAACCCAGCCCCAGAAGCAGGGGCGCACTGTTGCCTTTGAAGAAGAACTGAGCGACGGTGAGAGTGAGACGGGAGCGACGAACATCCGTCGGTCACGTTTGACTGTCGCGGATGGGGATGGGTCCGAGGAGGGTACGGATGGTGAGACAGATGGACCTAGCGCCGCGCCTACAGTTCGTGATTTTTTCTTGGCACAACAACGACTAACTGATATGGGGCCCCCACAAAGCCCGCAGAGAGGATAGAGACTATTTTGGAGTTAGCATACACAAAGGATCCAAAAGTCTTTGACCGAAATAGTGAGACACGGCGATCCAAGGAACGAGCAGGCCTCAAAGCCGAGACGGGTTCGTGCACCTTGCATTCATTGACCCCTTCACTAACACCTGTACGCCCAACAGGCTGGAGTGATGAGCAACTAGAAGGGTGGCGAATAATGCTCGAACGTAATGTAGGTCCTGTTTAACTGAATGTAGGAAAGAATGATGTGTGCAAGCTGACCTTTGTTTGATAGCCTCGCCAAAAGGAGAAGATGCTGGAACGGCACGAATTTTCCGGCAACATTTCATTGCCAGTGACGGAAACGGATTTGGGAGGGTCGGCATCCGGTTTGAATGCAAGCATGAATCGAGGGAGTGGACGGAGAGGCACCGGGAGGAGACATGATGGGGGACGCCAATTGGACGGGAATACGGTACGAGATCGGGCAAGGAAGGATCGAGCGGGAAACCAGCAGCGAAGGCGAGGGCACGACAGGAAGATGGCACGCACCGTTCCATCCGTAGGATGAGCACCGGGTTCAACACGAGACCTAAATCACGGCTCCGATAGAATTTATTCACAGCGCTCAGGCTCTAAATTATGTTATACTTGATCGCAGCAGTGTCAGTCTGTATGTGATCATCAGGCCGGAGGCCTTGTTTGTTGGTGGACTGCGATGTACGCAATTAGCTTGGCCAGGCTGGCCTCACTGGCCTTATTGTACTCCAGTAACTGAACTAAAATCTAGGCTACCTGTGGACAAACTTCTGGGTAGCGGAAATTATGCAATAATGTAGAACACATCTACCAGTGCAAGTTGACATCAGTTGTGCAAAACAAACTCCTAAGTCAGTAATTTACGGGCAACCAAGTTGATGAAGAGAATTAAGTCAATGAGTGCTTGGCCATTTTGAGATTCAAAAGCAGCTGAGATGCCCAGGTACATAGGGAAAAATTAGGCGGTAGGGAGAAAACGTAAGCAGCATCAACACACAGCTAATCCCGTCTTTAATAGACAGTACTGTGCAGACTTCAGAACCTCATTTTAGAGATCTACATTTTTCTCGTTAACCGGTTCACTACCAATTTTCCATCCCTAACAGCGTAGCGGACTTACACGCGCGGTGCATATCTCACGTTTCGTAAGCACGCCGTGTGTGGCAAGCTAGCAAGGCACGCCAGCCTATAGTGACCCAATCCTGACGCACCCTGATAACGGAATTATTCCAGGAGACTGGCATGGCTTGGTGATGTATCTCCCTAATTTTTCTTCAATGACCACACCATTGTTACAGAAATCTTCAGCTAGTCTGCTCTTCAGAGCTACTTTCGAACCCCGCGTATCGAAAGGTTCCAGATATCATTGACGCCGGGAGCAAGTAACTTGATCATTATCGTTGATCCAGAGGACTGTGCACTCCAACAATGAGCGACCTGTTTTAAAATAATCTGATGAGGCAAATTGCATAAGACCGTAAACAAGCCAACCATGTAGTAACTTCGGAACATATCAGAGAATATTTCTGTGCTGAGTCGTGGAGAAGTATCCGAAACTTGGCCCACAAAGATCAGCCAGTCGACGATACCTCAGAACTGAGCACGTCCTCTCGAGCCAGGTCAATACCCTCTTTCTTTGCAAGCCTCCCCACACTAGTCATGCTCCCGACAACCAATACGTCCTTCTCGTCTGGGCCTCCACTTTCGCTAAGGTCTTCTTCGGGGTTCGCTTCTTCGATCATACCACCTTGTTCTCTAATGAGAGTATAAGCACGATCAGTCACCCGCAAATTTTGACCCCAGCTAAGGCCCTTGATGATCATCTTATCGTGGGCTTCGTGCTGAGTTCGCCTAGTTGACCGAGAAAGGAAAGCGGATATCGTTGAAAGTGGCCAGGAGGGCGGTACGTTTGTTAGCACCTAAGACAATGTGGGCCGGTGTTTAGTCCTGAACGGAAACGGATGTGAAGAGCATTACATCGAGGACGTCAAGATTCACGGCTTGTGAGTTGAGTAAGTCAGCTGTCTCCTTTGAGATCATGTCCCTAGATGAGCAAGGGAAGGCGAGTATGCAGGCATGAACAGAATGACCCAGTTGTGGTTCGTCAAGTAACTTACCTCCCGCCTCTCGTGTAAATTTCCATAAGTATCCGCAGCAGTGCTTTCGTCCGTGCTGCTTGACTAGCCACCCTCGAGCCATCCTTACTATTCTCGCTTCTAGCAGGGAGAAGCTCTGCCCAAGCAAGCAAGCCCTCGCCCCTTCCAATATCGAGCCCGACCTTTCTCGGGATGACAATACCTTCGAGGACGCAGTAAGTCTCTGCCGACACGAAATCTTTCAGGGAGACAAGATGAGAAAGAGCAGAACGGTCATTCCCCATCTGATGATCGAATGAGTTGAGGCACTAGCAGTCCACATCCCGTTCACTGACCTTTCCATCTAAAATAGCCCTTTCAATCGCCAACAAGTCTCTCAACTTGGCGTTATCGTTTATTCCTTTCTGGATAATCCTCACATCATACGCTCCGGAGCCCTGCAGAAACAGCACAAGCTTGATCCTGGTTGTCTTCGCTGTAGAGAATGAGGATGGAGGTGTAGGAGGTGGGGGAACATCCACAGACGCGAGATAGAGTAAGAACGGAGGTCGCGGGCTCGCCAATTCAGCATAATCGTTTGCTGCAAAGGAGAAATGAGAAGGTATCTACAATGAGACGGTTCGTGGTCACTTACTGAGAATCTTGAACGCTCCCACCACGCTCTCGTCGTGGAAAGCGGACACAACGCCGGCCAGGTATTTAGCAGCCAGCTCAGTGTGGAAATCAGAGTCCTGGTCAGATGCCCATCGCCGCACGGCAGCGAGTCAGCGCTAGAGGCGTAAGGAAGGAACGGTGGACGGACCTGAATACCTCTGTTAAGCACCAGGTATTCCAAGTACTGTTCTGCAAGCAAGGGATTCGCTGCTCGGAATGTGCGTAGGATAGCATGCTCGTCAAGCTTCAGAGCTCTTTTCGTTCTTTGTGGTTGGGACGTAAGTAGCTACGGGTGACGCGTTAAATGGGTGGCCACTGATGCGGTCAACACAACATACGGAGAAAGCAGCTAAAGGATCGTGTTTTGCCAGCCACGTACTCCACTCGCTGATAAGCGAAAGATCTGTTGTAATTGTCAGCAGCTGAACAATTTCTCCTCTTGGATTATAAACAGAAGGGTCATTCCATTCTCCAGAGGCAAGGCTACGGCACCAAGGTTGGATCAAAACCGTAGACAACCAGAAGTAACACTTACTGCGCCCAAACCTGCAGCAACTTGCGCTCATTCCTCGCTTTCTTGTAGAAGTCGAGCAGGATGGCAATAAGACCATAGTGAATTAGAATTGGCTCGATCTCGTCAATGACAAGATTATCGAAAGAAGTCTCAATGAGCTCATTAAGTTCTGCTGAGGACAAGCCCATGGGGACGTTGGTCGCAATAAGTTTGAAGAGGACGGTATCGACGATCTGCAGAAGCACTTAAAACGGGCAAAAATTTAGAATTGACAAAACAACTTACTCGGTCCAACTTTTTTTCATCTTCACTTGTCTGTGAGCTGCCTCTGACAAACCTTTCACTGATTCTTTCCTCTCTAAACCGCCTCAGATAGCGCAGTAGCATCACTCGCGCACTGTCATTGAGAACTGCATCCAGCTCGCTTGTTGAGGGAGCACTCCGCACTGAAGGTTTGATGGGGGAATAATTCTTGACTAAATTGTTCATAACTGATCGTCAGTCAGCGCCTACGATGCCAACCAAAAGGAGGCAAAACTAACTTATATCCTCAATGGTTTGAAACGGACTCAGCTGTTCGGCAACACCTCTAAATATAAGAACATTGTCTGTGGGCCCAATCATCGTGCCCCGATGTCCGGAAATAGACGTATCAGTATTCGGGGATCAAGGGATGATTTGAGAAAATGATCTGCAGCGTCATCGAAGAGAGTCGCAGAAATGCACTTCAGAGCCAAGCGAGCGTACATGTATGCAACGTCTGTGGCCTTGAAAGAACGCGTCACTGTTGGTCTCCCATAATGAAGCTAGGATTCGCTTCCTTACCAGCTCTGAACCACCGACGAGCCCATCGAGACAACTTCTCACAAGCTTCTCGTAATCATCAATCCTTGACTCCTCAAGCAAAGCCTCCGCTCTTGAAAACAGAGTCGAAGGAACTGCAGCCATCAAATTATCTCTTCCAAAAACCAAGCACCTCGACTCTAGGGCGACAGTTGCCTTCAATACTTCTCTGGTCTCAGGAGTGGAAAGCGTTCGAAGAGGGTTTTTTGGCAGTGGCGAGGCTGCCGGGAGCAAAGCAAAAGGTACCTTCTGGAGCAAGATGGCACGATCACTGTACGGGATGAATAGAGAGCATGGCGATATGGAAGAAAGTTGCGAAGAATGCAGTGGTGGAGGGAGGATGCGAACGACAGTGAGGGTTTCGAGAGAATGGATGTGTATGGAACGGTTGGGAAGCAACGCGTAGAGGAAGGGTGAATCAACACCTGTGAACATTCTCGTTTAGTTAACTATCGAAATTGCAGGCTTAGGAATAAACCCACATATCGACAATGGGTAAGCTGGCCATTCGACTGGTGGCTTGGTTGGATTGCCTCCACCATCCAGGAATAGTCCTGTTGTTGTATCGCCGGTTAACATACAGAAAATAAATTCCCCCGGCGAAACAACCTCAATCAGCGGAGACATTCCCTGCGTTTGAGAAACTTTATCATAGGACGCATGCTGAAGATCGACAATTGCGTAGTGCTCCGAGTCAGCGATACAAACAAAGAGATCTGAGCGCTTCAAGGCCGTGTGGCTCCCTAACGGGAGCTCCTTAATTGGATGGCAAAAAATAAGGCATAATTCATGTCTAAACTTGAACCCTATGACATACCCTACCTGGTACAATTCGATCCCTCGCCAGGTTAAAGGAATTCAGGGATTTTTCGCGCAGAACGCTCAATGCTATAAATTCTTGATGCGCATTCCTTCCAGTGGTAGCGTTCCATGACGAGCTCGACTTCTGGGGAGGTTGTTGGTTCCGACGTGTGTCTGACTGATCGAGAGAAAAGGAGACAATGCCCCGCAACGGGCCCATATGCGGCAACAGTTCCAAAGACGGAAACGAATAGAAGAGTAATGTGCCACCTAATATATACCGGCGATTAGATGATTTAGTGGTATAAAGCAAATGATGTGGCATACTGGTCTGGACAAGGAGTTTCCCAATAAATGGAACTATCTCGATAGCTTCAACAGCCTTTTTAGTTGGAACTAGATGCCGAGACGCTAGCATATATGCATCACCCTGGAAAGTCAATACAAAAGTTATCCCGTAGAGGATAGTGCCCTCGCGTGTGCGCTCTCACAGTGCTAGGGCCATCATTGCGTAGGACATATCGCAATAGCGAGCCATCTCCACACCCGACGAAAACTTCCCTCCCTAGTGGTACATAACAGCCACACAGGATCGTGAATATACATCTACTAAGTCCTGGCTAAGAACCGACTCACCAAAGCCCTTGGCACAACGAATGTCGCTCGTATTCTGCCTTGATTGTGATGAGTTTTTCGGGGAGTCAGAGACTACGGACAATCCGACTTAGTCAGCAGGGAGGAAAATGAACAACATCAGCGCGTCCTAAACTCCCCCACATATCAAGGAGCAAACCTTGTTCATCCTCCGAAGATACGTTGGAAATGAGAACCTGCAATCGCTCTGGAGGATACGCATCTGTCGTCATACTAGCGCTTTCAGTAAGATGTGACGCTTCAGGTTAGGATGCCACAGCTACGTCGGTGGTATCCTGAACGGAGGGAGACAGCCAGGATGGGCAGGCGCTTATTTTTTGAGTGATTTAATTCGATTGGTCTGACTGGTGGAAATGCACGTGATCCATGATCTTAGCGCCCCGAGGTAGAAGCTGGTAACCTGCCTGGTTGATGTCCAACTATAGCTTGGAATGGGGTTTTGTAGGTGTCTCGCCAGCGCCGATTACTGGGACTATGTTGGTTTATTACACCCTATGACACAACGGGAATGACCTTCTCAACGGGACGTGGGATTCCGGGTCTTTTCGCCAGCAGAAAATGCACTTTAAACAAAAAGAAACCTGGCGTCCTGCCTATTGTGCTGGAGCATCCATGAAGGAACATTGGTTGGTTGTGTCTTTCCCGTATCCTTCAATAGGGGGATTCACGAAGGCAAATCTGGAGCAAAACTAAGGCACAACTTGAACGCAACTCCATCACGTGTGGGTGCAGTTATGCCTCAATAGTTTTTGAAGTTGAGGATTAGTTTGGAACCAGTTACGGGGCGTTCACGAAGATCCATATCTTAGGCTCAACTAATATTTCTTTAACACCGTCTACCCTTGACTTATGTAAGAACTGCACAGTTGATGTCGACTCACAAACAACCGACGCTGAAGCATGCTCACAGTATCCAAAATTCCTACTATCAGCACCACCATCGCTTAATCCTGTCCCAAACCTATCCTGCCATGATATGTAATCAAAACCGTACAGTCCTCACCTGACTTTCTGTCACTGGGCAGCGGAGTTAAGAAATTTCTAAAGGCCGAGTTGGGAATGAGTTTTGATCCAGTTGGGCCGTGTGAGTCTCAACTCGCAACTCGACACAACTGGCTGTTTTGTTGTAGTTTTGTTCAGTTGCGTTTGAGTTGAGGAACTCAAGTTGAGTCGAGTTGTGCATAGTTGTGTCTTCGTGAACCCCCTAATGTGTTAGTGGCTGTGACGGTTCCACACCCTGCCCAGTGGCGAGTCTATTCCAGGTAACCTGCCTATGTACCTAGCGAGTACCTAGTATTCGGTCACTAAACACCTGCCTCGATTTAAAGTAAGCGGATATTATACGCCACCCGGTACGTTGGCGCTCAACCCAACAGCACTCAACTGCTCAGTTATGAGGAAACAGCCCACAGACGTCTTGCCACCAGAAATCCTGTCAATAATATTCCTGGAGGGACTACCTAGTTATACGCATAGGTTTAAGGTGGATAGGCACAGGCGAAGCATCTCCCAAGTATGTCGATCATGGAGAGCGTTTTGCATCGATACCCCGCTCCTTTGGCGTGCGCTCTATATCTCCCACAAAAACATCTCCACCGGAGATGACTGGGAGAGGCTCAAGCTTCTCATCGAGAGAGCGAGGACGGTACCCTTAGATCTCAGCATCTATTTTTACGACCTCAATAACCCTTCCATCAATCAAGCGACTCTTTCACGACTAACCGGCTATTTAACCCCACTTCTCCCTCGCGTCCGCAATCTTCACTACACTTCCATCCACATGGGCGCCATCCTTGCATTCTTCCCTCTTCCCCGCTCAATGCCGTTCTTGAGAAAGCTTCGACTAATCCTGGCACCGTGGCCAATGGGCCATAAGTTCATTACTTTATGGAGACACGATTCCTCGTTTCCGCTGCTCGAATCTCTTAGCGTTGAGGGACCAAGTTTCGAAACAATCAATTCCACGTTGGATGGCATCCCTCGCGGTCAGGTTAGACATTTCAATGTCAACCATATTTTCTGCGCACGCGAGCGCATCGGATACATCTCACAATCCAGGCACCTAGACTCGTTGGGATGGCACCCTCTCCACCTGGAGGAAGCGCGGCTACAGAATAGTCCAGATGATCTGCCCCGATTCTGTTCTAACACGCTTCATTCCCTCATTGTCAATGGATCCATTCACGTCTTGCTCAGATTACTCGACACCACCCATTCGATCCGTCATTTGGAACTGTCTCCAGGTGGCGTTGAATGCATCGATGCGGCCAAAAGTACAGATTTCATTCATTTAAGAACGATCTCACTGCGAAGTTCCCCTCTCACACAAGAGATCAGTCTCTATGCATTCATATCCACTCATCCCACCATCTTTGCAATCGAGCTCAATGCGAGGGACTATTACAAACTCCTCCCTCTGCTGTTTTCGGGCCGAAATCGCAAGGCTCACAACGTTAGCTTTATCCGGGTTGTTGCAACCAGTGATTGGGATTTATGTGATGTACCCGAGGCAGTAATGAGGGACTGGCTGGAATCCCCTTGGACTTCTCGACTTGAGTGGAACTACCTCGACTTTACCCGCCGAGATGGTGCAGAATGGCCTAATGGTCATGAACGCATCCAAGCACTTGCGAACAGTTTCCCGGAGCAATTCAGATGGATTGAAGAGGATGAAGCAGTACCATTCGACAAGATAGCGAGTCTAGGGCCAGACGGTTGGCCAAGCTGCGAGGAAGCTGTGCAACGGATTTGAACGTATGGATGGTTGGTATGGATCAATGTACGCAAGGGTGGGCTTAGTTCAGAGACTTAGGGAGAGAGGCTCTCGAGCAACAGCATATTTAGTAGATGCAATCTCATTGTCACGCTCACTTTTCTATCGAACCGACAAACATCTACTTTCCACGATGCCATTGAACAAGCGACAACATGACAGCTTAGTACAAAGTCACAATGCTCCCAGTTCCAGCGTACGGATTGTCCTGAATAACGTCAAGTTCGAACGATCAATAACCTCTCTTTTCCCACCACCCGAACCCAGGTGAGAAACGAAACGAAATAAGGACTCACCGCATACGTAATGTTGATCGGCGGCCCAATCGTCTCCTTCGTCACACTCAAATTCATCCCAGGGCGAATATAAGTATGCCCAAACCGGTTCGATTTAACTGGTGCAACGAACGGAATCCATGCGCTGGGATTGAACGGACCGGGGCACATCCCTGTCAAGTTCGTGAGAGGGACTGGGTTAGGCGGGGGTACATTTTTAACATTGGCTTGTTTGGCGACGAAGCTATTCCATTGTAGGATGAGAAAGGGATGATGCATGACTACCAGTAAACGGAAGAAGGGATCCATTGTGGGGAGAGAAGGAATACGTACTCAAAGACGTTGGCCAGTGAGAGATTTGTATCTCCACGTCCAAGCTAGGGGCGCCATGATGTCAGAGTTGAGAATGTATGACTGCTGTTTGTAGACGAACATTACCGAGTTGCCAATTCGCCTCGACTGTCGAGAGAAGGGAATAATGCGTGTAGAAGGTATCGTCGCTGATGATAAACGTTAGATGGGGCGAACGAACGGACAGTGCTCAATCCATCACTGACACTGTACCCTTCAGATGCATCGGAACGGCTGATCCGAGAAGGATGGTAACGATTCGATTCTGAACGGTGTAACTCTGTCCCCAAGATGGTGATGGCGCTCCTCAAGGAAATCCGAATTTCGCACTTACATGATTCTCATCAAATGTAAGAACAATAAGGGTCCCATCCGCCCCATGTCCACTATTGAAATTCTTGTTTTTCAAGAGCGGAACCAACCAATACTTCAACCATTCGCCCGCAAAATCGATTGTCGTATCATGGCCATCATTCACCATATTGGGTGTAATGAGAACCCACTGTGGTAATGCGCCAGCACTGACATCCGCTGCGAAATCGTTGAAGTTACGAATGCGACGCGCGCGGGAAGTCTTGTTTGAGATGGCGTCATGGATGATGAGGGGGTTGTGTTTGCGGACATAGTAGCCGTAACTGCCAGAGCCGGTACTGAACTGATGGTGGTTGATGGATAAACGTGTGCGGGACGGTCAAGCACATACTTGTAGTTCTTGGAGGCGTGGTTAAGAAGGTAAGCATCCGTAGGCATGTTCTCCTGGTACGTGGCCATGAAACTTTCTTATTCTCAAGGAGATCAACGATGGTGGAAATGTTGGAAGGAACATGATAGATCTAGTATGGTGGCCCCGTCTCAACAAAGGCCGATGCTTGAATGTAATTGACATACATTGTCATCAGCCAGGCCATAGAAGTCACCCGAGATGGACGCGATATAATTAGGCTCCGAAGGACTAACAGGAGCCATTCAATGCAACAAAGAAAATACATGAGGGGATATGTCACGTACTGCGTCAAGGCGAGGTAAGAAGAGAGGAGGATACCCTCCTTAGCAAGGGTTCGGAAAATGGGAGTAGTGGCCGCGATGTTATAGTCAGCTGTTTAGGAGTAAATGCTAAGCCTTGAGAATGGTTCAAGGACACACTGTTTTCAAGCCAAATCTGAATAATGCGTCCGAAGGCTTTCCCTTTGACAAAATGCCCGTTTTTCAAAGTTCCATCTGATCCAGACGCAAATTGAATGGCGAGGAATAACTGGGAGACAGGGGTGATAACACACTATTTGGTCCAACGTAGTTGGGAGAGAAGCAAGTCGGGCATGGAGCTGGGGGTACCCAAGGGATGGCCGAGGATGCAATGACGGTGCTGGGTAGGGCTACAAGGAGTACCAGTGGAATGAGCATGGCCAACATTGCGAACCCGGTGGTGCAACAGTAGGTCAAGTAGGGGAAGCAAATCACTTTATAGGAGGTGTGAAGAAATGATCGGTGCCGTCAATGGAATCCTGAATCGCGGGCATGCAGGACGTGGAGCGGCACTAGACGCAATTTGAATTTAGAATCCAGCCGAAGTCAACCTGCTAATTCTAGTTCCATGTTTCCCACAGTAGATCAAGACGCTAAGTGCTAGCAAGATAAAAATTGTCCTCCTTCGCGGTCATGCGGTACCTAATCATCGCGAATGTTGGATGGACAGGTCAGGTCATAATGGCTCCCAGCGCTCGCAGCGTCAAGGCTGCGCGCCACGTTGTGGTGTTAAATAATGTTAACCGTCACCGCTTTACAACGCTTCTAGCTTTATTGTTCACATCATTCTTCCTTGCCACGGTTATTAGCCTTTGGGTGCTTCCACAGCATCTGCCATAAATATAGTACAGACTACCTAGGATACTACTTCCCTCTGTTCGATGCCCGAGTTGTCCCACCAAAACCGGCAAGCTGTGACAACAACCGCATGATTCAGACGTTACGCTCTTGGCGCAGCCTGAAATGTCCAGAATAAACTCAAAACACGGCACCGACATCCGGCACTGCCGTTCATGAGTACATATTATTATCCCCATTTCTGATGCATCCGTATGTAGCAGATTCGAATGGCAACGAGCGGTCACAGCATTATAATCCAGCGCTTCTGCACCGCAAAGTTCCCAGCGTCAACCGAAAGGCGCTTGTGAATCGATCCACTGGCGAGCTGTTCGAGCACGGTATGTCGAACAAGGGCATCTCACTTGCATTATTTTTGGGTGTCCTGGCTCTCAGAGCTTGCGCTTGCGCTGGTGAACACAGCAACGAACATTTTCATGCCAAGAGGTCCTTTCCGGGCGCGACACAAACTACCGCCTGGCCTAGCGCCCCTCTCGTCTGGGGAGACGTGAACTTCCTTCATACAACGGACTCGCACGGTCAGTCATCATCTGAATTTGCCCCACTCATTTTGATATCACTGATGGCTTGACGGTCATCAGGATGGCTCCTTGGTTCGTTCAATCACTTTCTGCCTCTAGCTTCAGTTTCTTATGTTCCCAAGGTCATACAAAGGCGTCTTACCCCGAGCCTAATTACTCAGGGGATTTCGGCGATTTCAAGTCCTTTGTAACACATATGAAGCAAGAAGCTCTTAAGCGTGGTGTAGATCTCCTTCTTGTAGATTCTGGTTTGTTTCTTGTGAGGATTTTAATCAATTCTATGACGGCTGATTTCATTTTAGGGGATATCCATGATGGTTCTGCGTTGTCAGACGGTGGTCCGCCAGGCTCGATAGATGGAACAGAGGTCTGATCGTGACAGGAACGCAAATTCCGATAATGATTGGCTAATTTTTGCGTCCCCAGACCAATAAGCTTATTGAGCAACTTCCTTACGATATCCTCGCAATTGGGAATCATGAACTTTATGTGTATAATGTTACGTTCGACATGTACAAGTATTTTGCGCCGAAACAGGATGGAAAATACCTCTCATCGAACGTCAACATTACAGTCAATGATGGTAACGGTAAGATCATCAGCACGCCAGTTGGAAGTAAGTGTTCATGAGCCTTCTGTCAACTCTCGAATGCTAATTACAAGGTTCGTGCTAGGTCGCTACCGGAAATTCAAGACACTCTTGTGAGCACATTCTGTAAGAGAAGAACACAGAAGCTCACCAAACTCATTCAGCGGACGTAAGGTTACTGCCTTGGCATACTGTTCAACTTCAACGCGAATGCAGTAAATACGACCGTGCAGACTGTTCAGAACATGGTGAAGGAGCCGTGGTTCGCCGCTGCCATTACGGAGGAGCCTGACTTCTTCCTGTTGGTTGGGTGCGTCCATATTCGGATGGAGGTCAGCACGGCAACATTGACACCATTATTCAATCAGGCACATGCCAATTGCTCGAGATAACTGGCCCGTCGTCTTTAATGCCATTCGCGCTGTTCACCCTTTGACACCGATTTTCATCTTTGGAGGCCACAGTCATATTCGAGATTGCAATCAGCTCGATCCACGATCCATGTCCCTCGAATCCGGGCGTTACATGGAGACGGTTGGTTGGATGTCAGCGCAGCTTCCTCCGAAGCACCTCATCACTAACACCACAACCCTGAATGTGACTCGACGATATCTCGATGCCAACAGAAACACCTACATGTATCACACGAAAAAGAAACAATTTGACACGGCCGGCGGCTTGATCTTGTCGGAAGAGATCGTCCATTTGGCTAAGAAGTACAACATTAGTTACCAGTTCGGAACTGCTCCGCAGGATTACTACCTCAGCCGCGCGGCTTATCCGTCCAACGCATCAGTGTTGACATTGCTTGTGAACGAGGTATAGCCCAAACAGCCCTTACGCACCTGGGTGCTCATTTGCTTTCCCAAAGGTCATGCCAGTCGGTCTAGCCATTGCCAATCCGGCTCGAGCTTCAGTCCCTAACATTGCCGTCACCAATGCCGGCTCACAACGCTTTGACATCTATTCAGGCCCATTCACCCGCAACGATGAATTCGTCGTTTCGCCCTTCAACAACGGGTTCCTTTACGTCACTGTTCCCTTCAGTGTCGGAAGAAGGGTTCTTGGCGTACTGAATAATCAAGGAGCACCGGGAAAACGTGGCAATAATTTAGAAACCGAGACAGAGGAAGAATATGCTCGAGGTTACGTTGAGGGACGATTTAATGCATGGATAAGGAACATGTGGGCAGCCGCTCCGGCCGATTTGAAGCGCGTCCAGAATGCGAATTTGACGTTGGGTTACATGACCAATGATGTAAGCTCGGTTGCTTTCATCGGGATTTCTTGGCCAAATACCTCACCCTTGACCCAACTCAGAGTTGCCCAGGCGTCGGCGATGACACCCTTCACTCGCCAATGCCGCACTATAGTTCTCCAGCTTATATTGGCTCTCCCACTCCTACCGGCCTTACCGACTCGGACCCTATGGATGTCATTTTCCCGGACTTCTTCGAAGCGCAAATTCTTCTTGTCATTAACAGCTTGCAAAACACAAAGAACTACACAGCAGCAGACATTTCTACGTATGGGAATGTCTACACGAATACTATTTATGGGATCTTTGCAGAGGCGAAGTGGAAGTAATTCGGTACAACGAATTCTGCGATCGTTCGGTTCTGCTGATTCAAGTAGGGTTAGCTATTGATAGTTAGCCATCGTACTTTATCTATGAATGTGGCGACGACCACTCTTGTAATTGTTGCCAGAAATACTTGTCAAATTGATTCCGGTCGGAAGGATCCGAGCCGCTCTTCCTATCCTTTTGAAGGTTGATCAACTCAAAGCTTGTCTCCTTTCACGGTCCTGCGAACACATATGGAAGAGGAAAACGTGAAGGTGGAGGATACTAGGGACGTCCGAAAGGATGATAGGGGATCACCTCGTGACAGTGAGTCGATTTGTAGTAATTTATTTTTGAGTCCCAAATTACTGAACTTCCGTGTTCCGAACTAGGGAGAGACCCCAGGAGAAACACTAATGATCACTATGAACCTGACGATCGTAGAGACGTAAGTTCTGCACTCCTCGTGTTTACCATGCCAAGCGCTTACTTTTTTTGTTGGCGCTTCACACGCTAAACAGCGGCGCTCCAAGAGAGACAGATCTCGCTCTCGCTCTAGGTCCCGTGGTCGCTATCGTTCATCCTCGCCTCGGTCTCGTCATCGGCGCCACAGTCGAAGCCGCTCTCGCTCCAGTCATCGCTCTCGTTCCCGCTCTCGCGACCGCTATCGCAGCCGGCGTGACCGCGACCGTTACCGTGGTCGTGACCGAGACCGTAATCGCGATTTAGGCCAAGACCGCGATCGCATTCCTCGCAGCCTTGGAGGCCCGGTGAATGCGCCCCACGAAGAAGCAGTCGAGTTCGCGAAGATTAGCAAGAGGGAAAATCGTGTTTATGTCGGAAATCTCAGTTACGACGTCAAGTATGGTGATTTGATTGAGTTTATGAGGGGAGGTGGGTGGCGTTACGTGGAAAATCTTTTGTCGCTGCGATGTTGTTATTCCTGGTGGTTGGGGAGCTTGAATGGAAGTATTGAGCTTATCAGAGGCGTATGGGCATGTTGTGGCTGAAAGGGCGGGCGGGCGGGCAGTCTTTTAGCGGGCGCACCAAGCTTCACACTAGGCCTCATGCTTGATCAAGTTCCCCAGACCCATTCCTCCATTTTTGTTCATATATCCATTTTGCTGGTCCTGGGCCGATGGAAGGGACGGAATGTTGATGAGTGGTTCTTTTGGGTTGTAGCTGGAGAAGTCCTGTTTGCCGAGGTCCTTGTTACCCCTTCAGGTGTCTCGAAGGGCTGCGGGTAAGCAGAAAAAAATTCTTCTCCTGCGTGGTCATGCCGTGATAACATGTATTTGTTTATAGGATTGTTGAGTTTTCCACTACAGAGGAAGTACAAAGAGCGATAAAGGAACTTGGGGAACAATTGCTTCTTGGCCGGCCTGTGTTTATTCGTGAGGTGTGTATAATCGATCATCCTTCTCATCACGAAACTTAGTTACGTGCGCGTAGGATCGTGAGAATGAGTCTAGGTTTGGTGCAACACCTGTTCCCGGCAAGATGGGAGCGGCGCTTGCTCACGGAGGTGCCCCATATGGTTCAAACGCTTTTGGTGGTCCACGCCCACTCCCCAACGTAGCCAACCCTGGGAATCAGCTTTATGTCGGTAATGTACGCATGGGCTCATCATTACTCCGCGCTTGAATGAGCGACTGAATTTTCATAACTAGCTTCCATACCAGGCGGGATGGCAAGATTTGAAAGACTTATTCCGCTCTGCGGGGAACATCGTCCGAGCTGACATCAATATTGGACCAGATGGCCGGGCAAAAGGTTCTGGGACCGTCATTTACGAAAGCGTGAAGGACGCACAAGCAGCCATTGGTGTGTATTACAGCTGAAGCCTCGGAGATGCATCTGAGTCTGGCCTTTGGATAGAAATGTATCATGGATATGAATGGTATGGTCGTGCTCTTGAAGTGCGCGAAGTAAGCAATCTCTTTCTGTGGCATTTCTTCATTTTGATGGCACACTGCTGCAGGACCGCTATGCTGGTTTGACAGGACCCAGTGTCTATCGAGGTCGTGGTTTCCCACCCCGTGGTTTAGGTCGTGGTTATATGGGCGGTCGTGGCTTTAGTAGGGGCGGTTTCTCCCGAGGTGGCATGGGTGGTGGGGTCGGACGACAGTTTAGCAACGACATCTACGCCGACTACAATGGCCCCAATGCGAGTAACTACAACCATGTGGGCATCCCGACAGGCCCCCATGGCTACAATGCGGCTCCCTACGGTGGTGGGTTCCCAGGTGGAGAGCCCAACAACCAGATCATGGTTCGAAACGTGAGTGTAGATTCAATTGGCAAATCCACGTAGATACTAATGTATTACGCCTCCAGTTACCGTGGTCTACTGCGAATGAAGACCTGGTCGAGCTTTTTGAGACTACTGGCGTTGTTGAGCAAGCTGAAATTTTATTTGACGGCACTAGGTCAAAGGGCTCTGGAGTGGTTCAGTTCGCTTCAGTGGAAGAAGCTGAGACGGCCATTGCCAAATTCTCTGGGTATCAATACGGCGGGAGATCCCTCGGTACGCGCGTCTCACTCATTCCATGGGCATGGGTTAACTAACGCCAACTGCCTTCAGATGTTCGTTTCAATGACCGAACTCACTTGTTCGCCCCCACCGCCGCCAGGGGTACTCATATGCAAGGATAAAATCTCCGCTCGCGTTCCCAAAAAGATCACTTTTCCCGTTGATTGCTTGTTACCCCTTTCACTTTGCTGTGTCTGCGACCCAAACCGCCATTTCTATTTGTGCAAAGCGACGGCTCACGTCAAATAATGTAAATTTTCACTTCTTGACGATACTCGCGCAGAGCGATCATGGACCGAGGGGACGGATGACATTATCATTAAATTCTGGAGTATAGTATGAGGGGAATTACGCGAACAAGGGGACACAGTAGTATGGAGCAACAAAGTTATGGCAAAAAAGCAGTCACAGCATTTAAGCAACAGGGCGAATAATTATCAAGACAAAATTAATCATGAATCCTAATTGCAGGAACATGCATCAACACAAATTAAAAGCGAGACACACCAAATTTCAACACATGTCAATGACGCAATGGTTTTTAGGATCCAGTGGCTGCTACAGCCCTTGCAGGATCGTTTCGATCGTGATTGGGCATCTATGCGAACGCAGAGAAACGTCAAAGGACAAGACAGCGCAGAAAATGCTAAAATGACGCACAACTCCGTTTTGCTTGTAGAAATGGGAATGCGTCGGTTGAGAGACGACATCGTCCAAGTACGAATTCCCGTCAGCATCAGGGGATGAAAGGGCTTCAAGTTCTAAGGCCGTCGATTAGTAACCAAAGATTTTCCCTCAATAGGAGGGGAGTTGCGCCTACCTGCTTGTAAATCCTCTTCGTCTATCTCATCTGGAACGGCATAGCTTCGCTTCGTTGACTCCTCCCTTGCACTCCCACGGACATCTTTCCTTCCCTCAGGAAAATGCTAAATATACCGATAGTCGAAATGTATGAATCAGTCTCTAATGGGGGACAAGCACTTGTCCCTGACGCACATCGACTTTGGTGACTTCCGCCTACACAAAAGGGTACGATACAAGGTTTGCTACAACTAAATTTCGAGCAAAAATGAAAAGCAACGCACCCTTTGCTGGCTTGCCTTTAGGTCCCCACTTGGGACATTATCGACGATAAGCGTGGCACTCTGCATATCGAAACCCCTTGACGTTATGAAGGATGAACGGTTCTTGTACCTATTCACAATCGAGTCAGTGATTATGAGTATGCGAGGAGAAGGGTTATATAGGAGGGTGAGTGATGTAGAAGTGTGAAAATGTTGATTTCACTCCGGCGGCGAATAGGAGGAACAGAGGCTGTACCACAAAATTTCCTTTCGTCTCCGCGCGTATCACCGACTGATGATCCGAGAGCTGTCGAGCGGCCGGCGACGTGTCAGAGGCGACGGGCGAGAGAAGGGCACAGGATGCACACAGTGACGGCAGGACAGCTGATGTCCTCAATATGGTAGAAGGAGTTAGGAGGGCTGAAAGGGCTGACCTTTGCCCGTTAGTATTCAAATGGTTCTTCAAAAAAAAAACAGCTAGGCCTCTGATTTGGCTTCACAGGCCCTCTGTTCGAAATAATTTGGATCGGGTGGTGTCCACAAGGAGGCAAGTCACCAATGGGAAAGGATTTGCTACGTAGGAAAGGGGATCATTGAATACCCCCCATTCGGGTTTGTCATAGAAGTCGATAAGCCGGTGTGTGGAAACATGGTGAAATGATGGGCTGGGTTACCCACGAGATAAGACTGGACTCAGTTTCCTTGCGGTCAGTGTTTGATGAAGTACTGTGGCAGCGGAGGGTGAAGCTCGTAGAGAGAAGTGGGGAGCAGGAGGAAAGTCCCCGTCGATTGTTGTCCTTTGATCCTATAAAGGCTCGTCTGTGAATGAAGTTTAAAACACGTGCGCAACAATTATGATTCAAATGGGTAGCGGAGTTGTCCGAATTTATTGTTAATTGTTATATTGTGTGTGTGTGCCAAACTCTTTCGATCTCCATGGAGTTCCCGCAAACACATCCAGAAAACACTTCAAAAATAGAGATTGTGAGTAGTTGGTTTCCTCTTTTGTCAGGTGCAAGCTGAGGGGTTTTCAGCTTCCCGGGGCACAGCCTGATCTGTCGGCAGCCACTTATGTCCTCCACCATGAAACACATACGCTTGGGAATGCCCTGCGGTGGATTTTGACAAAAAAGTGAGCTATTTTTAACGAATTAATTCTAGACTTCATTTGAGGCCTTTGTTTTAGTCCGAAAGTTGAGTTTTGCGGGTACAGGTTGGATGGGCTCTCGCGAGCTCATTGCACCATACTTACCATTTCCATCATTCATCCAGTGTGCCGCATCCCTCAGAGCCAAAAATACACCTACGCATACAGATGTATGGTGCGCCCTGGTTTCATTATGTCTATATTGAAGCCTTTCATGGAGTTCTCAACCTACTCAGATAACCTTTCATCACTCGACGCCCTTATAGAGGCTCTGGACAATCTCGATAAACTTTGCGAAGCCATAGGCGAGGCATATGAACAAAGCCTGGCTTCAAACGATTACGAAAAATTTAAGGAGAGATTATAAGAGTGACACCCTAGAGTAAGCCACTCTGACTATGACAACGCAGGCGACCCCTTATCTTTTCATTGAGGTTTCCAATAGCGTCCGTTATTCTGGGCATCCGCCGTGCCCCTTGCTAGGTCCAGCCCTCTTCTGTACGCAATATTCATCGCATGACGCCTCTTCACTGATCACCCGCGACGCTCATGCACTTGTTTCTTTAGTTCCCCATTCATACTTCTCGATCGGTACGTCGGTTTTATCTTTTCTTTTTATTCGCGTCCGCCGGCCTCTGCCTTCTTTCTTTTATGCGCGCCCGCTGAGCGTTTCGGCCTCCGTGCCTTCTCATCTGCACCTGTAGTACGCTCCGGCTTCTCAGTCACTACCTCTTGCGTGCGCTGCACGCTTTCGATCCACAGCTTCTCTCTCTCTCTTGCGTCCGCGCACGCTGGAGTTTATTTCTTTGTTCTATGACTCTATCGTATATTTTTGAACCAATTTTCTTATCAGTTTGGTTATAGGAAATTTGGTTGGGTTACAAATATTCGGGATGAAGGCGGTTTAGCCTTGGTTATCCTTCGCGAGTTGGAACCCGGAGGTTTCCTTGTGTTTGCCTCTTTACTCTTAGCTGTTTTCATCGTTATTCTCCACCTGCCCCATCGCCTCCTTTTTGTATTTACCGGCTCGCTTCAAATCAAGAGGCTTCGACATCCTGTCGGGGCCGTCGCCACTACCCTTCGCGCCTTCTCACACACAAGGTCTGCAATGTAATACGAACACTGCATGCCTAATCTCTATAGCCAACCACGTAACCGTCCTCCATCAGGTCCGGAAGGATCTCAGAGGCTACGGCGGAACTTTCATAATGTCTAAACTTCCCCCGTCGGAACCGAAACCGAACAATCAAACCCACAAGAACGAAGTCGGCTTCACCACTGCCTCCGTGCTCGCAACCACGCTCAAACTTTTCCCGACCCTCTCAAACACCTTGATTCCCCCCCCATTTACACCGCCGGCAATGATATACCTGCCATCATTACCCCCAATACTCATCCCACGGAGATGATGTAGACCAGTTGCCACAGAATTAACGAGTTTGAACTGTGACTCCCCATCAAACTCATACAACAATGTGTGCTGATGCAGTGTGAATATCGCGATGGAATCGCCTCCTGGCGGCCCTTCATTCCGATTCGATACATACAGGAGTGGGATAGGATGCAGTGGCGTGGAATCACTGATCAAGATTTCGGCTGCCGACATTCCGGGAGTTGAATGAATAGGTTAGAGGCAGCAAGTCGTATGTGGTGGATAGAAAAAGGCAACTTGCACCTACCAAGGAGGTTTTCTGGCTTCGCACCCTGCGGAAGACTTGAGAGTGACCCGAGCGGGATGGACTTTCCAGGGCGCTCAGTGAAAATGTGTGATGCAACCTCATTGGTGAGTTCAAGAGCTGTGTAAATAATGTTGTCTTCGTTTTTAATGCCATCAGTGATTGACGCGAGTATTTGAGATCAAATCACGCAGGCGGTTTGCATTCAACGTACCATGTATCACTGCGTGCCTGGGACCGCTGCCCGGTACAAAATCGATAGAGCCGGCAACGCTCCATTTGCCTCCGTCGCCCTCAGTCAGTCGCCAGATCTTGTCAGCGCCCAAATCAGGAACTAGGATTTCCTTTTGTGTCCCATGACGAAGGATAACTTGATGAGGGTGTGAAGATTCTTGACGACTCTTGTTAGGGCCTTTCCCTTCGAATGTGATAGGGTCCTGGCGTCGCTGCTGCAGGTATGGGGAGGTAGCAGAGAGCGGCACCTCTAGGATAGAGCTTCCCATGTACTAATCCCAGCGTGTCGTGATCTTAAGTTATCGATCGTGGAGGGAATCTTACGTTGGCAACCACGACCGCATCCTCAGACACCCCTAAATTGGCAGGAAGAGCTCCGCCCGATGAACATTCCTCGAGGAAAGTTAATCGCCCATCCTTAGCGAGTCTGAACAGTTGGATTTTCCCATCCTCCACTTCGTTTGTAGCAAAAATAAGTGACTTGTCGGTAGGATGTTGTGCTATCCATGATGGACTTTGTCCTGCCTGGACGGTTGAAAGCACTTGAAGGGTCTTGCGATCTGGATCAAACGCCAGGGTAGTTATGCGGTCGGTGTACGATCCTACCAGGATCTTATACGACATCAGAAAGGTGATAAGAAGGATGGGCGAATAATCGAGGTTGGGACATGAGCAATATATATATGATATGATGTCCTGCATGGGTGCATGGAAATCGGAACTTCACCGGAACTCACTCGATGCCGAGGCGTGTCAGATAGCGATTGATCGTGGGGAAATGTTCGCCTTGCCCGAGTTTCGTTCTCGATCTCGCATGCGGGCTATCTTGAGGGCGATATATCACACTGGCTCAATTTTTAGGTGCTTGGCGTATAACACAAAGTAATGGATTTCTCCGCTGTTATGTATGTATTAAAATGAACACAATGTCCCACTCTTTCATGTCAGAGGTGACAAGGAACTGAACAGGGATCGGTGTGAAGTTGGATTGTGTCCCAAAGATCTTCTGTTGAATGTCGCGGACTATATCAAGGCTGTGAATGACTGGCGCGAAACATCGGCATCACACTCACGATGCTGCTCTGACACTGAGGGTGTATAGAACGCCCGGAGATGGATAGGATTCAGATAGCTATTAAAATCCTGATCTGAGCCGAAGGCATTGTCTGCAAAAGGGTTTAGCCATATCAAGACTGAAATGATATCATTTCTCACCTAGTGTCCCTCGAACGGCAACCAACGCGCAGGTATGATCATCTCCAGATGGGGAAACCTCAAAATAGAGCTCACTTCCCCCTTCCTGGAGAGACCTGGATATAAGTTCTCTTCTCCGTCCCTCTCCACATCCTGAAGGGGGATTAGATGTGTAGCCTCCCTAATTAAATACTCACTCTCAGGCAACGTATCCCATGTAGCTCCGTCCGATCCTGTCTCCCTGTTGCAATGATACAAAACTTGAGCCTCGACCGTAGCTGACCGCGGTAACTCCTTGACCCCAATGATAACGGCTGTGAGTTTTATTCCTGACTGCGTCATGTATTAGCCGATCAGAGCGAAATGAGGACCTCGCCCGTGAAAGCGCACGTTTGAGTGCTTGTTCCAAGCAGCCGCGACTATTTGCACATCTTGAGCTGCACACTCTCTAGCTTCGAGCCAGAAGATGGCACTTTGAGCAATCTCCTTCCCTGCTCCTTTCTGATCGATCATCTCGGACATGCAACGAGCAATTCTCCGAACATGCTGCAAAGAAAGGGCGACTTCAAGAGGCAAAGATTTCGGCGAAGGCATCGTCATAGAGCTGGGTATCAGCCCAATCTGACCAGAAATAAACAATCTCTGGCCAATCTTCAACAGTATTTAGTGATAAGGCTGTGATACAATTGCCAGGTGCGAACTTACCGATACACATTGAGAATATGGCCCAATGTTTGCTGGTGCCCAGTAGCTCATGCTTTGAACATGAAGGGCTCTGCGGTCACCAGGCTGAAGTCCACTGCATGCTATGACGTCCAATCGAACGCGTGCTGGCGAGGGAAGATTGATTGCCACGCAAGCGCGAGTGGGCGGACTGGTGCCAAATAATTGGTACATTGCCATGTTGATGTATGGAAAGTGTTCCATGGTACCCAGGTAGACGTTGACATGAGATATGTGGGAAAGGTTCAAGGAGTGCCGGCTAAGCATGTCTTAAGACCCCATCGGGGAATAATTGGTAAGCAGATGCCACGGAGGAAACGTTGTGATGTACCTGAAACGAGATCCCAACATTGTGCACACTCCTCTTCTATAGACAGCAACTCTGTCGTGCTTCCTTGTACATTTGATAGGGAAACCCACTTGCGACTGTCCGAGAAGGCGCTGTTCATCGCGCATGTTGGGAAATGAGGAGACGGGAGAGGAGGTGATTGGAGCTTCAATGGAGTAAGAATGGCGGTCTGTGAGAGATTCTCCGCTGAAACCTTAACGGCCACGCCCAGTTCGTCGAGCATAGGAGGGATTCCCACAACAAAACTTGTAGAATGCGAATCGTTTTCAATCAGGTCAGCACCCAGTATCCTTAGATATGCGACGGGGGCAATGTCACTAGTTGAGTGCATCACCGTTTCGACTTGTCGGCTGAGGCAGGATCAGTAGCGGAAAATCAAATCCAGAAGACTGGCGTATCAAATCTCACAGGCTGATTCGGCGGTGAAATATGGGACACTCCAAAGTGAGTGTCTCGTATTCCCCACCCTCCCCGCAAATATGAGATCCATACAGCATGCACTTTTCCCCCAAGAAGCTATATTAAAAACAAAAACGTACCACTCTTGCAAAGACAAACTCACAAGTCTTTCGAGTTCAGGTTGCATTTGCGCCAAGGTTCGTCCGAGATGCTTGGGATACAGACCAAGACCAGCTACCTTAATAATAACGGCCTCTAGACCAGCCTCGATCATCTCTGAAAGAAGCTCCCTTTGGTTTCGTTGCCATAGATAGCTAAGCGAAGTAAGGCCCAGCCGACGGCAACTTTGTGGGTTCATTCTTTAGTGTTCGAGTTGGGGGGAACAGATGTATGCACCTACACATGTTCCACACGAATACGCTGATAATTTGACAAAATCGCACCAACAGATACGCCCTCTATTTCAGGATGATTATCCTGAAGACGGTTGTTGGCCATTGCTTTCTGTATCTGGCAGCGAAGTCACCTTCACGATTTTCAATAACTCAAACATATCCTCTGTCTCATCCCCTTCCACACCAGTATGGCTCGCACTGCTCGAAGGCGCTACTTGCGATGGGATTAACCGAGAACCATACTCTGATCCTTGTTCAAGAGCGAATCCATTTATGACGTGACGATAAAGCGGGACCGCAAGTGCTTTTGCAACGTATTCTATGGCATCTTGTCCAACCGTCTGATACATGAAGGAGTCAAGCTCCTCTACACAGATCTGCTTGAACGAAATAGTCATGTTGCCAGATCGATCCGAGCCAACCTTTGCCAATATTTGGCCGAAGTGATGCAGCTGCAATGACAGCATGGCCATTCCTTACGCAGTGCATTAGGTTGTAGCAGCTATCCTTCCCCCCAGAAAGAAGCGCTACGAGCTTCATGTTGCATAGGGACTCAAAGTGGACTTGTAGGCGCCGCTCTATTCAGTTAGTTTTTCTTAAATCGGCTAAGGCCGATATGTCAATGAACTCACGGAGTGGCTACTAGGGAAGTCACTGAACCAAGACTTACACGAGGAGTGTGTAAATACAGGACTTAACTATCTACGAAGATTGGGGTTTATATACGGATCAAAGGTGGCTCATATAAGCTGAACGCTTACATTTGCCCTCCTGCGATGTTGACGAAGGCTCGCATCTACAAGCCAGTTAGCCATCTGTGCACTCCGTTTGTGTAGCCATAGAGGAAAACGGAGCGAACACGTCCGCTCAAACGAGCAAAGTAGCAGACATTGTTGACTTTATTTCGTTGTTTTCTCTATCTTCGGAAATTCCCGCTACTCTGTAGCGGGTCCTGCGAAATGCGTTTGATAACAAGGTCCTCTATTATTGCCAATTCTGCATAATCCGGGTTCGTAATTATACCGGCCCACTCTCAACTCGCTTCCTCTGCCTTCCCCCTCTTGCCTTTGCTTGTTCTCTAATGCTTTCCGGATCACCGCTAGCTTTCAGTTCCTTGACCGACGTCACAGGTGTTTCTTCATCCATTTTGCATATCCTTAGCTCCCTAGTCTGCAAGCTAGGCTTTTACCATCTGCCGAATTGGCTTCTCACCAGTTGATTCCCATTGCTGAACACCATGACATTTCTTTATATGTTTGCGCTCTGTCGCATAATCATGCACATGTTCTGTTTGGTGATTGTTACGAAATTCGCATGGCCGCTACCACCTTCCCCGTGTGTGTCCATCTTTCTCCGATTTACTGCATATACTTACCTTTTTGCTCTCTTCTGTATGCCCTTTCGAATATCAAAAATGGTTCTGCCATGCTCTACGCGTTTTGGGCTCTCCGAACCACGATGACGTCCTCTTTCGATTTTAACAATTCTCCTGCTATTACCCTGATCCACAGAACATCATTGGAGTCCATGTCTTCCTCTGACCTCTGCACCCTCTGTTTTTTTTTTCCACCGCATTCATCACAGACGTCGTGATGTAGGCCCTAAATTCCTACGCCGCGTGTTGTCACATTTTAACATTCCCTTCAATCCAAATACCATTCTGATCTCATTACTACAAACCTCTTTTTCTCTACTGCTCCTCATTCTGACCATCTTTACCAGCAATAGCGCGCACAGTGTGCCGCCCGTTGGCCAGCCCAAACCCTTGACAGCAGTAACAAAACAAATGATAAAGGACTTTTACGCGTTATTATCCTCTTCGTCCCTCGCAACAAGAGGGCTCAATGTTCATCTTAGGGGGCTGTCAGTGGTTCGGACAATATCGTTCATCTCACTCCGTGATCGATTGCCTGTCATGTGCTGTGGTTCATTGTGTGTCCCTCCCTATCTTCATGCATAGTGGAATCGTTGAACAAGCAAGGGAAGAAGAGTGGCGGGTACTACCGCGTCAGACGGCGTGCTAACTAGCTCGTAAATGCGAGTCTTGGTTAACATGCAGGCGTTCAGCTTATATAAGCCACCTCTGACCCATATACAAACCCCAATCTTCGTAGATATGCAGTTAAGTAGAGATCGTGTATTTACACACTCCACTTTTTGTGTAAATCGAGCTTACTTAGTTCAGTGACTTCTCTAGCCACTTGTGAGCTCATTGATCATCTAACTTCACTCTTCGGCCTTCGCATGGGATTCCGCTTTCCGCCGTTCTTTACGAATACTCTCTAAATTCTAGCGCGTCGCTTAACATCGACGAAGACACCAGCCTCAATGCCTAGGGAAGTCTCCACGCAAATTCGATTGCTGCGGCCCGAGCTCTGTCCCACTTTACTGGATCCATCGAAGCATTGGGCTCTTTCCGTCGCGGCTGCTTGATAACCTTCCTCTGAAGTTAATAATTCGGAGGGAGTGGCATTAAATTTTAAGTTTATTAAGTCTGCAACTTTGTCACTAACCTTCCTCGACGTCTTCACGAAGAATTTCTGGCCCCTCACTTGATCTCCTAATTTGATCTTGATTAAACCAGGCTCTTGTATGATGTCAATCCCCTCAACCGTGTCACCATTGTCTTTGGCTACTTCAATGTCATATCTGTCGTGGTACATAGTCTTGTTATCGACGACAATGTGGAGCTCCTCCGCGCTTGCTCCAATAAAACCGGCCCTGTAAGAGCGAGAAGAGTGTTCATATTTCTCGTAACGCAGAGTCGCTAGGAAGACGAGTGAGTGGGGAATATAAGGAACGAATCCATCCGAATGGAAAAACTTCGCGATGTTGACTACGCATTGTGGAATTTCTCCCACAATTCGACTGGCGATAGCCGCTGGAATACTTCCGTTTGGATTCACTGAGAATATAGTATCTTCCGTCACCCGCAACAGGGCTACGTATCTTCCCGGACGCACCTTTGACCAAGTAGGTTACATCCGTATCAGTTTCTCCGGATGGTCGAAATACAAAGCCTGCTACCTTCAGGTTTGCTCGAACTTTCCCAGAGGTCTCAGGAGTACGGGCGTCATTCGGAACAGATGTTTGTACAGCTTCTATTGTACCGTCATCGTGGAATATTGCATCGTGCACGCCGACGATGTCGCGTTGGGATACAAGGACACTGGCAGCACCTCTTTTGGCAAGTCAGCTCTTGCGGACAAATCTTGTTCCCATGAGGAAAGATAGCTCGCCTTTCAATCGAATAAAATTTGTAGGACCGACGACCATACCGGGCCAGGGCGTGCCGTTCCAGGAAACGTGCTATCAGCGGCGACAAGTTGGTGTCGAATCAAATCCATCAACGTTGCAGGGCCATGACCAGCACGCACGGGGAGTGGCCCCGAGATAAAGAAGTGACTTACGATCCCATGCGCGTCTTGCACCTTCTTGGAGCGCAATTTGGCAGAGCGCCTCTGGTTTCGCTCCCCGAATGATACCGCGCCCTCTAACAAGAGGGATCTGTGATGGATCGTCTGGAACACGTTTCTTCTCCATGACAATCCCATCCTTGTCACCTGCGGTCAAGTTTCATAGCCTTGGATCGGAACAGCAACGTCCGGGCGCACCGATAAATTTCCAACCATCGGCAGAGACCGATTCAGTGCGAAGGTACTCATAGGCGCGATTCAAGTAATCTCTATACGGGTTCTCAGAGTACCCGTTGGGCACTGGGTCTTCTGGTATATTTATATTCCCCATTTTGCTTGTCTCCTGTCCAGCGAACACATCAGCGGGCTGTGTCTCGTTTTGAGGGGTCTTGTGTGGTCGCGTCATATATGAATGATGGGGGTATAAATAGTTTGGGGTTGGTTGGTTGATGTGCCTTTTATTTATTTTTTGGGGGGGGAACCTTCGCGGGCGGTTGCCGGTGGGATGGAGTGCGGAAGCAGCGCGGAGCTTGCTTTCCAGGAAGGGGAAATGCGTTAGCGCACACGTGAATTTATCGCTCCTTGTCGGAAAACACGGAATTTCGTTTTAACGCGTTAAGAGCTCTCAACGCGTTTCAACGCCTTATTGATCCGTTCCAACGCTTTATTAATTTGTTCCAACACTTTGCTAGTCCGTTCCAACGCTCAATGCAAAAATCAAATTGTAAATACTCAGCCCCGCTGTAAACATCCCTGTTCACAAACGCATGGACGCACTTCCCCTTCACTGCCAACCACGGCTGCAGCAACTGTACACTCACATTTCCATACCCTGTACTTCCAAGCCACATGGGAGTCCCCCATACTCAGGCAAACACACGTTCCATGATCCATTGCCACAAATTACCTTCACTTGCTTCACATCGATGACGTCTACCTACTTGACGGTCAAGCCACTCTCACAGCGAACGACCACTTCAGCAAGTGACAAATCCCCAACAACCCCACCGTTCTCTTCCTGTGTCATTTTAACCAGTGGGGTTCCATATGGGAGGCTGGGCGCTGAGTCGTAACATGTCATTCAGGGACAGCATGGACAACGATTCCGACCACACACAGAGTGCACCCCCCATCAACTGTCAGTGTCCAGCATAGGAATCTTCCTTTATCGCTCCATGTTCCACCACCCTCAATGTCCACCGCACATTCTTATTTAAGCCACTTCATTCACTGAGTTCTGATTTGTGTTTGCACTCATGTTCTCCTCAATACCACTGCTAAAATGAACAACAATCACGTTCAACTTCGTTCGAATTCTAACTCCACATAGCACCACCATTGAGCACAATGAGTTAGACCTCAATCCCACAGCGGGTGTACACATATTGAGAATACTAAGTAACTTAGCCCATATACACTCAAAAGGCCTATGATTGATACAACTTTATGTCAACATATCAGCGCGGAGCTGAGAGTGCATGGTAGTGTAGCGGTTATGAATGTACTTACTATAATGATCACAGTGTTCCTCGGTTCAATTCCCACCTGTACCAACCATTTAATGATATTTAGTTCTGGTCCTATTCCGCAATGTGAGTCACCAAAATCGAGGATAATGTGTGGGGATGTAATGAAGTGAAGGTATGCTTCAATCCTGGCTTGCAAGGGGTTGTCTCTTTTTGTTGACCCTACCTTGTTGCCGTTGCAACGCGTTGAAACGGAGGCAAAGCGTTACAACGCCTCGAAGCGTTGGAACGATCGAGTTCAGTGTTGAGAGCGTTAGAACGGCACGTGCCGTTGAAAGGCGTTACAACGCCTTGTAACGGGTTACAACGCTTCCGCAGTGTTTTCCGACACTCTCATGACCTTGGGCTGCTGCTGAGACAGTTCTCAGGGAAACTCGCTTTGTTCAAGAGGGCACCACTCCAGGCGCTAAGGACGAGACCTGCTTTTTAGAGGGTGAAGTTCAGGACCCAAACAAAGCTGGATCACCTTGGGTCCTTATGAGTTGTCCCCGTCTCAGCAGCATTACTCGGGGGAGGAATTAGGTCTGATAACTGTATGTATTCCTCAATACGCACACGTACAATTTTTATCCCAAGGACGATGATGTTGAGTTCAAGACCTCTAAGGATTGTCGGTTCGTACGACGTTGCACAGCGAGAGCTTATCCCTGAATGGTGGTTGGTTCATCAACTTTGAAGATGGTCCCGTATATGCACGAGTTTCCTTTCTACCTCCAGCTATAAGTATGTACATCCTATATCATGACTACCCGGGGGATTGTAGCTACTTGTCGACATGTCATACGCCCTAGCTTTGCTGCCTGCCGAGACGGGTGGATTGGCTTGGCATCGGAACAATCCATGGCCCCAGCCTGGATTGCTGGATATGTTAGTGTAATTCGGGGCGAATGTTGGCACGGCGCCTTTTTCACATCTGGACGGCGGAAGAGCGTGTCTAAGCAGGCTTTCTGTACCGTTTAAGATCTATTCCCGATTCTCCTGTGCTTGGACTGAGTACAAAGCAATGCTGCGGGGTCCAGCATGCACGACACCTCATGACCCTGACGCCAAATCGCACTACTGAGCTAGTAGGGAGCCCGGAGATTAGCTATCTTGACGTTCAAGTACGATGCGAGGCAAAAGTTCGTGGTTGTCCACCTCGTAGAAGTGTTTGAGATGCTGGTCCTCGGTCTGTAACGGCAGGAAAAGACAGATATGGACCTTCAGCAGCAAAGCCACCCTTAGATCGGAAAGTGTGGCAAGACCGTACCCCTACTCGGAAAGTCTGTGTACAGCGAATGTGGCGAGACAGACTCCCTTGCGTTCGCAGGTCTTAAATTTGGGTGGAGTGTTGCCGTGCGTAGGTCAGGTCATATTGACGTGGCGTGAATGGTTGCTGTGGAATGACGAATGTCCAAAGGATTTCAAACTTTGGGGATTCATGGCATCAATGTCAATTCACCTAGCGAATATCGGGATTCAGGCAATTCATTTCTGCAGCTAGAAGGCTTGCATGCGATCCTGTCAAATTGCAGAGGCAAGGGAATAAAAGATAGCATCTTCGATAGGTTTCCTCCCCTCACCCATATCGACCTAGGTGCGTTTTGACAAGTGAAGTGACGGACTATGCCGATGGAACTCGGGAAGGACATCATGGGCTGTAAGACGGTCGATCTGTGCGATCGACACATACATCCCAATGTGCCTTTTGTTTACATTCCGAACTCGAACATTGATTTGATTTACTAATTACACGCTTGCCTCCCGTCTAACGAAGCTGTGTGAGTGAGTAACTGAGGAATTTTCCTCATGCAGTATTCTCGGGCTGCTGCGTTCCGCTACGATGCATATGCCCAAGTGCATGAACTATCACGAAAGGAGATGCAGAAACAAAGAGGCTCATAGCTCGTACTTAGAATAACACGCGCCCTGTAGGAATCCAATGTTCCCGCGACGGTGAGTGACCACCTTGGAAGAAAACTATTTTCCGGAAAAAGGCACCTGCTGATCATAGGCCGTTCGTGATATATGCAACCCACTATGTTCATCTCCTTACCCGCGGGGACCTTCCTATGTATCATTCTTGAAAAGAAGAACAAATTTTGAGCGTGCTGACGGAGAAATCTACAACCACGAGATCTACGCGAAGATACTATTTTTCAACCACAGCTAACCTTTCTGACGCAACCAATTAACTTGGAGCCCTTACCGGACTTAGGTCTCTCTGGACCATGCACCTCTCCCCCCTGTTTTAGGTAAAATGCTCGGACTCATCACGCTCGGGACAAGCAACAGAATTTGGATCAGAGAATATGTGACACCCGAACATTTCCGCCAATGATCGGTGGCTTTCGAGTAATTTGGGTGATGAGCCGTTGCGCAATTCCCCTTGCCGAAGCCAGAAGCCGGGGCACATCTCAGGTTAAAGTCAAGGTCCGCAAAAATGCGCCAACTGGCATGTTACAGGGGGCCTCCTTCAGCCCAATGTCAGGAACCTCAGGTTACATTTGAGCTGCCGGGCGGACGAACATTACAGCCAGCAATGACGTCGTGACTTCGCTTGAACAAAGTCCAGGCTACGTAATCCCTGCGATACCAGGAAGCTTTCTGTCTGCACCAGTCATGTGCCAATGAACTAATAAGTACGCGGGATTAGCAGGAGAGGAGACCTACATGATAACCAAAGTACTGATATTCATGCATCCCGAAACCTCATGCGAGTTAATGTCGGACGCGAAACAGCCCGAGAAGCGAATATTGATCTCGGGTATAATCAGTGAGTGGGGGTAAAGCAAAGGTCCCCCTTCTCTAGTCCTACAATCACCATTGCAGTACGCCCTCATCGTCGGAACGATTCACGAACACCCAGGCTAGGACTGCGCAAACTCAAAGATGTATTAAATAGATCATTACTTCATTGCCATATACAGACACAGTCCGAATCAACGCTCACACTCCAACAACGACGCTCCGAGATCGGAAGCACCTTGGTGCAAGAAGGACAAATTGACTGGAGGGACGCTGGTATTGAGCTTGATGGGTAAGGAGATTGTCTCTCGATATATTGGCTACGCTGCCGGAATGGATGAATTTCCACTTCACAGTCAGCGCCAGACTTGCGCTCATAAGTTCCCCCTTGTGGGAAGGTGGGAACCTATTGTGCCAAAGGGGTTTGGTTGTCGACCGCGAACAGTCGGAACGTGCACTTCATCCTAGCCGGTGCAATCCACTGTTATCGGGGAGATCCACGCAATGATACTAGATAAACTCACAGAGATCTGACGAGTACATGGTGTGTACTCAAGCATACGAGACATTTGGAGATGTCTATTGGTTGGGGGGAGCTGGCGAAGGAATGGGAACTGAGGGAGGGGGAGGGGTGGTGGCAGTGGTATAGGTGGCGGCGGTAGTGGGATGGGGAAAGGCTGAGGTTTTATCCACAGCGCACCAAGATTTGGCCCCCGCTGATCGGGGTGAGGGGGGGGAAGCACGGCATAGAGCAGGTGGGCGGGTAGGATTGGAAAGGGGCCGCAGATGTCGTTGGGGAACCAGTACTACATCCCAGCGGCTGATGGTGCTTCTCGATCGCATCCCTGACTGCCTCCCTGGAATGGAGGCCCATGGGATGTCGTTCGCGGGTGACCATGAAGCGCCGGTCCCTCCCCCTCCAAACTGCCTTGCTTCCCGCCTCAAGTTCCTGGATCTGGTTGGACAATGAGAAATTTTAGTGTGGTTTTCAAATTTTCCAAGTCAAATACGGAAGCATCACTCACCATAGCACGCACATTGAAGCGCCAGAAAAGAGGATACGGCCCATAGCTCCGTATCAACTTGTCCATGATCTCAGGACTTAGTTCAATACAGAGCTTTATAAGCCCTTTCTGCCTCCTTTTCTCGCCAGGTTTCAACTGCTCTATGGGACCCATTTGGGCTTGAGTATCGTGGAAGATTCCATGGGGCGTAGCTGCAGCTCGAGAGCAGCCAAGAACGCCTTCTCAGTCACTCGATTGCCCACTAGCTTTCCTCCCTGGCGTGTTTCGTGGGTATCGGATGGAAAGAGCCGTCAGAAAAAAATGCGGAACCAATGTTCGACGCTGGAAGCGTAAACAACAGGTCGGCATTTTCCTTAGAATCCACCCTCCTCCGTCTGCAATTTCGACTGCCATGTTACGTTTCGCACTAGTGTAACGGCACAGTGTTATTTGGACCCTAGCTGCCTGAGCAAATTCTGTCTGAAGTCAATCTTGCAGCTCAACGTGTTTATGCTCTGAACTTCGAATCTTGGCCGAGACGACTGGGTCTGTTCATCCCACGAACGCTGACTCACCGATTTGAAGCAAAACAGCCAGTGACGCAAGTGGTGCCACATACTCTGCAGTCTGAACACTTGGGGATATATTTAGATCAGTTCTGGCGGCCGATCGAGTAGCGTTTATGAGAGCGAACATCTCCTTTTGTCCTTGCAGATTGTCTATTTCGCCACAGACCCCTGGATTTTTACTGCTGCCACAGGGTCCCCCTTTTTTCCTTTCCTCCCCTTGCGAGCTCGAATCCGATCAAAACTCGATGGGACTGCACATAACCTCACTCTAGCCTTGGACGCGCGCGGGCTCCTTGGGACGAGTCTATGGCTGTTACGTTCCAGTGCTTTGGAACCCGAGTGAGATATTGGGAACTTCCTGCGTTTCCCCCAGATCCCTCTCTTGTGTTAAGCAGTATTGAACGTACTACTGTGATCCATTATAGTCGGACTCCTCACCTGGTACATCTATGCCGGCCGTGCGCAGAAAATTGCCGCCGTTTCTCGCAGCGCTCACCAAAGTCTTGCACGCTTAGACCCGCACCTCGGCATGCATGCTGACTCCCGCGATTTTCGGGGCTAGGTGAAGGTGGAATAGGCGAGCAGGCGTATTGCGCTGTCACCCTTTACTCGGGGGTCTAGGTTCATTTTTATGGAAGTGAAAACACTCTGGAAATGGACATAGACTAGGTCTATGCACTGCGATCATGCGCTACTACTTTATCATCCATTAGTACACGTCATGATGAAGATCATCGCTATGACCTACGACGGCCAGACGTATACTGTGCTCTTCGCGCCCAGCCTCACCTTTTTAGCCACTCTTCGCTCATACTTAGCAGTAGTAGCCTTGCTGCGTTTTTGAAAGGAGTAAATATATATACAAGTACTGGTGCCTCAATTGTATTCCTTTTTTCTTTTCTTTTTGCGTGGTCTTCCAGCACTCATGGCCTATCGTATACATAGGCCTTTTCTTTTTCTTACGATTAAGATTCCAAAAAGGGGACAGCCGGTTGGAGATATCCTAAATCGGGAAGTCAAACGATCGAGAATGACACTGCCACCAGCATTCGAAGGGGCGCTCACACGGCAGCGTCGTTTCTCGCCGTTTGAGTCTTACAGTAAGGGATGTAGCACAGAGGAGTGATTTACTCTGTTGTAAAACAAATAACTTTATTGTCTACGTACATGCTGTTATAATCACGGCATCGCAGCCCGACATCCTAAGCACGCCGATCTGAGCACGATATCAGTGTCATCAGATGTCGCGCTCTCAGCTCACACAGTGTACTTACATACATCTCTGAGTGGCACAGAGGGACAATGCGCTAACAACAATGGAACCTTAGCTTTGTCTCAATGGTGGCAACATATAGCCAACCATCGGCACAACGTCGGGCATCGGAATGCCATATCAACACATACATGGGCCATTCACCATAGGACCCTGAATATACCTTTACACGTGTTCCCTTGCGCTTTGATCCCCGACTCTCAGTCGATTGACGTGCACATTCATGATAACGAAGGGAGAACGACGGTGCCATGTTTAAATGCATTCTCACAGGGATGTGAGGTGTTCTACTTTAGTAGTGGCTGGGATCGATCCTGCCAGTGGGGCGTCAAACAAGGCTCAAAAAATATGAACAAATTGATATTGAAATAAGACTGTGTAATAAGTATGGAGTACAGGTTGACGCATCGATCGACATGCGCATTTATGATAGCAAAGGGGGTTAGTTTTGACTGAAGGCTCGTTTTTGGGGACACATTTTGAATGGTTCTCACGGGATATATGAGTAGTCAAACGAGTCAATATTCAGTGATCTTTTCTGATGCGTATGTCTTTTGTACATCGGTGAGGAATGGTGCGGGCCGGCCAGAATAAGACTGCCATTGTTCGGATCAATTTCGATGTCAATCACCCGCTAGCCCAACCTTAGGACCAGTGCCTTAAATACTTGAACCGTTCTCCTGAGGCGGACGCGGCGCCAGTACCAGGTAGCGAACTAGCCCCCGAACTCCCAGGAAAATTCCCAGGCCTGTAGCTCATTGTGTTGTCTTGGCCTTATAATTGACGATACAGATTCTAACGCGATGTCGAGCAGGTTGGTGGTGATCCACGGTCGGGAGTGGAGCCAGCTGCTGGCTTACAATATCATTGGATACACGCATGAAGAAATGTCGATCTGTTGGAGTATTACTCCACCCATTTAAAAATTGGCCTGTGTGAAAGTCTGTTTGGCGAGACAATCATTTTAAAGCGTGCGTCTGTGCATATGTCGCACTACATGCATGAGGGGAGCGGTGAAAGCCAAGTGTGCGTTTGTGGCAGTGTTGTGGGCACGATGGGGAATTCTCGAGATGTGTGTTCAGTCTACGGAGGATCACCCTGCCCCAACATTACATAAGTTTGAATCACATGCCAAGTAACACGTGATTGTATTCTGAGCTCTTCGATCCGCTTCAAATCCCCACTGACGACGCGCCCACCGACCCTCCTTCATCCCTCCGTGTCGCTGCATTCATACATGGACTCTGATGTATTAAACGTCGTTGTTGCACTTGTGGTAATATTTGGCATCTTTCGGTGGTGGTCAAAACCAGGTACGTCGGACTTACTCCTGGATCCGGTTCTGGTGTCAAACGTTGGACATGCTTCCATTCTTCAAGATGCACAGACTTCGAATGGTGCCACTTCCAGCCGCACTGTCTCGCTTGGTTTCCGGCCACATAATGTCACTCCGACCATGGTAGGATAACGTGTTTTGCCTGAGGCATTGTTTGTTCAATCCAACCCATCGACAGATTTCCACAGTGCAATCCGCCTTTCCTCAAGAACCTCGGTAAGGAAAGATATAGGATAGGGCCTCAGTACAATTACCTAACACAAACTTGCTTGGACAGTGAAAATATATATTATGACTTGCTACGCACCGGAAATGTTCAAGTGACCTGCAACAAGTTACTGGAGAAAGGTTTCTTGCCAACACCACCGCCTACCTTCTTTACCCTCTATCCACAATCTACTAATGTCCCTGTTGCGCCTTTACGTGCTCAACCTGAACCTCCAGCGTCAGCCACACCATCAAACCTCATTACTCGTTTGGGACTGGATGACAGGCTTTCGGAGCCTGTCGGCACCCTTCCAAAGATTGATGGGAAGACAACTTGGCTAAGCACTGCTGAAGAGCGGGAAGCAAGCCTGAAAGAGAGGAAGGCTCAAATGGTTCTGGCCGCCAGACGGTGTGTTTTCGCTCCGCCTAATTCGTGTGAGGTTGTGACTTACGCATTTGAATTTATTTCCTCGGTAGGAGGTTGTTGGAAAAGCAGAAAGGGGCTCAAGCAGGTGAAGCTGCATCTTGAATATTGGAATCGCGTTGCCAGTCCTTGTTTCCCTACCTTACAACGATTTTCTTCACTGTTCGCATGGCTCTTGGCGCATCCAGTCAAGCGGAATTGGGCAGTCAATGTACTCACCACTAATAATGCGCCACCGTGCAGTTCGATCCCATCAGATTCGTTTTCGCCCGGTCGATGGCTTCATCTTCATTCTATGAACGGCGTTCAATTGTTGGTCTTGAGCTTTCCATTTGACTTGGCGATCGCGGGGTTCAATAGACTCTGGTCAATGTGTTCTTGGTTGCCGCGGCTTCAAAGCTTGCGCTGAACAGATGCTATCATCGGAAGCATCTTTCGTATCGCTACCTGGTCTTGCTCTTAGCTGCTGAACTAGTATGTGTGCTGGTTATCCGGGCCACCCCAGGTCCTCTCCTTATGCCTGGTGTTCCCTCGGAATGGGGCCCTTTCAAACATGGTCACTGCGCAGAGGTGCAGATGACTTGCCACCTGGGTATTGTCATTCAATCCTGAATATCATTTGAACATGGAAGTGGGTAAAACATTTTGAGCACCGATCCCCGACTTCCACTCCTTTTGTCCAAAGCATCGATGCAAACCCTAGCACGTATCCGCTGAACAGTTGTCTGGAGTGGCTTTTAGTACTGGGATACCACTGCCACGGCACCTCCATAGAATCATTACTTTAACTAGTATTATTGTTCCAACATCAAGTCGAGGACACTCGACCACACTCAGATCGCAAAATCGACCGGATTGAACTGCTGCAACTTGGGCACAATGATTGCTTCAGAGTAGCGAGTGCCAACGCCTTGTTACTTATACTGGTACATTTAGGAGCACAACTAGAACTCGCGATGCCTCACCCTCAAAAACATACTGACCACCACACTCAACCCTGTGGCACTCAGCATACTTCCCACGAAAAGAATAACGCCTGTGAATCCGTATCCAGAGTATTTCGAAGGATCAATCGGTTTCGATGAGTGATGAATGACACCTGACACAATCGGCCCTGCCGTTAAAATAAATTAGTTATGACCCGTGGCGTCGCGGACCAACTTACCAAGGACTATTGCGGCACCTTTCCAGAGCCCCAAGCTTGCTAATACCATACTAGCCGATTGTCCGTTTCCTACATGATATCAATCAAAAAGATTGGGATGAATGTCCAGGGAATGAAGGGGCGTACGGCGACCAGCAATATCCGCGCTAGCTGACGCGAATGAACTAGTGAACACCCCGCTCTACGTCAACTGTTAGTGTAGGCAGGGAGCACAGCGATGTGCAACGCACAACGGCACCAAAAATCACTGAAAAAAGGTACACTAGCCCAGAAGTGTGCGCAAAACCCCATATGATGTAGACCGCAGCGGCAGAGGAAACAGCAGATGCGAGCATTAGCACATTGTATCCCAGACTCTCACAAAGCGTCCCTCCGCAAACTTGACCTGCAGACATGGTTCCAGTTAGGTCCCTCATTCAGATTGGTATGACTTAGTGAACTGACCTAGTAACGTGGCGAGATTGAAAGTGGCGAGTGCTAAGGTACCATCTGTGCTCGACAGGCCTAGAGCAGCGGCATAAGAGGGTATATAGAATGGAACCGGATAGTATCCTATTGCTTGTAGTGCTGTGGCTAGAGACTGTTCAAATATCCGTAACGCTGATCTCAGGGGAGCTGTATCGTGACTTACCACTGCGACATACAAAGGAGTGCGAAAGATTCGGTAGTTAATGGTGGGCAAACGGTGAGAAGACCGTGCCGAACTCGCTACAGGCGCGGGAGGGACACGGGGTCTGATCCCTAGATTCCCCAGGGAGCAAATCACGAAAGAAATGACTGATAAAGCACGCATCGACCCTGAAAACCCTACTGAACTCAGGAGAGCATCTGTGATGAAGGGGAGCATAGCCCCGCCTAGCCACGGGGACGTGTGAGGGATCAGATCGGAAGAGTAGTTGAATACTAACCAACGCATGCCCCACCAAATATGATCGATGAAGCGAAGGCCCTCCTCTCAACAAACCATTCTGAAAGCTGGGCATGTGTGACATTTCTGGATACGTCAGGTGCAAAGAGCCCTTACGTAAATAACTATCGGTGTATACAGCAGGCCGCTGCTGACCCCAAACATCATACCCTGAAGAACGATCAGCTGCCACACCTTCCAAAGGCAAACAATATAATACAGTCAGTCGGGAATGGCATGAGAGCCGGACAAGGGAAAAGCAGCTTACGGACGTGGCAAAACTGCAGAGAAAGAGCGATAGAAAAAGAGTGCATGTCCCAGCCCACATCGAGGGGTGCAGTACTTTGGGACGTCGCTGGAAAAAATGGACGAAGAATGGTACAGTGAAATACCTTGCAACGATTGGCAAAATTTGATTTCAGTCATATCTGAGGCAGGGGGGCTACGCACTCCAAGGCTAGAGCAATTGTCCCAATGGAATTGATTGTCGCTTCGGACGCGGCGTTGAAGGGAGGATGGTTGAGGTAATATGTCTGAAAGACACCAAAGCTTCAAACGGAAGAATGTCATTCATGTGTTGGCAGATGCCTGAAAAATAGCTTCGCTCACGATCCAGGGAGACCGAAAACGAACATATCCATGAGAAAACTACACCAGATGAATATCCTTGGAGGGTATTACAACAAGCAAGCATTGTGTAGAAGCGATCATACCAAGCCCCTTTTCCCCGGTCAATTGGAGCCAGTTCTACGACATGGGGTCTGGACTCTTCCACCGAAACTCCGACGTTCACTAAAGGCAGCACTGAACTTTCTGCAGGGAGAGGAACGGTATGTGGCCTTTGGATGTGTGCGCTTGATGGAGCAATGATGGGCTCGAGCTCAACCTCGAACAGACGATTCCTCGACGAACTCATTCGGGTGGGGGCAAGTGGGAAGTGGATCCGCTTGCGAACCTACAAAACATTTGATCCATATCTGCCACGTACGGGGGACCGGGAAAACCGCCGATTGTCATCGGCACAAACAACCGGCAACGAACCCAACCAAACCCCGATGGAAAGGACCGCGTCTGGTCGCGCCGGGCTCATCACAGCTTCTTCAAAGAACGTATCGAAGGTAATTACACTTGTTCGATCCCACGCAACTCATTTCGACGCGTTCATGGTTTGAAAGACCATCTCGACAACTATCACCGCTGGTCGAGCACGGAGGGCTCCATCAGATGGCGCTGCTTCTCGTTCGAGCCCAACACTGGCTAGAAATCCAACCTCAAAAAGACATGACCGCTGTATGCTCCTTTCACTTATCCCCGTAAACGATACAACTTACGGATTCCCATCAGCATCAGAAGCTCAAGAGTCATCTTTCATTGAGGAAGCATCATTCGTGCAGAACCCTCTGAACTCAAGACTTGGTCCTAGACCAACTGGAGGCAGGACAAAAGGGACTTCACGTAAGGATGCGCTGGGGGATATGCCTCTGGAGATTCAGGAAGCATTGATTCTTGAAGATCTTCTGTTCGTTCTGATGGTGCACACTTATGCCGTCAAATGAGATTCCAACCATTTAAGTTTTCTTTTGTTTCAGGGAATCCCTGGGACGTACATTACCCATGTCTCCGATTATCTTGTTGAATCTGAAAGCATAAAGGGGGGTAAATTCGTTATTGCGAACGATTTAGGTGAGCATCGTAGGGACTCGAGCTCCCGAATAACATTCAACCATCCATTGGTGCCAATATTTAGATGCTTCTTTGCGAGACCTCGTGGAGAGGATCCTGCCTTTGGCCACATACTATATGTCGATCGCCTCCTTCATGGAGCTTCGCAGTCACACTGATTATGGACTTGTGAATCATGCATTATGTGCGGCCATTCGCGACATGTTGAAGGTGAATATCATACCAGTCGTATTCGCCGTTTCTCTCGTTCATGGAATGGTTGAATTTAGGACTATTTGACATTAGTCTCCCAACTAGAGCATGCATTCGTCTCATCTTCAACCTTCAGTCTTCAGAAGATGTGGTTCTATGTTCACCCAACATTACATTCACTATCGATTATCTATGCGCTCATCACCGAGCTTGGACGCATTGAAGAATCAGAGAAAGGAGGCTCGGATGAAGATGAAGATGATGAAGAGGAAGATCCAGAGCAAGCGGCGCTTAATAGAGAGATGGGTCTCAGCAACCTGAAAGATGTCATCAAAGCCATGATGGCGGACGAAAGCGGAGGCATCGTTAAGGGCGGCGAAGTGGTGACGATTGTCTGGGAGCGGATGAGGAACAACAGTGGGTCAGCCGCCTTCTCTTGTCACGGTCGATCTATGCTGATGCCCAGAAAGCGACCCTACGGCTTTTCAGGTCTACCGAACTCTATTGCATCGCTGTTCATTGCCATACACCCAAATGATACGCACCTGGAGCACGACCGGGTTCCTTCGGGATCCTTATGACGAGCTCATGGTCAAAGAGTCCAAATCCATTAATAGGGGCATGCTCGAGATGGATTATATAGACGAATATTGGGAGAAGCGATATACAGTGCGTGGAGCAGCTCTGTGATTGCTGCTTTCATTCATTAAGTTGCATCTCCAGCTTCGAGATGGCACGACTGCATCAGGTGAAAAAAGAGCCCAAGCCGGTGTACCAAAACCGCGGGCGGCTACTAATAGGCTTCCCGGAGGTGCCTGCATGCCGCCCCTCCTTGAACCATGGAAGCACAAAATCCTCCAGTCCGGAAAATACTTGAATGTTATCAGAGAATATGGGGTTGATATCCATTCTGCGAACGGGTGTAATGAGGATGACTGGGTGTTAGATGAAGAGAAGTGAGTTTAAACGAGCTATCTGGCAACTCCAACTCACTTTTCCGCCGTTTCAGATTCTACAAAGGCATCGAGGATGCGTATACGTACGCTAATCGAACGCTGCTGAAGCTCGTGATTGAAGATCAAGAACTGCTTCCTCGCCTCCGGTTCGTACATGGCTTCTTCCTCATTTGGGTGTGTCTCAAGGATTTGGCAGTGCGATGAAAAACTATTTCTTTCTCTCACAATCATCGTTCTTAGTGCATTTTCTGGAGCTAGCTGCCCTCGAACTTCGCAAGCCGTCAAAGAGTGCACCGATTGTCAAATTGCAGTCATTACTTGACTTGTCCTTAAACATGAACTTTAGTGGCGAAGAAGTGGCATATAAGTATAAGGATGATGTTCGCATCACACTTGCCACCAGTGGATTATATGATTGGCTGCACCGAGTGATTAACTCGTCTGGAGTTGGCGGCCTTTCGAGTTCAGAAGATGGCGAAGGAGGCGAACTTGTGGCTGGAGCGAACGGCTCTGCGACGGAGGATGTAGAGAGAAAGAAGGAGAGAGATAAGGACAAGGACAAGAAATGTACGTCTCGGATCCACCTTTGACTGGTGTCAGCACTGAACCCGTCCCCAGTGACTATCGTCGATACGATTGCTCTTGACTTCACCGTCCCATTCCCTCTTTCCCTTGTTATCTCTCGTAAAACCATCCTTCGTTATCAGCTTCTTTTCCGTTTCCTCCTCCACCTCAAACACGTCGAGCAAAGCCTCATGACAATGTGGATTGACCATAAATCAGATGCATGGAAGAATCCCGCTGAGGCATGGCATCCCGATTTCGCAAGATGGAAGCGGCGAGTGATGCTTCTTCGCGCTCGGATGATTGCGACTATACAGCAGCTTGTGAGCTATGTTGGTGGTGAAGTTTTAGATAGGAACTGGGCAACACTGGAGGGGAAGCTGAATACGGTTGCCACCGTTGATCAACTCCTCCGAGATCACGTTGATTATCTTGATACGTGCTTGAAAGAATGCATGTTAACGAACGCTCGGTGTCTTAAGGTGAGCTAGTGCAATTAGGTGTATTTTGCCTCTGATTATATTTATATCTCCCAAGACCATATCTCACCTGCTCCAAACATGCTACACGTTCTCCCAGTATAGTCCAATGTTCAACAAACAAACTCAACAAGTATACGATACGTGTCTTGCCGAACAGAAGAATGGCAATGAGTTTGACATCGAAGAAGACAGAGCGACAATGGAGAAGCGGTGGGCGTTCTTTGCGAAATTTGAACAAAACTTTAACCACGTTTTCAAGGTAGGTTCATCCAGCTATAAAGCGGTTCGATTGACCAGCTGAAAAATTCTGATAGGTTCACCTTGATACTGTACAATTCCTTGCGAGTAGTGAGAACACTGCACTGCTTGCACTGGTGGTACGTCTCAACAACATAAGAAGTTCTTGAAGGACAGCTCCCTACGAATCTGTTCACATCGTTTGTATGCTCACGTTTAAGTAGTTCTGGGATGTAGTTGGCCGGGTCTATATAGCGCTTATATCTTTTACTGCATCACGATATTCCCTGCTGCACGAAGTCGCGCCCCCATTATCAAACAGTCCATGGTCCATAAACTCTGTAAGTACATGAAAGCCAACTGACTAGCGTTTTCAACCAAGGCAGAATGAGATACACAGCAAAGCCCAAAGAATTGCCTGGAATGAGACGGCAAGGTAACTTCAGCAAATCAGAACAGGCAGACGAAATTGCTCGGGAATACGGTTCGACCAGGGACCCTCCTCACATCATCGAGCAGTACACCAGACCACCATCCATCTTCCGGAGTAGCTGTCACAGCAATAATGTCACCAGTTTGGAAGTCAAACTCTTCTTCAATAGTTGCATTGTAGTCATAGAGTGCTTTGACTGAAGACAGCCAAATCAGTTAGTGATCGAGACAATTAATGAGAGATCATACCATAGAACAGGACGGCGGTTCCGTCTTCCAGGTACTCTGTAATGGGCGCCTGAGTTGGCGGGTTCATTGGTGGTGGTGGGACCATCTGTTGCTCGGTGACTGGGAGATTGCCAGGTGCTGGGTACCCATAACCCTGATTCTGCGGCGGGTACTGCTGAGGAGGCTGCGGCGGGGGCTGCGGTGGGGCCTGATTGGACGGCACGTACCCTCCCGGCGGTGCATAATATTGAGGTTGGTTTTGTTGAGCCTCGATGGGTGGATAATTTCCAGGAGGCTGTGATCGATAAGTGACTGGATTGTTGTATGTTGGTTGAGGCGGAGACTGAACACTTTGATTGGGATAACTTTGCTGAGTTTGAGGCTGATTGGGAGGAATGTTGACACGAGCTTGCTCAGTGCCGTATGCGGGACCTGTCTGCGTGGGTTGCTGAACGAGCGGCGGCTGAGGCGAATAAGTATTCTGTCGTTGCACATTCGGCGGTGGAGGCCCGGCAGGTGCTTGATTGGCCGGAACCGGATTTCTGAATGAGGCCTGACGTGCGGGAGAAGTGCCCCTGGCTCCATTGTTGGCTAGGTCATTGCGCAGGCGAGGGTCACCAGCCACTGGTCCGGGGGTAAAGCTTTGAAGGGGCTGTTGAGGCTGCCATCCCATCTGCCCGGTTGGACCAGCTGGACCAGGTTGTTGCGGACCAGGCGAGAACCGATTTGCGCCGGACAACCCCTCGGCAAAAGCATCACGCACACGGCCACCAGAATCAAGCGTGATTCCTACCGTCGTCGGACTTGTCACCCGCTGATTCTGTCTTGGATCGGCACTTGGTGGGCGCACTTGCTCGGGATAATTAAATGGAGGGGCGGCCGTGTTGGCGTTCGGCAGGGATTGCGACGACATGGTTGGAAGTCCGCCAAGAGGCATTGGAGCAGGATTTGGGGTGATAGAGGCGGGACTGGTGACGCGTGCAGGAAGCCCGGGACTTGGACTACGTCCATGCGCCCCCACGCCAGCGAAAGGTGGCATACTGGGGGAACTTGGACGCGAGTTACCTCCATTAGGAACAGAAGATCCAGTAGGCTGCAAAGCAGGGCCTTGTCGTGACATCCGACGTTCACCTGGAAGTGATTGCTGGTAACCTTTCACGACATTTGCTGGCTCTACCGGTCCACGTTGTTGCATGAAGACAGCTTGAGGCGACGACGGTGGTTGCGGAGCAACAGGGGAAGAAGGACGGGATGCTGGATGCGGTCCAACAATGGAGTCTGCTGCAGCTTGGAGATTGCTTGGAGGCGGAACGACGCGTGGGGCATTGGGTGCCTCCTCATCAGCCGGTATTGGCGCAGGCTTTCGAGATGGGCTACGGGACACGTCCCGAGGAATTGTGCTGATTGGCCCATTTGCAGGGGCCACTGCCGCTGTCGCTCCACGCCGCAAGCTGCGGCCCCCAGCATTTCCGTTTTTCAAATCTTCCAATGCCTTCGCGATAGGGTCATCAACATCACCTAGTGATGAACCCGTGGGATTCACGACGACGCTTGTGGGTCCCCTATTAGATGGCTGAGGATCCGCCTCTGGGTTCACATCATACACATTAGGCCCAATTGCGATTTGTGTCTGAGTTATCGTCGGAGCGCCCTGGCCTTGGCGAGGTGCATTAAACCCCTTTTGAGTACTGAGAGGGGCCACGGCTGGAGACGAATGTCCATTAGCTGGACCTGCTGGCATGGCATTTGATAGGGTCGCGGGCTTGGGCGGGGACGCTGCGATCTGAGGCTGGGAAGGGACATTTGCTGTAGAACTAGGTGCCAAACCAGTGATGTTGCTTTGCACCGGCGGCGCAACAGACGGTCCGGTATATGGTCCGCCTCTCACTGCTCCTCCAGCGCCGATGCCTGCCTGCCCATAATCCTGGGGTGACTCCACGATCGGAAGCGGGGACTCGGTCATTGGCCTGGAACTTGTGGGTCGCGTGGATGACCGGTTGAAATTAGACCTTCTCACTCTCCGGGGGGGTGTGGATGCGTTACCATCCGCATATGAGTGGAATTTCGGTAACTCCGATATCTCATCACCAGTAGCGGCATTCGAGACGAAGTACTCAATATCTCTCTCGGGCTCCACTTGTTCCAAAGCTATACGGAGTTTTTCACATGACTATCAATTCCGGGTAAGCTTTGAAGTTGTCCATATGAAGAGCCGTACGAACCTCGTCATCCGAAACACAAACCGTTGATACGCAATTGGCGTAAGACCAGAGATTGTCTTTCAAAAATTCGATCCTTTCTTCGTCCAAATCCTGACATTGCTGTACAAGTAAAGAGAGGTCTTAGCCGTACCCAGTAAACACCAAACGCCAGACACTCACATCACAGAAACCCTTCCAATCTTGTTCCCACTTCCGACACGTTTCGCGAAACACTTCCACAGAGTTTGCGTAATCACGCTCATTTTGAGTTACTGTCTGTTTAGTCCTCTCGAGCTTGATCTGGGTCTTTTCCAGTTCCTTCCCTTGCTGCAGGGTGGCTCGTGCAGTAAACAAGTTGATGTTGACGCAGTCCGACTTATACTTGTCGTGAGCCTAGGATTTCCATGATGTCAATGCGCAATTAATGAAATAATCCATAGGGAAACACGCCTTCCCGACGAAGCTTTCTTGAGCCTGCAACGTCTTGAAGGCCTTCTCGATCGCTGCCTGCGACGTTCGCTTGTGATGTACCATCTTTGCGATGACCTTATTAGCTTCATCCTCCAGCTCGCGTCGCATAGATTGAGCAAGTGCCGCATGCGTACTGGCCTGCTTTTCGGTCTCAGCCTTCAGAGTGTCAAGAGAGTTACGCAATTCGCTATCGCTGTATCAGCAGGGTTGTTCTCCATAAGGATTGGATCACTCACCCAAACTCATCTCTCCCTAGATTGAGTTTTGATAGTTTGGCGAGACGCTTGGCGTAATCATCCTCGATGGCAGCCCTGTGGAGGAGCGGTCATGTTGGTACAACGTAATAAGGGGACAAATCAGGATGGCCTTGCTTGCCTCTCACGCCAAAAAGCTCTAACTTCCTCTAGGGTGCGTTCGGCCATCTTCATCCTAAAAAGTAGAACATCCACCCCCTTCTCAGGCTCTCTTCCCCAGAACGCATTGCAAAAGTCGGGTGCAGGCGACTGAACATTCACGGGTATGGGTTCGCGCTGGACCCGTGCCAAGGAGGTAGCCGATGATTGTCTTCTAGCAGTGTTCATGGTGATAAGCACATGGACGATGTTGAGAGAACGCAGAGAATGGAGATATGTAGGTGTTCACAAGGTGCTGTGCGGCGCTGTTCGGCATCCCCCTTCAATTCAGCCAAGATCAATTCGTGCACCGCTCAACAATATTCTAGAACGTGCGAATCTAGGAAAACCATCAGACCCCAATCATGTCAACAGCGCACAGGTAGGCGATCATGATGTCTCGGAGAGTCTATCTGCAACCCAATCCTCGATTACAGGCCGACATGGGATCCAGCCCAAGCCAGAGACATAAAAAGTGGTTCACGCCAATATTCGACCAGGGACATGGCGTCTCAGACGAAACTCAAATTTCGGTTCGCAGCGCCACGTCTTCCCTCTGGTGCCAGCACAGGCTGATCACAGGATAACTCGTACCAGTCAACCTGGTCAAACATCTACCGATGAAGTGAGAAGACGCGACCTTCGCGCAGAATTACTCGCCGCAGAAGCAGAAGCTCGGGAGAAAAAAAGAAAGGCCGAAGGGAAACCTGCTTTGGGATCTGAGCCCCAGCTGAAGGCTGTCACATCCGGTAACGAAGACAATGAAGCAAATAAGCGACGCAAATTGCTCCAGGATGTCATTGCGTTGGACCGAGACGACGACGACGACGTGAAGGTCAGTGAAACTTCAGGGTTGACGAATAAAGGGAAGGAAAAGGTTGTAAATGCAGACGTAGATGGCGAGTGCGTGTCTATCCTTTCGTTATATCTATCATCTTTCTAAATTCATTCATCTAGTGATCAAGGGGCCGCCGTCGAGGATGAGGATGACGAGGATGATGAGGACGATGAGGACGATGATGAGGATGACAGTGCAGAATTATTAAGGGAACTCGAGAAGATCAAAAGGGAGCGGGCAGAAGAGAAGGCTCGACAAGTTCCGTCCTTTCACCATCATGTCCCATGCTACACGATTGACTCGTCTGGACGTAGGAGCAAGAACAGGCTAGGTTATCAGAAGCGGACCGGGAAGCTCAAATAGCGACTGCGAACCCACTGCTGAACTTGGCCACTGCTCTTGGTCACAAACAGCAAGGTACACCCTCAGTTGGAGGGAGCTTTGCTGTCAAGAGACGGTGGGATGACGGTGAATACTTTGCATACTTGTTGCCCACGAGACGCTGATCATCCGTCTCCCAGATTTGGTTTTCAAAAACCAGGCCGTGAAGGAGGAGCCACGCCCAACTCACTTTGTCAATGATTTACTTCGAACCGAGTTTCATAAGTCCGTATCCAATTCAACCTCATTGCCTCTGACTTACTCTCATCTCAAACCATCAGGAAATTTATGGCTAAGTTTATCAAATAATATCGCCGACTGTATCAACTCCACACAGTATACCTAATACCTATTACCTGATAGATCATCTCGAAAGAGTCGCTCGTAGGGCGTGTGCATTGTGTATGCTCCGTCTCCAACAATCTAATTGTGGTTGGAGATGGGGTTCAAGGGTACCTCCATCTTCATCACTGCATTTATGGGTACACCCGCCTTGAGTACCAAGACACATGCATATGATTTCATGAGCGCCAAGAGTTGTGTACGAGCCCGGGATTCTGCTTGAAAGTACATGTACATGGCTATGTCAGTAATCAGACAATGAGCTTAGCTTGAAGAATGATGGGCTCTGCTGGTGAGGCGGTTCCGGATAGGGATCGAATATCACGAGAACGAGCACAACGCCGTGAGAATCATGACCTTTCCCACGTTTTTGGCACAGAATCCTGACCAGTGTCTGAACAACTGACTGGCAACAGCACCATGCGGCGAACTAGCTCAATACCTAGCGCGTTGTTTCGTATTTCAGGGCGCCCGTACGCTGTCGCGGCAGTGGATAATTTCCCTCAAGCTCACGTTGAGCTGGGACGTATATTCGCTCCACGAAAAGCTCAACTGCATGCCGAATACTCGCGTTTGATCACAGAAAACTCCGTTATCCTCTTTCTAAAACACTCTAATTTCTCCCAGTCAGCGATGAACAAAATAAGACAGGATATTACCGCATTGACCGTGGACAGAAAGTCGCCTTCATCGGGGCTAAATTTTACCGTCATACGACCTGGAATTTTTGGCGCATCGTTAAGAACGCGGTACCCATCACATTTATTGGAACGATTCAAGGAGCAGATGGGAGGCCCATTTGCAGTCATCACTTCACCCGAACTCAACCCTCCGCAACTTGCCAAAGCTATCCGTCTCATTGACCGAGCCATTCCTCCATTACGCGACGAAGACGCTGCGAAACCGAAAAAACCAATATCTCCGGATGATATCGAAGATGCGCCGCCAAAAGTCAAGGTGCCTCCCCGTATCAAATTGGTTGCTGCATTCGTAGAAGGGCGTTTCATGCTGACAGATGAACTGGGCACAGTCAGCCAACTTCCAACGTTGCAGACCTTGCATGCACAGATTGTTGGGCTACTTAGTGCTCCGGGCTCCCAGCTAGCGGCAGTATTAAATGCCTCGGGTGGCGGTTCCCTCCTGCGAACATTACAGGGATATCAAAAGGGTTTAGAGAAATTGGAGAAGAGTGATTCCAATAACGATGGCCCAGAATCGAAGTAGAGTGAGTATCGCCTTCCAGCTCCATGAGTTCGTATTCACATTTGGGTTAGGGAAGTGATTGAACCATTGCATGTTGTGAACTAATGATAATAATAAATATGTAATAAATATTATCTAGATGCCAGCCCTTCCAGCATATCATTCAGAATCCGTACTACTCTTCCAACACCTTCCTCCACAGCCTTCTGATGAGATGCTTCAACTAGCGATATGTATCGCCCCACAAATCTATCAGGGTGGTATGCTAGCAAAGCCTCTCGTATCCTTTGTTTATGCGTTCTACCGGGAGAATGATCGTCAGAGAGAAGGAACTCAGATACGGCTTCTCTTGTTATAGTTTCGGGGCCTTCAGGTAGTTCGAATACCGGCCAAGGTATGAGGGAGAATGTAAGGAAAGGAGGGTCAGCCCCGAATTGATCGGACGTAGATGATGCAGCTGCGGCTCGGGCCTGCAATTCGGACCAAAAGGACTGGTAAGTGATCCCCGCTTCCCTTCGGGCTAGGGCTTTCTCCTCAGCTCGTTTTGCAGCTCGTCGTGTTTCTTTACGCCTCTCTGCCTCTCCGTATGCCTTACGTGCTGCACGTTCCCTCTCCTTCTTTCTCTTCTTTTCCTCTTGTTTCCGTGCTTCGGCTTCGACTTCTTCACGGTGTGTGCGACGCCACATGCCCCTCCTAATCCACTCTGCATACTCTTCATCAGACATAGCGTTTATGTCTGCGGCAGAATCATTCGCCGTAGCCGATGAGGCCACGGGAGAACCCCAACGATGAGGAGTATGAGCATGAGAGTTAAAGGATGCCTCAAGTGCTTCCAGACGTTCATCGTCTGCCATTGCATTGAAAAGTTTCGAACGGAAATAAGCTTCTTCCGCTTCAGCTCGAAGATCATCCACAGTCTTCCGTGGCTCATAGGACTCGGAAGCCAAGTCTTCTTCCTCCATGCTGTAATAGCTAGCAGACTGAGCAGCAGAACGAGCATGCCGGCTGGGGCCCGGGAATGTAGGATGCGTTGATGAAGCAGAGCGGTCTCGATGAGGACGACGGGAACGATGGTGTTGCCGCGACGACGGAGATTCATTGCGGTACAGCCTTGGACTTTCCCTACGAGCCGCACGCTGGGCTTGACGCCTAGCCCGATCTTCAGCCTCTTGAGGCGTTTGTTTAAGATTCAGTTTGGACGACATGTCATCAACACGGGGGACCCAGCCCAAAGGGGGATCACTTTTCAGTGATGAATAACAGGGACCGATAGTGTGACGTGAAGTGGTAGGGGTGATTGAGAAATCAACGTTCCTGTTGCGTCGGCCAATCCCGCACACTTTCACGAGGTTCTCTTTTCTTTTCTTTCTTCAATTTAGACAACTCCTTCGGGGCGCGATAGTCTTGGCATAGACTTGGTCCCGACTTGTGCAAGTATATGGGTTGCTCGGGATAAGGAATCGTTTTTGACGTGCAAGTATCCTGTCCATGAACTCTTCCAGCTTTGAATCCGTCGATCTGGCGGTGGACCCGGATAGAGAAGGCACGAAAGGGGTGTGTTATAGGGCTGATATACAATGTCTTCACAGAAGCAATTTAATAATAACAGGTCAAGGCTTCATGAACCTAAGAATTCCTCCACCACAGCAAGAAACCCCTGCGGATTATCCACCATGGGTAAATGCCCGCTACCCTCGATCGAGGCAAATCCTGAAAAACTGTGTTCTGGATCAAGCTCCTCACGCAATGTCTTCAGCACGTCGGGAATCCTTCCGTCGAGTTCTCCAGCTAGCAAAAGCACTTTGAAATCTCCGTCCTTCCCCGCCTCTTGAAATGCAGGAATTAAGCCATTCGTTTTGAGATCATACTCTTGTAGTGCTCCAGCGCCTCGTGCAAAGCCTTCCAGGGGCGTGGCAATGATCTGATTCCTTATAACGTCGTAATTTTCTCCGCCATGCCTAAACGGACTTCCCTCGTTTGGAAACCACCTCGCTGTGCTGTCTTCCGCCAACTTCTCCATCCCCTCCGAACGGGCGAGTGCGATCCTATCGGCCCATGCTCTCTTGTTGCCCTGGGGAGATACTGGTTGTGTATCGCAAGTAACCAGTCGGCGAACACGGTGTGTGTACTGCAGCGCAAAAGAGAGCGAAGTTGCACCTCCCTGCGAGACACCTATAACCCCATGAACGGAATTAAGCTTGAGATAATCCAAGATACGCGCAACATCCTTTGCGAGCTCTGGAATTGTAGTGCGGGGCGATTCGGGCGGCACGGATGACTTCCCGTGGCCACGTTGGTCATAGAACACGAGTGTGTACTTTTGGGACAGGGTAGGAACAACGGCAGACCACATAGTAAGGGTAGTTAGAAGCGAATTAATGAATAATAGGACGGGCGCCTTGGGGCTGGCCTTGTTCCAGTATACACGAACGTGGAGGGTGATGTCGGGATTAACGTATACGGGATATTCTTGGTAAGGATCATCCTTGGATTGAGGAGCAGGAACTATTTGAGAGGCGCGGTCGTCGACATCCAATGCCACAAGAAATCTTGACACAAGATTATATCCGCCAACAACAGTAACGGCCTCGACTAGTTGGCGTTCAACCGTCAGGTCCCGAGAATCGGCGCTGCTGAACGTATTTGAAAGCCCGCGTTTCAGTCTATCAAATACTCCGTCTGGTATTTTGATGGATCTAGTACTGGCGTCCGCAAATTGTAAAGCTGCCCGCTGCAGCGGACTCAAGGGATCATTTGGCAGGACATCCGTCGAGAGAGCCGTTGATGTGTCCCCAATAAGAACAAGCTGCTCAGTAGTCAGGCCCGCGGCTCTTCCTTCATGTTCGTGGTGAATCCATTCGAACGCTGCGCCATTTAGAGCCCCGGTTCGTAAGATCTGAGTTTGAAAGTCACTAATCCGCTAACTCCAGCTCATGCTGTCGCACCAGAAGTTCCCTAATGTCGGCCGGGAGCGATGTACCAGTTCTCAAAGTCCCAATTATCTTGTTCCACCCATCTGCAATTGCAGGAGCGTTGAGCAGCATTCCATCAAGTGGGGTGAGTCCTCTAGCACCACGCCGCTCCCTCATACGATCAGCCACTTCATCTTCACCCGGAAGAGGGACCCTGTAGGGGATCCTAGGCATTCTGGAGGCCCTCGGGTCAAAAGGATGCGCGGAGAATTTACCGACCAAGCGTGGACGAAATCATATATTATCATGGGACAGACCTTGATCCCGGTCTCGTGATCTGTTGGACAGAATCACGTGGCGATTCCGTCGGGGAATCGGCTCCGGTCCCGGATGAGGATCCGATTCTTCGAGGATTGCTGCTAAATTCAAACTGGATATTACAACTCCGCCACCATCGTCCGACCCTCGAACGACTTCATCCTCGTCTAGCCAGTTCCACAAATTAACATACAATAGCACTTCTAGACTCTGCTGCAATGAACCAGCCAGCTATCCTTTTCGTCATGATGGAGACAGGGGCGAAAGTTACCGAGCAGGAATTCCACGGTGCCGTCATTGTCATTTGGGAATGTGTTTGTTTCACCGACGTACTTTCCTCGTAGAGTGGTACAGCGAAGAGCACGTACCACTCAGAGTCAACAAGTTCCCTTCGTTTCGTACCGCCGCTCGGTACAGAGCGATCGATGGAGCTACTCCGAAATGGATGGCGATGTACACGATAGAGGATATTAGCATATTTTCTGATCCGGAATATACTATACTCCGAGAGCAACGAAGCCCTCGTGAGGCAGACATCGTCGCCAGACTCGCTGCACTCGATCGACGGGTAAATGCAGCTTTCCGCGCTCGTGACAGTAATTGACGTCCATCCTATCCTGAACCTACCCTTCCCTTAGATTTACTCCCTTATCTCTGACACTAATCCTATGCCTGATGCCCTTCGGCCTTCTTCCATCGCTTCCAACATCGTCGTCACGAACTCCTTTACCCCAGCCCCTGGAACGGAAGAGAAATTCCATAAATGGTATGAGGAAGAGTATATCCATGCTCTCAAGCAAATTCCGGGGTGGGCCAGAACAAGACGCTACAAACTCGAAGATCGCAGCCTCACTGGGCTCGAATCATCAGAGCTGGCCAAGGACATTCCTCAATTCTTGGAGGTCTCAGGTACGCCCAGTTGGTACATATCGTCACTTGTGTTCAATAAGTCAATCTATGAATATTGACCGAATCAATGCATGATCAGAGTTCGACGCCCTCTCGGTCCTTCGTAATGCCAAGTTCCCCTCTGAGACGTTCGGCTCAGATATCGTTGGAAATTCGGTACAAAGCGAGAGGCGTGTCTTCAAATTATTAAAGGGGTACGAGCCAATTGCTGCATTCAGGAGCATCAAGACGCCGGGTAGTTTCACTCCCGGTTGGAATCCGAGTGGTTTCACATTTACAGCATGATATCTACCGTACTCTCGCCCTATGGCTACGCTCGTTCCGCCAGCATCTGGTGGCGGCTATGTATAACTCAGTCCGACCGTTTTCTTGTAGATCCAGCGTAATATGAAACAATGTATATACACTGATAAACAGACTGTCAAAGCAAGCCACTGATACTTCAGCAGTCGTGCGCAGAACCTTGGATGTAACAAATTAAAATGTGCAGTCTGCCATGCTGCCACTGCTCGAAGTCTGCCACCTCCAACCGTGAAGTTCGGTTTCTATCCACCGTTACCCAACTGATCTCCTCGTTCCCGCAAGCGAAACTGAGTCTGTCTTCTCTCGTTAAACCATAAGGATTGCGCAAAGCATGGACGATTCCAGTACATGCTCAAGAGTCCTCTGTCAATGGTCACGGTATCGTTGGTCTTATGTGCGGTGCTCTAGTTTTAAAGCTCGGAGGGATCCACCATCGAGAGGAACTCTTAGGCGCACAATATGCATACCACGCGAACTCAAGAGGGTCCATGCTTTTGTGGGATAGCATATCCTTTACGGTGGCACCTGAGGTCGTGCATGAGAGCTTCATGAACAGCTGACTTTCCAAAAGGATGGGCAACTGTGAAACGGTATTCGGCGCGATCAGCCGCCACCACACTGAACAACGTCGAAAACTCACATAAGACGCACAACTTGCGACAATGACGAGGTGCTCATAATTTCCTGGATGATGCAAGGAGGAAAGACTCGAGCTACATAGCAGGGGGTACATGTGTTCAACGGCCAAGGTGCTCTTTCCTGACGATCGAGTGGTCTAAATTAAAATGGTCAAGAAGAGACCAATCCCGGCACCAACGACGATGGCCGGCCACTGACCTGGGCGGGATCTTCCCAACGGCTAAAGGCCTACTGCCCAACCTACGCTGTCAACATTTGGAGTAGTGAACGTTGTACGTTCAAATTGCGCTTTAACGAAAATCTTTGCGGGGTGGGGGGGTCGTCGTCGGAAGATGGAACGGTCCTCTTGGGGTGATTCCCGGGGTGAGTACGGCCTGGTCGGTGAATTCGACTCCGTGTTTCATGATTACTAACGACTAGTGGGTCACTCTCCCGCCTTCACACACTGCATCCAGTGGATCGGCGATTTGCCCATCGCCAGCCACTTGTTTCGGAAGGATGGATATTTCAGCCGTCGTCTGGGCAAACAGTTGAAGTGGTCCTTGCGTTCCCAGGGAATGAACAATAGGATGAGCCATTTTTCGTATTCTCATTCATCGTAAGGGTAGAGGGCACCGCCATCCAGAGGAAATCGCTGATACCGATTGCGATTGCAATTGCCTGGGTTACTTTACGGGCAGAAGCTGCGTTGTGCGACGCGGTCGAGGATACGGAGCAGATATTAATATAGCGGAGGTAATCACTGTAGAAGGTCCCCAAGGAAAGATACTTTGTATTTTGGATAGCAAAGGGCCTTGTGCTTAGTTTTATGGATCAAAGTTTGTAGGACTGGGGTGTTAATCCTTCGGCTTCCCACTGCGACCCCGTTTCGCGGGGATACTTGGCCGCCAAGCCAGTCGGCCAACTCCCTCAACAAAGATAATCGGGGATGTGACCCAACCCCATGTGTGCTGGTTCAATTTGGTAAGGCCGTACGTTAATATAACCATATGTTACGTACAATCGGGTCTCCGATAACTTTTGACAGCACTTTTGTTGCAACCTGCAGGCAGTATAACCATTCGTGCGTCGTCTAGGTTTGTAACGAGGCACCAATTTGAGCGGTTGGGGGAAGTGTTGCTACACTTCAGGTAGGTATGTGCCTCCTACATTATCATACATATGAGACACCTGGGTTCATGTTTTCTGGAACGACGGCCGTTAACAGTGCCCTTGCGAGCGGGCGGCAACATTTGGAAGCAGCATTATTGCATGATAATAGTATGGTGTTTGGGCATGGCGACACTCCATGATACGATGGAGCAATCGAATCACGAGATCAATGGGAGCCATGCATTTCCGATTCAAAACAGGACCTTCTAGTTCCAACCCAACCCGCACAAACCGATCCATGCCTTGTATTTGTGGCAACCACAGTGCAAGAAGGATATCTCCTTTATATAATTTGAGGCTGAGCAATCATGATCCCCGAAGCCGTACACAACCTGATCGGAGTCAAGAAGGGGGCGTGTCTTGAGGGCTCGGTTGCGCCGATGTGGGGATGGGATCGAGGTCTCAATTCCCTATGTTGCAAACTGCGCTAATATCGCGTCCGCAGCACCGTACCTCAGCTCTTGATGCAATCTCCTAGTAGGGAGAAGGATCTAGCCATCAAGGTGTCTGAAATTGGACAAAGAGTAACATCACAGATGAATTCTAGTGCTGAGAAGGTTCCTGCTATTGTATGAGGTCATTGGAGAGATTATTACCAAGATCGATGGGGATCATCAATGAAACCGCGAGGCCAGAAACGGACCACAGCCTCCGCTCCACCGCGATAACGAAGCAGTTTCGCCGCCAGTCTCCAGTCTGCTGACGAGACAGAGAAGCAATGACCGGTTGCTCTAATAAATATCATCGGAGGAGAGTGCAGCATCGCCCTACAATTCTTGATGGGCGTAGGGGGCCACAGTGAAAGGAGCACGGCACAGCCTACGGATATTGTCAAGTCCCTGATCGGCGGCAAGCTTTGAAATGATGGACCAATCGCAAAGAAGGGAATCCTGCAAACAAATGCGAGGCTGGAGTCGATGGGCCACAAGTTGCCATCATGTCCACGTTCATGGAGATCAAATTGATGATGCCGAAAACCTTTTCAAATCAAGCGAGTTTTGTACCCTGCCGCTGATCAAGAACAGGCTTCGCAACGCATGGCGACTAAAAGGGATGTAGCAGCACAGCATCGCTGGCTGTTGAAGAAGGCATTTCAGTATTCCATAGATCGATGACAGCCATCCGAATGAACTTTTGATTCTATGATGAATGATCTCCAAACAAAGTCTGCTTGGCAAGCCAGCGACGGGAAGCGAGGAAACTGACTGTAGCACGGCTGTGGCGGGGGCAACGGCTCTATGGAGTTGCATCCAGAAAGGGTCCAAATTGACTTTTTGAGCGTCGTATTGCAATACGACGTTGGGAAGGTTTTTTGATGAGAACAAGGGCTGAAAATGGTACCATCAATCAGCGTGGGTTTACATTCCAGGCGATTGTGGGACCGGCCGGACAGCTACATGTAATACCATGAACGGGACAAATTGCCAATTCAAGAACCATCGTTACGTTGCCATTTCACCGTCTGCTGATGGAGCACTCTGATCACTGATATGAATCAGTGGCAAGTACAATAGTCTATCCCATAAGAAGTGGAAGAACACGGCTAAGCGCTCTTTGATGGTGCAAATTTGTCACGGCATTCACCGACACACACATATAGACTCCTGCCATCGGCCACAATCTTGGTTAGCGACTATGGCCACCCAGGAGTCCCCAGAGGCACCCAGCGTCATCATAGACACGCAACCCCTTCTTCCAGACTTGCGTCTTATCTCTAGAGGCAAAGTCCGCGACCTTTATGAGACATCGAACCCAGATGCTATCCTCTTCGTTGCCTCCGATCGAATCAGCGCTCACGATATTGTCATGAGAAACGTATGCACTATTTCTTTGGCCCTCTGTTTGTCTCATTGATGTGGTTTTTGTATAATTATGGCTCGATGCACACCTCGATCCCTCGACTTCTTCCACATATACACAGGGCATACCTGGAAAAGGGAAGATTCTGACGAGAATCTCGCTTTTTTGGTTAAATTTCTTCGACGAATATGTATCCACCCACCTTATTACAGCCGATGTCGATGAGATGCCGGAGGAGGTGCGCAAGTACAAGGATATCCTCCAAGAACGATCCATGCTTGTGAGGAAGGCTGAAGTTTTACCGATCGAGGCAATTGTAAGAGGCTATCTCACTGGTATGTCCATGTTCCTATAAGAAGATCTGACGGCTAGATTGTATATCTTGGTGAAGGTTCAGCAGCCGTGGAATACCAAAAGTCAAGAACTGTGCACGGTATCGAACTACCCCAAGGCCTCCGAGAGTCAGAGAAGCTTCCCCAGACCTTGTTCACACCTTCTACCAAGGGCGCTCCCGGAATGCACGATGAGAATATACACCCAAATAAAGGTTCGTACCCAATCCTTCCGATGTCCCTGTGCCCGCATCAAAGCGGCCTCTCATCACCTGCCCTCATGTTATTTCTTCGTGTGCCCCTTGCCTCTTTGCAACCAAAACACACATATCCAGCTGCCGACCTGTTAGGTAGTCCGGTGGCAGGGCGTGTTGCCCGCTTGTCTGTCGAGTTGTACACCCGTGCTGCCCAGCGTCTGAAGCAGCGCGACGTCATTCTGGCGGATACCAAATTCGAGTTCGGTTTTGTGCGATCCATTCCGTCGTCCCCTTCATCCCCTTCTTCACCCATCTCTTCTGATTCCTTCGACGACGACCCGTTCAGAGATAAAGAACTCGTCCTTGTCGACGAGGCTGTCACTCCTGATTCGTCTAGGTACTGGCCTCTGGAAAGTTTCAAGGTTGGACAACAGCAGCCCAGCTTCGACAAGCAGTTCCTGCGAGACTGGCTGATTAGCCAGGGCTACAAGAAAGGATTGGAAGGAGGCCCTGATGGACAGGGGTGGACCATGAGTCCCGAAGTTGTTGAAGAGACTGCACAGAGATACAGAGAGGCGGAGAGGCGAGTCCTGAGTCGATAGAAGAAAGAACAAGAGCGTTTTTTTTTGTGATTTCACCACGCTATGAATTTGTTTCAGTGGAAACGGGGATTTGCTAACCTCGTAGCTTTCGTCTGATGTTGGATCCATGTACTCATGTGGCTTTTATGCTATTAACTTGTGCCTTGGTGTTTGCCACCTTCCCTCGGGACTGTAAAAGAGGGGGGTATAGCAGTGCAATTGGCTGGCCTTTAAATACAATCATAAAGCGTCGTAATCAGTCCATGTCCGTCAAGAAATGCATCGCTCAAAGGTGTGTCGTAGGGCGAAATAAAATGTGAGACTGGAGGTCAAGAAAGCATGATGCTATGTCACTGCGGTACTGTAGTATTTTGGTCACCAATCATAGCTAGTCGTCCTGGGATGGTGTAGTTGCTGTTCGCCTAGAGAGATTAAATCTCGAGGGAGAACTCAAAGGCGTTCGTGGATGTGACGCCAAGGATCCATTGGTTGATGATGCCTTCTCATAATCCAGTCGAAGTTGAATGAGTCCTGAGCCATTCCGAAGCTCAGCCCAGACATCAGAAGACAGAACCGGTGTTGCGCCCAAGCGGATGTGTTGCCAAATCTGCTCGGAGGGAAACTGGGGTTAAGGTGAGCAGACGGAACAGGCGAAAAACCTACAACAATCTCGGCATCCGCTAAGACCTTGTCCTTAGCCAACGTCTTGTGATCCAGTAGGGCCAGCGAGATAGTCTGGTTGTCAGGTCCAACGGTGAAAACAAATTGTTCATTCCTGCATGGAAAATATTATAAGAGTAGATCAAGCAATACTTTGATGCCCACCATTCTGGCGTGAGTGCCTTGTGGACGTGCTTAGTCTGGTGTTCCTTTTTGCCAACCTTGATCGACACGTATGGCTTGACACCATCGCCAGCCGCAGCACCGACAAGGCCCTTGGCCGAAACGACAGTGACTCTCAGTGTTCCAAACTCAGTCGGCGGCGTCCCTTTCCCAGAAGCATCAACTATGGGATACGAGGTTGCTCCGCTGGCGGCAAGCGCATCTGTCACAGCAGGCTGGGAAAATGGCGTAGAAGGGATTTCGGGTACAACCGCGGAAGCAGGGACTGGAAGCTCGTCGCTCTCCTCAATGGTTTTGTTCTTCCTAAGTAGCCCAAATGTTTTCGACCCCACTGCTCCAACACCGTGCGCTGTGCCCTTGATAGCACTAAAGGGCAATCCACCGACTTGTGTCATGGCGCGGCCAGCAGCAATGAAAGTTGAAGTATTTTTACGTGTGCGAGCCACAATCTCAGGGTTGAACACCATCTTTATGGTGATTGTACCCTTCGTACCCTTGGGGGTCTGAAGGCTGAGTGTACGTTCTGTGGACTCGAAAGGCTCGAGATCCGCCAAATTGATGGTGGCGAAGCCAAGAGGATCATCATTGCCGAGCTGATCCCAGTCCTTAACTTCCACTTTAAATTGTGCAGCCACTCTCGAGGGCTAAGATTGTCATGGGTCAAATCTTCGATACACTTTATGTCACACTCACTACTGGAACCGTGAAATTTTCATCCCAAGTTGGAGTGAGTGTCTTCATCTTCTTTTCGGTCTTGTACACTTTCTGGTCGTTTAGGGTGAAGATGGCGTAAGGATCTGATGTACCACCCCGATCCGCTGCGAGAAGATCTCTGGCACCGAGGACATCCACTCTTAACAAACCCATATCTGTACAACAAAAGTCAACGTCACTCAGTTACATGAGGAAGGGGTTGCGCTGACTAGTGATACTCTCTCGGGGTTCGAGGGTGACAGGCACCGGGATGTACTTGGCCATCAGCTTCACCTTGCTGGTCCGCCTGCTATTTTGGTCTGTGAGGATGAACTCAGCCTCCTTGCCCTGATGACGAGTTCATCATAAGCTTGACAAACTCGCACTGCTGCACCAACCCAACATACCAAACATTGTTCGAGGAAAGCCTTAGCCTCGATCTTGAAGTCGCCGATAATGTCATCTTTCATGCCTTCCTCGTTTTCATTCAATCGAAGCCAGACCCTCCCAAAGTCGAGTTCCCTGATGAATCCTTCACCGACCTGATCCCAACGAGCAGTGGTGCTTCGCGCTCTCTCGGTACTGAACGAGGGCCAATAGCTTTCGTCCACTAGGAGTTCAAGGCGAGCCTTTTTGCAGAGCTCTCCTGAAATGGCGTTCACCGCAAGGACGCCCGATTCTAGCAAAACATCAAGTGAGACCGAGTGATTGGCCAATGAAGTTGTGCATACGTTGTTTGAGTAGCTCTTCCTGAGACAGCTCAACACCAACCTGTTCAGGGACGGGAGGCATGGTTTCTGATTTCTTGGCAGCAGCAGCTGTACCTGTGCTGCGGGTGGAATCAACAGATCCTTTTTTTCGATGGGCCTTTTCCTTGGCTGATCCATCCCCATTAGCCGTGGTCGGAGAGGTAGGAACGTCGTCCTTCAGAGAATAACTCGGAGCGATGGTAATGCCATCAAGAGACTCCTCATCAGATGAAGATTCATCTCCCGATGCGATGTCTTCTCCGGAACCATCTCGGGGGGCGCTGTCATCAAGTTCCGTGCCAGCGGCTGGAAATGTAGTACCAGCAAGATTAAGAGCAGGGACGAACTCCGCCGCGTAATGAAGTTTCCCCTTAAACGTGTTGCCTTGAAGGCGGATGGAAGCCTCTCTCTCAAGTTTTGCAATGGGTGCAAAAGGATACTTCATATCTTCCGCGTTTTGCTTGGCGAGGTCCTTGACGGCGAGTTCGCAATAACCGAGAGTCCGGTCCTTGAGTTGATCAGAGAATACTCAGTACGTTGAGTCCCTTGTGGCTCTTCCGGAAGTGTGCCTACCTTTGTCAGGTTCTGGTAATCCATGGCCTCTAGCACCATAACCTGTGTGGGCGTCAGTATGATCATTCTTCAGGACCGTGTGCCACGTACATCTGAAAGTGCATGCACGGGTACATAAACGATGGCATCCCATTTAGGGTTGAGATCTAGAACGACAATAAGCCACATCAATACTGCTCGAAGGAAGACAGCTCACTATTGTTAATGACCTCCGTGCGAGCCAACGTGATACCATTCATCTGAACGCGAATGTAGGGATCGCTCTGAAGAACATGAGAATAAAAGATAACTTCGATTGAAAGTCACCTCACCTTACCCCCAAGGGCAGCTTCAACATTCTTGACATCAGACGCCTCCTTAATCCTAACATCATTATCAGTATCACACTTGATGTAGCCCCAGGCGGAATTTCCTCACCAAAGCCTGACGACACCAATAGGAGGAGTATATGCAGCGGCGCCCTGAACGCTGCCAGCCATTGCCAAAGGTTTCCATTCCGCAGACATCCGCAGTTTGCCGGTCTTACAGCCGCTGAGTGGGAACCAGTCGCGCTGCTGCTCCTTTGCCTTCAATAAGTCATCAAGACGAACGCTCAAGAAACCAATCACGGGATCCTTGAGCATGTCTCGCTCGTCGGCGATTTTAACAGCAATTACACAGGACGAGCGGTCCGAGACAAGGAATTCAGCCGCAGATTCCCAAACGGGAGATGCTGTATGCCTGAAGGTCGGGGTTTTGTGGATAAGTTGATGATGAAGGAGAACTTTGGCGAATGGGTTGAGGTCTCTGGTGAGCGCTTTGGACAAGTCCAGCTCCTTCGCTTGATGTAATATCAAGCGAACAATTCCAACAGCTAGCAGGCATTATTAGACCCTGGCGTTCTGTTAAGAGCAAAAGGGACACTCACAAGTTTCCGGTACAGGCTCCAACTGTCCATCAGGGCCTTTGGCAGGCGTTAGGACAGGGAAGTACGATCTACAACATGTGCATTTGAGGTCCTCTGTTATCTAAGTAGGTGTGTGGCACTCACAAGTCGAAGATAACTTCGCCACACTCCTTTCCATCCTTCAAAACCTTGACGATGATACCTTCACGTGTGGCATCATCCAGAAGCTGGCTGAGCTCGTAGCTCGCGGTCCCAAGCTCAGTGTCATTACGATGGTCGTTGTGGTCTAGGACACTAAGTGTGAGAGTCTCATGCAGGTTCGTCGAGTTAAGGAGGAGATAATGAGTGGAACCAAAATGCGGGTTGGGCCTGGGTTTGGACGGGTTACGGAAATTGCTTTGACAGAAGTTAACGGGACCTACGAGCTGCGCTTAAACCTTGTCCTCGCAAGCTCGACACGGTGTTCGATACTGAGAGAAACATACGGGTCTGGTACTCCACCACCAAACTTGACTGCCTTGAGATCTCTGGCAGATGTGATTTTAATTTGCAAAACTCCAGTTGCACTATCTAAAGCCCGACATGAACGATGGAATAGCCTCGGCACATGGGTTGAGCTTACCGAGAGGGGTTCCCGACAACATTTGCTCGAGGTTCAGAGTGAAAACTAGGATTGAACATCAATACGATCATGAGGGGATAGGGGGCAAAACGAACCGTTGGGATCATACATCATGGGTCCCAGAGTAGCATGGACCTGGTCACGGATGAAGGAAGAAAGTCCAGGGATCTAAGAACGCTGATTAGAATTGCATCATTCTTGGCAAGGAATCACAAACATTATTGATATCAAAACCGAAAGTATCACCGCCGATAGGCTTAAGAGAGTAATCAAGGACCGGGGGTTGCAAAAAGCTGATTTCAGCGATTTGAATATGAGGGTAATTTGTCATCAGCTTCAGCTTGACCCTCATTTCTCCGCTAAAAACAATGTTCTCAACAAGAATGTGCATTCCAGCAGTAGCGACGCCTCTCCCAATGCGAATCTCGAGAACAATTTTGGAATTGACCTTATTGACCAATTGTAATGAGGTGGAGTCAGCCAAGTCACTTGAGTTGAATGATATTGCCCAATCCATGAGAACGATATCATCGGCTGTTCTTGGGAAAGTCCGGACTTTGTCTATCCTGGGTGCCTTCGTGCCCAACGTGAATGTGGACAAACGCATAGAGTCAACCCCGGTTGGAGTCGATATGCTGAGGACCTGGTCAACTGAAGAGACTATGGTAGAAGACAGGATTGGCTCATAAATAAGCCAAAAGCGATCCAGGAAGTTGTTTAGCCAATCTGCGGATTCATGCTCGCTAGCGAGACGGTTCTTGATCAGTTCTCGCTGAATGTCGTCGCGCGCCGCACGCCGCAAGCGCCGCATCGAGGTGCTATAGTAGGTGGCGCATACGGCAAGAACAATAAACAACCACCCCCATCCAAAGCGGAAGACGGTTAAGAAATAAGTTGTCACCACAGCCTATTTAGACAAGATTAGCGGCTTGAATGCGAACGGAAATGAAGAACACGCACGAAGACAATTATTCCTGCGTTGTGGTACCATTGGCCATAATACATGTCATCAATGAACATGGAAATGATATGTCGGTCGCGTTCTTCCCCGTCAGCAACCGGACGGTCGATTCCTGAAACAGCTCGCCAACCAACGCGATACCAGTCGGGTATGGCATAAGCAGGACCATCAGGAAGGGCCCCAGGAATGGGCTGTTCGGTGATTTTTGGGGGCGTGGTTTCCGCTTTCTTCTCTCCGTCGCCGATACTTTCGTCGATATCCTCAACCTTGATAGTGGGTTGGACAGGCGGACCGCCAGTATCCAGCTTAATCCCTGCACGCGAATCATTGGGTACACACCAAATTACCGAGCGGTCGTTTGTACACTTACCCCGGGCCTCTTTCGGAGCACCGTTGGTCACACTGGAAAGCTGACCTTTAGCCTGGCCTGCAAGTGCAGCCTTCTGCTCCGGACTAGCATCTGGGTTGAAAGTATGCACCTTCCCACCCAAATCTTCATCTCTCGCGTGAACAGCATCGAGTGTGCCGCGAGCAACAGGCTCAGCCATTTTCCAAGCTCGTACCCTGTCGAGGCTGAGGCGCAGGGAGTGGAGTGGCTGGTTTTCGGATGCAAACCGCAACGTCAGCCACTCATTACCAGAATCGGCAACACGCGCCCCCCACACTGTCGGATGTAGAAGCGGCCTGGACCCTTCTCCGACGATGACAGACTTGTCTGCGTATGCTGCCTTTCAATTGTGCACCTGTCAAATGGGAATCACCTTTGCAATGTTCGGTCATTCCCGCATACCTACTTTGATTTACGCGCAATGTTGACGCGTCCGACAGCATTTTATCCGAGAGACAATAAAATTTGGACACGTAACTGGTAACAGCTAGATCTCGTTGACCGATAAGACCAAAAGCAACCACAAAACCAAATATCAAACAAAGGAAATACAAGGCGCTCGCACACCAAGGACACCAAGAAAGGACTGACGGTTCAAACAGGCCGACGAACCACGACCTCTGAACATGACCCCAAACAAGGAAATAGTCACATGGCGAATCGTGAATATAGTTGTACAACCACACCAACATAACATATTATCCCTCCCACCATACATACGGAATATTTGGTGGAATTTGTACTGCGGTCCTCTCCTTTCCATGTAACTTTCTTGCAACATTGCCTTTCGGCAGCCTGCGTGCGGTTGATACATTGATTTCCGGCCAAACGATACGTCAATACTTATTCTCAGACTCGTACTTATTCTTAATTTTCCTCCTGGTTTCTATCTCAAATGCGGATTACAGATATTGGCGGTGAAGCTGAGTCCCTCTATGGCCCTAACGACATTGAATCAGCATCAAACCAACGTCAATGATGGTCCAGATCTCAGCAGAAGACAGCAGAACCAACAATTGGAAACCTAGTCGTCTGGCCCCATTTCAAACTCTCAGAGATATACGCAAGGGTCACCCACGTAGGATAGTTCACGCGGGTGTGATATATCGTCCCACTGGTTCCCTTTCTTGTCGATTAGCGCTCTACCGCCACTCATCGCCATTGACAGCCAGTCCTGTGTTTGAACTTTGAAATGGAACAAAGGATTGGTAGGCAATTCTTCTGGCCGTGCCTCCTCAGCTTAAAGTTAGCTAATCTGGAACTTGCCTTGATAGGAATTATCCCGATTACGCTTTGGCCTACACAAAAAGGGCTGAAAAGCGAAATAATGAGTTATTACGACAAGATGTCCATCGCTCCCTTTCATCCTGTGCACTTCCCTGAGGATTCCGGACGTGCGATTGATCAACATCAATGCTTGCCCCTACAAATCTGCTCCGGGCAAAACCGAGTCGTGAGGATCCAGGGTTTGCGCTTTGGATTCATGCATGTTCAACGGCATTGCTCCGCGGGTCTACATGGGTATAAAACCCTTCATTTGAACTCCAGCCTAGCCATGCCTAGTTAGCCATGTCTGTGGGCCAAATGCCCCACCTCAACCCGGGTAAGTCATGTTGGTGAGCAGCCTATCCTCTTCTAACCGTTTGATTGTTTAGCCCCCGTAATAAAACTTATTATTTCTTCTGGATCATGGAGCTCGGAACACATCATCCTCCCACTTAACGTCGCTTCAATCACCCCGGGCTACATCTTTTTACCAAGGATTGACACATTCTATCAAGTAATGAAGAAAACACCGTCTTTGGTAACGTGAGTTGCGTGATCTCGTGTCTTGCAATTTCGTCCAACACCCCCGCAGAATACTTCGAGGAAAATACTTTGAAATTGTCCGAACAGGGCAGCTGGCTCCGACGTCAACTCTGGGCTGGCTGGAACTGAGCAGAAACGGACCGCTCTGGAGAAGAGGGCCGTTGGATGCAAGGGAACCGGACCCCCCTCGGGTTCCAGGCCCCTATGGCCTCAGAGAGATCCATGTCGTGATACGACCGATTCCAGAAATCCCAGATTGTACCAGTGAGTTGTTTCTTGTTTGTTTTTTAAGCCCGGACTTCATATCTCCGGCACTCTTTAGGAACTACCCCACCTGTCTTGGAAGATCTGTTCGTAGTTTCAGAAGCCATGCCTCCCCAATCCCTGTATGGGATGGTGTACAACGGCTCACCAGATATCCACGATAATCTGACGCCCACCGTCTCCACGTACCTCTCCCGTAGCCCTGGGACTTCCAGTAGCTCGATTGTGGGTAGAGGTCGGCGACGGGGGCCAGAAATGTCGAGGGCACAGCCCCAGGCAGCGCAAGCTGTAGCAGGCCCAAGCCGACCCACACCTTCGTCCTCCAGCCGCCGACGACAAGCGTCGGCGAATGGAAAGAAGTCAAAGGTTGTGAAGTCCACTACACAGCAACCGCTACCTGTCACTCCCCTGTCCAAGACCACCCGAGCCGATAGTAGTCCCTGTTATTGGTACCCACAAGTTGAACCCTCAAACCCTTCACTCCAACAAACATCCAACACTTTTCCCGGAGAGGCATTTCCAAACTTTGGTGCGATCACTCCACCAGGAATATTCGGGCCGCAGCCCACCACAGGCCCTGTTGGCCCCTGGAGGGGCTATGATGCTGCGTCTTCATCGGGATGGCAAAACCCTGCCCCTCTTGAAGCCACATCGGCACCCTATCCGCACATCCAGAGGTACCAGGAGTCGCAGCCATGGCTTCCGGCCTCCATTCCTGGAAGGGATACAGTACGGGACCTCTTGGAATCCCTCTCGCCGGCCTTGGGTAGCAGTGGGCACACCCCTGCGCCGTCGGTGCCTCAAAGCTCCACCTCCGACGAGCTTGTGCAGTTCTCTACATATTTCGATGTAGATCCCAGGCAAGAGTTTGACGCGCCAGTTTCTCTCGATTGGTAGCTGCCTCGGCTTGTCATCGGACTCCGACGATTTGCTTTTCCCTACCTTACTGATCTTGCAATCGGTAACGATCAGTTTGTGAAGACCATCCGCGGTCCTTTAAATAATCATGTTCCCAAATCACGTGGCAGGGCTGTCTGTGCCATCTTGTTTCAAACCGAAGAGATCTCCGATTCTTCGACACATTGTAAGGTTATTCTGGAGTGTGTGTAGCTAGCTTTAAGACCCTCGGGAATGTATTGCCCGGTATGGATTCGTTGAGTGGTACAAGTCCCTGTCATGTTGGCTTCGTTGCTTCGTCAAAACTGTATACTTAATACGTATCGTCACTCGTTCAACTTAAGGATAAAATCCAGAGACTTCCGAGAAGTGTTGTTGTGTCAATTGCATCTATACGAAACTTTCAGAAATGAATGTCCCAATTAGGCGTTAATTGACCTTGACGCTCAACCCACCGGCGACGTATTGGGATCAACAGAAGGTTCCTTAGCGCGTCAAGCAAAGATGTACAGCGTACGCCGTTATGTTCAGGTTAAGGGAGATTGAATTGAATTAAAGAATGGCACAAAACGCGCAAGTACAAGACATGAGACCACGGACAACTTGAACGCTAAGCGTGACGGACATGAACGGTTACATGGCGTACCTGATTTTAGCAAGGTGAGTCACGGGAAAGATGGGACAAAGGATTGAACCTTACTTCCTTGTCCATTCCCGGGCAGCTGCCTCATACCGTGGACGATCGGTCTTATACAAGTGAGCAATGTCGGGCACCAAAGGATCGTCGGGGTTAGGATCGGTCAACATCGAGCAAATTGAGAGCAGCACTAAAGGAACCAGGCCCGGGGTGAATCACGGAAATTCGGAGGCGGTGAGTCAGCACAGAGGTGGAAGATCAAATAGGGGAGCCTCATAACCGTGCCTTTAGAGATCGTCAACGCTGGAGACCACTGATCCCTGAGGATGTCAAGACAAATGCTCCCATTGGAGTTGATGTTTGGATGGTATATCTTCGTTGTGAAACTGACTTTGGGCGGCTTGAACGGATAGTCGGTCGGGAAAGTGATAGAGAGGAAGAAGACACCGCCAGCGTATGGCGAGTCGCTCTTTAGAATGTGAAGTATGAGTTTTGCATAATGTATGTAATGAGATATGCCTTATTACTCACAGGACCCATAATAGTCGCTTGCCATTGGAACATGTTGTCGCCTGTTGGACCAGCGCTGCATGAAGAAGGCGGATCACGTCCGAGGTCAACGAGTTCCTAATAACCGCCAGGACAGGGATAAATTAAATGAAGTGAGATCGGTCAGATCGGTGCACATCACAAAGACGGCGATGAGCAGATGAACGATACCACAAAGGCTGTGATGAGGGATTAGCGCACCTTGTTGATGCGTCTCAGTGCCATTATGGATAGAGATGAGGCTTGACTGGCGAGGAGAACGAGATGAGGGCGAAGTAGTTCGTCAGGAGTGAGTGTGTGGTGAGAGCGAGAACCGGTTAGACGAGATCGGAGTATTCTATGGGTCTGGAAACTTCCGATCACGGGCACTGCCCAGCGCTAATTAGCTGGTAGCCACCAGTACCCCAATCGCTCTGCAAATGTCACAAGAGGAGTAGCAGAGTGCAATTAATCATGTTCCAGAAACGCAAGGCTTGGGGATTTATTACGAAGGTGGGATATGCCGTACAAAGTGTCGCAACGAAGCTTCAACAAGACTCGCACTTGCACAAGAGAAAGCGCTTGAGCAACAACTGATTGGATTCGCCTTTACGAAAGCCAAGAGGGGGGATGGTAGGGGCGCAAGCATCTAATAAGTGAATCATTAACATGAAGAAATGAAGGTTTTCACGGCCGAAGCATGCACAGCACAGCTATTAAGAGATGTGCCCATAATTAGTCCTCAAGTCCCTCGTAACAGGCCCAGTCTTGAATGCTTTTTATGTTATCCGACTAGCTTTATGCCAATTCGGAACCGGATCGGTGGAGAAAGGCATCGGGTAAGCACGATGCGACCGAGAACTCGGGCAATGGTCCTACCAACGACGTGATTCTCTGTCGTGTGGGAAATAATAGGCGCTGATAGCGGTCGAACCGCTGAGAGAGCTTGCCGCCCTTTAATCAGTGAGCTCCTCGTAGCCCAACCCCGATCGTCACCACGGGAACTAGAACGACATACGGACGCATTTCGTCATACAAGTCGCTACTTGGCGCCAGGACCCCCACTACTGCAGGCTAATTCTGGGTAATTACATGGAGATGGAGACAAGATAAGGCGCGAACCATCACTATACTCGGATGAGTCCAGGAGCAACATAACACCCTCTGGGGCGCTGCCGGGCACTCACGCGCCTGAGTTGAACGCTTCAGAGTGTGATGGCTGGTCAACTCGGTTCTCCTGACAGAGGCTTCCTCATCTATCGAACTGTACGCAGGACCTGAAGGAGTACGAAAAAGGATCTATCAACCTCTGCTCGGATCCCCGACCCATCTACAGCTTGAGTCTGAGGACCCTGCTGGAACAGTTTACGCATTGAGGGCCGAACTTGTGGTTGGTTCCGTTAGTTATCACTCGGACAATGCTTGACGAGGAGCGCAGGCGGAATAGTGCATCGTGAATTCTTTTGCTCAAAATGTTTCAACCCACATGCCACTCAAGATCAACGAGTGGCAAAGATCTCCACCCACGCGGGTAGACTGCGACCCCGATAATCCAGTCATGTCACGTCAGTGCGTGAGATCCGGGATTTAGGGGGCGTTCCGATACCAGCGGTTCATGATGGCAGGCCACCCTATTTGCCGTATGGATTCCCTTCCAATTCGAATGCGGACCAGCCATACCATAATAAATAATAGCGTTAACCAATGGCATGAGAGTGGATCTTTCCATGATTCTGGGCAAAGCGTTTGTTGACGAAATTTGGAAGAAACGGGCGGCATGGAATAAGTAATCCGTTTCTGCATTTCATTTGTTCCAACTCCGACTGAGCCGCATGTTTCTTTGCATATGCGGTTGTCTTTATTGATGTGAGCTGCATTAGTTGTTCGGCAGACGATATGAACATTCATCATCCCAGTATGTGACTACATAAAACCAAATAGGGGAGGGGTGAATATCGTTATCAGAGCATAGCACCCATAATTATCCGAGCACTATTTGAGGCAGCGTACACGTCCTTTAACAAAGAAGAAGGGGAGGCTAGCTAGCTCATGGTCGAAAGCCCCTGCATAGCCTTGATTCGAGCTTCTGCAAGCCACTATATAAATGCGAGCGCCTCTGGACAAATTTGATACCAGTGCCACTTCTGATCGCATCGTGTGATTCAGTGCGGAAGAAGGGCGCTGATGGTGGCCCCTGATCAGAACCAGTGACCTCGAACCAACACCAACCGGCACATGGCCCGTCACGAAATCCGACATAAAATGTTTGGATGGAAGTTTCGCGTGGCGCCGCTACAACATGCAGTGTGCCATTTAATATCACTCCATCACGCGCACCACAGCAGCACAGGCCTGGTATATAGTGGGAAAAAGTGATGTATGTGTGTGTGTGTGCGATTTTCCTGATATATATAGCGTGGGGGAGAGGCCACACTTGGGCGCCAAGACAATCGCCCAATGCAGATCACTATACTGTACATGTGATCTATGAACTCCAACCTATCCAGGTAATGACGGGGACTGAAACCCGAGAGAAGCGCTAATCAACTCGATTCCGTTCCAGGGAGTATGCCCCCCCCCCTTATCTGGCCTATCATCTTCCTACTCTACTACTACGTCGAGTTAATTAAAGCAAGAGGCAACCGATTAGCCAGAACAATTGACACAGTAAAGTCATCAGTCCACATGGATCGATTGTTGAGAAACCCTCGTGAACAGATGGTTGGGGTTGGGCCGCCACTATAAGTGATCAGAGCATTCTCGCAAGTAAGGTCGCATAAGGGAAGGATGCACTAGCTGGGGACGGAGGATCAGGAGAACATAAGATGGAGAGAAATGAATAAGCGCGCATCATTTAAATCTGCTTGAATATTTTGATATGAATTCACAACAAAATATAGGTGAAAAAATGGCACCAGCCCACCCCCTATGCAGTGAAGACAACAGGAATATCACACAGGGGGGGCGGCGTTACCACCTTGTTCCTATTCTAGACTCTCAGGTGTAACGTAAATCACATCGTAAGCATAGAAGGGAACAGTGCGCACAACGTTGGAAGAATCGTAGCGATCGTGACGATAACATAGAGCATGAGCCTGAAGCACCGAGTTTGACCGAAAAACATGGCAGCAAAGCGACCGGGACGGCAACAAGCAATCCCAAATAAAGAAAAAAAGGGGGGGGAGAGAAAGAAAGAAAGAAACTGGAAGGAATAGAAGGGAAGATCGATGAAAGATAGACGGGAAAAATGAACTAAATAGCCTTAATCTCCCCCTCGTCACTGCTGGATGGCTCTTTCTCGAGGCGATGATCATCGAGTGGCTGGCGACCAGGCCCGAAACGCGACTCAATGGATGTGATCGCAGCAGTAACGTCAATGTGAAACGCCTCCCGATCCACCGAAAACACAGGTAGAGATTTAACAGCTCTATCCACCCTCCATTCCCGCTACTTCAATGTCATCTGCCTGAGTATTACTTTGCTACTCAAGTTCTCCTGCTCAAGATGCTTCCTCACTTCATTGGGATCGCTCGCATCCGTAAGCTTTGCAATACTGTAAAGGGGCTCGACGTCTAGAGGGGTAAGAATGCGTCCGAAACCACCTGCGACAAGACCACGCTTAACCCATGGACGGGATACGCCAGCAAAGTGCCACTCCACAGCATTTGGGGACGCATGACGATCAAGTTGAGATCTGACATCCTGGAGGATCTGGACGGATGTAACATCAACGTGCTCGACAGCCGTAAAGTCCATAACGATCGCCTTAAGAGTTGGGCGAGGATCGGAAGCGATTGCATTAGGATCGATGTGGCGAGGACCAACAAACTAGAATGGCAGGACATCATTCGAGCGTTAGATGCAAATGTTTGTTGAGAGAAAAAGTCGGATATACGTACGTTCCAAGGACGATCACCCAGCGTGGGGAAAGAATTGGCGTTCGTCCTTTTCGTCTGCGCCTGGATCACAGCCACGAGTTGGTCTGTGTAACACCCGACGCTAGGGTACAAGGGACTTTGCCTGGGACGGTAAACGAAGACACCAGGAATAGGCTCTTCGACCGGTATACCAGGGTTAGATCCATCAGCATGGTCGAGCGGGACATACACCCTTCGGGACGTATTGGTGACGAATTTGCTATTCGTCCAGACTTCAATGCGGCCTAGGAAATCGCCACGGGACTTGGCAATGCGGAAGAGGAGAAGACCACCTGTGGATGCTATCGCCGTGCTATGATAAAGTAGGGAAGTCGCTTAGCGGACGCCGCACAAAGCGTGGCTAAAGATTGTGCTTACTAGATACCTATCTCAATGGTACCGAAGATGCAACCGATCACACCCGCAAAGAAGATGGCGATCTCCGGGGGAGAAACTTTCCACCAGTGATACAACGATTTTGGCGGAGTGATAAGATCCAAAACGGCGTGAATGATAACAGCAGACAAGGCAGCATTAGGAATGTAAAAGAAGACCGGTGGGAGAGCATAGATGGAGAGAAGAACAACGAGAGCGGTGATAACACCGGCCAAAGGGGTGCGCACACCACTTTTGGACTTGATAGCCGTGCGAGAGAAGCTACCGGTTGCAGGATAGGCACCAAAGAAAGGACCAAACAGGTTAGTGACGCCAATGGCGATGAGCTGTAGAGTTATCGGGGTGAGCCAAACTTGAAGGCATGTTGCCACATGGGTCTTACCTCTTGAGAAGGGGAGATGGTGTAATTGTTTACCCTCCCGAAACTCTTCGAGATAGCGATGTGTTCACTGATAAAGTCCAGGTGCGTTAAGATCCAAAATTAGGGTCCTTTTTCCAAGAATGCTCACATAAGCAACACAATGATAGCACCGGGAAGCTCTTTTGCGAGAGCGACCACGGTAGTATGGTTGACCGTTGGCACGTTCATGTGCTTGAAACCTCTTGGCACGGTACTCAGAATGGAGAACCTTGGGTGCTTCTTCCTGTGCCTGTTGACTAACCATGAGATCAACGTATATAGCAATATAACGAAGGCGGTTCGGAGCGTGCTGATGAAGAAGAATAACTTGGCACGGGAAGGATCACGGCGCGCTCTCCAGGTGCACAAGCTACGTATGAGATATAGGAGGAAAAGAGCTGTGAGGCCGACCGCTGCGTTGATATCGGAACGGCCTAAATGCTTAAGGATATTGATGAAGACCTTGTATGTCGCATCGCGGGTGTTTAAGCCGGTGATACCCATGAGGGCGGGTACTTGACTGATCGCAATGTTGAGCGCGCTTCCAGTCATGAAGGCCCCGATGGCTGATTATTAAATAAGGTTGGGTGACTATCAATTTCATCTGCAGAAGTGAACCTACCAGGGAGAGGGATGAAGTCTACAATGAACCCCAGACGAAGAATGCCAAGTGCGGTGACGAAAGCGCCACATAGTACAGCCAGTACGCCTGCAATCTGGTATGGAACGAGATGGGGGTGGGTCCTTCGTACGCGGGTAATAATCTGGCCTGTCAAGGTCGACATGACAGCAACCGGTCCAATGGTGATACTATATCGGGAAATGATGGCCAACAAGATTAGAGGATCAGAGCGGGGCAGGGTACCAGGCACATACTCTTTAGAAGTGGCGAATGCAAAATATAGCAGGACGCCGACGAAGCTTGAATAGAGGCCAAACTCGGGTGCCAAGCCGGCAAGTTTGGCATAGGCCATGCTTTGCGGCACGACGACAGCACCAACGGTAACACCAGCGATTAAATCCCCAGCGAACCAGACCTTATTGTAGTTGGGGAGCCATTGAATGACGGGAAAGAGATTTCGGAGGTAGGCGGCAGAGCTTGCGCGAGTAGGGATGACACCCTGAATCCACCCTGAGACCGTAGGATCTTCCTCGACGTACGCCCGAGTACGATTCTGTGCATCAAAGTGTGTCAATCGTGAGGAAGAAAGAAGGAAAGCGGGGGAATTGCATACGGTTGCAGAGATGGATTCGCCGCGAGTAATGCGAGATTGAATGTTGTTTTCATTGCTGATGGGAATACCGGTGAGACGCTTTGCCCAATATTCCAGCTTGTCCATGGCTGGTGAACGCCAAAGGGGAGAAGGAAGGGGAGAAGACCGACTCTCCGTTCAGACGTGGAAGCAATACTGTTGGGCACATGCATGGATATATAAGTAAGCAAGCCACCCACATAATTCTTGGAGAGAATTGTACCTTGATATCGAAGATCCCCCTAAGCCAAAAACGTGCTTATGGCGTGATGGACTCACTGAAGCTTCTGTATGTAAGATAAGAATTAAAACTACCTATTTCTGAGGTGGGGGGTTCGCCGCCAAACTTAAAAGACGCCATCATTCTCACCAAGCACGCAATCCAACTTTCTCTGTTCTATATCGGTTATCTCTTCCCGCCTATCTCCATTTAAACTCCCCATCTCCCATTCGCACACTCGAAATGCGTAGGGCGGAAAGTGTCCAAATGACTCCAAGACCACGTACGGGCGCTGTCAATGAGTCTATTCAAAACTGGCCCCGGCTAATCATAGTGCCGGCACCAACGATCCCGGCAAACTCCATGGTGTAACTATTTAGGTGGCCTTTTGCTTCCGTCGTTTTTGCTTTCGCTCTTTTCATGATCCTCCATCTGTCTCAACGGGCAGAATCTCGATGCGGTAGGTGCTTATCTTCATCGAACCCAATGTGATGTTTTATACAAACTAGAGTTTGTGACTTACTCATGAACGTATCCTTATTTTTCCTGATCAATCATTAATTTTCTTCATTTCGCATTTGCTGATCTGCTTGTTTTTTTTTTCGTAGTCATCTGCAATGTGGTTCCAGTTTCAGTTTCGGTAAGTTCTTGCCTTGAACACGACTTGGATGGTGTGGGATGATGATCAGCATTGGAGTTACCGTCAGAACACTATAACATGACGATACCAATTGGCTAACAAAAATCTGACTGCTCCTACCAAGTTGGCTATTGGATCTTCAGAATGACTAATTCCGTCTTGCCACCTTCTAGATGTTGACCGTTTTGCTCTTGTTCGTTATTTCATCGTCAAAGGTTAGTCTCATCATCTCTTTTCTGTCCCATTCCACACTGCATGATGTTACACACGATGGTCTTCCTATCATTATGCGGAAACTGCCCAACCAGCTCACGAACAATCATGGGCATCCCAGCTGAAGCTTTTCCTATCTCGTTGTTCTCGTCTATGATCACAGTGCAAGTACTGATTCTTCGTGCTGTAGGTGCGCAAGTTTTTTTTTTCTTAGCTGTATGGTACCTGTCGAGTGTATAATCATTTGGAAATGTGATAGCCGGTTAGCTACGTTGAACTATGCATAATACTGAGAAGGGTGCTAAGGGGTGTGAACGAGTTAGGCGCGTGGCGCTACTCTTATGTAATGCAGCCCTATAAAGGAGCAGAAATTTGGTTCCGTTCCTGTTTTTAGCTCATGCAGCAGCCTCAAGGCCGTGTAGCTCGTCACCCACCGAAGGGCTTCCAGTCCTTTCACATTCGCGAGCGGGTTAAGGTCTGAGTGTTTGATCCTCCAGGCTTTGTTCATTTGGACTTGGTCTCGTTCGTTCTCGAGAGGAGACTGTTGGTCATTCCGACACGTTGACGTACCAGAAATTTCGCAACGTTCGACTGATACCCGGAGAGTCATATAGTGGCATTCTTTTACGTGTGCGCTGTGTGAGGAGGGACGTCCGTCCAGGTGTGGATGGATGAGCTTCGATCTGTTTTGCTTGAAATCGTCAAGGAGGATGGGCATGTTTTCGATCTCTTTTGTCATTGTTCAGCATCATGAGGGTCTGAATTTCCGTTGGCTGTGTCAATCTATCTCGTTGGGACGCGTCGTAGCCCGTACAACTACAGTCGCGCGGGAGGATATGTTTTCTCCTGGTTGTTCCTGCCTTGTTGTGAGAGGGGTGCACACGTGAAGGCGGATCTGGTGGGGGTTGCTCCACGGGGGCATGGGGAAGGCTTAATCGCCTTCCGCTTCTCTCTTCTTTTCTGAAAGTTCGATAGCACTTCCAGATATGCCCCTAAGTGTGGAGCATCAGCGTTGCATGGAGGCCGGTGCAAGCGCCAGATGCCAGTTACCCCCGGGAACGTGTAGTTCCTAACCTTTCTGCCCACCAGGAACCAACGTATGAGGAGAGATGCAGCCTCAAGTTATTTGGCTTTTTCGTGCTTGGATGTTGATGGAGAATACGAGAATGTGACCTTGAGTGCAATTCACGGCGCCATGGGTTCTTCAGGTGGGCGCGAATTGTCTCGCCCCGCCCTTGATAACTCAATTCAGACTACTCTGGGTCTGCTGCCTTTGACCATTCGTCATCCAATTTTTCGCTCCCAACTTTTCTGTGCCATTGGTCTCAGATTTGTGGTTCTCTTTTCTCCTTTTCATTTTTTGTTATGGTGTATGTAATAGTCCGTCGTCCTTAGTATACTATCGCGTTCTGCATGTTCGGAAATACTCAGTCCCGGCCATCACACAACACACTAACACATTAGGTTGTCACGTTAAATAATATCATCAGATGGCGCCTCAGGCCTTTAGACGCTGGTGACGCTTGCGCCTTCCTTATTGGGGTATCAGAGCTGAGCTTATGTAATGTTAGCCTATTTAAATCGGCAAAAACCGTCTTGGTTCTTTCTTTTCAACCAACAACATCCCAAGGCTGCGTAGCTCGCCACTCACTGAGAAGCAGGTTTGTGCCTTCTGCATTTTGCGAGCGAGTTAAAGTGAGTATTCCATTCCGTGTCCCTTCGTCATATGGCGGAAGGCGTGTGAGGACCTCGTGCGTCTGTACTGAAGCTGGCTTGCCATCGCTCCCGGAGATCCACCGGCTGGCATTGGTGTTGTGCCGCTTGTGGGGAGGGAAGCCCGCCTTGGGTGGATAAGTCGGATGTCACTTGGGACTCGTCAAGGGGTGGTAGCGTCTACGTCTTTTGTTCCTTTCATCTTCCTTGCTTTCTCTTTTTGCTACCGTCTCCTCCCTCCCTATCGGCGATGGAAGGGCGCAGTCTCATTGACTGTGCCTTGCTAAGGTGCAGCGAGGCCGTTGAGCATCATGTGTGTCTTTGTTCGTGTCAATTATGGCGCGGAGTGGTGAGCAGTGGGTTATAGCAGTGCATGAAAGCACTTGCGGCATGCGAGCTGTGGGCGTAATGTTTTCCCCCGCAAGCCGTTCCGCCGTGTTGCCGAACGCAATACGTTTCCAGCCTCGCTACAGCGAGAGAGCGCTTATATAGCGCTGTTAGCTTGACTACTGGATTGATGAATTACCACATCCAGTGATGCAGTTGTGTGATGCAACCGCTGCATCTTTGCCGACGTGTTTACTACTAATACTACTACTGCTGCTACCATGGCCCTACTAGGCCTGCGACTCATACCATGTCGCCATATTACGCGCTTCATATTGCGTATTATGTACAGTCACCGTCGAGCACCTGTCATGGGCCCATGTCCCATGAGTACAGATGAGCATAGCCTATTTGGTATGCGATGTCAAGCTCTGCCCTGAACCCGCGTTTCGGGTGTGCAGATAGAAACTATCATAACTAATATTACCAGTGCCGAGATGGCCAACAGGAACGTATGTCGCACAAGAGGGAAAGAGAGAACTCCTCCCTCTTGGTCGAGGTTTCATCAATATGATGCCTCGAATGCCCCCGCACTCCAGCAGAATGCGGTTCCGCGGGTATGACCCATTTCACGTTGAAGGGGGAGCTGTTTGTTCTCTTCTGCTTACCAAGTCATATCGTACGAGGGGAGGGTGATGGCTAGTGCCTCGAGGATTCAGGGATGATTGGACGAAGATGGACGCTGTTTTGGGTGCGATATGCAGCACTGATGTCCTTGCATTCTGCAGGATGTTGGTAACTCAACTCACTTGCTCTGGGTCTGTTGTCCCCCTGCAATAATTTTTCTCACCCTTCGTTCGCGGCTCTTTGAGCCGTGTCGAAGTTCCAACCGTTCGCTTGGTCGACGTGTCACTGCCGTAATCTATGGCTGTGATGTGTGTCCCGTATATTTCATGTATCGTATTTTATATGTAAGCTTTAACAATAAAGGCGACATAATATGTATTTCGTTAGATCCAGAAGCCGCGATGTTGCAGACAAACTCATGTTTGTGAGGCATTGACGTTAACCTAACAGTGGGTTTCCATCGCTCCAGCTGGACGCTTGTTCGAGAAGCCGATGAGACGTACACGTCCTATTGTTGATCTATCTTGCTGTCGGTCTTCTGGTTCTTCAGCAGCTCCAGTGTATTGCATCTCGTCATCCGTTCTGGGACTTGATGTGTGTTGTGGGCGATTCTATCCTAAACTGATGTTACGATGACGTGCGTATACCACGCGATGGCGGGTCTAGTCATTGCCCGTTCGTCGGTTGCATTAGTTCTTCCTGTCAATTCCGGTTCTCGAGGCGGACGTTCAACGAAATTATATATATCGTTTTGGTGGGACACATTACGTTGTCGCGTGGTTGAATTTTACCACAAGCAACGTATCAGAAGAACCTTTCATTAAACTTGGAGATCTTGGGCCGGATATTAGCAAGGAAAGGTTCGTTCTTTGCAGAAGAAATGAGGCGGACGATTCGTCCCCCCCCCCTCTGTGGGCATGGGGGCTTACGAGTGTAGCCCCCCAAATCATGCTCCGCTCTCTATAACTTTTCGCTCCCGCATATATCTCATGCTGATTAGACCTGTACATTCTCTGCACCCTTTGTATGACTATTCGGTACTCTATCGTAACGTACGACACGCTGGTACTATCGCATTTGACGGATATTTCTTTCAAAGTTATCATTCCTCCCTCTTCCACTTCCGCCTAAGCTCCACTGGCCCAATCTCTCTTCTCATCAGCTTTGTTCCTTTTATTCCCTCGTCCCACTCCAAAATCGATGATGGACGATTTAAACAGCTTGATGAACTCGTAACCAAGGTATGTAGTGCAACTTCAGAGACTGCAGCCGGTGCTTCAGGTGGCGGCAAACAAGGGGCCGACCTGCTCTGTGTCACTACACTTGGGGACCAACATTACCGGTCAAGCTATACTGGCGGATGCATGCAGCCTGTCATATGTAGGTGCCGGGGATATAGCGCATTCGACCCAAGATTGCGGGGCAAAAGCTCCACGCCCAGAAATGCCCATGAGTTGCATTTGATCACTTCTTATTGCACAGAACGATTGGCACGGGGATGAGACGAACCTAGCAAAGAGTTAGTACGAGGGGGCTAGCCAAGAAGGGATCGGGCTCGGTACCCTGAATCTGCGCTTAACGATGTATCTATTCAACTGATGAGATCATAACGTGTACGACAGAACGTCTAGGTATTGTAAAAGTTCGCCGTTACGTCGTCAGATACAGCCTCGGAGTCCCACTCAGTGGCAAGGAAATTGTTGCATATGCCTCCTCAAGTCCAAGTTGTGTTGGGTCAAGGAGCCAGTGAAGATTGGAGTCGCCTTCAAGGGCACAGAAGTCATAACCCAAAGACCGTATCTGAGGAGAGGACAGAGTCAAGCCTGCCCAACACGTCAGAGGGGACGAAAGTGGAGATTTTTTTGAGCATTTGATAGCCTAGGGAACCAATGAACGCCTAGGCGGAACCGGAGAGTGCTATACAAGCCAACAGGCTTGTGAGGCGTCTCCCATGTCGGCATACGTGAATGCTGGAGAGTCAATTATCTGGCATCTTGAACGCATCGGTGCCCATAATCATGTATCTTGCAGTGCTGCTGACACCGGTGTGCACACCCGAGTTCAAGATGTCCGAACTGCAGGCGGTCGCCCCTAGTGTGCGTGCCACATTGAACGTACAAACTTATTTAATACGCACCTCGGTTTAATATTCGTGGATTAAGGAAGAAGCGGGCGATTTTTCCTGGATGATCGAGATATAACGAAAAGGACTGACGAGGAGGCATCATCGAGCACTTCTGAGTTGTACCATTCCTCTTCCACATTCGATTCCTGGTGACCGTTGATGGGCACTCCTTGGCGTTGGACATAAATCCCAGCTACATCCTCCGGGGCGGCACGGATCACATTTTTGGCAGGCCTATACGGAGAGGTGCATATCCTCGACGGTTTCTCCCTCGTCTTTGTCGAAAGCCGAAATTTCGGACCTGATCTCAATTGATTAGCGCTGCGATCGGTGTTTGGGCAGGGGCTCACCTTTCCCAGATGAGGCTTAAAACCGATGAGGATTTTCTCATCGGGTTCGTTCCCTTTCCCTCAGTCCACAATTGCCGATGCTCAGGTGAGCCAAATTGCGCGGTCTTCTCATGAACGAAAATACCACCTACATCATAACACAAGCACTGAGTGTGTACATCGTAACATCGGCTGGAGGAACACTCACATCGAGTCTCGAAATAACCGGCCATAACGAGAGGTACAGCGCTGTAACATTGGAATGCTCCAGAGCGTCGAAAAGGATCGAACCGAAAGTGGTGCAATGAGATGAAGAGCCATTATCACACTCCGGCCATCCAGAGATCGACAGCGAAGCTATGTGGACTGGCAGCAGCAGCACTCAGGCCGTTGGACCACGATTTCGATCGGGGCTCGCCATTGCATGCCCCCAAAACTGACCCCCCTTTAAATTCCACTGTACGGCTCTGGAAAAAAATGGAAGTCGAATATTCCCTTCGTCACTTCCAAGCTCAAATTTGAGACGACTGGCCTAGCCAAAATGGTAAGGCTGGAGAAGGTTAATTTTTTTTGTTCCAAAGGTTTTTTCGGCTGTCGTTTCAAGCAGAAGGTAGAATGTTGGATGTAAACATGTATACCATAGAACCACAATCCAATTGTCAATAAGTGATATATTCGGTCAGGAAGTTTAACGCACCCTCTCAACAGAAACAAGTCTAGGTGACGATCAAAATTTCAAACTGCTGGGACACATTCTGTTACACCCTGCAAACGCTCGGGTCATCGCCTGTATCGGCATCGTGAGAACTGAATAGGGTTCACGAACCTGTAATCCCACTGTTGCTGAGAGGTGGTCATTCGGCTTGGGAAGTCATGAGTGTTGTTCAATCCGATGATGCTGACTCACCTTGTTGGATAAGTAGTCGCTATTGATCTGTCATGTTTGTGTTGATAATTCTACCCAAACTCGGACCCAGGTTCTGACAAGATAAAACAGAACGGCTGGGTACGAGCCTGCCGCCATCCCAACTGAGCTGCTGAGCTGGTGCTTCGATCGACACAGAATCTTCCAGAATGTTCTGACGCACAGTCGATTATTTTACGTATATTCTCATTGTGATACGTTTCGTGGATGTATAAATACGCACGGACGTGGGTTGGTAAAAAATCATCAGTAAAAGCTACTAACATAGTTTTCCGGCTAAACATCCAGAATAAACAACAACTAGCTTACCTCTGGTCGATCGCGAGTTGAAGTCGCTGAGTAGCGGATTGCCACACCTAGAATCCCTTCATTACAACAGTACCTCCGTATTTGGGCAATTGACACTTGTCCGATCACCGAGCAATCTGATTCGTGGTCCGACAGGCCCGCAACACAGGTTGTCATGCCATCCTCTCATTGTCGTCGGCGGAAGCTAGTTGACAGCTTAGCTTATGTAATCGCATGCACATTGCATAATCACAACACTGAGGCCAAACCGAGGCTCGCTTTCGTAGCACTAGTACCTCCTTCGACTTACGTACCGCTAAGAGGTGCTTCCCGCTATGGACTCTCGATCGCTGAGGATATGGGCCTTGCTCATCATCGATTCCATCTTTCTCCTCGTGGAGCTCACTGCCGGCTACGCTGTTGGGTCGCTGGCGCTGGTAGCAGATGCCTTCCATATGCTCAAGTAAGCAAGCGCGATCGAAGGGATGCGAGCCGTTTCGCCTAATTTCTTCATCTATACAGCGATGTGCTCAGCTTGGTCGTGGCGCTCTACGCCATCAAGGTATGACCATTCGTAAGCCCGCAATGGATCTTGTGTTAAGCCAGTTTCTGTGAAATGCAGCTCTCTGCTAATTCCCCAACCTCCAACTACTCATATGGATGGCATAGAGCGGAGATTCTCGCGGCTCTCGTGAATGGCGTCTTCTTACTGGCGCTTTGCTTGTCCATTTTTTTGGAGGCGGTTGAGCGTTTCTTCTCTGTTCCTGGTAAGAGTTCCCCAGCCCCGGGCCATCTAATTTTTTTTATCACTATTTCCCTCACAGAAATCAGCAACCCTAAGCTCGTTGTGATCGTCGGCTCGCTTGGCCTCGCCTCCAACATCCTAGGCCTCTTCCTTTTCCATGGCAAGTCAAACGCATTTTTTAAATGGGTACGCTCGATGATAACAATCCCAATACGCAGAACATGGGCATTCTCATGGTCACGGCGATTCTCCCGCATCATCACCATCCGCAACTCCGAAAAAAATGGAAAGCTCGCCAATACCCTCCGAAACTACCCCACTTGTCTCGCCGCCCTCATCCCCCAAGAGGATCAGAGGATCGGCGAAGCGCTCTAGGTCTCCTAGCCGTAAGTGCAATCTAGTTGATTCACCTGGCTGATCCTGAACTGCATGACTTCATATCAGCCTACACCGGTCACCCAGCCCAAACCCGCGCACGAGTGGTTCAAACAGCTGAGCAAGCTGGGTATCACTCGGGCTCATTTTCGATGGCACAGAGCCCTTCTAGTCCTTCTGCCTCAAGGGGTTTAGCAAGAGTTTATGGAGCTTCTAGAGCAATACCCATACCACCCGAAGACGCAGTGATGGACGATTCAGGAAGCGATGGAGACGAGCATTCTGTCCACGAGCATTCACGCCCGGATGCTCGTTTCCACAGTCACACAAGCACTCACACGCACAAACATGATCCCGAACATGTTCATTCAGCCGTTGATATTGAAACTCAGGGACCGGATCATGGTCATATCCACTCTCATGGCTCGATGAATATGCGTGCGTTATTACTTCACGTGCTGGGCGACGCGTTGGGCAACGTTGGCGTCATCTCGTCTGGCCTCATTATTTGGCTGACTACTTGGAGTTGGAAGTACTATAGCGACCCCATCATCAGTTTAGTGATAACCTGTATTATCTTTACTAGTGCCCTACCTCTCGGTCAGTTCTTTTCTATGGGAGATCCTGTTTTACATATAAATCTCACCGTTTATCCCTACAGTTAAAAGTGCCTCTTTCATTCTATTGCAGGGCGTTCCACCGTCCATTTCATTGGACGCCGTTCGTGAGGACATTGAGGCAATCCCTGGAGTTCTTTCCCTGCATGAACTGCATGTGTGGCAACTTTCGGAAACCAAGATCGTCGCCTCAGTCCATGTATGTGTTGCGCATGAAGGAGAGGAAGGGAGCAGAGCATTCATGGAGGTTGCCGGCGATATAAAGAAAGTGCTACACAACTACGAGGTGCACTCGAGTACGATCCAGCCTGAGTTTTTCACTATCGCTGGACACGAAGCCCAATCCTCCAGGCCCGGAAGCGGGACGGTGAGTTGAAATTTTATTGACATGGGAAGGTGCATATGGGTTACCCTGTGTTTAGGTAACGCCGTGCAGGATGCCTTGCGCGCCCGGACGGAATTGCCCTCCTGAAGTCAAATGCTGTCGTGAGTAATGGAAGCCTTCCAATCCCTACCCAAGCCAACTCACAGTCCAACAGCGAGTGTCGTCCAGTCAAACTAATCGTTAATAACTTCTATTTGAAATTTATACATATTGAATCAACATTAATACACGGCGCTGTACATTTTTCAACCCCCAATATTCGTGCCGAACCCCTTCCACCGTTTGCTCTAGTCCCCTGACGCCTCCGATATTGCAGGAGGCTTGTTCCGCTGAAGTTGGGAATAGTTATCAACCATCTAGTCCCTCATTAGGATCTTGGATGGCTTTGGTGGTACCTTTTGTTCCACCAAATGTGCCTTTTCTCCGTGCGACCTCTAATGAGTTTGCGTGCCGACCCATTAAAAGAAGCAAGCAAGACAGGAGCTGAGTTGGGGGATACAGGGACGGTTGATTGGTGGATTGTTTAGGTCAAAGTTATGAATGGTGGATAGAAACATGCTCCCGACTAGCTTATTGTGTCATCGAAACAAATAAAGCCTGACATGTGTAATGATGGCCTTTTACCCACTGGCTGCTCTCGGTGGGGTGGAGAGAGCTACATGAGGTTGGCATGGTTAAGTGGGACGCATGGCCACTTTTCGTGTTCAGGTTTGCTATGCTTCGCATCCATTCTGCCTCTAATTTAATATACAAGTAGCCCTAGCAACTGCATACATACACGCCAAATTTCATCACCGAATGTGAAGAAATGAGAGAAATTTGCGGTAATGAATCATTGAGCGGGCAATCTCATTGGGGGGTGGAAAACTGTATACAAGTGTGCTCGCTTCGCTCTGCACTGTATTGCGACTTCATATAGTCTACGCCATGTGCAAGCCAGAGAAGAAACGGATCAAGACGGAAGAAACCATGGTCCTGTACTCATACAACTTGAATCTTTAGTGCGGAATGGGAAGAAATCCAGAAAATTTCAAAGTTTTTTCTTTGAAGGGGAGGAACCCAACAAAGACAAACCCGTAACCGGTGGGTCGCCTTCACAAATGAAGCTGATTCCGACGAGTTTGAATCCCACCTTGTCAACGCCCGAACTCTTTTCAGTATATTTTTCGAGACTGCAGTCAGCAGCAACGACATCGCCAGGTTGTAGAGGACCCTTGTACAACGGCATTTCTTGATGATCGACGGAATACTCCTGCGAAGCGTCATAAATGGCTTTGAAATCCTTGGACTTCCTCCATCAGCGTCAGCATTGGTCCACGTTGCTTTCAGATACGTACTACAAGCGTCCAAGCCTTTAGTGGAATGAAATGCTCTTCGATTGCTAGGGCATGGACCTTCTCTGTTGAAACGGTTAGAAACAATTCACAACAAAAGAGTCCTCCCTTACTGCTCGAATAATACTTTAGAACCTCTTTGGCACGCTTGAACCCAAGCCTGGTTAAAGGAACGAGGTTGAGCATGTAGTTATCGCTCCATTGATGCGCATCCTTGACGACGCCCGTGAACAAGAAACGTAGAGCCTGGCCTGCCTTGATGTTCTGGGACGCTCGCCGATATCCAAGAGACAAGGGTTTACCAGTGAAGACGAACTTGCTATCACCCGGAGTGAAGCACTCGATAGCCCCTACGCCATCATCGACGATGGCATCAAAGGAGGTCATGCTGTACAAGCGTCTAGGACCAATTCAGTCAGTGAACGATGTTGTAGAAAAGAGGAGAGGGATGAGCTTACTGAACAAGTGCCGGTTCCCATTGGTCCTTATCCTTGAACACCCCATCTCCACCACGCACACGCGATCTCGATGCTTTCTCCTTCTCATTTGCTTCCCATGGAGTGGTTGTCAGACGAGTCCAAAAATTGTCGGCAAGGCGTTCAGGAGAGAGCTCAGCGTCCAGTTGCGATTCCTTTGACTTGTCAGCCGCCAAGCTCGATGTCGCAGAATCCTCAACTTTTTCATCTCCACCCGCATCGGAGACCAATCTTGAAGGAGGCAGAAGATTAGGTACATCTCATTCATTGAAGAGATCATGTTAGTAGCTGGGGATTGATCAAGTCAGCAGCATACCAACATCTCCGTTGCCACCGTCCTGCGGTGAGTGGTTGTGTTCTAAAGGCATGTAAACGAGCTAGCGATTAGCACCCCAATACATGTACTTACCTTTGATGGCAACTCCATTGTTTACGTCCTCAGCTTCGCTTTCCAACGTATTGTCTAATCTGTGATAAGAGAGAATATTCACCATATCCAATAGAACACATACCAGACAGTTCCTCTGCAATGGACAAGGGGGGGTGGTTTTGCTTGTCATTGTTTCTGGGCCTTTTGGAGGGAGGCATGGGGGCCACAAGTGTTATACCACGCTTAGCCGTCATTGAGGTAAGTAGACTTGGTGAAAGAGGGGAAGCGGTGAATTGGTGATTGGGTTGTTGGGAGATGTATCATCTTTTATGCGTTGGACGCGGCTTTACTTCAGGGATCGTTGCATCCGGAAACATCTTGCAACGAGTTCTTTACACAGCCCAATGCCCGCCGACATCGTCAAAGTTGTTGGTGTGCTCTCTCTTACTACCCCGCGGCCGTGGTTGTCACGTGGCAGTGCGGCCGTCCCGGCTCTCTACACTGTAGCGTACATGAGGGGACCGTCATTACAGGATGGGTTTTCTGGATGGTGTATTCGGGTATGTGAGATCCTCGGGTTGGGTTTTAGTGTCAGGGGCTATATAAGGTTGCAATACGACAATAAATTCGGACAACTCCGCCACAATTAAGGTCGTGACTAAACAATTAGGCCTCGTCCTCGTTGACCGATAAGGCGTCCACGGAGCGACGACTACTGGGTACGAGTCTGTTTGTGACTTGTTTTTTGTGCCTTTAGGCTGAGCCCTTGTGGGACAGTCTTTTGACTCCATAGTTGCCGCATCTCTCAATTGATCGGCAGCTCTTGCGCGTTCATACCTTTCGCCCCATGGAGATTCGTGGGAAGTCGAACTCTACGTTTGGAGATGATCCCCCAACCCTTGTAAAGGATACTTGCACGCACAAGGCAAGGTTCGCATTCACATGGGAATTCTGGGGTTCGGTCCCCGACCTGCCCCATGCAACGTTCGACTTGATATCATGCGCAGCAAAGAATAGACCGTTCTCTTTGACTATCATTCGGGTACCGTATCCCCGCGATAATTGATACCTAGTGGGATTGCACACCTTGGGTGCTTATTTCTCCATGCTATCTCCGTGAGATCAATCATTATGTCTTATCTGGACCTCTGGAAACTACAGCCGCCGGGCTCTTGTCTCCGCGCCACTCAAACGAGTCAACGGACTAAGACCTTTGTGTCCTGAACAAGCATGACGAGCGCGGCTAGTGATCAATTGGTGCGTCTCGCATCAGTTCCTAAGCCGAGTATCGTTGTGAGAAAAGGATGATGGGAAGAGGGAGTTAGCTCTTAGATAGGATTTATCGACTGCATCCGACCCCAGAATCAGTTCAGGTCTATCAGAAAGACTTACAGGAGACCCTCGAGGAATATCTTGGGTGTCTTTAAACGCTCCCCTGATGTCCTGGTCTTTCTACGTCACTTCTTTCTTGAATTAGTAGTTGGCTGATCTACCCGATGGGTCAAGTGAGGGCCTATCTTTTGTCTTGGTTTCTGTCCAGGGATTGATACAGTCCACAGAATGCGTGAATCAAATTTCACGACGTATCTATTTATCGATCTAGGGTCCGATGTTTGCACACATATTTAAGCACCTACGCCCGATACTATAAACGGATAGGATTCCCTTCTTGGTGCATCGATCTGTAGACATATATATATGAATGTAGAACATCTTGGAAATCGGACGGTTTACCTGCATAACTCATGTGCTGCGGTGGAATATTTTCAAACGTTTCCCCGGGCGCATATTAAAGAATCGGAATCAACAAGTATATCTGTCCCTGGATCGATCATGTGTGTATTAGGACCGGAACTACACTGTAGCTAGAGAAACCGCCAAAGGCTACTGCTACGAACCAGCTGGTACATACATTGCCGGGCATCTACAATTCCGCGGATCTACCGATAGGCTGGCTCAGCCTGCTTGGAAAGAAACAGAAATCGAATGAGCAGCCTGCGGCGCTGGGGAAGAAGCTGACTTTACCACAGAAGTGGAACTCATGTAATATATAGTACTTACTAGGGTATCGATGGCCCAGCCTCTAGAGTTCCGATGATGTTATGCGTTCCGCTAAATCCACTCTTCACGTTATCGTTTGTACGTGACACAAATACGGGTTGCTGAGCTGGTATACAAGGTCTGCACCATCATTTACCCGTCGCAGTTAAGCAATTGATTGACAGTCCGACGCTCGTTCTTCGAGCCGAACCTGATCAAAATTTGGAGTTCATGGGTGAGCGAGGCCTTTGTGTTGTTATGGTTAATGGGGATGGGGGTTCTTGAGGAGAAAGGTCCCCTGCTCTAGAACGCTCTTGAATGCTAGAGCACTTGAGAGTGCTTTTCAGCACTATGTAACTGGATCTAGAGAGAAATCACTATGTCGCGACACGGCATACTTTCTGCTGCGCAAAGTCGCGACCTGATGTGACTTAGGTTGAGTCATTAGACATCATGACGAAGGGGGATAGTAGGAAGCGGATGTACATGTGTGCTGTAACCACAAATTTCCTCGGCTATAAATGCATTGCACAGCAATGATATTTTATGAGCAGTGGTATGTGTGAATTCTATGCGATCCTGCTGGGAATAACGAACCACAACTGTAATGTGAGGGTTGATGCGCTACCACATGAATAACAGTGATGTTGCAGATTTGCAGTCGTCAATAGGTAAGAAGGTGATCTCTGTCCTATGGTGTTAAAGTCCGCGCGGCTATGGAGGCATGTCGACTGCGGGGTGTCATTGCTTCCCTGACGACTGGGCTCATGGGTCTGAGTCGGCTCCGAGATCGGCGGGGGGTTAGAACTGAGCGACCGGAGGGAAGGATCCGGGACCATGCCTTGATATGAAATATTTCTTGGGCTAACGAGTCCATTAGCATGTATGCACCTAATGGCCACCGAATCCATGACACTACAGTTGACACCATGTCCCTGATTGTGTGTCTAAATCCCTGATCACTCGCCGAGCACGATCTACGGTTGCAGTGCCGACGTACGTCTGATCCTGCGATAACGCCTGCATTGCCTTCCCTCGTGGCATCTGGCGAATTCAGTGCTATTCGTCACATTTTGTCTTGACAACAATTTAGAGGCACCTGGGCGGAATATCCAAGTTTTGTCAGGAGAGATGTTAGCATCCTGCAGGGACATTGCACATTTTCCAATGTCTCTTCTTTAGAGTCAATTGTATGGCCGCTGCATTTAACTCGTCCTTTCTACTTGGAAAATGAAACAGAAATTTTCGTTGAGCGACGTGCATCACGCGCGTGTTGTACCTGGGCTTTACTTTTGTTCTCGTTGCGTGTACTCCAATGCGGGGGCATGGCGAATTGCAAGGATAGCCGGAGTACCGGCTATGGGAGACCATGCACGTACCCTTGAGAGAACAACATATCTACTTAGCTTTCGCGGGATATGCGCCTTCCCGTTTGGTGGGAGTTAATCCAGAAGGTAAGAACCCGCGCATGATGTAGGGAGAAAGGAATGAAATCATGGATGTGCGACTACATCTCGTTGTACAGAAGCCCTAGACTTCTTCAGGGGGAGTTGGTTGCTGCTGAGACTGTGGGCGTGTCCACCATGATGGCGATATTATTATGGATGAAGGGACCAGTTCTACGTTGATGGTATCTCAATCTAACAAACACCTCAAGTGATGCGATAGTGAGCCAACCCTTCACCCGGGTCGGTCCGATGACACGTCAGGATGAGTCATTTCGGGAGGAGTTTTCGGTGTATCCCGGCGACAGATCGAAAATAATGGGTGGGAAGCTGACCGAAGCATGCGGGCAGCGAGTAAGTTGGCTGGCAGATGGAGTGATGAGTGTGTGGGTTATTGAGGGGGTGGCGAAAGGTTGCTAAGTGCACAGGAGTTGCGGTGTCGACTTTAGGCAGGGACTCCGGCCTCTTGACTCAGGCATGTACTGCTATTTTTGGCTTCCGCTCGGCGTGAGTTGCACATGGGCGCGGAGGTTGCCGAGCGGGATCGGTGACATGGTTTGGAGGAACGAGAAAATAAAACTTGTGTTCAGCAGACAGGCTCATGCCCTTCCATTCACTGTTGTTCATATTGTTCATATTTGGTCTTGTGATATGGTTCTTGCCCTTCGGATGCCGTTTAACAAGTACATATGTTCGCGATGCTCTCCTTTCAGACCGTACAAGAATTCTGATTGTTCCGTGATTTGTTTCCGGTTACGTACTTGCCATGCTTGCACGCTGTTCGTTCGGCGCTACCCCCTTCCCCCTTGATTGCACACTTCCTTTTCTGTTGCTCACATTACGTGTTATTGTTGGGCCGTGCTCTCAATTCAGAAGTCTCGGCATATGTCGGGGTTGTCACCACGCTGCAACACCCTTAAGCCTCTTCCGCAGGAATGCAAGTCCAGAGGGCATCGGAACCATTTGTGTCCAAGAAGCGCCGTTGAAGCTTATCAATTATCATGCGCCATTTTTACATGGAAGACCCCGGTGAGGGTTCAGAATGACTCATTTCGGGTTCTTTGACGGCCATTCACTTTTTGGGAATCATTATCCCCATAAACGGGGGTTCCTTCGATACATGTGGCAGTGTTTCCAACTCAGGAATATAGAACCCTGATCGTGGGGACGGTAACCCTGCAAATATATGGACAGAGCAAGGGTTTTATTGTCCGTGATTGTATTGATTCAGGACGAAATAGGCGAAAAAGTGATTGAATAAATTGGATATATGCAGGGACGACAATTCAGTTCAAGGTCCATTTTTCATTTTTTAAAGGAAATATTATTTCAATAGAATTTGAAATATGACAGATTAAATTGAAGCGTTACCTCAAACCCAATTTCAAATCACGCGGACCCTGAGCGCCATTCAATACGAAAAAAGTACAAATACCCTTTCATTTTCCTATTTCTTTTTTCTTTTCTCTCTTCTTTCGAGGAACCATAAACACAACAAATCACAACAAAGTCTTCACTTCTCGACTCTGCTCTCGAAAAAAATTCCCTCGACAACGCTGATCACTCTCTAACGACCACGACACTCAAACCTAGCTTTCGACGTCAACTCTACTACGTGCTACCTCAGAACGATCATCCCCAGTCAACGTGCTCTGGGAGCGGGGTAATCAACTCTAACAACAAGAACTAGGGGTAACCAGCGACCGCGACGCATACGCACGGCCGCCTTACGACTCGCTGCCGTCATGTCAGCCACGTACAACGTAAGCGCCCGAACCCCATTCTCTATTCATCGTTCCCACCTGTACACCATTTCATTGACTCATGTCTCCACACGACCACCAGCATCGTCCTTTGCCGCCCACGGCACCTGCGCAACCTACTCGTGGTGCTGCCCCAGATGCCTTAGGCATTCGTGAAACGTTTCGAGTCCCTGAAGCTCTTGAGCTTATCCGTCAGGATTTTGAAGGCATTTCGAGTGAAATCAATTCTCTGAAGATGCAAAGAGATGAATACGAAGCAAAGGGTGAGCAAGAACCTTTTTTCTTTTTTCAGGGGATAAGTCACAATAACATGTATACAATTGCTCCTTCATTCCTTTGGCGCGTCTGGGACTTTCCATCACTTGGGTGCTTTGACCCTTTGGATGGGATCATGACATGACATGACACGACACGTTACCCACGCCACGTTGATCGAACGTCGCACATCGTTTTCACTCTTCCCTTGTTCTTCGTCTCACCTTTCACCTTTTATTTAATCTCTCTTTAACTCTTTTCCTGTATCCCTTTTTCTCCTCCCCCCATTTAACCCTCTGACCGCGACATTGTATGGGCGCACATACTGTTCTCTTCATTCTCACTCAACCTCGCATATGCTCTCCCTTACACACAACCCATCTCCACGCACGCTTTCCCCACACAACTCCTCGCTTACTCGCTCATGCCCTGACCCCGAACTCAGTGAACCTCCAAGTAAGCGAGATATCGTCCTTCCGTCAAGCTCTCTACGAACTCGAAGAAAGACACAAACGTCAACGTGAAGCATGGGAGGCAGAATCAAGACAGTTACGTGCCGAATTGGCGTCTGTGCAAGCTCAATTACCCCATCATCCTGGCCCTGGTCCCGTTTCTGGTCCTGGTCCCGTCCCTGGCCCTCCTTCCGGACCTAGTCATGTTGGTGCTAGCGGGTACCCACCCGGTGCGGGTGCGGATGAGCGAATGGGTGTTCCCCCCGCTGACAGAGTTGGTCCTGGTGTGGGGGGGCCTGCTGGAGGTGCTGGCGCTGGGGGTATTATGGACGTGCGAGAGGTGATTCGGACGTTGTCATGCGTGATAGGGAGAGAGATGGGAGGGATAGGATCGATCGGGAAAGGGAGAGAGATAGAGACAGAGAAATGAGGGAACGTGAACGTGATAGGGACAGAGAACGCGATAGGGAGCGGGACAGAGATAGAGATAGGGGTGAGAGGGAGTTGAGCTTGAGAGAGAAAGACAGAGACAGAGAGGGAAGGCGGAGGGAGAAGATCAAAGCTGAACGTGCGTTACCTTTTTCCAGCAAATGGACGAGTTGCAGAGGCTTATCCTTTCCTCTTCTCTTTTCACTTTGGTCGACGGTTGTCTTTCTGCCGGATTCCTTGCTCCTCTTGGTAACAATCTTGCATAATTCCCGAGTAGCAGATCACTTCATCGGACGCCATGGACCTTCCACAGGTCCCAATGCTTTCGAACCTGTTCCCGGACTAGTTCCCGTTCCTCCCGTCTCAGGTTCCGGCCCTGGACCCATTCCTGCCCCCCAACAACAACAGTTATTAGTGACGAAGCCGACAACGGCCATTGTCAGTGCGAATCCATTGAGTGATTTGGAACCTGATCAAGTTCCGCCGGAGCTGAAGAAAGAAGGAAGTGATTGGTGGGCTATATTTAATCCGGCCGTGCCTAGGATGTTGGATATCAGTCTTAGTTTAACGTTGACGCATGAGAGGTAGGTTTTCATTATAACAATTTCTTCGTTTTTTTCCCATCGCTCTGTCTGAGGGGAAGCACCAGCGCTGGGAATTTGAAATTCCTCATTGTGTTTGACTTTTCACCTGGGCTTCTTTATCAACTGACTTCTTTCCCTTTCCTTTTTCAAATAGCGTGGTTTGTTGTGTGCGGTTCTCATCGGACGGGAAATACCTCGCTACGGGATGCAATCGCACGGCTCAAATATACGATACGAAGACGGGCGCTAGAACCTGGTAAGCAGTTTCTCCTTATTTTTCCTCTCCCACCTTGATCTTCCTTTCGTTACTGTGTTTGGGTATGGTATTCGATGCTGACTCTTGTTCTGTTTTCCTCCGTTTCGGTTTCGGCGTTACGATCGATCTTTTTACGGGCGTCAACGTTGTCTCAACCTAGTGTGTTGTCTGATGAAGCAGCAAACAAATCAGGGGACCTTTATATCCGAAGTGTGTGCTTCAGTCCAGATGGGAAGTTCCTTGCCACTGGAGCTGAGGATAAACTTATTCGGGTACGCTATGTTTTTGCTGTTGTCTCGCTCTTTGCTAACTTGAACGCTTTCCGCACGTCTTCCTCACGCTTGTTCAGATATGGGACATTGAACGTCGAACAATTCGGCACCGCTTCGAAGGCCACACACAAGAAATTTACTCACTTGACTTCTCACGCGATGGGAAGCTAATCGTCTCGGGATCGGGAGACAAAACCGCACGTATATGGAATATGGATACGGGGGACTGTAAAATCCTGACGATCATCGAGCCTGAGTCGATCGATGCGGGGGTGACCTCCGTAGCGATCTCGCCTGATGGACGATTCGTGGCCGCTGGATCGTTGGATATGGTTGTGCGTATATGGGACGTTGCGAGTGGGGCGTTGGTAGAGAGGTTGAAGGGGCATAAAGATTCGGTTTATTCAGTGGCATTTTCGCCTGACGGGAGGGGTTTGGTGAGCGGGAGTTTGGATAAGAGTTTGAAGTATTGGGATCTAAACGAGCTGGGGAGGATCGTGCCGAGGCCAGGGATGGGTGCTGTACAGGCGTTGCAGCAGAGTACCAGGGTTCCCAGTAATTCGGTGGGGGTTCCGTCTGATATGAAAGATGGTGGTGGTGACAGGGGGAGTCCCTGTACGGTTGCGTTTACGGGCCACAAAGTTGGAGATTCTTACTTCTTTTTGATGATCTCACATTGATCGATTTCTTAGGACTATGTCCTCTCTGTGGCGGTATCACCTGATGGAGCGTGGGTTGTTTCAGGTTCGAAAGATCGTGGAGTCCAGTTTTGGAATCCGAAAGATGCGCAGACGCAGCTCATGTTGCAGGGACACAAGAATTCGGTTATTTCGATCGACTTGAGTCCTGCGGGTGGGTTGCTTGCTACTGGGAGCGGAGACTGGCAGGCGAGGGTTTGTGAGTATTTATTTCCTTTCTTGACTTTTCTTTGGACAACTTGGCGTGGCGTTTTCTGCTTTTTTTTTTTGTTCCGGGAATTTTTTTTGGGCTTGGGGTTTTGGTCGGGTGACTGACTGACTGACTGACTGACGGCGCCGCTTCCCATTTTGCAGGGAGTTATTCCGTTCTCTAAACACAAAACATGGATACGACAAGGACTTTCCCTCTGCCTCAAACTCCACATCGCTGTCCAATACGACCCAGGTCAAATGGCTCCTTTTTTTCAACCTCTCTTGCATGGACTCATGTGATTTACCCGCATTCTATCACCCGTGTATTTCTCCTTACGTGTACAGTGGCGACACCCGCCTTCAATGACGACGAGCGATGTCTTCTTGTTCCTGTTACTCTCTTTGGTTCCCTCAGACCAGACACGACTTTACCCTTTTTATTTGCCTTGGGCCCTTCCCTTTCTTGCTCGTGCAACTCTCTACCCACTTCTCCGACTCGGTACCTTCCGAATGCCAAGTGCCAATTCTATCGCCGCAGCCGCATTGTGTGTGTGTTTCTCATAATCATCATTCTCACTCACCAAGCTCGCTAGTCTACCTTCTCACGCATTGACTTTTTCATTCAACCTTTTTCCTTTCTTTTGTGTCTTTGGGCTTTTTCACGTTCCCTTCACACAGTTGGGTTGGAACTGGCTTCTATCTCTCTCGTTCTCCCACACGCGCATGGCTGCCATTGGTTTGATGTAAAGCGCCAGGCTCGTTGGCCAGGGTCACGGTTTTGCCCCTTGGAACCCACGCGAGTGAGAAGGTGCACTTTATTCCCTTCCTTTTCTTTTTCTTTGCGGACTGTGTCCCTTTTTCTTTTCTTTCTCATTGATCCAACGACGTATTTGTTGTACCCGGGGTGCCTTTGTTTTCAGTTTTTCTTTGTATCTTTTCTCTTCTTTCCTTTTTCTTCTTTCACCTCTCTTGTTGCTCGGTTTAGTAACTCGTCCAATATCCTGTAAATATAGCTATCCTTCACGGGGGCTTGCGATATCCCAAAAAAATTGTACTCTTTTGATGTCCCTTAGGTGTGGTTGGACATTTCGGTGTGGACTTGCGCAACCACTCATCGGAGCACTCACCGCATTGTGGGATCAAGTAGTTTGCGAAATCAGGAGGTAAACCAGCGCTTTAAGTCCAGACCAGTTACAAGTGTGGGTGAGTGAATAATTAATACAGTATGTATTAGGGTCATCAGGGTACGCATACAAGCGTGTATAGATGATGTATAAGGAAAATTTGCAATCGGCGGCGAGATAGCTCTACGGGGCGGGGGACTGAGAATAATTAAGGCTGATGGACAGGGGTCCGTTTCGGCGTGGTTCTACTAGTACTCGGCCAAACGGTGAACAAACAGAGTGCTCCCAGACTTATAATCGTGAGCCACACTCGTATATACTTTTCTGATGATTCTTTGCGAATGCCTCTTGGAGGGAAAGCGGCTGTTGTTTTGTCGACCAAAGCGGGATCGTTCGGTGATTCTGTCAATGTCGGCTGATGGTGAGCGACGCCAGATGGCTTGCTGTCAAGGTGCGAATGTGAGCGTGCGTATGAGTGGTTCTCGTCCACCCCAGAAATGCTGCCCCGAATTCTGTCGATGTTTTCGTAGGTGTAGTCATCTAGGAGTTGAGCTTGCGCGACGCCACCGAAGAAGTCTGTTATGAGCGTTTGGTTAAGAGGGCGGGATGTAAACAAATCTTTGCGGATGCCTGGGCTAGACTTCATGCCTATTGGATCGTACATGGCGAACTAGATTGGATAGATGACCCGGACGTAGATGTGTTGGGATGGAATGGGTAAGCGAGGAAGGAGAAGGGGGAAAAAGAGCTTACGAAATCTTCCATCGTGGCTTGACTGGTTTTGTTGATGCCCTCGAGGTATTCAAGGACGAAGTGGGTATAACTGTCTATAACTGAAACACCAATCTCGTCATCGTTCTCGTACTGTGTGTGAATACAGGGAAAGCGTAAGTCCCGGAGTCTAGGACGCCAATGACTGTGAATGATACAAACCGAGTAAGAGCTTTCTCCGACTTGGGATGATCCAGTTGCGAGAATATTCGGGGAGTAGAACTTTGAATACATTGAAACTGCTTGGCAGGTGTCAACCATGAAGAATATTTCCCGATACCTTAGAGATGGAATCAAAATATTGTGTTAAAATCATGGCTGGGGGGGGGGGTATATGCATACCTCTTCTTTTGCCACATCTGCTCAAAAGCGTCGGCAAGGTCGAATGCACTGATCTCTTCGTTATCTTGGAATTTCAGAAATTCAACGCCTCCATGGCCGGCCATATAGATGATGATATTGCTTCGCTCGTCCGTCAGCAGACGTTTTGACCGCGGCATGGATTCATCGACTCTCCCTGGATGAGAATATTTTCTTGACAGTAAGTCGGGCGCTTTTTACATCGCGATGATGAACCTGAAGCTAACCAGTCAATAATCGGATGAAATTCTCTACAGTGACTTCGTATCCTCGATAGTCGACCTCGATGTTGTCCCCATACAAGTCAAGAATCCGGCCAGGGTTTGCAAAGACAGTAGCGGGGTACTTGTTTCTCTTATTGCATGCAATATCATCCGCGAGCATCAGGATGATATTGGAATCGGGGATGCCGAGCCTCTTGACGGTTCGATATCTATATTACATGCTGGAACATTAAAACAAAGAAATCCAGGAATTGGGACAGTCTCACATGCCCAGGGCATTTGCTATATGCTGTCCACGAAAAAAATGGGTTAAGACACGGCAGAAGCTAAGACATCATTAACTCACGCGATAGTTAAACCAATATCTCGACGAACAAACCAGAACGGCCCAATTATTCGTATGTCCAGATTGTTGCGAACTGCTGAAGAAGTCTTCGACACTACGAGTCTTGTTCTCATTAGAAGCAAAAGACCCAACAAACCCCCATAGAGCTAAACATAGCAAAGACAGCAAAGACGCTGCTTTGCTCAACCGCATGGAAAGGTTGCCGCAGCCCCGGTCGTTGTTCGATTGGTGGCCGGTCCCGTGACGGGACTCCAAAATTGTAGCCGCTGTGGAGAATGCCGGATCCATTCAGTCATTAAATATTTGGAGTTGCACAAACCGGTCCAAGAAATCACATGTAGACCGTGCGATCCTGCCAAGTACCTGAGGTTTGCAGTGTCTCGTTCTCCTTTCGTTCACTTCCACTTGCCGCCAACCACCTTTCTCTCCCCGGGATCCGTTTTAACCATACGAGATCACTCTCACGCAATACAAGAACAAGCTGATCTGTGCAAGAGCACTTGAGCAACCTGCTTCCAGAACTCCTCTGAATCGCGAGGCGTTATGGGTCTGTTCCGTATAACGCCCGCTATATGGGAGAAAGTTCATCATTATGCGGCATTTCCACAGACTCCAGGTAAGTTCTCTCGCCGCAATACACTTCGATGCGATCGATCCATCGCGTGACGCTATGTCCTTGCCCTGCGGTCCAGTCTCACTCCAGCAGATGGTGCTCTTTGGCCAGAACCCGTCGCATGGGACTCTTTTACAAGCTAGTAGATTCCTTTCTGGTTCGTCATCATGTGTTTAAGAGCCCCCGTGCGTGCGGCACTGAATTATGTTTGTTATTCAGAAGAATTACCGGTCCGATTGGCGCACCGCGTTAAGGAGCTTGATGAGTTACCTCACAGCTTGAACGAGATGCCATCCATCCAGAAGGTTAAGAACTGGTATGCCAACTCGTTCGAGGTGTGTGTGTGCCTTTAACATCAGATTCTTTGCACGCATTGATATAATGATTGTATAGGAGCTCTCCACATTTCCTCCATATGTACCCCCACCCGAACTTCGCGAGATCTTAAACGCGTCCCCTGGAGCGCGCCAGACGGCCAAGATGCTTCCAGAGTCTATACCCAACCCCGCATTAGACAAACTCCTCGGGTCGCAGGGAGCGCCCTCTTCGAAGGGCAACGGAAATGGGAATGGGAATGGCCACAACTTCGGACACGGAGACAGAAGCAAAGCAAGGGTGCCTATTGAGAAAAGGTAACGATAGTATCTAAATACAAACCCTTATCTTTAGCATATAGCGGGCAACTGACCCGTTTCCTATTTCGGTAGGTACTATCTCAATGCACCTATGGACGTCAAATACCCACCTTCAGTCCTTGAATACAATTCCAACTTTACCAAGCTGCTCGAGAACATAAAACGGAGACACGACCCAACAGTCACTACCGTTGCCCAAGGCATCCTGGAATGGAAACGATCGAGAAATGTGATGAATATTGGAATAGATGTTCAGAATTGGCTTGACCGATTCTATATGAGTCGCATTGGAATCCGGTTCCTGATGGGACAGCGTGCGTTCATTTATTCATAGTTCTCTACGCGAGATGTGTACCTGGCACCCCTCATTCTTAGACATTGCACTAAACACACTTCAGTCGCACGAGGATTATGTAGGGATCATCTGCGTTAATTCCGTGAGCCACTGGTTTATCTTGTCTGAGGTTATATTCGTGCTGATCCATCCCTTTCATCACAGAATGTCCACGATATTGCCCAGGAGGCAATCGACAACGCTCGGTTCGTTTGCGAAGAGCATTACGCTATGTTCCGCGGTCCCCCTGTGCAATTAATCTGCCCAAATAAGCTTACCTTTCCCTACGTCCCCGGGCATTTGTGGGTTTCGTTTGCGTCGACACGACTGGCAGCGGCTGAATGTTTAGTTCATAGATCTCACATTCTCTTCGAACTCCTGAAAAACTCCCTTCGTGCTGTCGTCGAGCGATTTGGCGCTGAAGAATCAAATATCCCACCCATCAAGATAATCGTTGTAGAAGGCAAGGAAGATATTACTATCAAGATTAGTGATGAAGGAGGGGGGATCCCTCGGAGTGCAATCCCCCTCATTTGGACGTACATGTATACGACGATGCAGAACCAATCATTGGACCAGGATTTCCAATCGAGCGATTTCAAAGCGCCAATGGCCGGGTTCGGGTATGGTTTACCACTCTCGAGGCTGGTGAGTAGACGTTCCACAAGGGTGGGTGCAAGCCGATGTCTGACCTTTCGTCTTGTATAGTATGCACGCTACTTTGGGGGCGATTTGCGCTTAATCTCTATGGAGGGGTATGGGACGGACGTGTATATTCATTTGAATCGCCTTTCGAGCAGCAGGGAGCCTCTTCTTTAATCCACTGTCATTTCACATTATTTGTCGCCATATCTGTGCACATATCTCGTAGTATTCTGCATTTCTGCCATATCATTGCCTCGGCTGCTTCTTCCCTATTAGGAAAGCTTTCGGGTTCGGCACCGAGGCAAATACGGAACAACACACTTCTGCTGAAAGCCAACGTGCGCGGTGTTTAGGTCCGAGGGACCTCGTTGATGGCTATGGCGAGTAGCACACTGCGCGGCCATAGCAAGCAACAGGCGCGAGAGTACATCTTTAGAAATGGCATTTCTGCCCCATGTCGAGGACGTGACCTGTACGCGTTGGAGATGGATGACCAAGGTTCATATTTTGTTTACATGATCTTTACCCACTTCCGTCTTTTCTGATGGTGCCCCGCCACTTTGAGCGTAGTATTTGACATGTGGTACCTAGGCACCGTGCCTATACGGCTAGTCAATATTGTTGGGCTACTGGTTGGACATGAATGCTGGGATAACGAGCGAAATTGGAAGACAACGTATTTTAGTGAGTGAGGATACTACGCGTTAAGGATTTAATGGGAAAATAGCCAACATATTTTTCAGTCGATGATGGAACGCACGTTGTTGAATGCATTCAGACACTCGACAAACCGAAACAAGTATCGCTACACAAGGGCAAACCCAATTCATCCATTGCAGCGCCCTCAAAAGGCGACACCAAAAGCGAGCCAGCGAGTTCTACTGTTGTTTCCTTGAACCACCCTTCCCCGTTGCTACCCATTGGCGCACTCGCCCGCGTCATAGGCACTGTCAAGATTTGGCACGAGGAACGTCATATCAACCTTCAGAAGATCGAGCATCTGAAGGACCTGAATGAAGAGTATAAACACTGGAAACTCGTAGAAAAATGGCACCGAGAAGTGTATTCTGACCCTTCGAGATTGCAACTGTTGGTGTGGAATGCTTGCCACCCATGCCTGTGACACCAAGTTGCGAGGGACGCAGGCGTCCTCAACCCAATTGTACGAATCTTGAGGGAGACGGTCTGGCGTCTTGTGCGTCATCCGTGGCAGGATATCACCCGTCAAGGGTGGTGATGACGTCGTAAGCGGACAACATTCTTACGACCTGACTGTTGAAACTCATAATTTGTATCATGTAGTTTGCGCCCTCAGATGAACTCCTTCACCCTTCACTCATTCGTTCACGAGACCTCACCCTGAAGACTTTCGAGATCTACCTTATGTATTTTATGACCCACGACAAATTCACAACACCATCAAATGCCGAGGACCCTTTTACACCCCAAAACAAACGCATAAAACCCCCAGACCCTAATCGTACCCCTACTCAGTCCAAGTTAACCACTTCTCTTCCTGTCCTTGAACAGAAAGGTTTTACGATTAATTATCTTCGCAACGCACCTGATTTGAGGTATCTGGCTCGCCGAGTTGTACTGGCGGAGACAAGAAGGAGAGATAGGGAAAGCCGTAAACGCGAAAAATTGCGCGAAACACAGTCGATAGCACCAAACCCACCTCACGACCAGCATTCTTCTCGCACCACAGCATCTAAATCACAATCCTCCACGCCATCCAAATCTCTTTCCTCGGCTTCCCTTACTTCAAGGATGAAGAAGCTGTTCGAGACGGCTATCCGAAGTCTGTATCAAGCAGGCGAAATTATCGTCCTTCCAAGATCTGGCGTGCAGTCCACTTCGCCTATCCCACAATCACGACCTACAACGCTTGATGCGGGTCTTCCTTATCCTGCATGTCTTGGTCTGTTCCGTGTGTGGGATGACCTCGACCCAGATCGCAGTATGCGCGCCGACGACTCATATACCACTATCAGATCTACAATTTCCAAATCTAGCAAAACATCCAAAGCTCGGATATCTGTACATGACGAATCTGTTGCCGTTATTGACGAAGATCCCCCTCCCAATCATACCGGTTTGGATGAATACCTTCCTGTGACGCCGGAACTCTTGGCTGAGCCGGTCCTCCAGGCTGTGAAGAAGACAGCCATTCGCTCCCCTTCCAATCCGGACAACGGCACCAGCGTTGACAGGATTGCAAGTTTCCTCAAGAAAAATGAATTGTGGGCACGAGTTGGCGAATGGACTGTACAGGAAACGCTGAAGCTACTGTCTACCAGGGAACAGGTTTGGGAGTATGCGCAAGAGAGGTGGAAACCTATGACAAACTAGCCTATCTCATTTCATAATCCAAGATCTTGAGGCATCCAGTTGCGACATCATGACTGTATCATTATGTAACACATTGCGATCGGACATTTCTATGTTTTGGTTCATGCTTTGGTGGGCTGCGGCTCCGTTAGTGCAGTTTCATGAATTCTTACGCACGTCCTAAGGCAGTGATTTGTCAGCAGCCATTATGGGGACGGAGTACGCGGCACTAAGATGCGAGGTGGAGCTATTGGGTTACTCGGGAAAATCTTGGAGTTATTGACCGAGTGACGAATTTGAGTTGATGAAACTATTCCACCACGAGGCTTGTGGAGCACTACTTGGCCTTGATCTTCGCGACGAGAGAAATATTTGGGGCGACCAGGCTCCCCCTCTGAGTATATGAAGACCGAATCAGGAGAGCGAAAAAGTCAGAACGGTTCCTCGGAGTGTTTGAAATGAATATCGTACGTCGGTGGAGGCGAAGAAAGCTCGTCAGGCTCAGAGAAAGAGCTCGAGTCTGATTGAGATAGAACAGCAATTGGGGGGCTGAGAGAATGTCCGCACTCGACAGGGACGGTTTGGCAAAATACATCTTTCTTTGCATCGTAGTCACGCACGTCGTCTGTGAAACAGGACAGTCTGTATTCGCCAATTCTATGCGATGGTCCAGCGGTATTACTACGTTGAGCAACCGTAGTTCGCTTAAGAATGTTATATCTCCGTGAGGAATTTGATTGGACACTGCAGCTATTTAGCCTACCTACTTTCTTGTTAACGTGCGCAAATGGTATTGCCACCCGCGTTGGAGACCCTGCAGAGTTGGTGGTACGTCCGAGTTTTTGGGAGTTGCTGAACTCATTGATGTGTTGAGCTTCGTTCATCCAAGGCGGAATCTTCGTTACACGTCGTCTTGTTACGCCGTCATGATGTCTATGGCTTGAAAGTGCGAGAGGGCTGCTATGAAGGGGCGAGCTGCAAAAAGCACCGTTATATCTTATTGGCAAGCATCAATGTATGCACCATGATGACACCGCACCGAGACTGATTTATTGACTGATTTGATGCAGTAGTAGCTTTATCCGACAGGGCTTCTAAGGAATTAGCACTCATGTCCTGTGGAAAGATGCAAACCAGTGACCGGGCCATCGGGTTCTATACCATCATTTCTGGACGTCCCGGCACAACCCTGAGTGGAACTCCCAGGAGATGGTCCAATAGAGTAAGGACGAGAAGATGCAGAAAACTTGCGAAAAATCTTCCTCGATACACCAGTCGGACGAAACTTAGCTGAGACAATGATATCGGAATTTAGCCCGCCTCTTGGCGACGTCACTGGTATTGTGCTTTCAGAAACCACGATACTAGAACTCCCCTCCTGCGTTTCGTCTGAGGGGAGGATAGACTTGCGTGACGTCGCTTTTGAGAGACGAAGTGATAGCGGAACAGCAGCGTACTTCACGCCGGAGCTCTTGTATCTTTTGAGAAACGGTATCGTCCCTGAACGCGAACCTGTATCCACGGCGGTCGGTCCTCCGGTTGAAGACACATGTAATTCCGAAGAAATTGGTTCTTTCATGTCAGAAGACGCGTCGGGTTGGTCAGAAGAAACAAAACTTCTAAGAGTCCCATTATGATTGCGCCTGCGGCGCACAGTTCTGGGCGTTCGTGGGTGAGAGTCTGCTCCAATGGGCGGCTAAAGATGCCAAGTCATGAAGCATATATGCAGGAGCAAACTCGAACAGTTATACATAGCCATGGGAATCCTGTCTGGAGTTGAATTGAGTCCTTTGTTCGCAAGAGAGGCGCTCCAGTGCCAATCGCTTCAGCTGAGACGAAAGGAGGACAGTGATGAGGGTTGATGGCAGACGCGCGAATCTGCGCAAACACACCTTCTCCATCCTGTCTGATGAGGGAAGCGTGATGGTGTTGTTGACAATTATTTGGAAGGGTCTTCACCGCCACTAGACAGATCGACTGTGGAACCGATCTCTAACCGTTTTGGTCATGTCGTTTAAGAAAGGCGAGGACACCTTCCGCCGATGCCTTTAGGGGATTGTCTCATTGCTTTCCATTACTATAGGACAGCTGTTTCCAGGCAATCCGGAGACAACCAGGGGTTCGTCGACGAAGCTGAGCTCGCATGACGATAAGATTGTCTACACGAATGGGAGGCTAGTTATAGTGAGCCGTATTTAAAACGGATCTTACGAAGTCTTCAAGGCATGAATACTCGATCCCCTAGATACGCGACCTTAAGGTTCGTTCACTATATACCATTCTTAAAATTCGCATTCGATTGTTCCCTCAGGATCCCGCGAAAACGGCTTCGTACTCGGGTCATGTGCAACCAGCCACCGTCGCTCGTATCTCCCCTTCCGGTTATTATTGTGCATCTGGAGACGCCAGTGGCTTGGGTAAGTTTCACCTCATTTGGGTTTGGAGCTCCAGCTCCTTTTCCTGATGTGTGGATGCTTTTAGTTAAGATATGGGATACTGTCGGAGATGAACAGATCCTGAAGAACGAGGTAAAATCCATATCAGGAAGAATGTCCGTATGACCGTACTGTATCTTCAATGCAAGGATTATCATTGAGCCACTGACCACAGCAATGACCTCTCGTGGGATGGAGAAAGCAAAAGGATCATTGCTGTAGGAGACGGAAAGGGGAGGTATGTTTTCAGGGTATAACAATGACTCTGTGCATCCTTAAGTGAAATCCCCGAGGTTCGGAAGTGTGTTCATGATGGACACTGGAAGTTCCGCGGGGGAAGTCAGCGGCCACTCGAAGGTGCTAGTCACATTATTTACCTTTCCGCCATACTCATTGGCTATGTAGGCTGTGAATGCGACGTCAATACGCAACCAACGCCCTTTCCGAGCGGTTTCCGGTGCCGGTCAGCCGTGTCAAGTTTAGCTCTTGATTCATCCCTAAATTTCCTATAGATGACGGCAGTATCGTATTTTACCAAGGTGGGCATGCATTGTCATCGAATGCTAACATCGCTGAGTAGCAGTTTGCAGGCACACCATACAAATTCGCCAAGGTCCGATTTACGGATTGTGGTGATACTTTTTTAATTTACGTATTCGCACCCAGGCTATCAATACACACACTCGCTTTGTGCATGATGTCAGATACGCTCCTTCGGGTGACGTCTTTGGTAGTGTGGGTGCAGACAGTAAAGTATTCCTTTATGATGGCAAGACTGGAGACACCGTGGCGGAGTTGCCGGACGCCCATAAAGGCAGCGTCGTGAGTACCCTTGGCCAGTGGGTAGATAAGGAGGCTAATGTGTAACCCCTAGATGGCACTTGGATGGAGCCCGGATAGCAGGTCATTCATTACATCGTCCGCCGACTGCACGGTTAAACTTTGTACGCACATTTTCCCAGGCGTTTTTTCACTCTAGCCATTTTGACCTCGCGGGGAAGGGGATGTTGAAACGCAAAAGCGTGTTACTGTTTGGACACTGGGGACTGGTGTTGATCATCAGCAAGTCGGAAATACCTGGGCTGGCGTTGAGAATCTCGTCAGTCTGTCTATGAGTGGTCATCTCAATGTCTTCGACCGTCGAATTGGAGACAAGCCCAGTCGCGTCCTTTATGTAAGGACACCTTCAAGTAGCACTCTACGAACCTTCATACACTTATGAAATCCTCAGGGCCATCAAAAGACCATAACTTCCGGAACTTTAAGTCGTGATCACACACTATTTGCTGGTGCATACGATGGGCGCGTTCTTGCCTACGGAGGTTCTGCAGCGGATGGTCCACAGCCTGTTGGTGGGCGGAGTCACGAGGGTCAGATCGTGGCTTTAGCTTCAGATGGAGATCGTGTCTTCTCAGTTGGCTTTGATGATAAATTGCGTGAACTTGACCCCCACAAACCTGGATTCGCGTAAGCATGCACTTTCACCGGGCGTATAGGATTTCAATGGGGTTTGATGTCAGGGATACCGCGGCGTCTCTAGGATCTCAGCCCCGATCACTAAGCGTTTCCGGATCGGAAACTGTTTTCATCGCTACACTTTCCGGCATCGATGTTTTTGAAGGCGGGAGGATAAACCCACAAAAGACCGATTTCGACCCAACTGTCGTCGCATCCACAGCCAATGGCTTGGTCGCTGTAGGAAGCCAGGTTCGTTTATCTTTTGCGGTCGTCGGTCTTTTTTTACAACTGTATCATTACTAGGATTCAAAGGTTCGACTTTTGAGTTGGGAAGGTAACAGATTGGTGGAGCTTGCCCAGTTAGAGGGAAGTAAGGGGCAGGTGACAGCACTGGCGTTTTCACCTGATGGATCATTACTAGTTGGGGGCGACGTAAGCGATCCTGATGCAGCTACTACATTTACTCATATCCATGGCAGACTACGGGAAAAGTTACGCTTTTTGACGTTGCAACACGGAAGGTGGGTAGCTTATGTACCAGTCCATGGGCATGTCTAATATTCTCCGTTCAGCTCATTACGGGCCGCTGGACATTCCACTCAGGTCGGATCAATTCTCTTGCCTGGACCCCGGATAGCAAACACATCGCTTCGGGCTCGCTTGACACTCACATATACATCTGGAGTATTGATAATCCCTCCAAAAACATTGCGCTGAAGAACGTCGTTCCGGGAGGCGTCTCGCTTGTCGCGTGGTTGGACGATACGTCATTGGTTGCAGGAGGAGCCGATGCATGCATTCGGAATTTTCCATCACATTCCACAAATGAGCTTCGCGATTGCGCGATAATGTTGTATGTTCAAATAAAAAGGGCATGATGCCCAAACCCTCGAACCCTACCTCAGTCTCTAGATAAGGATTACTCTTGTCCCTCAGACGGGATTTCCGCTTGTGATGGCAAACACATAGCTTCGGGCTTGCTTGACGCTCGAATGTACATCTGGAATGCTGAAGATCGAAAAGCATCGCTTCGAAGTAAGCAGTTGCGGTGGTGTCTCGCTTGTCAGACGGTCGAACGATTAAGTCATTAGCTGCAGGAGCCAGTGCACGGATCGGTGAGATTTCCATTGCATCTCACGAACGAGCTCCGCGTTTGCATGATGACATCATTCCGTATAACCTTAGATCTTTGCATGTGCGGCATAACGAGCCCAGTGGCAGACAAAAGTTGGATAAGCGGGTAGAATAGGAACAAGTTCGGCGATGAGAGTTAGTACACCACTTTTATGACGGACAGAGGACAACATATATATCGCGCAAGTCTCAGACCCTCGAGCTCGGGGCGGAAAAGGGCCAGACCTCCGGTTTAACTAGGACTCTAACACGTTTGGCTCCCCGAAGAATGTCCATTTGGGTTCCCCATGTGGGGTCTCCGCTTGGGTTTGATTCGAACTCTGCCTCGGACGTGAACTGGGGGATTCCATCGGGCAAGAGTAACGTCTCCGAGCTCTATATAATATCACGAAGTCATAGAGGCTGGAGTCCTGCCTATCTCTGAGCACGGATATTGGAAGAGCAGACGGCGGCACCAACTTGAATGCCTACACACCGATATGAGGCTCCTCGATGATACGGAATCCCCCTGTAGGTCATCAGCCCAATTGGACGGTGAGCTTCGTCGAGGGCTTTCGGCCGAAGGGATGGAGAGTCAAGAGTCACATGCTCTGTCTCCTGAACCTCATGCTATAGGGGTAAACCTCGATGAGTCGATGTCTGGACGAAGGACTGCTACTAGGACTCACCTGAAGAGTAGGCTGCGTCCGTCAGCCAGTCCTCTAACTCGTCATAGGACCTCTTCACATCGATCTCCGCCTTCGCTTGGTTCGGGAGTGTATGATCCCTTTGCTGGGCGGAACAGCTATCATCCATATTTGACGAATCTGCCTCGCCACTCCGTATTGGGAGTGGGAGGGGCTTCCGTCATTTCGTGGTTTGGGCTGCGCAGCAATGGAATTCTCCTGCATCTCCGAAAACCGCATTGTAAGCTGGGGCTGATGAGCCTAGGAGATTGACTGACCATGGCGCAGTGGTTGATTTGATCGCCTCTATCTCTCAGGGACCTCTCATCCAAGAGAGGGAGAGGCGATGACACCTGCGTTGAAGTGCTGTTAGCTCTCAGGCTCTATGATCGGTGCAAATGCCACACCTGATGAGCCGGGAGGTTACTAAGGCCCGCAGTCACGCTAATCGGGCGAGTTTCAGCTGGGAAGAGGGGTAAGCGAAGTCGGTCCGAAGCCTCACGGGGGTCGCCGCACGACTGACCCCTAACTCGGGGTTCCCAGTGATGATTGTGTGCCTTTTTGCGGACAGTCCGGCTTTGGGGGTTTTACCATTCCAGAGACCGATCGAAGACCAGAGTTGATCGGATTATCTCAATGTACCACTTCAGCATTTTGAGACCCATCTTTATTTGGCCCAGCTTGTACTAGTGACTCACATGCGAACATTATGGTCGACATTAAGATTCGCACTGTATCCTTGATGCAACAGTCAGGACTTTGTCTCTGCCCTCAAAGCACACCGCCAACAGGCCAGTGGCGTCCCACGAATCCAAAGCTCACAACACTTAGTAAGTGTTCCAGACTTCAGATGGCAGCAGTCCCCTCATCACTAAAGCACCGTAATAATAACCAATTAGTGAAAATAGGACAGTGGGAGAGCAAGTCATACATATCCAGTATTCAATAGCAGACAGTTCCTGCCATTCACCTAGCCTGTTCGTGGCGTCCCGCAAGACTAACGTGGACTCTGAATAATTTGATCCCGGACGTATTGAACCGAATGCCATCGGTAAAGGTAATTCTCTTGAATGCCATGAATTAAAGAGTCCTCGTCGTAAATCGCTTCCCAGATAATCTTCAACGACAGGCGAACGGAATGTCAATGGGGCCGGGGCTAAGGTGCAGATGATCACCTTTAGGCTCGTTAGGAAGCTGGACAATTCACCCGAATGGTCATGTTCTCACCAGGTTGATAAAACCCACCTTCAAGTCTTCAAGTTTACGACTCGTGTCTGAATCATGGTAAACTTTACACTCTCCAAACGCCGCCAATAATGTGACGATAATGCCACGTGCGGCTGGTGAATCCAAATGCCCACCGTAATTCTATGTGCGCGAGCAGGAGTTTCAGGTGGGAGCATGATACTGATCTGAGCCACCCACCACTCTTAAGACACCAGATGGACGCATCAACGTTTTTAGGTCTTCCCAGAACTCGAGGGTGTACAAATGGTGGGGAACAACTCCACCTGAGAAGCAATCATGAACCACGTAATCAAACAATTGCGCATCTGCCTGTCCCGGATTGGATGTTCGAAGGGATCTCATGGCACTCGCTTGTTGGCGGACCCAACTTCGTGCGTCTTCAAGATACACTTCGTTTGGTTTGGGAAGCTCGAAATGCTTCCGCGCGAAGCGATACACAGCTGGACCGATTTCAACAATTGTGGTCTGCATCCCATGCTCGATGAATGCTTTTGCAGCAACACCTATTCCGAGTCCGCTAAAGCACACCACAATCAAAACCGGCTTCCCGGGTAACCCTACGTAGAGTGGAAACTGGCTTACATAGTGAGGACCCGATGGGGCGTAGTTCGGATTGATTCAAGAGGGCGATTGACAAGCCGCGCAGCTTCCTGGAGGTAGAATGCAGTATATATGCTACGGAAAAAAATTGTGGGAGGGTCTCCTTCACGCTCGGGGAGCAGCCACATGCCGCCGAGGAGCGAGTGGTCGCAACGTAAAAATCGTGTCCGCACGCCATTGATATCCTTTTCGCCAACAAGGATCATTCCCGTGACGCTGAATGATTTGTCCAATATCTGTAGCGTACCATTGAGGGTGGTGTATGGGGTCGCCGGGGTTCTGCACGGCGAACTTTTTTTGTGACACTACAGACGTGAACAATGGAAGGGCCAAATACAAGGCCAAGACAAAAGTGGGATTCATTCTTAGTCTTCTAATAGACCTTCCTGCATGTCGCTCGCGCTTTTTCCGACTCAAGGCATGCTGCATCGCCAACAGTGCAGCAGGAAACGGTGTGATAAGACCCAAGAGAAGATACTGGCGTAAAATATCGTCAGCTTGTGACACTAGAAAGATGCGTGTGCAGGCTGACCATATTACAATAGTTTACCACACCTCCGAGTGGCAAGTTATCCCACAGGACCCTGTCTGCACGAGCAATGACAACCCATGAGAACATCCCTGAGCCAAATCTGGCGGGGAATGGCGAAAATCCAGAAGGAGAAACACGGGACTATGACGCGACCTGAATAGCAAATCAAAGGATGAAAAATAGGGGCCATACCAATACATTTTGCAGCATCGACGCTCCCAACATAGTAACAAGAGACCCGCCTAGGATGTGAGCCGCGATAGGAGGGTTGAGCCGCCCAGAAGTATGCACTCCGACACAATACATAATCTCCGGCGACGCTGCAAACCATAGGCTCATGAAGGCGAACCCTGTTCGTGAATCCAAACGCATCCGCTTAGGAATGAAGGAGGCCAGAAGACAAATAACCAGAGATATTGTTGGGAAGTGTCGAGCAGTTGCTGCACTCCCAAACAGAGGGTGAAGGGAAAGCTGAGAGGCGACATCTGAAAATGATATTATCGAAAGTACGAAGAAGCCCGCAAGAAGTGCAGTGACAGAGCTGGGCGATGTCGAGGATGTTCGGGGAGGCTAAAATCCGGCACAAGGCCAAATTACAAATCAATGCATTCTAGCACCCTTGAAGGCTATACCCACTGGATTCTCATTGCGTTCTAACGGCCGAACGTTTCGCCTCTCCTGGGCATCGGCCATGCCAACGTCGTTTCGATGTCACACGTGAGCCCAATTTCGAATGCAAATTTCGACCTCAACGGTCACGTGCAGGTGAAAAGAAAACCTAATTCACGACTTCCAAGGATTTTAGTATATGCTGATAGCAGGACGTTAGATGTATGGTAAGTCTAATGTACCGCAGGCTCGTCCATTTCGGATCGTTAAATTCGGATTGCTCGGTGAGGATTTGCCGCAAACGATCAAACTTTTTCATTTCAATATTTAGGCAAAGTAAAATTTTGGGTCAGTTATCGGGGATTGGGATAAGCATGTGTACCTCATCATATCAGAATCTGACCCATAACCCATAGTACCGCCAGAGCAGGAGTTTCTTTCTTTCCCAGGCGTTTCTTGGTGCCACGATAACTGAAGTGAATAGGGTTACTCAGTGTGATTTCACGTTTGAATACTTGCACCGAATGTCATGATCGATGCCTGCGGGGCGTTACGACTCCGCGTACTGAACAGGGGCCCATGACCATGTCTAATATTCTTCATTCAGCTCATTACGGGCCGCTGGACATTCAAGTCAATCAATTCTCATCCCTGGCAAATACATAACTTCGGGCTTGCTTGATGCTCGAATGTACATCTGGAACGTTGAAGAAAAGAAACATCACTTCGAAGTAAGCAGTTGCAGGTGGTATCTCGCTTGTCAGATGGTCGAATGATAAGTGAGGAGCCAATGCGCGGATCGGTAAAATTTCCATTGCATCTCACAAACAAGCTTCGCGTTTGCACGACGATGTCATTCCGTATGACCTTGGATCTTTACATGTGCGGCCTAGTGGCAGACAAAAGTTGGGATTTATAGACAAGCGCGTGGAATAGGAACAAGTTTACGTCGTGACGAGAGTTAGTACACAACCCTTATGACACCATCCAGAAAGCCGGCTCTGGATAGTGTGTGGGACAGAGAGCAACACACATATCGCGCAAGTCTCAGACCCTCGAGTTTGGGGTAGCAAAGGGCCTGACCTGACCTCCAGTTTGGCGAGGACTCGGACTCTAGAACGTTTGCAAAGAATGTCCATTTGTGTTCTCTATGAGGGGATTCCGCTTGAATTTGGTTCATCAGAGCAACTCTGCTTCCCACGTAAACTGGTGGGTTCCATCAAATGAGTGCGGGTATCAGGATGGGGGTGCCGAAGAGTAACGTCTCGGAGCACGGATATCGACGGCGGCACCAACTTGAATCCCCACACTTCGGTATGTCTTATACAGGTTCCTTGGTGATATGGAAGCCCCCTGTAGGTGATCAGCCTTATTGGACAGTGAGCTCTGTCGAGGGCTTTCGGCCGAAGAGATCGAGGCTCGAGAGTCACATGCTCTATCTCCTGAGCCTTGTGCTATAGGGGCAAACCTCGATGAGTTGATGTCTGGACGAATCGTCAGGACTTACCTAAGGAGTAGGCATCGTCCACCAACCAGTCCTCCAACCCATCGTAGGACCTCTCCACATCAATCTCCGCATTTGCTCTGTCCGACAGTGCGTGATCCCGTTGTTGGGCAGACCCCGAACAGATGCCATCTATTATTGACGGATGCGCGTCACCGCTCCGTATTGGGGAGTGGGAGAGGCTTCCGTCATCTCGGTGTTTGGGCTGCGCAGCAATGGAATCATCCTGCATCTCCGAAAGCCGCATTGTGAGCTGGGGCTGATGAGCCTAGGAGATTAACTGACCATGGCGCAGTTGTTGATTTGGTCACCTCGATCTCTCTCATCTAAGAGAGGCAGAGGTGATGATGCCTGCGTTGGGGGGCTGTTAGCTCTCAAGCTCTATGATCGGTGCAAATGCCACACCTGAAAAGCCGGCATGCCCGCAGTCACACCAATCGGGTGGGTGATGCGAGTTTCGGCTGGGAAGAGGGGTAAACGAAGTCAGTCCGATGCCTCACGGGGTCGCCGCACGAACCGATCTTGCCGGTGGACCCTGGAAGGTCGTCCATGGCTGCCACGTCCGGGAACGTGATCAGCCGTCCCCTACTAGAGTCCGCAACCTCCTCGGTGTGGAGCCCCAATTTCCGGTGCTTCTGTCGGGCTTGGGTGAGAGAGCTCATAAGCATATGGCTGGTAGGTTGATCAAGCAGTTCAAACTTGCATCCATCATAAGGAGACGCCAGATCATCTCCTGAACCATGCTCTCCACTTTCTCTCGGCCTCTTTTTGTCCCTCCCTGACAAGCTGACCGGTTGAGAAACAGGACCAGCACTGGTGGCTGATTTTGTGTATTCAGTGGTTGACGCCCCTGAATAATATTGTTCATGCCACAATCCACGACGTTCATGAAGAATGAAATGGTGAGGGTGACTGACCTGGCTGACTGTTGGGACCCCCACGCTGCTCGCATTTGGCCCCATCATCAGAAACCATAAAAATGGACAGGGGCATTGATTCTGCCACTAAATTCGGAAGGACTCATGAGTAGAAATATGATATACTAAAGACCAAGAACCTACTCCGTTGAGAATCAATGAAGCGATCCAACAATGGTATCAGGTCTTCATCCAAAATTCGGATGCTCCTGCGGGTGGATAAAATGAGAGGAAGTGAGTATGGAATGGGCAGAAAAACCCAAGATGCGAGAGTGGGTTTAGATCTGGGGGGCAAACCTCCATCACCCTTGCCATGAGGCAGTGAAAATGACTTGAGTTGAGACGAAACAGAGGAAAACTCTACGCACTCTTCCACTCCCTGACAGTGCGTTTCAGCTGTCGAAACCATGGGCCCCTTCCGAGATATTCCTCAGTTACATTTTTACCGAAGGACGGGGGGCGGTACATGACACTCACATCATCAGTTCCTGGGTTCAGCATGATAAATGATTTTTGTCTTGGGGCGGATAGGAGGGTATTTCTTGGGGACGGATGAATATATATAGTCGTGGCGTGGAGGTACTGTGTGGATGACAGACGAAAGTGGTTCGGATTTTAAACCAGTGATGTTCGCGCGTTCCACAGTCCGCAGAGATGGGACAATGTTTCTCAGCCGAGTTAAACGGTTGGAAGCATCGATAATTCAGAACCAGCTATCAATGCGTGCGTGACCCCAGTCCTTGTCACTGCCTGTCAACTTGCGGATGGAAGATGTTGGTTCAAATGGACTGCTTACGTAATGATCTGCCAAAGTGTCGTCCTCGACGTATTCTTGTAATATCAAAATTGCCTCATGCAGGCATCTCTTGTGGGCTTAGACTGAATTGCCGTGCAAAGAGGTCCTCTATTATTGCACATTCCATTGGCGTCCACCAGTTATCTGACTGCTATCCCGTGTGGCCTTGAGTTCCTGCGCCTGTATTTACTATTATTTGTACCAATACTTTTTAGTTTAAGAGTTTACCATCACCTTGTCCAATTTGGTGCTTTCTACAGTTCCCCCCGCTGACTCCATCTCACATTCGTACCGTCCTATCCCCGGATGTCGAGGCTAGCCTGGACCCATCGGGAGTTTGAACAGCGGTGACGGTGAAGAAGAAGAAGAGACAGGAGTTTAGGATTAATTGGGGAGGGACGATGATCGATTATGATTTCTCGAGTAAGAAGGCTGTTGTGGGGATTTTGATGTTGGAGGTTAAGAAGGCGGTTGATTTGCCAAAGGTTAAGAATTGTGAGTCCCTTTTTGGGTCGTTTTGGTCGAAGGCAACAAGGCAACGGACGCTTATTAATTAGTCCTTCGGACGGGATGGGAAATGGATCTCTTCGTGGTCGTTACGCACGATTCGAACGCTTACAGAACCAAAGTCGTCCGACACGACCTTAACCCTACCTTTAACGATAAGTTCATCCTCTTCGTCAAACGAGCCCCCGCTTCCTCCCCTACGGAGATCAACTTATATACGCCTCTTCCTTCTTCCAAACGTGTCACTTTCCAAATATCGGACTGGGAACGACGACAATCTAAGGATCAGAAGTTGGCGGAAGGAACGTTGGATGTAAGTGAGCTCATTGAGAAAGCTCCCAAGATGAGGAGACGGGGTTGTTCAACGAGGAGGCGATGAGGCTGCACCTGCCTGAGGAGAATGACGTTTGGTTGGAGTTGGCGGATGGCGGGAGGTGGGAAGCGGCAAGCGAGAAAGAGAAAAGCAAGGGGAAGGGGAAGGGAGCTAGTGGAGCTGGTGGGGGTGGGGAGAGGAAAGTGAAGGTTACCATCAGTGTCAAGTATGACCCTCATGGAGCTCTGAGGCAGCGATTCTGGAGGCACCACTTGAAGGACTACGATCTTGGTGAGTTCTTTCCTTTCTTCCCGTTCAGACTTCTCACTGATGCGTTCCTTGGACGATTAGATCACTCTGATCAATACTCATACGCTGAATTTTCTGACATCCTCGAGAAACTGGGTTTGGACGCTACGCCCGCACAATTGCAAGAATTTTGGAAGAAGTTCGATAAGAATCCAGAGTCGGATGAGCTGACGATCGAGGAGGCTATGAGGTGCCTCGAAGGGGAGTTTGGAACCAAAAGGGAAGTTTGGACGAGACTAAAGGCGAGGATGGAGACCAGGAGGATGAAGAGGAAGTTGAGGCTGCTTTGTTGGAGACTGTCAAGGAGATGGAAGGCGGTGCAGGGGAAGACGAGGAAGGGGGAGCGGTAAGGAGGCGTTCGACGGAGGAAGGTGATTGCCGAGGCGCAACAACGAGCATGTTTGGACATTCGAGGGAGTCGATGTACGATCTTGAGGCTGAGCTTAGGGAGATTTTCCTTAAGCATCCTCTTGTTTTCTCGCGTCTTGAGGATGAGGATGGGTCTAACCAAACGGAGGGAGGTGAGCGAGCTGAGGAGGAGGTGGGAGTGGAAGGGAAGAAGGCGAAATTGCACCATCTGGTCCCGGCCAAAGCGATACCCGACATACTCGCTACATATTCGGAACGGCACGATGGACTGACGTTCTTGAAGGATGACGAGGAGAGAGAATTGAGGAAGTTGTTGAACGAACTGGGTGAAGGGACCAGCATCGGACCGGAGTCTTTAATGACGTTCATTGCAAGGGCTACGGGCGTTGAGGAGAGCGAGGGAGATGGTGGTGCTAGTGATGGGGGGAAGGTCGGAGAGGGAGAGCGGGTGGAGTTCCCCAGCACGTCGGAGGACATTCTTCACCCGGCTGGTCTAGAGTCTGCGCAAGAGTTCATAGAGCCCGTCATTTCTGCCGGGGCGAGCAGAAGTAGAAGCACCACCGCCGAAAGTGGGACTGCTTCTGCCACTCTTCTCCCTTCGACTGCGAAGACGTCGTCGGCACTTGATGCTAGACAGAGGAGCACGCCATTGGAGGCTACTGCCCCTAGTAGTTGGCATTCAAGACCAATTCCGGCCTATAAGAAACGTAGAAGTTCAGGTAATGTGGGGAGCGTTGGAAGGGCTGGTCGTGATACCGAGGTGGGTCCTAGTTTGCCTCTGTCTTTGTTGAAGCTCTTGATAGATTGAACGGTCTTTATTTCTTTCTTGGTTATGAACAGGATCCCACGGTTCCTGAGCTTCTGGGAGGACATCGTGTACGCGGGCAATCGAATCCTACGTCTCCCCCTCAACGACTTCCACCATTTACTTTCCCTTCGTCCCCTCCACGATTGGGTCGATCGGCGCCTAGCTCTCCTCCCCTTCCTCATGCCGGATCTCAATCTGTACCTTCCTTCCTCTTTCGCCTACGAGGGGTGGATTCAAGAGTCTCAGGAGGCAGTCTACGGATCGTCAAGCGGGACTTGGGGTTGGGACAGGAGTAGGGTCTTCTCCTGAGTTGATTAACATGCCTGTTCCTAGAGTTCTGCGTAGGGGTCCTGAGGAAGGTGAGAAAGGGGAGGAGAGCAGGAAGGGGACGACGGAAACTCTGCCATCTTCTATGAGTTCTTCCGCTTATACCCACGACACTCTCGGAGACGATCGACATCATCATCATCACGACCACGATCCAGAGGAGGTCGGAACGGAACGAACGTCGCTCTACTCTGTCTCGACTGATCCTCATCATCATCATGGACACGAACGAGTGTAGGAATTGGAAAAGATTCAGCAGGAACAGCTGAAGAAGTTGGCAGAGTTGCAGACCAAGTTGGAGAAGATGATCGAGCATGAGAAGGAGATGGAGGATTTAAGTAATCAGAAGGAGGATATTGAGGCTGACTTGCAGCATCGAGACAGAACGAGAAGGAGTTGAGGGCTAAGGATGTAAGTGCTCTAATGTTTTACTGGTTTTCGTGCACTGACTTTGTGTTCGATTTACTCCTACATACAGCTCTTGACATCGAAGCAGTTGATCACGGTGCGTTTCCTTTGTTTACTGTCGAGAGGGGGTCCAGTATCTAATTGTATCTTGACAGCTCGAAGCTGAGGTGTCGAGACTTCAGGCTGCGCTTGATGAATCTAAGACGGCTTATCAAAATCTTCAGAAGCAATACCAAGAACAGAACAGTATGTCCATTCATTCATTTCGTTGGTGCTCAGAGGGACAATCTGGGCTTATTCCTTTGTTTTTCCTAGTTGAAGCTGAAAAGTATCGCGCAAAGATTACTCGTAAGGAACTTGAGATGAAGGATTCTGAAGCCTACCTTGCCCACACCATCGCTGATGCCGAGAAAGTAAGCTTGGTTTTGATTTCGACATTTGGAAGGTCGGATCCTTACCACTCAAATGTCCCGCCAGTGGAAGAATTCTGCGGAAGTAGCACAACAGATGATAGCTTCGCTCACAGCAGAGCTCGAAGCCGTCCGCAATGCGGCCCAAGCACTCGATGCACAGAAACAAGAGAACATTTCTCTCAAGGAGACCATTGATCGCCTTCGTCTCGACCTCGATGAATTACGAAACGCAAAGTCTGCCTCCAGCGGTGGTATCAGCCGGAGTGGCACGATTTCTGGTAGTCTTGCTCTGGAGATGTCAGGTCTTCACCATGGAGAAGAGGGGGATCCGAGTTCGGAGGATGGGACTGTTGTGGGGCATGAGTATGGTGACGAAGGCGTGGTTCAGACTGTCGTCACTCGTGAAGTAGGTCATGGTTGTTGGGTTTGGCTTCACTGCGCATTCTTACTGATATCGTGCGCTTTTCAGAAACTGGCCAAAATTCCGGACGGCGAAGAACAGATTACGGAAGTCGAAGCGTACTCTGAAGCCTCTGCTCAGCATACTGCCTCCGACTTTGCTCTAAGTGAATCGTCTCAGACCGAACCAGAGCCTGTTCCTGTTACGCAATCCGTTGTCATTCAAACTGAAGCCAAGAAACTTCCAGAAGCTCAAGCGGCCCAGCCGTCGGAGCCAAGTCCGCCACCACCATCTTATCACCTTCTGGAAGAGGAACGCGAGAAAATTGGGACGGAGGAACTTGCCAGATGGCACTCTGGGATTCACTCGCTTGATCCTCTGCCAGGTGGGATCTCAAGTGACGCTGTGGAGGAGTGGAATCATGTCAAAGACGAACTGGGTGTTACTTGCCGTGCTATCGACGAGATCGTTGAGAGGAGCGAGGTTCGTGGGCCCCGGGCCGTTCGGGAGAGAGAGCGTGTCCCGGCTGAGCCTGAGCAATCATTCTTCGCCGGATTGCGTGGGTCGATGGGTGTGCTGGTTGGAGCGACGATCTTTGGATGTAAGTTTGTTCCTTAGCTCTGATGGATGGAGTTAACTGACGTAACGCATGTATGCTTCAGTGATCGTATTTTCCACAGGACGCGCGTTGCACCCAGGAGGTCTTACACGCGATCAGAGATTGTGGGCTATTTACAATGACGTTGCTCGTGCCGGTCTCATGGATGGGTGGCCTACTCACGCGGCTGTCGCACCTGCTTGGGCGGTCCTTCGTGGACTTAGTCCTGCTGAGGCACGTCTCGGTTGGGTACCAACCTAATGTTGGAAGGATTTTTTTTTTTGCATTCTCTCTTTTCTTGCTAGATTTCTATGGACGGACCTTTAAGCGAACAATACTTCATTTGGCCCTGTCTCTGACTTCGGCTCGTTAATTCTGCCTTGTACCATTATTTGATGACCAGTGTACTTCCAGCATGCTCTCAATATAATCTAGTTCACATGAGGCTTTAGCTGTAAGATTGGCTGTTGACAGTACCTGTCGCGCAATACAAGTGACGCCAGGAAGCAATGATGTGGAATGGATAGTCCTTAAGGATGGCGAAGAGAGATGGATCTTTATTGTTGAGTGGAGTGGAAGGTGGGGAAGTTTCGAGATTGTCAGCAGTATGCTATGGGAGGTTGGCGTAGATGCATGGAGATTGGAATAAGAGGACATTAGCTAGCCATGCTATTTGGTTAGCTTAGGAGCGGTAGGAATGCTTTTGGTGTGTGGCTGGGCTGGTGTTTCCTCCATTCTTCACAACTTTCCTTCCAACAGTTATGGGTTTTTCTGTATCGAAGGTCCACTCTGTTTCAGGCACTGATCCTGCACGGTCAGTTTCTCGGAGTTCATTCAAAAATCAGGCTTTCGCCAACCCCGGAAGCAAGGGTTTCCAAGGTTTACTCCGCAGCCGGTCAGTGGCATGCTCAGCTATCGCCAGCGGACAACAGTACACTGCAGGTGCTGATAGCACTCACCACGGACTCATAAGGGATCGGAAATGAAAGCCGGAGTTGATGGACGCGATTAGCCTCGGCGGCTGCACTCGCAACATGGCAAGGGACTAAAGATGGACCTCAAAAGGACATTCTGGATAATGAGCTATCATTCGCTGTGTCGTACATATATTCCTAGGATCTTGGACATCAGTACCATGTACATACAATTGAAATCAATCATTTTCTCCATTTCACTGGTTCTCGAAGGCCATTAAAGAACGGTTTTAAGTTTATAAACGCTCGCAGACTTTTCTCCTTTCCTGCCCGAGGAAAGTCCTCAACAATAGTCTGAGCCGCGAGGATAGACTGGTACTTTGGCTGAACAGCTGATGGAATCGCTGCGAAAGTCTCCGATATACAACCGTGAGCGACGATTTCATAATGATGGTCGTCCGGGTGCAATTTGCTTGGAGAGCTGCGAGTGTTGTGAGGTATGTCTTCAGTAATGGTCACAAGTCCAGGTTCTCCTATCTTCCTGGCTCCGAGCTCGAAGATGATAGATATTACTGCCACCTTTTCATCTGGAACAGTGATCTGGCGAAGTACGCGGCAAGGTTTGGCCTCTTTCCGATTCCTGAATTGCAAGTTAATCGCTGATGTCGATTCCGGCGAGATAGACTTGGTTGGGTCACCCATATGAACAGGGATAACAGCATCAATCGACTCCTGGTTATCTTTGGCTTGGAGAGCCATGCCACGCAGCAGAGCTATTGCCAAGTTTGGAGCAGAGAGCGTTTCAGAATTTTCGGCCAGAGCGAAATGGGAAAAAAAGATATAAGCATTCGCAAATGCTGTTTCCAAATTAGGGACACCCTCCCTGGCCGTCACCGAGTTGGCCTTCAATATCACGGTTTCGAATTGCTTCGCAAATAGAGCCCTGAGAAAGTCGAGGACATGGACAGGTCGATGGAAATGTGGGTCAGGTGATTGATGATTTGGCAAAGAGTATTTTTGTCGGACGGCGATATCATGTGCAATGGTCACAAGAAGTCGGCCACAGATTTCTCCGCGCTCTCCCTTCGCAAGAAGTCCCTTCGCACAAGCCTGAGCTAGAATTTCTGGGCCTTGAATTTCTATTCCATTGCCATCCGAAGGGCCATTCAGACGCCTCGCTGCTGCCTCGGCCAGTATAGGCTCAGAGGGCGATCCGGCATGCATGAACTCGCGATGCTCTGGGATGGCATAAATAACACGCAGGTGGGATTCAACCAATTCTGATTCCATGGTCTTCGAGGCTTGAGTTGTGATGTCGAAGGTTATCCCGATGCGAACCCCCAGAGCAGCAATGAAAGAGTGGAATAGTCGCGCTTTGTTCCCTTCCGCGAACAGTTTCTCTCCAGCGAACGGTATAACAGGAAATCCTTGATGCTCCAACCACTCCTTGTGGTGGACATACCACCTATTAGGAATTTAGTCGATTTTGCCACAGATATAGTGGGCACCTACAGGCTACGTCCAAACCCTGCCATCACACTCGTTTGGCCCACGTTTTCAAGGCTGAGATTTTTCTCCTGGTTTTCCAAAGTTTCAAATACTTTGTCCACAAAGATGTCGAACGGCAGCTCGGTGAAAGGAGGGAAAAGGCGGAGGCCCTGAGCAATGCGAACTGATGGATGGCTGGCGGGCGAGGGAGCGAATTTCTGGAGATGAGAACTCGTAGACAAAAAAATGAAAAAAACAGGGAAATTGATTAGCGCAGATAGCACTGTGCCAAGGTTATCATAGGGTGAGCGACTCCTTGCGTCGGTCTTCTTTTCCGATGGGACGGGTTCGGCAAGCTGGTGAGCTTCATCAAAGTAAATGATGCATTTGACTTCTTTTGCTTTCCCATCATTACTAGAGATGGCCTTGACAAACTTGCGGCACGAGTCCTGCATTCGGTTTATGGAGTGGTCCAGTTTCATTAGGGCTGTTTTTTTATTTTGCTGTAGGACACCTAGCTCCACTAATCGAAGCTTCCCAAGAAAATTCAGCATGTGGCAGCAATTATTAAGGCCTCTAGACGTCACCTGGTCTGCCTGATTCGCCACAGAATCCAGGAACTCATTCCTATTCGTACCACTTTCGATATCGGTCTGTCCATCATCGAGATAATCAGCCCATTGGCTCGCTAGCGCCGCTCCTGTTTCATGTTTGAAAATGGGTTTCTCAAGAAGTTCGGCGGCCTTTGTGAACAGCACGCTCAATAGAATTGCATACTCTGCCTGCAGCCGAATATCGCTTTTTACATCGTGTCCGTGAAAATATTCGCGGAACCGCCTGTCCGGAGGGGGATAGGCTAGTGGTAAAATTAACATCATCGGTCGTAAATATGGGATTCACGATGAAATATTGCGCACTTTTGAGACTAGGGCTCAGCTCCTCACGAATATTGATTGGAATCGTAAATACGGAGAGCGCGGCTTCATCGACCATTCTGGACTTCCCCATACCCGAAGACTGGATGACTGATAGAGACCAATTGTATGGTCTCTCACTTGGATCGATCCCGCCGCTTGACTCCCAATACTCGTTCAATACCTCGATAAGCAGCTTGTGCGCCTCTCCTCGATAGGGTTCGTGAAACGCTGATTGGAGACCTGATGCAACTCGTCAGGCAGATGAGAAGCTCAACAGGCGCTTACCGCGGACACTACGACTGGTTGGAAGCCCGCCACTCTGATAATCGGTAAGGCCCGTTAGAGGCCGCATATCGACTAGGAATGAAACCATGTACACTATAATACTGCCACAGAGCGAATATAACCTACCATCATTCAACAACTCGAAGAAAGAGTTGTCGCGGTATGCTTTGAGAAGCTTGGGAAATAAATTTGGGGTAACCGAAATATATTCACCACATGCGGCCTCATCAGGAGCATTGGTACCAGTAGGTAGATGAGTTGAAAGCAATATTTGTAGCAATTTTGGTGGTGTCGCAAATCCTCCGAAAACTAGACCATTTGCAGTGCTGTAGTCATCGATCGCCTGGATGACACGACTATTGAACGTTTTCCGATCATCTCTGGCGGCCCCGCCTTTTGGGTCGACGTCCATGGGAGTACTCATGAGGAATCGATGGATATGGAGTCTGTCGCGCAGTGCGGATATCGAAAATCCCGTATAAATATTCGAGACCGAAATAGACGACTGAATGGCGGAAGGAGTTGGACACGCTTGCGAACCACTGAACGAAACTGAATGGCGGGTCCGGCATTCCGTGCCAGCGGGTCGCGACATTCGAGTTCCGCCTTTAGTTTCGTTCAGTTCAGTGGTCGCAGGCGGCTCCAACATGGCGAAGGCGGAACTCGAATGGTCGCGAGCCACGAGCGTGATGGCATCTAGCTTGCACATGCATAGGAAATGGTGGTGCATGGGGATAATATTGTAACGGTTCCTACCACATCAGATATTCGCTCTGCCCGCCAGCGGATTGGGGCCCACTTACGGTGGATTGGGCTGGGAAATGACCGGGATATTGGGGTGGCTGATTATCTATCATATTGTCAAATCCGCGTCTGGAAAGCACACCTTCTGTACATGCAGATGAAAAACTTTCCGCCCCCTAGGCCTTTCCTTTCACTTCTGCACACACAGCTGGAGCCCACACACTGTCACCAGTTATGGTAGATACTAGATATACAGAGTAGGGAAGAGAATCTCCGCCATATCACTGCCAGCAGCGAGGGGTAGAAGCAAAGAACACTGGATAAGGCGATACTTGTCAGTACTGGAAATGCGATCTGCTTGCTTGATGGTCTAGGAACATACAATAATATCAATGTTGTCCTACCACAGATGACAACGCATAACTCGCTGCATGAAATTGTGGGTATGTAGTTTCCGCTGTCGGATGACATACATCAATTTTTCATTGCGGAAAGGGCTAGGATTGTACGGTATTTATCTTTCCGACGCCGGAAAGGGTGCGGAAGTTTTTGGGCCTAAACATTACATGCTTGAAACATCCTGTCTTCAAAGACCGAGCGATATATACAGTACAAGCCCTAGTTATCACCGGCGTCCATCATGGGCGGGGGTCACAGCGATCTCAACTAGCGGCCCCGCCAAGCATGCGGCCTCTTCCAACATATGAATCGACAAATTATATAATCGTGCGAGTTGGACAAGCCACCAAACTGATCATGATCGATTTGGTCTGATAGACAGATATCTCTTTCCTTGCATGCTTTCGCAGGCTAGGATTCCATGCAGCCTCTATGACTTTGTGTAAATAATAGATCTTAGCTACTGATTTCAAGTTGTGACTTTGGATAAGGTATATATAGAAGAGGAATAGATTCGAAGCTGTGCTAGCTATTTGTGAATACACAGGGATGGGTCAATCAATAGACGAAGGCACTGCAATTTACTATACTGTTCCGATTGATCGTATGCATGTATGTTTGTGGGAGATCCATCAGTTCTTATCGTGTCTTCTTTGTTGCCCAAGCTAGGAACCATTGCAAGAAAAGAACACAGATATGTAGGGGGGATATGATCTTACAATATTGTTTCTAAGCGACTTGAAAAAGCGTACATTCAGAAGGGGCTGAGGGCCATATGCCCACCTGAAAAAGAAGGAACCGAAAGATGTTGGTGACGGGAGGGAAAAAAAAAACACCTCCAAACAGCCTCGTTCTCCGTTTTAGCGCGCTAAGCCTCGCGTCGTATATGGCCCAAAGTCTAGGTAGATGGATCACGTCCTAAGAAATTTTTTATAGTGCAACAACGCGTCAGTTTCACGAATCATTCCTTGAGGTAGGGAGGGAGATTATAACGTACGTTGATAGAATACTCTAATAAATCCGTTGGAAGAGGTCGTGTGTCGAATACCTTGGTACTCCCCACTTGTAGCTCGGTAGCATCATCTTCCGATGATGACGTCGTCGTCCTCGTTGGTTTCAACGAAAGCGTACCTTGTCGCCCCGAGCAGGCTCAGGACTTCCAACCATTTGATGGCGGATTCAGCGAAGAACGTTGTTAATTGATTGAACGGCTCCGTTGAAAGATTTTTCGAATTTTCGCCACATATAAAGCGTGGCATATTGAACATCGGAGACCTTCGACTAGATCTGGAGAGCAAGGTCTGGGATGTTAGAGTTGAGGATTAAAGGCGGAGAATAATTCCCCTCTGGCAAACGGCAAAGGCGTTCACTTGGTCTTTGGTATATCATGTTTCTACGCACGAGAATCCTTCCGAATTTAGTGTCAGAATCTCAACGCCCCATTAGGGCCCAATGCGAACAGCCCGGCGGGGGGGGGTCCTACCACTCGGGCAGATCAGTGACCCTCACCACTTCCACGGATGTTGGGCGCCTGATCATGTTCCCCCGACCGGGCGGGTGCAGTAATAGAAGCGTCTACTGGCAAGATCGGCGCAGCGACCCCGTATTTTGCTCACCCCCCCGGGTTGCCCGTAGATAGCTAGGTGATCAAATCGATGCTGCGCCATGGTCCAGTTACTCTCCTAGGCCCATCGACCCCCAGCTTACATGCGGCTTTCGGAGATGCAGTAGTGTGTGCGCAGCCCAAACCTCAAAAAATGACGGAACTAAGCCCCCCTCTCCCCAATAACGGAGTGGTGATGCGCATTCGTCATTGATGGGTAGACAGCTAGCTGTTCGAGGTCCGCCCAACAAAGGGATCACACACTGCCAGATCAAACGAATGCGAAGATTGATGTACAGAGGTCCTATACGACGAGTTAGAGGACTGGGTTGTGACGGGAACCCTTTGCGCTTTATATCAGTAAACACAACAATACAGTAAATTCGGCCAACTCCGCTGTTGTACCATCGTTTAAAAAAAAACAACAACAACAACAACAATATTCAAAAGCAAAACAAAGCTACCACAGGAGCACCGACAGGGAATGCATATATGACAGACATGCAGCATGTAAATCCGATGGCACAGCTTCTATAGTAATAGAAGAATCGGCGCGGCGTTGACCTATCATCAATGCACAGTATCAGTGTTATCTTCGATCGATCTGGTACACAAGAAACCCGGCTTGCTGTGGCATACATATTGCAAACCTCCTGTCCTCAAAGACGGCGAGCGATATATACAGTACAAGCCCTAGTTATCACCGGCCTCCATTCATGGGCGGAGGGGTCACAGCGAAGCTAGCGGCCCCGCCCATGCACCCGTGCGCCGGCGGCGCCAGCTCGGCCTCTTCCAACATGCATGCATATGAATCGACAAATTAATCATGCGAGTGAGGAAAGATCGATATCATGCATGGATACATGCAAGCCACCAAACTGATCATGATAGATTTAATCTGATGATAGATAGATAATCTGTTAATTCCTTCCATGCTTTTGCCGCCGCTTCAAGTTGTGATGATAATATAATATCGAAGATTGAGTCCAAGAAAAACGGTTAGGCTACGTAACATAGGACCTCCATGCATGCAGCCCCTATGACTTTGTAAATATTATATACATAGATCGATATCGCATCGTTGAACGCCGCTTACATAGCTACTGATTTCGAGTTTGTGACTTTGGAGATAAGGCATATGTATATATACTTTACAGCTTATCACGCAAATCGCATTGTAACATTCGAGTCGATCTCCCGGCCGGTGCATAGCGTAGAGGCAAAAAAATAAAATATTGGAATAGGAATAGATTCGAAGGGAAATTCGCTGTGCTTAGCTATTTGTGAATACATACACAGGGATGGGTAAGACGAAGACACTACATTATACCTGTTCCGATCGATCGTATGTGTGTGGTGTGTGTGGGAGATCCATCAGTTCTTATCGTGTCTTCTTTGTCCTTGAATATACACCCAAGCTAGGGACCATTGCAAAACAAGAAGAAACAAGAAGAAAAAAGAAGACGAAGCAGGAAGCAGAGAAGAGACGAATAAGTAGAAGCAGCTGCAAAAAAAAAAAAAAAAAAAACGCACTCAAAAAATGAACATGGGATATGATCTTACAATATTGTTTCTAAGCAACTTGAAAAAAAAAAAAAAAAAAAGCGTACATTCAGAAGGGGCTGAGCGCCATATGCCCACCTGAAAGAAAATAAAAAATTTTAACAAACGGGAAAAAGAGAAAGTAACGTATGGTACTCACCTTTCCCATAATACACATCTTGCTTTGCAAGTTGTAACCTCCAAACAGCTTCGTTCTCCGTTTTAGCACGCCATTTTGTATTAAGCCTCGCGTCGTATATGGCCCAAAGTCTAGGTAGATGGATCACGTCCTAGAAAAAAAAAAAAAAAACAACAACGCGTCAGTTTCACTTGAGGAGGGAGGGAGGGGAGGGAGATTATAACGTACGTTGATAGAATACTCTAATAAATCCGTTGGAAGAGGTCGTGTGTCGAATACCTTGGTGCTCCCCACTTGTAGGTCGGTAGCATCATCTTCCGACGTCGTCGTCGCCGCCGCCGCCGCCGTATCGTTGGTTGCTCAAGAGTCCCAGGCCTCTCCGTCCCAGTCATAACAACGACCTTCTTTTCCGTTCCCCCATCCCCCTCTTCGATTCTCTTCCTGCTCGTCTCTCCCCGATTCTCCCTCTCCTCCGCACCACCACCACCACCACTCTTCCCCTCCGATGCCTTAAAATACTTCTTCCCAACCTCCTTAACAGCCAACCACCCATTCAAAGCCTCCTTCTCCAACCCTCCATCCCTCTGAATAGCTCTAGCCAAACCATTCAACAATCTTTTCCTCCCTTTCCTCGTCGCGATTTCCAATATTTGAATATCCGAAACGTTGGACATGGAATGTTGTAAATGTTGTATAAAGCATCGAATCGTTTCGAACGTCGAAAAAACCCTTGACGATGTTGGGGGATTCGAGGATGGATTGGAGAGAGGTGGGTGTGGGGAAGGGGTACGTTGGAAGGATGGGGTCCGGGTCCGGGTCGGGTTGGAAATTTGGCATTGGGTCGTCGTCGTCATGTAGTTCTTCTTCTTCGGGAGTAGAAGAAGAAGGGACGTCGAGGATCGTCGTGAAGGCTTCGGACCCAAGGACTAAAACGTCCACGACGAAGGTCATCTTAATCGTAGGAACGTGAACTTGACAAATCGATACGGTTCCAAAGCGACATAGATCGTTGCCTTCAAGGTCGACGTAAATGAAAGGAGTATGAATGTTCTTACGGATGGATAAGTAAGAATCGTAAGCGGATGAAAGAGTTTGAAGGAGGAATTTAAGCGAAAGTATTGTATCGATGTATGTGTAAGGTGCTTTGATGGATGGTGTTGTCAAATGTGTGGGAGTCACGAGGGATGTTGGTTGTTGTGGTGGAGGAGGGGAGGAGGCTGGGAAGATGGAGCGTTATCAGTAGACATACTAGTAGTACTACTGGGAAAGAAGGATGATGTCGTAAGATTGGTTATTGGCGTTCCAGAAGGATGAGTTTGGGGCTGCTCCAAGTGGATGAAGTTCAGAGCGCCACTGGAAGGTTTAGTCGCCGTAGCCGTAGCCGTAGCCGGAGAAGAAGGATTCGGTGAGACTAGTACTGGTACAAATGTGTCTTTACACGCGACTACTAAACGCCAAGATATGATCCCAATCGATCGATTTGATGAATTCCAAAAGTCAAGTCAAGTCAAGTGATTCGATAGAATTTTTAAGCGCCCAAGGCCAGCCGGAGTTGAACAAAGCCAATGGATTAGTGACCAGAAGAAAGGGTTGGAGTTAATAATCCAGATAAGATGAGATAGAACAAATCACCTGAATCAAGATTCAGGGGCGTTGATAAAGTTGAATGAACCGGGTTCAACACTACTCTGGTTGGAGAGAGTTGTTGCCACATGATTCGTAAATAACCGGTTGGGAGCCGGGGGGCCATGCATTTTGACCAAACCAGGCAGTGAACGGTCATGGTTGAACGCCGGGTGAACCATGTGATTCGTCCAGGAAAGGGTTGGGGGGGCCCAAGTTTGAGAGAAAGAAATGGGAGGTGAAATTACGTAAGAAGTGGACCAAATAATGCCAAGTGATTTGGTAAAAACTTGAAACGTACAGTCGAGAGTTTGGACCCTGATGGTCCGAAAGAATATTGGTAGCCGAACAAATCGTAACATCGCCGTCTTCGGCTATTTTAGCGAATGGGGACGCCTGAAGTGAAGCCGTTGCTGTCGTCGGATGACGAGTGAGGTACTGGTACTGCCGTCGGCAGATCAACCGCCGTCAAGGCGGATGATCATGAGGGAGGGGAGGGAGGATCGTGGGACTAACGCAGACTGATAAAAAAAATCTCGAGCTCACACACAGTATGAAATCAGCTTTTTAGAGCGGCGATTCACGCGGGAGGGGGTTGGTGATATCAAACCCGATAGAGAGCTAGATAGAGAGCTTCACAGATATCGAAAAGCTCGCGATAAAACTGTTTTGCGCCTTCCCCTCCCAGCGACGACGAGCCGAACAAGAAAAAGCGTGTCGAGGCCGTTTTCCTGGCTTTCAACGTGGTGTTACGCACTTTGCGGTGAACGCACACAAGGTCGCTTGGCGACGCTTTGGGAAATTGAATGGCTGTGCTTGCAAGGCAACCTTGTGGAGGAGATCGGAAGCAAACCAAACGCAAAATGAATGAATTTGATTCGTGGAGATTCGCCTCACTCAGAGAGTACTGTCGTGCCGTGCCGTTGCCCCGTTCTTGGGACGCGCCTAACCCTTGCATCTACATGTGGCAGACCGACGGGCCCCCCGCCATTGGCCACACCACCGTAACACCGTAACCATTAGCAACCCCCACCTTGAGGGCAATGTATGTACATATTTGAATGCATGCCTAACGGCAAGCTAGCTAGATAGCCATAGATCAATTTGTGAACGGGTATCAGATTACAATGCACCCCCAAGTCGGAAGTCGTTCTCGTGAGCACCTAAAAAGGGGGGGGGGGAGGGCACGACGTTAATATCAGGAGTACTGGTTTGTCGTTTAATTCGGGGTTACTCCATCCTGGGATGCGATACAATCGGTGTTGAGATATGGGGACTTATCTTTCAAAATTCGAGATCAGGCTTAGGCAAAAAGCGGAATGGATCCAGGCTTAGTGGTTGGACCGTGTATGGTAAGGCGTGCATAGATTGTACGGGAGTGAACGGCGTTCTTACTCCTCTCGCAATCAATAATACTTGACAAAACAAGACATAACAGAATTAGAATTTGTATGAAACGGGTGCTAACCGCCTGCACGCGACGGGCCTCCTTTACTTGTCCCCCCCCCCCCGTTCAACCCATGCCGAATCAAGGCTTTTACACACACATTCCATCTAAGCATATACATAACACACTGCCCTATGCCCGAGCCCCTTAAGAACATTCCGACTCTTGCCCCGCAGCCACCACCACCACCACCCCTCTTCTCTCTTTTCTCTAAAATGCTCAACCCGCTATCACCACTACCACTACCAACTACACCCAACATGGATCTATCCCTCTTAGACTTCAAGGTCTGCAAGCAAATCATAACTTTACTCAGCATTCGATTCCTCTCACACCTCAAAACGACCTCCGTACCCCCCATCACCATCATCATCACCATCACCCACGTCGAAAAACCCGTCGACCTTCATCAGGTTCTCCTCCTCCTCCACCACCACCACTACTCCAAAGACGTTCGATGGTTGGGATTGGAAAAGAAGAATCGTCTACATTACCTGATTTAGCGCCTGCCACATTTGTAATGAATCGTGCGGACGTGAAGCGCTTGCTTCGACGGTTCCTTGAAGCTCACAAGGTCACTACTCCTCCCTCCCAAACTTTCAACCCTCAACACAGCCTTACTGATGTTTCTTATTACTCACAGGAATCTGCTCGTGAGACGGATGACTTGTCCGCAGACCAAGTCTTTTTCTCTCGGGGGGTCGGAGTCACTCGGATGAGATCCCGGGTTCGGCTTTCGATGCGAGTTCCGCACCAAGCGCTGATACCACAGGCATAAGCGACATGCAGCTTATAAGCAGCAGCAGCAGCAGCAGCAGCGTCGATGATGATACCAGTACCCGTGGTAGGTCGACCACACGCCGTAAACTCACTGCGATATCCGCGGCTTTCAACCCTGGCTGCGGAACTCGAAACACGTTTGACAAGTCTGGGCCCTCCATGTCTTATACCAGTACGACTAGCGTAGAATCTCTATCGACGCCAGCGAATGACCTACCTACCCCTCCTCGCTCTGACTATAATCCACTCCCTGCTGTGGAGTCTTCCAGCTCCAACATGAGTATTAATACGACAACGACATCCATCTCATCCCCCGATACCACCATGTCCCCCCCAGACACCACTAGCACAACAACACGTAAACCATCCTCCTCGACCACACGTAGTTTCGATCCCTCAACCTTTGAGCCTAGATCGGCACGTCGACCCTCTCAACACGCCTTGGGTCATTTCTCCCCACTTCGTCAAAGTTGGACATCAGACGATCTCCTACAAGACGATGACGAAACGTTCGTAGAGGAAGAATCATCATCATCTGAGAATGGACGGGGATCGACATCGAATTCGTCAGCAAGGAAGGTTTCGTTGCCCATTTCGATCTCGACCTCGGTATCGGTCTCGGTCTCGATGTCGATTTAGGCTCCGACGCTGACGATGAGCGTGAAAGTGAAGAAGGTGACGATGGACGTTCGTGGGTGATTTACGAAGATGGTGATGATGATGATGAAGATGAATTGGATGATGTGAAAGATTTGATAGAGTTTTTCCAGGCGAGAACGCGTGAGAGGTCGAGGAGGAATTCGTCGATTTCGATCGGTCCAGATGCGATTTTGGGATGGGCGTTGGCGCGGGCGCTAATGCGATGGTGGAGGTTACGACATGAAATTTTTCTCTCCCCCCTTTTTTTTTCCCCATTATCACCTCCTCTAATTTTTCTTTATTGAACTCGCCCCCGTGCAATATATTAGGATGGTGGAAGTCTGTTTTCTCTTTCTCTTTCTCTCTCTTCATGGTTTATTGGTTGAACTTTGGATCTACTACATTCCGGTGAGTAAAAAAATCGTTTCATCTTTAGTGTTAGCAGTTGGGCTAACGGATGGCAATACTCTCCCTAGTGTGTTATATCCTATGTGCGAGCTATATAAACAACGATGGGTTCGTTATGGTGGGGGTTGACGGGCGCGGGTTTCAGAGTTTTGGAAGAAAAGAACAAACAAACAACAGGTACGCCAATCTTTTCGATAACGTCATAGGGTCGTTCTTGTTCCTTTCATTAACGCAATCGCATTCCTTTGTAGGGACTCGAAACGTCATTGGTCAATCACAAATCCCTCCCTCGTTTCCCGGTGCTCCATGGGGGGCGGGGGCGCGTGACGCAATGACGATTGTGTCATTTCTGCGCAACGTCACCAGTTGGGTTGTGATGAACCACAGTCGTTCGTGTTGGTGGATGTCCCCTATAATCATGCCGGGCTCCTGTCGGAACAGTCATCTACAACTTCTCTGGTACTGTCAGCTTGTTGTCATCACCTGAACGGATAACTCGTTCAAACCGGGGTCGATTAAATCCCAACTGCTCGTTCTCGCCCCAACTAATTGCACCGTCTCCAGTTTCCGACATCGTGTCATCACATCATGTCATCATCCCGTCATCAGCATTTTTCCATCCGTTACCAGCTCGCCACCAGACACTAAGTTTGCTCGTGTCGCTTAGGATCTTGCATGCATGCATCATCTGACTGATCATCTTTTTTTTCTCTCAAAAAATCGCATTGCTTCAGCCGTATATTACGATCATCTCACTGGTCCCCTTCCCCCTCGTCCAACACATCTCACCCTTTTCCATCGTGATTAATCCATTGCTCCGAATCATCATTTTCGTATTTTTTTTTTGGTCAAAAATTTTTTGGTTTTTTTTTTTACCTTCATTCTATTATCACTGGCGCCCACTCCTATACGTCCAGCCACATCGCTCGTCCCTGCACCCCCTTCCTGTACTCTAATCACCCATTTTTTGTTTCCGTCGCGCGCGCGCTATTTACTTTTCAACATCCTCATTCCTCGCCATTGGTTGCGCTCCATTCCACCTCACACCCACTTTTTTACTCGTGTCCCCTCGACCCCATTCTTTCATGGTGCAATTTTGTATCATTTCTTTCTTTCGTCCTTTCCTTTTTCTTTGGTCATTGCTTTTACCGCTTACGACCTTACGCCCTTACGCGCACACGTACGTACTTTCCGAAACGAAACAAAAAACAAAGAACAAAAAGCAAATGAAAAGTTAAATTTTGATTCAGTCAGTCAGGATGGATTATGGATTATCCATGCAGCTAGTTGAAGTTCGGTTGCGCTTGCGACGTAACGAACCATGCATGCATGCCACCTGCCGCCTAGTTATGTGCGCGCGTGCGTGCGTGCGTGGTACGTTTCAAGTGTTCAAACGGCCATGAAACGGTTCGTACCGTATCGATGAATGCACGACTTTGAGCAGAAGGGAAAATACATATATATACTGAACCGCATGCCATGGTGACGGCCGGTGCATGCCACATGGACCTAAGCTTAAAAAATGCACTTCCTGAACTACGTCCGCTTCTACGTACTACATGCATGCAACGCTCACCGAGCTCTTCGCCAGGTTCTTTATCCAGCCCATTATTTGAATGGGGGTTGGCCGGCCGGTTGTTGCATGTCTCTCTCTCTCTCTCTCGTTTGTCTTTTATATCTCGCGGTTATGAAATTGCATGCATGCATGGGCGCCGAAAGTTGAATTTTAGGATATCATTGCATGCACTTGCGCGCGCGCGCACACACACTTTGAGAGAAATATATGACTTTTCGGATGAGTTTGAAGTAACTGTATATACTGCCGCGCGCGGTTACGCAAGTAGTTTTTGTTGATGATAAGGCTGAGCCGTGTATGAGTGCCATTCACAAGAAGGGGAGGGGGGGGAGGGGAGGGGTACTCCACGTATGATTTCAATCATGATGTTCTTACAAGCTTGGAGATGGACCATTCTAGCGCACTTGACGGGACCTTTGAAAATAAATGAAAACATTTTTTTCTGGAAGACACCATCGGACAGCTTGCGATCCGGGAATCAGGACGACCGGTTTAGCGGCCGTGAACTTGTACCACTCCAGTACGCAAGAAGAGGCCGAGACTTTGAAACTCCATATATCTGGTCCCATTGCCCAGTTACCCTTCCCCTCTCCTCAGTCTCACACTGTAATCAGCAGGGGTCGAATGCTCTCAAACGGCCAATGAGTCGCCCGATCAAGAACACGTACGTGGCAGTCAGAAGTGGCACTAGTTGGGGCGAAGGAAAAGCTAGGAGATTCCTTGGGACATGCCAGGTGAAAGGGCCGCGAGTGAAGTGATCGGCTGCATAAATACAGCACCCGGTGCTGTGCTGAGCCTCCTTTTATTCACTGGAATCTGTAACGAGGCCATGCTGTTGCCCAAATCCTGCTGCCCTATCGCGTGGTTTTGGCAATCAGCGCCCCGGCCCTCGAACGGTGAATGAAAGCAAGATAATTTTCCCAGTTCGGGCCGAAGTTCCTAGTACTTGGCAAAACTCATAAGCCTTTGAGTTGCAAAGCGATGCGCAGCGACAGAGGGACAATCAACCAAATGCTAGTGGAGATGAATCTATGGGATTCCGTAATTTGGTACATACACGCACGTCGCTGATTGGGCAGGTGATCAGACCGTATTATTGTCCCAATTTTCCAGTGGGGTATCAACGCGCATGCAAACTTTTCCAGGGAAATGGTATACCGTCAGATACATCAAGTTAAATCATATAAGGATGTTGGGGTTCAAGGGCCATACTGACCACATCTTCCGGTCCTCACGCTATGTATGAACCTTGGCAAAGTCAAATAGCACGAAGATGAGTCATGGTGTTGTCAGTTGTGCAGCGCGGGGTCCTGTCATCGCATCGTTCCTCTGTTCCTGTTTGTCCTCTTCCCGCAGTTTTCATCCACATTTCCGCTGAACCTGTTACCGCATTATACACAAAGACCTGATTATTGTCATGTATAAGAAAATGCCATGTTATGGCAATGGATTTTCCTTGACAGGCACACGTGGAATAGCAAGTTCATGCCTGATGGAACTGTAGGTAGTGGCGTGACAGCTGTTTTGCATCCGAGCAGAGTTGACACGAGATGGCACTTGATTATGTAAGCGGGCCTTTCCCTTTCGACTGACAATCGTTGCTGGTGTGGAACTCCACTACATTGCTAGTTTTGGTTCGCTGGGTTGCTTACAGTGATTCCAGGCCTCTTCTCACCTGTTTGCCGAACGCGAACAGCACTGGGGCAATATTAACCAGAGACTTAGCTGCTATGGTACAATCGGCTCAAAATGTGAGGTCCCCCAGTATCGTTACTTCGGGCCTGGGAATGTACCTGACATGCTCCGTTGCATTGCGTAGAGCTCGGTGGTGAAAGAACTTCCCCCGGCACGAGAGATGGAAAGGTACGTGGCATTCTTGCCATTCCGCTCCCGCGAAAAATCGTGTTCTCCGTTGCGCGGCGTTGGCTGAATGCTGATGTTGGAGGCGCAAACCGACTCCAACCTTCAAAACCCAACCCCAACCTTCAAATCTGAAATGCAATTCTAACAATCTTTTCCCTTTCATATGTCTGCAGGAGATTGCGAGTTTTGGATGAAGATCTCACGCCATTGTTGAATGCGCTCATCAATTCTCAGCGAAGTAGGTTTGGTCTGAACATCAAACTTTTCGTTCTTTCTGCTCAAGATATCCTTCCTATGTTAGTGGGAGAATCAACTCCGCTTTCTGCCTTCATGGTTCTCGATGAGGATCAGTATGGACAAAGTGGTCCAGGCGGACCCCTTGCACAGAATGATCCCCAATCGCTGGCAAGTGTCGAATATCATGCAAGTGCCGTTGAGGTGGCTCCGTGCATGATCCCCCTCGCATCTGTGTTACTAGCCAGAGATGCAGTCAAGGGAGCCTTGCATGGTCCCTCTGACCCGCCCATTGAACCAGGGGTTGACAAGAGGACCCCGTCATTAATACCTCAACGTTCCGAGGAGGAATTCCTTAAAAATGGCACTGCATACCCGATCGATGCGGCAAACAAACACAAGAAAAGACAAAGAGAGGATGAAAATCATCATCCTGAGTCACCCTGCGATAAACGTAAGTTTGGCTCTGCGCATAATTTCCTCAAATGCTGTATGCTTATCAGGTCTCTCTTGCCCAGCCTCGAAAAAGAGCAGATCCCGACGAGTGAGGATCTGTGTATCTCGTAGTGCTCAGCTACTGACGAGTACGGAATACAGGCATTGTTCCCGGATCTGTCCTTGGATGGGAGTTATTTGAGAGTTGACGGAGGTGATGAGGTGGGATCGATTGAAATAATGATAAGTTTATCTGCTAACGTTCATTCGCTCCAGTACGTCACGAATGAGAATCATGGCTTGGATTTACCATCATCGGTTTCACATGATCGGTGTCTCTTTCCTTCCAGTCATGATCAGGCCAACTGCGCTGAGTGGGAGGTCTCAACACCTGAGATCCCGATCAAGGTGCTGGGGAACGAGGATCAACGTGAGGTGGATCCCCCGGCCCCAGAGCCGCTCACTCCTTTTATGCAAGCGGCATCTCAGCAGAAGGATTGCACACACGGGCTCCGTAGTCAACAACCTGAAGACCTGAATCACAGGCTCTCCCGTGGGCTTGATCTTGATATCGCGATACATGGACCAGACATCACCAGCCTGAGGGATGTGCCTCGGACAGAAAGCAGTGGGTTTCCGCATGGTGGTACCGATCCAGTGGCATGTGACCCCCGAGAACTCCTCTTGGATTATCTCTCGTCCGATTCAGCCGAAGATCCTCAGAGGGAAACTGGTGACTGCAGATTTCAAGACCTTGAGTCCCAAGTCCATCAAGACAGTGCTCAGCATGTCCAATTTACTACCGCCCGACATAGCAGAACGATAATCCACGCTGATCCTGCAACCCATCACGTTGGCGCTGAGCGATTCTCTCAAAATGTATCTGTGAATGATCAAGGACGTACCATACCTTCGAAGGACTTATTGCCGAAAGTATACAGAAGCGTAGGTATCCAAGTTGGCACCGTCACCCAGCCCCTCGTTCGAAGACGTTCCTCTTCGGCCCCTAGCCGCCTAGTCTCGCACCCTCTCTCGCTCCATGAAATCCACAAGTTCACATCCAAGGCAGAGTTGTCCCAAAGTCAAACGGAAACTTTCTCTGGTGGGACGTAACTTTTCCAGTTCAGCTGTGCGTTATCGGACTCGACGCGGCGGCGCCTGCTGTCCTATTCATGTTCCTGGCTTCGATAGCGTCCTAGGTTTTGTACTTGTCATATGGATTGGGATACTGGTAATCTGCTCCCCGCCACATTTTCATTTGGGCCGTTACATCTGTACGTACAAAGACATGACCTGAATTAGCTCGTATATGATGGAACTTTGTCCGATGTCACACCTATCGCTCCGCCGTGAAGTTTACATCCAATTAAGAACTCACTCATCAAACTTGATAATCCATGCATCTTTCAGTAAGCCGCGAGTGTGACACTTCACTCTAAGGCTCGAAGTTTCGAAGTTTCGTGTTTCGTGGGACCACGATTGCTCACGATCCACCGCCTATGTTCTTTCTAGCCCATCGTGTTTTCAAAAGGCCACTCGGAATGTTGTTATCGTCGCTTCTGTATAGCACAAGGCTTGATTGTGGAATATGACAAAGCCTCGGTTGCCTAACCCATGCTGCGCATCTGCCTGTATGCGATAAGTGTTGTCTTCACAGCAGCGTTTTGAATGAGGGTTCATCAATTCTCATCCGGTGCCACTGAAAGAGGGACGGTAGTACTCTCCTCTCAGGAGTATGCGACGCATTTGCGTGATCGACATATTCTATACAACACAGATTATGGGGTCAGCTCCGCCCCAGTTCTTTACCTGCATGTGAAGCATGGTTTTAGTGAGATGCGCGAAAATCGAGTCAGTGGGTGCGAATCATGCAGAGTACAACCTTGCCTATTGCACGCCGTTTAGTCAAAACCTAAATAACTACCTAATGTATACATTATCGTTCAGGACATAAGAATATAGCAGATAATTCATGATATGGTGGAGCCTAGTCCGGAATATGAAAATGAAAAATGAAGAACGGTAACGTCCATTGGAGCTGAGATACTAGCACAAAACACAAGGAACTATGGGCAGAAGCAGGATCGAGGGGCGAGAATGGGAAAAGTCGCGGGCTGATTGGATGTTTAGATGCCTTCGTGACAGAAAACGTCGCGAGAATATTTCTCGTCCGTTTGACCCTCTTGCGTCTGAAGAATTTCTTTCACCTGGAGCAGTAGTGAGTAGGCAATAAGTTAGCGGGGCGTCTCAGCGCGGAACAACGGGAAGTGTGCAGGAGTAGCGTACCTCTGGTGGAGGATTCAATCCAAGTGACTGAGCACGTTCCCAACGTTCTAAACGAGTGACCCCCACGCAGGGCCCATACTCGTAGGACAAGTCAAACATGCGGAGAATTTCGTGAACTCTGTTCTCCCCTTCAATATGAACTACAAACAGGTAGGCGGAAGACACAGTTATGCAATGCGTGATGGAAGAGGATGTAAATGATCTTACTAGGGGATTGACCCATTCCGAATCTAGGTTTGATAGATTTGTGGTATTTGTCGTAGCGCTTGACATCCAGCTTGGAGCCTGGAGGGAGCGGAGTGTATTCAGATTCTTCGCCCGATGACGAGGTTCCATCGGAGATGGAACTATGGGCACGAGGAACATTGTCAGAAAGTCATGAAAACCCAAAGACATGGGTGCTGCATATCAGTTACTGACTGTGTGACGGGTGATGGCTGATGGTTCTTCTTTGAGACTACCTTCGTCGCTGCTTTCTTTCCAGAAGACGTGCGAGCATTCTTAACAGTCTGGAAGCTGTTCGAGATTTTGCGCTGCTTGGGCGAACGAGTGGCAGGCATAATCGGTGTTTGACTCGAAGGAGAAGGAGTTTCGATTAAGCTGAGAAACAGGAACAAATGTATTACTTATGTAAGCGACTGTTTATATTTGGGTCTCGCGCCAACTCCCTGGACTGCGCATTGGCGTGGGCTCGAGCGAGAGAGACATTTCAGCTTGAGCTGAACCTGCATGCCGGTTCTCTCAGAAGTTGGTGGCACCCGTAACCCAGGACATCGCGCATTTGCGATTTGGCACACCCTCGATTCGCCTGGATTCTTTGCGTAAGATCACAACCGATTCGTGGCGCTGCTTTTTTTTTTTAGTGTGGGATTTCGTGAAGTTATTTTTGGAGCACCCATCCTCTTCGTTCGGGGGTCAAATGGAATCTTCGCTTGGACGATTGGTACGCAAATATAGGGGGGGTGAGTCTACAACTTGAATATATGCGGTTTTCTCATCGTTATTTTCTCAAGACGATCGTAGAAGGACGAAGGGCCGTAACAGCTTCGAGTATGTAGAGACACCAAACAGTGTCTTTGAAGGCACGGGGGAGTTCAAAGATTGATTATCTGATTGCTGACAGCCAAATTCTAACAGAGAAACAAACTGATAGCAAGAGAGACGATTTTTATGGTTCTCAAAAATTAACTCCTGGTGGTGGGAGCCAATCCGTTGGACAGCGTAACCGTGGCCCTGATGCTCAAGGAGGCGGATCTCCAGGGTTACCAGCATCGTCCATCCTTATTCTTGACATGGTTGCAATCCCCCGTGGGACTGCGTTACCTCCCGCAGACAACCCCAATCTTTCTTGTGGCGATGGCAGTTATGACATTAGACCCGCATCTGCTCTCTCGGTGTCCCCACGAGCACGGCTTAAAGCGAAGAAAAGGCCAAGAAGTGATGATGGGTTGTCGTTTCCACTTGGCACGGGGTTGATTGCGGGAGATGGTGTGCACTATTTCCGTATTCTTTTGTTAGCCTCGAGGCCCACCTTTCTTTTAGGTACAGAAAAATTAAAGGCTCGAAAGCTCACCAAACTTGGAAGCCGAAGTGACACCACCCCGGGGGTAGATATCAGCGCATCGCCGTCAAGGGATGTTGTCGAAGCAATGAATGACCAAGTGATAGACGCAGGCGCGAGAGCTTGTGACCCAAGAGAAACGGAGAGCCCGTGTGCTACTATTCCGAAGTTAGAGCGGTTATCCACGGGCCCAATGCAACCCCAGGTAAAGAGGGAGCTGCACAAACCCCCTTCGCCACTTACGGATCTTCTGAATCCACAGCCTTCCCAGAAACAGTCCACCCCAGACTCCTGTACGTGCTCGTTACCCTCACGATTGGGAGTTACTTATTTTTGTATTCTAGCAGTCGCCACGCGGGCATCAGCGCATGCACCTTCCTCAATACTGAGTCTCACCCCTCTCCGTTTGAGACCTCTCAAAGTTATCGTAGGCCCAAATCCTGGTTGTGACTTGACTGATGAACAGAATGCTCGCACAACTTTTGGAAAGTCTTCGGAGGCGAAGACCCTCCATTCTGTGGATAACACTGCATCGACTTCCTCGCGGCCGCCGCGCATTCCAATACCCCTAACGCCGCTTCAGCCGCTACCCATTATAGTGTTACCCAATAACGATAACACTAGTTCGGAGTTGTCTGAGTCGAAGAAAGGAAAGAAAGGAAAAGATGTGGGAGGAGAGTGGGGGCCATTTCCTGCGCCAGTAAGTTCATGCGCTCCAACAAGGTCTATCTGAGTCCAACCCTGAAGCTGGGTATCAAGGTCGACGAGGACATAACTGTTGAGGATTTTAACCCTGAAGGCGAACTTCAAATCCGTGGTGATGCTGACTTGTGTTCTCCCGAGGACACCATTGTTATGCCAACTGCCACGTTCGCTGATGAAATTCGTGCGATGTCTGCAGACACCGTGGAGACGCCTCCGTGCATGTTTTTCAGTCATGTGGCAGGACGTGTGAAGGAGGATGCAGCGGAACCATCGAGTTGTTTGGGAGCCGTTCAGAATGGCCCATCGAGCCCACCGCCTATCCAGCCGCCGTGCTCCTCCGAATTTGTCACAGCGCTCGAATGTAACGGAACAATGGCTTCCCCTAGCCCGACGGGAGACTCCAACATTCAGTTTCTATCTGACGAACGGGAACAATCTTCTCGCAATCGTATTGCTTCCTCCCCCGCGGAGCCCAGGCCCCATCCTCTTATTTCCTCCACGGACCCGGAGGGTTATACGGAAGCAGATTCACCTGACAATCAACAATCGTCCTCATTGAAACTATCAAGTTCTTTATCGATTGTTTCACCATCGCAACAATTAACTTCATCTGAATCGCCCCCCCAAGGCCTTTTTTTCTTACATTGGCTTTCGGCTGAGAAATGTGGCAATGGAGCATCTGCTGCCGCAGCACTCATCCGTGATCTTAGATCCCAGGTTGTGAACTGTCAAGCAGAAATCAATAGGCTGAAGACCATCGTATCCCTGCAAATGAATTCGACTTCATGTAAGTATTTTAAGGTGTTGCAGCATGTGAACTGAAACTTCGGCAGGCGACCATGGAACTTCGGTCCCATCTTTGGAAGGCAGAAATACGACAACAGGGCGCAATCGATTGCATCCAAATGTCGGCCAAACGGTTCGACAAATCGCCAGTCACAAGAAATACCGAGCTCCGAGAAGATCCAATTCCACCCTGTCAGCATCCCCTATTCCCGTTGCGCTTTCGAACAAGGATGTAATTGCAATGATATCTCCACACATTGACAGTCACAACAGCACCACGCAACCAGTACCGAAGGGCACCGCTTCCACCCTCGAGTTTCGTTCAGCAATGACCCATTCGTCCTCGATGAGCTCCCAATCCGCTCTGGAGCAATCACATGCGACCAAAATTAATAAATCTCCCGAGTCCTTCAGCCATTTGGCCACTGCATCTCACAGCAGCATCAGTTGCGCCGAGACGGACACACCCGAACAGATTTTCGGACGTCGTGCCATGGTTCCTGGCTTTCTCGACGCCCTGCGCTGGTTGGAAGAAGAGGCTGATAAGTTTTCGGAGAGGTTCCCCGCTGGCAACAGTTGCTCCCATGGTAGAGAGGTTTGAAGACAGCCCCAGACATGGTTACATTTTGCTTGTTTATGGTCTGCCCCTCATTCCCACCCTGAAGTATGATATTCCAAGTACGTTACCTGTATACTATCAATATTCGTTCTCTTCGACCATATCACAATTCCGAATCAACCCTCAGGAGCCCTTTCCACCTTCACCGAGTAGTTTCGCCCTGGGGCGCACAAGCCAGGGGATCGCGTACGAGTCCCGAACTTGCTTGAGTTCCACTCACTGTGTACATTCAAGACCACATTTATTTCACTGCCACTCCATGGCAAAATGGCCTCAATGAATGTCTTCTGATACGTTGGATGAAGGCTTGGAAAACGCCGCATGCTGTCCGATCTGCGAAGTCAAGCAGAATGTTACGATCTGCGGTGTTGGGGTTCTTTTATTTTTATTTACATTGCCAAGCTTTCTCTCCAAACCCGCGCTGGAGTTCACCGTGGTCAGACTTGTCAACTAACCTTCAAATCTACCAACCATCCAACCATGCTCATTGCCTAGCACATATGTGCTTCAATGAATGTTTCTCGCTTCGCCCATGGTTGACAGAACTAGCGGATATTGATCGCAGCATTAATGTTCGCATTATAGCATCCCATCAATCTCATGATGCAATACCCAATAAGCCCGCACGAATATGGCTTTGAGGTGTATATCCCCAACAGCGGGAACCAGGGACTCGGCCGATCATATTGACCTGAGGAGCATCTTGCCCAAGAATTCCCTCATGCGCGCCTACTTCAGACCACCATTAAGATCCAGAATCGTTGGGTCCGCTTAGCCAGTCCCTCAAGTTGAGTTCGTACCACAGTCTGCCTACGATAAAGCGGACACCGAGTCGTCCGCTCGCGATTTGATGTGCAGCTCAACTTCAGGTATGGACAGAACCGAGCTGCTGCCACCCGGGTCCATGAAGGTGGTGTAGCATCTCCCTATGGAGGTTTAGGCGAAATTGGAGCAAGTATTCTAATGATCGTAGGGTGCGGGCTTGAAGGAAGCACAAGGAATCCTAGCTCCCTGAGGAGTCCAGCCCATGCACAGAAAGGAGTATAGATGACCCGTGCTCCTCACCACTTGTGATCAAGCGGTCTGATGATAGCCCGACTCTCGGCGAATATGTTGGTGGGCACAGGGAAATGATCCCGACTCCCCTGACCGAGCTCACCATCATTGGGACTTCTATGTGATAGGTTCGGTTGTCCTAATGGTGGTTCCCCCGTCGGAGATCTTCCACTTCTCGATCAAGTTCTCTTACGTGCGTGCGGCCCATGGGAAACATAGACAGTGGCACTAGTATTCTTGAGACGGATAATAAAGACTCGGCTGCGGAAAATCGTGGGGCCAGGGCGCGCCTTCGGAAAAAGCATGCAATCAAAACTTGGGTGTATCTCTCCACACACTACGGGATTGAAGGGACTGGGCATGCCGACGGTCAGTCTCTGATTTCACACCGAGCGTAAACCCTGGGGGACACGAGATGGCCCGAACCCGTGTGTATGAGAAAAGATGAACCAATGCAAAAGTAGCCAGGGGGTAGCGCGCTGGGCATTCTGAGAGAGGTCTGTCCAGCATCTAGGCTCAATTGCGCGGGTCCATGGGATATCGTGGCTCCCGTCGGAAGAAAATGTTGAACTCTCATCGCCGATTGCTCACCCAAGATGGCAAATAGAGTCTTAGATGGACCAGAGTCGAGTGGACCCTCTCATATTATGAGGTGCAGACTGCGCATAGATATGTGATCAAGCTCTGTTCTGCAGGATTATTAGAAACGCGAGCATCCAACCCAAACCCAACCGCATCATTAATGTTGCGAGCAAGTCTGTAGCCTCCGCACGTGCATGAAGACAATAATGCTAGCTAAACGTGCTGCTTTCGTCGAAGATGGAAAATTGTTCGGGACAACGCAACTACTATTTTGCCTCTCCCCTCACAGCGAAACGGGATTCTAGGTGTGGGATTGGAACGCCATTATAGCCGAGGTTTATACTGACAGGCTTGCTCATCTATTAATCCTCAATCCCGCGTGAAGTTCTGCGCATTGGGGAGTGGTTATTGATCAATACTTAGTGCTGGGTTTTGTCCTTGCCTCATGCATCCAGAATGATCTCAACAATGTTGCGAGGCTTCGAGAAACAAGGGTGTGTTTGTCTGTGGTCGTGAAAGGGCCGGGCGGGCCCGAACAGCCTCGTTTCCCAACTTCATCTGTACAATGATATCCGGCGGAACAAGGCATACAGACACTTAGAAGGCATATGTGGAAAACCGCGCATGTTGGCGAGACGCTGATGATGCAACTGATGGCGGCCTGAGGGGCGGTACAAGAAACAATAGAGATGCAATGCTGATTGTTTGATATTGATGAGGTGGGTCGATTGAGCGGTGGTCCAGAACTTGGGAGATTCACTAAAGTCTCCATGGGGTCAAACCTGACTCAAATACCGGTTTTATAGACTGAAACGGAGGTGGGGAGAAAGGCTGAAGGGAATCCTGAGAGGAAAGGCGGATTAACGGTTGAAGCTGGGCACTGCTGCACTTGGGCCCATGTCAGGCATGAACCTTTACGGCTGGGGCTGTCCTTTGGATGTGATCATGATCGAACATCGCTTGTTTATCGCTTCGTGGCCATCTGATGAGCTGTGAGCGTGATCAGAACTTGGATCACGTGCGTGAGCGAGTTATTGTGTCTATACATTTAATTCGGCCCGCGGAAGGCCTGGAATTTTGCAAATAGGCACAATTAATGCTGATATCAAAAATAATGTTCACCAGATATTTGCATCCGACGCTGGATTTCTTGTCCATGCCTCGACCTCCCTCGACTCTGTCACTGCCTTTCATTTCATTGCCATTCGTTTCTGCTCTCTCCCTCTCTCCCCAAGTCACTCTTTTAGCTATCTCTGCTTGACGTGTTGTCCTTGGCCAAACCTTGAACCCCCAATATGGTCTTCACCCCACCTCCCTCTCCTCTTCCCCCGCGGCACTTCATTCCAGGCGGGCAGGAAGACGAGAACGAGAGGATACGCAAGGACACTTTCGCATCGTTAGCGGCACCAAAGCTATTAAAAAGCCCTCACTCCAGACGCGCCCTTGTTATTCTTGTCCCACTTCTCATGATTCTCATCACTTCCTCCTCCGAAATGATCTCATATTTGCGTCCTACGCCCGTAGTGTATTCGGGTAACTTCCGTGACGCTCCCTCGCCATACGTATCGTCTAGTCTAGATGTCCCGCTTTCTCTCACCCAGCGACTTACTATGCGACGACATCGCGCCGCTGCATCTTCTGAACCGCGCCAGATGCTGGGAGAAACTTCAGATGTCGGAAGCCGCGATTCATTAGATGCGAGAGATCCAGAACCCCCACTAGAAGAGGAACTGGAGGAACATGCTTCTCCAACTAGATCCTTTGCGGAAAATGGTGTCCGGTTTGGAGGGTCCACAACAGCACCACCGGTAGATCCTAACGCTCCTATCCCGACCCCGTGTAGGTGGATAATAATTCTGCGTCATACTTCGTACTGACCCGATTGACGCGCTACTTCTCGACTTCGTTTGATCCTATCTCTAACTTGAACACAATTCCTCCTTGAAAACCATCACCCGATGAAATATGTATACCAGTCCCTCAACCATGGGATTCTTCCCTTTCTTACAATTTTTCATCCACCTCGTGTCTCTCTTTCTTCACCGCTCAACTCGCAAATATCACTTTCCGCCAGTGCCGCTCCTTCGGACTTCTCCTTGGATATTCAGAGGACTTTTTCAATATAGAAACCAACCTCACCCTCCTCACGGCTACGTTGTACGGGACGTGCAATACAGTACCAAGTCCTGAGGAATGTGTTCAAGTGGAAAATTGGATGAGTGCAAATATGGATGACCCGGCGGTGTGCGCGAAGGACAAAGATAACGAGAACTCCATCGTGCTGGAGGCTAAAGGTGGATTCGATCAATACTTGATGATGAGAGAAGTTGGATGTTTGGTCAACAATCAAACAAATGCGTATTGTACGTCCCCTTGGCTAAGTTTTCTAGCTACCCCCCCTGGACATCTGTTTCACCATAGGTTTTGCCGAAGCAGTGGCAAATTCGTCTCCTTCCGATGCCTACTACTATAATATACCCCTTGGTTTACCTTTGCCCCCAACGACAGTACCTTCATGCAATACTTGCACCCGGGAAGTCATGAAGATCTACGCACGGTATGCGGAAAATTCGATGTACGACGTCAGCAAAACGTACAGTAGCGCGGCAAACTTTAGCAATACGAAGTGCGGACGAGGCTATGTGCCTCAAGTTGACACACCGCTGATGACGCACAAGTCGGGCACGAATAGAAGAGCGAATGGAACAGGGGGCTATGGATCGCCTTTTTCGTCTCATTTCATGTGTTCGCGGGAAGCTCGATATTGTCGATCTTCTCATAAAACGGCAGCCGGGATTTGCGCCTTCATGTCACTCTATCTGTTCCCTCTCCCGTTCCCGCTCCGTCAATGACTCTACACATGCCCATTTACTGCTTCATATCCCCCTTTATCCTTTACTATTTGGTTGATCAACGAACAACCAAAAAAATTCATCACGAGTTCAGCATTGACGATCGGGAAGCCTGCCGGAGAGATAATTCCCCAATTTCTGCTTATGCTTCGCTATTTTTGGGTGATCAAGGACGGTTTCCATCTTACAAGCTTCGAGTCAAAACGATACATTATCCTCCCAACTACTTGCTCATTTTCCCACTCCGTCTCTGACACAATGTCAAAATCCCACGCCCCCCATGCTTCCTCCCCTGTTTTTTTGAATACTTGTTCCTTTTTTCTCTGATTGTGGTATAGTCAGTTCGGGCATCGGTTACTCCTTCTCTTCCCCCTCTATACCCTCTACAGCATGCGATGCGTACAGCATGCGATGCGTACAGGCAAGGCACTTGCAGCTTCTGAAGATTGTATGCGGTTTAGGGACGGTGCATGTCTGCCCAGGGACCTTGCCTCCCCTCGCCCATTGCACCCCGCACAAGAATCCCCTTCTTTGTTCTTGGAGTCAACCCTTCATTTTGCTTTCACATTTTTACGGGATGGCGGCTGGATTCAATCTCGCTGCCACACTTTCTATTTACTTTTTTCTTTTTTATCCAAGCGGCCCATTTCCACGACCCCCAAATAATTTCGACCTTTTCAGTCAATTCAACCTTGCTTGCTTGCCTGTACTTTATACTTACTACTAACCCTTTCATGGGCTTGATCGTCAATCTAGAAATTGGGTGACCCTCCGACGGAGCTTATCGCCACCTTGTTCTGTCGCAACACAGCCGTCATGCACACTGGAGAGAAGTATCAATGCGGATTGGCGGACGTTTTTTCGACACGGTGCAGAAAAAATTTGAAAAGAGAAAAAATCAATCAGGTTGACAAATGTGGTGTCGACAATGCCTGGAACATCCACCAAGCTATGTGTGGAAGAATCCACGCAGGAAATTTCAATCAATCTAGAGGACATCAGCACGACCCAGGTTAACTGCGAAACGGGCAGATGAATCGAAAGAAAGAACATAAGAGTACAAAGTTAAATCTGAAGGCGGGGGGTATGGGTGAGGGAGTGAAGAGTGGCAGGGGCTAATTACCGAAGCTGGGTGCAGGGGGTGCTGTACATAGATCAGTGGGGAATACAGGGGGGTTCGTCGCCATCGTTGGATATTAATCCGATGCTCAGAGAGAAGAAGGGGAAGAAATTAGTAGGTTGGAGGTTCAAAAGCCAGCATTGAAGGTTCATCATCTTTATCTTTCAACTCTTTGGCGGCGCGCTTCCGAATGACTTATTGATGCTCCTCCGTATTTTTATTCGTTTTCCGAACTTCGGAATATGTAGGTGGCAGTTCAACAATCTGCTCTTGGACAGGAGGTGGAGGTTCCGTTGCGTCAAGAGCCCCTGCATCGGTGTGCTGGACAATGTTAACAGCACGCATCGAGCTAGGAGGGTGCGCCTTGCTATCTTTAGTTCTTGGCCTGGAACCACCGCCGTTACTATTCGTAACGGGGTCAGACACTTGGGTCATCTGCGCCATCGACTGTTGCGACTGCCTTCTGCTCATATCTCGGGGTGGCGCAGCACCGAGCGGTAAGGCTGCATTTGATGAGGTAGTCGTCGAAACCCTTCGACCATTTGAAAAGTCGAAATCTGTTGATGGGCGACCTGTGGAGGGGTCTGGAACGTTGAAAGGTTCGGATTGATAGAATCCTGGTTCTATCATGGGAGGTTGAGAATCGTTTCCGTTTGGTTCTTCACCGTACATGAGGTCTACTCGGCTTGGTTCGGGTTCTTGGGCGCCGCGACGACGGCAGAATAATATAAGAGCGGCGATGAGAGCAAGGCCCACAAGACCGCCTATGACGCCGCCGACTATGCCTCCGGTATTATTTGATTTCTTGCCACTTTATTGTACAAAGACGGAAATGAGGAAACATCAATCAAAAACATTTGATTTTTCGACAAAATGGGATGACACACTTACCCGGTACTTGGGCCCGCAGACTGTGATGCGCTCGTAGTCGCTGGCACGCCGCCTCCGGTCGTCGCGGACGATGACGGCGTGGCGGTAATCCCCCCAGCAGGAGAGCCTGCTGTGCTACTCGGGCTCAGATCATTTATACACGAATTCGGACCATCGCCGATTTGCAAGAATGTCGTGCTACCTCCCGTACCCGGGCCTCTAGAATCGCCTGCGATCAATTCCACAGTTGTCCCTGCGCGTGCGTTCACCGTCCAGTTGAAAAAGCTGTTATCGTTTGGCGCGTCGAGCCTGAAAGTTTCCCCTCCCGGGATGATGCCAATGATACTAACATGACCTTGACTATTGTTGTCCCATGAAAACCGTACGTTCTGGCATTGGGTGAGATTTAATGTTGGCTCAATGAAGAAGTAGAAGGCGGGGCGGTTGTTACTGTCAGGCACGATGCGTCATCGTTTGCCGCTACCTATTGCATAGTGAAGCAAGCATTGAGTGATCGGTCAAGTTGGGCGTGTTGGCAACGAGGAAATAGAGCCACGAATTGGGGTTGCTTACAGTAACCGGGACACCCGTCCCACCGCTAGCAAATGTGGTCGAGTCGCTCACAACGGCTAGAAACTGTGATTTGGCTGGATATTTGAGCTCGAAAGTGAGAGTGTTGCTGGATGTATTCAAGGCTAATATCCGTCGCGTCTCTGGGACGACATTCCCGACTGGGATGACCAGCAGCTGGTACGGTGGCTAGAACCCACACCGTCATCTCTCGCTGTACGATCATTGACGGGTGAAAGAGTTTACTCACAACGCCACCGTTGACAGTAAGTGTCATATTTGCACACTGAATGGGTGTGCTCAGACTCCATGTGAACGAGGCCGCCGCCCGGACAAAGCTCAGTAAGAAGGCAGCATTATAAAGTAGCATAAGGTAGAAAAGGGTTGGTATTCGCAGCGTTGAACGAAGGGACATAGCGACGAAGAGCGACGGAGGAACAAGAGATCTAAAAGTTAATAACGCAACCAGTGCACTTAATTTAGTGGCATGTAAGCACGTGATGGGTCACTGTCTATTAATACGTCAAAGAACTTAGTTAAGTTTTATGAAACTAGTCATTGATCAGTCCGTTGGCAAGAAGGCCGAGTAAGAACCCCTAAGTACAGATAAGGAGTGCAAAATGTTTATGGTAGCTGGCACAATACGTAACTTTCGATAAACAAAGCGAGAAATGGAAACAGGTGCAATCAGCACGATATCAGCCAGTACACAGACTTACACGAATTTGGGATCATGGATGAACTTGAATCAAAGCACAAATAGAGATATGGATTTTCCGAATGGTGTCAGCATGAGAAGAGAACTGGACGGGTGGCTTAATTCTCTATGCCTGCGGGCACTGCTGCGGAAGGTCCTAACGGATGTTCCACTCCGGTGCTAGGAACGGCTTCATTCCGTGACGACCGTAAAAAACCGGGTGCCGCTGCGCTCAGCATTCCGCTCAAACCTGGCTTAACTTCTAAATCTGCAGGAAATGGTGACACGAGTGGCTGAGATTGAATCGAGAATGAAGACTTGACAGGGGCTGTAGCGATCCTGAGAAGTGAAGTATATGCTAGGGAGGAACGGGATGGTTAATTAAGCAATGGCACCCAAAGTACAAGACTCACGTTGTCGGCAAATAGGACAATACCATCCTTTGGGTCTCCTCCTCCTCCTTGGACGTGGCGTGGGTGGGGGTACAATTGCAGTGTTCGGAACGCCAGCCTCTCCCCCTTCTGCGACCACTCCATCTCCAATCACTGGACCCCCATCCTCACCCGTGGCATCAGTTGGCTGGGCAATTTGTCCCCCCGCACCATACTCAACCATGTTCAGCGCACATTCTTTGCATGCGACAAGATGTCTGCACGGAAGAAGGACAACTTCGCGAGGCGAGCTCAGGCACAGTATGCACTCGCTTCTTATCCCGTCTTGATCTGTCGTGACATTAGTTATACCTGTAGCCGTTTGGATGGCGGGCGTCGGAGGGTATGTGTTGCCCGAACCACTTGCATCCGGCTCAGCAGCAGGCTCGGGTGGAGGCAATCCAGTGCTGGGCTGAGCCGAATTCGAGAGCCCATAAATGTCTTGAAGTCGGAATGAATGTGATCCGATCTGGTGGGTTCCACCTCAATCTTCAACTTCGAACTGTACAATGGAGGAAGGGAGACTTGCCTTGGCATCTTTTCGTACAACATGAACCACCCAATGTTTTCCGTTTTCGGTACCCTCAGATCCACCATTCACAGCGGGTAGAATGTTCAATGTTGTAGTTTGAAGATTTTGGATAGCCATCGATTGTACTGCATCGCAACGAATTTATGTGTTAGAATGTGTCCTAGATGCCCCATTCCCCTTACCATTCTCATCTAATGCCTCCAGACGAATTGTCACGCGAACAAAAGTTTGGTCTTTATTACCCAGAGTAGCAGGGCTGGCAACGGCATCTTCATCAACTACGCGCAAAGCTGGCCCTGAGACATTGGTTTGCTGAGCCCTTCGTCTGAAGGTAAAGGCAGAAAGTCTTTTCCGCGAAGTTGGAGTGGTGGGGACGACATCCGGCTCAGGATTGGGTGTTGGAGGAGGATGTACAATAGGAGCAATGGTTCCAACTTCTTGAGAGGCAATCGAGGAAAGTTCGAGAGTTGCACCATCTTCCAGCCGCAGCATACGGCCAAAACCACCCTCAAAAACAGATTCATAGGTGGCAAGGATAGAATCGGATGTCGTAGCAGGACTCGTTACAGACGACTTAGAAGAAACCGCGTTCACCGTAATCTTGCATTTTGGTGCGTCGCAATCGTAGTGGAATTCGAGTCCGTGAGGGGCGTCATAGACATTGGGTGCCTCAGTGTCATCCTGAAATTCAATAGAAAGTGGTGATAAACGAAGAGATGAACTTTTCAAGTTGACAAGAGCTTGAAGCGTTGTGGTTCCCTCTTGGAACTGCTTGATCGAAAATGAAGCAGATCGGACACTTGGTTCAGTCTCAGACGAATTCTGCGCCGCCAAAAAAGCGTACATTTTTGCTTTTGGTAACCCAGTTTTTCACCACTTCTGGTGAGATAGGCATTTCTTCTTTCGGGTGTGATACTTCCTCACGGCCAGTTGCTGCGGAAATGGAACTGGGCGCTAACGCCGGCCCAAAGAGTGTTGATACAGGTTTTGCCTCCTCTTGGGCTCTACCGCCCGAAAGACCGAGTAAGATGCTGTCCGTGACTGGATCCCAGTGATGTTGCACAGTTTGGGCACCAGGCCCCACTCCTCTACCCCTCCGATTAGGACGCTCCATCTCGTTGCGAGGGACGAGACCTAAGCTACGCAGAGAAAATAGCTTAGCCGGATCAAATCAAGGTAGGGTATAGGGGGTTTCCAGCACAAAGTTGGAATCCTTATACTTCTACATGAGTAATAAACTGGTCAAAACCGATGGCACAACCCATTAATGCTAAAGACGCCAGCTCACACAAATTATCGAGCCCTAACCGGTGCGCGAGGGACATGTGAGGGCCCAAGTTGACGCTTACAATGAGATGTGGGATTCGGGTTGCAAGGAAGGGACAAGGCCAGTGATGTGACAAAGTGGAACTTTCCCAAATAAATGTGCAGTACTAGAGTGCTCGCGTTCACAACACATCAACTTCAGCCCAGCCTCATTAAATTGGTCGCGATGGCATTGAATTCAACGCAAGAAGACGAACAATTACCTATGAGTACATTTATCTCTCGCAACTTTGCTTTGAAATCGTCATGTGAAGAGGCAGAAATGTCGCATCCGTCTGGTGGAGGCACGGAATGGACATCGATTCATCAATTGATGGGAGTGTGCCTCTGCCCGGCAAGTCCCCAGCCCTGCCGAAGCAAATGACACTCCCGCCGGTCACTCTATACTTAGTATCGCACCAGATATCTCCGAAAAATAGGCGCTCTGGTCTTGGGGACTTGCCCATGCCGGGGACCTAGGAAAATTCGGCCCATTAGTGGGAACCACGAGCGGGGCCGGGTATGAATCCCACGGTCACAAATACCCGGCAGAGGATGGGAGTCACTTACGAGCCCCCAAAAAATGTCTGGAAATGAATCCCACGGAAGACTGTGTTCTCGTGTTTCCGTATCACAATCCCACAGCTTTCAGCGCGGAGGCGCCATTCGCAAATACTTCAATTTCCCCTTCATACTTGGTTTCAATGTGAGTACCTATTCATTCGGGCATGCCAACGTACCATCCCGAGATTCAATGGCATTGAGGCGAACACGGATCGCAACGGTCGTCCACTGACCAGGGACGAAAGCCCAAGACCCGCGCCCTATACTGAACCCATACTTGGGATTCAACACGGAAAGGGGCGGTACTTTGGAAAGTATTTGCGTAGTTTGGTTATCTGAAGGAAGGTACCCATAAACCTCAGCCGTTCCATTTTGCCTGCCCCGTCACGAGCCTTGAGCATTAAGCACACGCAAATTGGTTGGAACGAGATTTACCTCCACATCAGCCGAAGGGAGAAGCACTGTTACAAATTGGAACGTTGTTGAACGTAGGTGAAATGATATAATACTGACTTCGTCACGTCGCTCTTTCCTCCCTCCAGTGCATTTAAATGCCTGCTCTGGAGTGCTACCTCCATCTGAATCGTGTGTAAATAATCCAAATCTTCTGACATACGTGGAACTTCGCAAGCTTACATGGTCCCGGAAGCTTTCCACCGAGTCTAATCCCAAATGGCGGATACAGGTTGCAGGTCAGTTCAGACGAGTAAATCAAGACGTGCTAGCAGTGAGTATCTAATTATCTAGAGCAGAACTTGTCCTAGGCGCAGAGCCCTGCGGTCTCATACTCACTGGAATTTGAACCCAGGCTCAAAATAAACAGCATAAGAGACGAGGACTTCTTTGGCATCTTCCCAAGAAAACGTGGCACCTTCAGGCTCCCCAACGTAGAAACCAAAACCACCCTTGATCTCTCCAGACGGGTTGATTGACCCGTTGGGTAGAATGCATGCCATGCAAGCGGCGAGCCTTCGAGTGATGGAGCAGGAACAATGCTGGGTTGTTCCCCAAGTTGGGACTTGAAGACCTCGTTGTCTAGGGGCAGCTTCGTCACTTTGTCTGATATACTTTCTGGGAGTGGGAATTTTGAAGTCGTGAATCCCCTAATAATGGGTACGGGAATAGATGTGACGTGTCCAACCCAAAAAGCTGGGGTGGTTGCGGGTTCAGCACGATGGGTTCGTTAGCCTGAACCATGAAGTTATGTCGATACGACTTTTGGGAATTCAGTATGATGCCAACGAAAGATACGATTGCAACGAGCAAGCTCCCGATAAGGAGTGCCGCTGTAATGAACTGGCGCAGTTTGTCCAGAGCCTTCAGTTTTCAAAGTGGCTCTGAACCACGTGCGATGTGGGAAATCCTTGGCAGGTGACTCATCGAGTGGCTGTGGAACTATAGAGGCTGGTATCCTGCCCTAATCCTAATCGATAATATTGCGCAGTCATAGAGGCTGGTAACCTGCCTGCTGTGCAGGCTTGTCAAGGACTACGTCACTTTCCGCTTGCTAGAGGAGTCTTATTAGTCTTTTGTCTTTCGCCAAATCTCGACCGTTCTCACAATGGAAAAGCATATCACTACCCTGCGATCATTGCAGTATCGGCCTCTGATAACTACGTTTGGGAGATCGTACAGCTCTAGGCCCTTCTTCCATATTCCAATTCATTGCTCTACCCTTCCCCTCTCATCCCCCATATTACGATTGTACAATCCACACCGGCCGCTGCATTTCACACCATTCCCATGGCAGAATAAGCCATATTTGTCTCCCCACGAGTCCCTTTCAGAGGAAATGCCCCCCTCAGGCCTAGTACTACTTCCGAGCGGGTTAATTACTCGGCGGCGCCGCAGCCTCTCAGTACGCCCTCTGCAAACTTCAATGGACCCGGTGGACTAACATTCCCGAAGATTACGAGCTCCCCATTATTTGATGCGGCGATAACAACCATTATTGGTCTCTCCATAGTGTTCGTTAGCGGTGTTGCCTACGTGGCCTGGTATAAGAATCGAGTCCTAGAGAAGGTGTGCATTGCTGCGCAGAATGATAGGAAATGTCATTCAGCACCATTCGGTGTCAGATTGAGGAAGCTTTTTCTCCCGGTTATGATCCTGTGTTGGAGCTTGCCGATCATAGTGATGCGAAAGGCATCTCTGTTTCGGGAGAAGGGCAGCAAGGGGATTACATGCGACGACCCGAACAAGACCTAATCGACAGCATCATGCGAGGACACGAAATTGGACATTACTTTATGCTTATGGGCCCAAAGGTATGCGCACATCCGCAGGCTTATTCAGGTCACTTACGACGCTATGCAATTATACAGGGATGCGGGAAGACGAGCATGATGATTGACGCTATGAGAAAGACCCATGCTGACGGTATTTACATACGATTTTCATGAACGTTAATTGTGGATTAACTTGCATGGGAACTTAGGCGTCGCTTTTTGCGAAGCCCACGAAGATATTGAAGTTTTTCGCCTCCGGCTTGGCAAGGCCATAAACTTTGAATACTTCGAGGACTCGCAGGTAAGAGAGTGTTTGATGTGGACTTAGATTTACGGTGACGCCGGGGCCACGACGCGTAGACAGGGTTATTCCAGCGACGTGATCCGCGCGAAGGAGGGCCTGCCTTAGACATAGAAAGAGGTGATTATATCTTGTCTCAAGCTTTATTCACTGCCGTAGACCTGTTTTCTAGCCTTCGCTAAAATCGAAAAGGTGGCTCTGCGGATGTCTGAGCGGCGCGGAAAACCCTTGATCCTTTACATCAACAATATACACATGTTCAGGAACAGTGAGGATTCGCACAGGTTGCTTGTCCAGATACAGCAAAGAGCGGAAAGCTGGGCTGCATCTGGTGAGTTCCTGGAGTTGTTTAATCAGGAAGGATCCCAAATGTGGATTGATTGTTGGTTTTTTGTCAGGTATCGTTACGGTGGTTCTCAGCACGTAAGTTGCTCCTCATAACGGCAAAGAAGAACAATCATTCACGTTACTTCCAGAGATGACTTCTGGCCTTATCCGGCACTGAGTGCGTCAGGGTCACTCGATCCTCATTCATATTATCTTAAGCTTTTCTTTAGGGAAGAATGCGACTCGAATGCAGATAATTTCTGTTCATGATTTACCTTCTCGGGAAGCTCTGCGTTCTCTTCAAGAGCTACGGAATAAGGTACACAGCCGACGACGCGCTCTCTTCCCTGGTACGAACCAGGAATTGGAACCCACGGACATTCTCTGCGATGCTCTAAAAATCACAGGCGGCCGGCTCTCTTTTATTGCTAAGTTGGCACGCTCCCCGACCGGAGACGCTCTCAATGAAGCACGATGTCTGGTTGCCGATGAGAAAGCCTGGATGCTTAGTCGCATCGGTCTCATTCCAGATTGCGATGATGACGTGATGGACGAACAAAAGTGGAGTTCATGCAGTTGGCTTCTAATGCGCGAGTTTGTCAGAATGAGGAAAGAAGAGGAGGAGAGGAGAGAGGAACTACTCAGACAAGGGATGACGGAAGAGGAGCTGGGGGAGCTGGAACTGCCGAAGATCCCATATTGGAGGTGCCGGCAAATAATGACTCGGGCGGACTTTCTCGAAGGTACGGGATGAATAAGCCAATTTCTTCGGGGGTCTCACCGGTTTGTGTACAGATCTTGATAATTCTAACCTCATATCGATCGATGTAAGTGTTGAGATGAGTGGTGCTCTGCTCTGCTATCTCACCAGTTTTTCGCAGATTCAACACAATGTACGGCCAGACTCCGCTTTGGTCCTCCAGGCGGCCCGTGAAGTTGTTGAAGAGGAAGGGTTCGATGAGATTCTTGAATCAGTTCGAGAACGCATTGACGAAATCGAGAGTCTTCATCGCACCCGCGAAGTAGCGGTGAGTTAGATTGGTATACTTTTGCAGTCTCATTGATGAGTTTGCTCCCAACTTTAGTTTAAGGATGTCAAGGATGGTGATCGAATCAAGTTAATAGTTGACAAGAGAGGGAAACATCCTTGGTGGTAATTTCAAGTCTAATTGTGTTCGATACTCCGCAGTCAAGCCATATTATGTATTTGGAAAGTCCTGAAGTGCAAGTTGTTGTCAGTGGCGCTTAACCCACAGCCAAACCTAATTGAATCGGCCGAAGCCGGTTCACGTAAGCTCTCAACTCTTTTGAGTCTCATCGTCTGAGTGTGCACACGATGGCTCTTCAGATGGGTACGGAGAAAGCTCGTGAGCTTCAAGTAGGTTCTCATTAGATCAGTTTTCAAACGTCACAAGATCCTCACGTCGTTAATTAGAGCTCGATACAGGATGAACTTGCCATCAAAGGCTACTCGGCGAAAGACGACCCTGTCATGGCGGAATACATCACCATTATGATTATCAATAAGAAGACACCTGAGCAGATTACATCTGAGCTTACTGGGCTCATTGGTGATGACTATGACCCGTCGTTCACCGATTGGCTTTTTGTTGAGGCGGGCCTTGGCGGAGAGGGACCCGGAGTGACAGAGTCGCAACAAAAGGAGCCAGCCGTTGAAGCGGGCGCTTCGGATGCCAAGCTACTACCAGCGACTACGAGGTGACGAATTCACATGTTTCAACAGCATAAGTGCTGACGCCATGTGTTCTTGCTCTAGCCGTGCCCCACCAACTGGGCCCCGCGCATCTGCTCCCTTGTTTCAACAGGCTGTATCGACGATTGGCGCACCAAAGCGCCCGCGGTCACCCTCGGGGGATGGTGCGTCTCGAAAAACCCCTCGAACGTCTGACTTGCCCAACCGGCCGCGGGCCATGCGGGAACCTGAAGAACCATCGTCTCAAAATATCCCTTCAAGGATACCAACACACGAAAGTGTCAATCGCTCCAATTCCCGCAGCCTTCTTGAGAGGGTTGGCACCACTCCAGTTTACCAGCATCCTAATGGTCACCTTCAACGCCATCCTCCTTTTGATCCCATTCAATCTCAAATAGAAGCGGTTACTCGCGGCCCAATGGGTATGAACCCCAATGCGCAACCGTTCATACCTGGGCAAGGGCCTCTGAATGGGATGAGCGGAATGGCGAACCCCCTAGCTCTTCAGGAAATGCTCAACGCGCAGATGTCCATGATGACACAAATGGCTATGCACCTGGGCGTGAATCCTATGGTGCCGTCCATGAATGCCACAAACGGGTTTTCTGGTGCGCTGCAAGGGCATATGCAGGCGCCGGCGCCATTGTTGAATGGGAACTTCAGCGGGCGTGGGCGGGGTAGAGGTGCTTTCCGGGGTACCCCACCTCATTTGGCTAGGCATGGCGGCCACCTAGAAAACCAAACTCAGGATCAGCGAGTTGCTGCACCCAGTACTCCTGTCAGTACCACTCAACCCCCCCTATAGCTCCTGCGCCCGTCACAGCGCCAACACCAACACCACCATCCGCACCCGTTCCCACTCCCGTTGCACAAAACTCCCAATACCCGGAACGCCCTGGAACTCCCACGTTGTGCAAGTTTGGGATTGGATGCACAAATCCAGCTTGTCGATATTCGCATCCATCTCCTGCTGCAACGGCAGAATCAGGCCTTGTTTTAAGTAATGAGCCTTGTGAAAAAGGCATCAAGTGTGGAGACAAAGACTGCACAAAAGCTCATCCGAGCAAATCTCAACTCGATCCAAATGGTGAGCTCAATCTGTCACATTACTGATCTTACTGATCGACGCATGGTTCTGATAAACGTTTTTCCAGCCGTGGTTCCTGTGCCGCATCCTCCGACGACATTGCACCCTAAGCCACCTGCTTATCACCCCTATTCACGCCCCGTCCCCGCATCCACCACTTCCATCCCTTGTCGCTATGGTGCAGGCTGCACCCGTGCGACGTGCCATTTTCAACATCCACCCGGCCGAACCACGCTCCCTGGGGAGTTTCACCGTGGCCTGAAACCGTCTGATCCCACGGTCTCACAGAGCCCCGCTCAAGTGAAAGCGAGGATGGGGGCTGCTGCAGCCGCGAATCGCTACAATAAGACTCTTGTGGTCAACAGGCCTGGCCAAGTCTCCTCCCCACAAGTGCGGCAGCTGCCCCTACACCAGCATCGGCCCTTCCCTTAAAGGACAGCAAGCCATCAGAGGATGCTGGGGTCGCTGCTGCTACATAGTCAGTGAGGGCATGTTTAGTAGTTGTAGTGGCGGTAAAATGTCTGTTCCCGAGACTTTTTTGATATATCCTCTTTAATATGAAATCCAAGTTGTTTTGGGCTCACTGTAATCCCGATGCACTCTCTGTGTGCGTGTGTACTTGCGCTTGTTAAGCCAGCTGGACATCTTCCATCGTGACGCTCAAGAAGTAGGCTAACCATTTTCAGTTGGTAATTAATCCATTCCTCTGAAACGTAGTACTGTTGTACAAATCTCCAGTTACTCGGTGAGCACTATATACAAAAAGATGTGCGCTGAGGCACTGGCAGATTCCATATCTCGTCTCTTCAATTAAATGAATGCTGTGGTGTAGCTAAATTCCAATCGAATTGATGACCAAGTCGATCTAGGATATCCAAAAACTCTTTGACATCCTCGATCCTTGCATCAGCCTGTGCCTCGGCCGTACCGACTGGAAGATGATGTTTGGGGGACACTGATAACCCTATACGTGTTCAATGCAGAAAACATGTTCGCGGACGAAGCTTGACGAGAGAGAAACAGGCCTCTCTCCCCCTTTGCGGACATAGGATTGGTGCCTAGATGACGCTTGGCGAAGAGAGATCTATACGGATGAGTGTGTAGCGTGGCGTGAGATGCAGGCGGGGTATTATTCGAGCTTTTCGTATTCTTTGATTAGCTTTTCGCTAGGCAGAACTAGGGGATCTCCGTCAACCATGATTTTGGACGTTAACGACTCGATGGACGATCGAGAAAGTTTGGATCCTTTCAGCAGTCTCGCGACGAATGAGTATGCCTTGGGGATATCGATGGAAAGCTCGTCCACCATCTCGACCGTAGAAGCCAGGCCTGCCTCAAACACCTCACCCGAGCAAAGACCAGCGTCGGAAACCTTGCTAAACAGTTCGGCCGTAAGAACCACATCGACTTCTCTCTTCTCCAACGCGGTGGAGGCAAGCTTGAGGACTAATCGTGATCTATGCACCACAGGCAGTGCTTCGAAATAATGTTGTACCTCGCCAACATTCCGAAGCACCCAAAACTCTTTGACATCCTCCTCAATCCGCGCATCAGCCTGTGCCTCAGTCATGCCAACTGGAGACGCCCTTCCGGTAGGAACCTCGTCACTCTTATCCTGGGCTCCCTGGCCTTCTACTGAAGTCTCCTCAGACTCTTGTGGGACAGTCCGTGGCTGCAAATTAAGCTTCTTCCGGACAGGGGTTCAGGTAATCCTCCCGCCCCCAGATCGACACTCGGTGTGTGGCTCGGAGCACGACTAGAAGATGATGTTTGGGGGACCTCGGTAGCCCAATCGCTGTTCAATGCAGAGAACATGTTCGCGGATGAAGTTTGACGGGGAACAGGTCTCTCCTCCTTTGACTTCCTTCTTCGAGAACGCTCGGGACGGACCGAATGTCGGCGGCGGCGGTGCTTTCGAAAACGTGCCGAACTTGGACAGATCCCCAGCCTCTTTCGGTGGTGGTCGAGGCGTCGCATTGTTCCCAGCCACTGACCAACCGTCTGACGTGAATTGAGATCGTTCCCACCTCTTGCGAGCCATCACGAGTGATGTTTTTGTGAAGGCTCGTTGGGGTGATTCCCTCTCTGAGGACTACGCCAGCCCTGGCACCATATGAATAGTAGGATATGAAAAGGGGATGTCGGCGAGCCGGGGTGAGACGGCACAGAAGTGGTATCGGTGCAGGAGACAGGGTTTCCTGGATGAGCACTTCGGAAGAACGGTGACGTCACTTTTCGCCGGATGGTTTGCGTGGAGAGCTAGAAAGCGTAGCGTCTGCGTCGCTTATCAAACCGAAGTGGATTGCGCAGTGGTCGAGGCGCTGCATTGTTCCCAGCCACTGACCAACCGTCTGACGTGATTTCAAATCGTTCCCGACCTCTTTGCGAACCGCCACAACATACTGCCACCCATCTGAGTCCATTGAACTGATTCCCTGTCTTCGACCGTCTATAAAAACATCAGTAAGATGAAATAATGAAGGGGTACAAGAGACGAACATCTGCGTGAACCTGCACAATCGTTGATGACTGAGCGACAACTCGGCGAGTTCGCCATTTCTGCTCCCGAAGATCGAGTACGTCCTGAAACACTGTCAAAATCAATGCGGTGCTTGAACATGACATGCTTACCATCAACATGAAGCGTATTCGAGCATTGATCGACGAGTGCCTCGTTAGCTCTTCCATGCGGGAGAAATAAATATCCATATGCTTTTTGGCTGTGGGAGTATCAAGAAGCCTTCCGACAGTTGTCAGAAGTTGACACAGGCTCTCAATTTCCTCTTCTTCGGGATCATCGACGTTTGACAAAACTTCTTGATACACTCGTGCATGATGCGGGCCGTCAGCATTTGTAATTTGAAGAGTTCCCCAATAAACTTGACGGTACCGAGACCTTGCCGCTAGCCTTTTCTGCGGCATAGTACTCATCAGAGAGAGCCACTTCACCATCAGACATTTGTTCCCTAATGTCGAAAGCTTCCTCCACGGCTCTATCTGCATCCGCCTTAGCGGCAGCACTTTCTTTAGTAGACCAACCACGCTCAAAATCTTCCTGACACCGGTTCAGTAAGTACTTTCGGAAGAGAGCGCCGCCTTTGATGGGAATTCCCTCCGAGTCCTTCACATTGTCGTCCTGGATATCTTCGCTTATCTGCTCCTGCATTTTACGGCACAGCTTCGCATACATTTCGGACCGTGTGGCTTCATCCGTAGCCTTTTCGAAGACAAGGCGAGTAACGAGTATAAGAGATTGACCATCGGATTCATTTTCCGATTTGTTGGCCCATTGGATAATCTGATCGGAAATGCTCTCGAATCGTTCCATTGTAAGCTCGTTGAGCAATGCTTTAACTTTGCGCTCAACGATTTGAATTCTTCTGCCTTGCCAACGCTTCTCGGAACGGGCCAAAGGAACAACATGTTCGAGAGGGATGAGGGGGGTTGACGGGTTGCTAAGGCGGGACGCGTCATCTACTAACGCCTGGATCTCGTCGCCTCCATATTCGTTTCTCGAGTGACGAGGAGCTTCCTTTGGACTTTGCGGGCCGGTGGAGCCGACTCCACCCTGACTCGGCGTTCGAACCATAGACATGTTCTTTCGAGCGGGGAAAGGAGGGACGTCCGTACTCACACTGCACCCACTGGTAGATTGAGTGATGCGCTCCTGGGAACCCTTAGCTAGAGTCCCAGCGAAGCCACCCAGAACACCATTCATGTTCATCCCACTTTTGCCACTGCCAGAAAACGCAAAACCGCCTGTGGATTCTGATGGTGGCATGGGACCCGTTCCACGCGCTTTGGTCGGTCGTCTGCTCGCCTCCTCAGCTTTACTCTGACTCTTGTCAATACCAAGAGCATTGAGGATCGGCGAAGCGTCTGGCCGCTCCTTGCAGACTTGAAGCAAGAACTGACGGTCATAACTAAGAAAAGATCAGGATCCTTCTATAAGACTTCAAGGAACGCATTGCGCACCGGAATTTGCCCTTGTCTGCATCAACGTTCAACTCAAGAGCAGGACCAGGACTCTTGATGCCCTCAGGGTAACTGAAGGATTCGATGTCCTGAATGATCCTGGCCGATGCGAGAGCAGAAACGGAAGCATCGCGAATGGTTGCCTGGGATAAGTCCAAGTGCCCCGGAGTAGGACGTTTCGAGGACAATCCTATTATTGGTTTAGATGGAAGTGAGGGTGGCGGACTAGGAGTACTGGAGATGCTTTCAGCCTCACTCCTCAATACTTTCTGAGCAAGACGAGCTGAGGCCTCTGCTTGGGCCTTACGCTCTGCGGCCTGGCGCTCAGCTTCGGCCTTGGCAGCAACTTCAGCTTCACGAGCCAACTCTGCTTCGGCCTCGGCCTCAACACGACGACGCCCCTCCTCTTCTCTAGCGGCTCGCTCAGCAGCTTCTTGTACCTCAAGAGCAGCACGCTCCTCCTCTTCTTTCTGAAGACGAAGCCGCTCCCGAACCTCCTCTTCCTCCTTTTCACGCTGGAGTCGCAATCGATCCTGCTCTTTTCGCGCTTTACGTTCCTCCTCTTCCCGAGCCTTGCGTTCTTCAGCGGCACGTTCGGTAGCTTCCTGCGTCTCACGGACAACACCCTCCTCCCTCCGGAATAGGAACCAGGAACAAGCCTTACGATATGCTTCTTCCCGAGCCTCTTCTTTCTCTCTCTCTAACCTCGATCGTTCCGCTGAGAGCTGGTTGAGCACAGTTATTACAAGCTCCACAGTTTCAAGGTTGTGTGAGATCTCAGGAGCGGTCGGAACCGCAGCAATGGACTTCTGAGAAGGGGTTGTTTGGGAGTCATTTGGCAACGAGTTGAGCCTCTTGCTTTCTATGAGTTCCATGCGCCTGTTCATCTCGGCGAAATGGTGCCTTATCTCAGCACCGATATTATTGATTGCGGCCATGATAGAGGATTGAGCCGTGACATTGTGGAGGTTCACTTCGGCAACCGACACTAACTCCCTGAGTTTCTCGGTACTGAGGGGTTTAGACTCGGAGGTGGCATCTGGCAAGTAGCCATTGAGGATGTTAACTAGCTCGTGGGCGGTGGTTATGGGGTTAGTAGGCGAGGACAGAGCATTCTCTATGTGCCGCATGTCTTGGTAGACGGTCAGCGGCAGTGGCAGCGATGGTGTGAAATGTCTTCAGCCTTGTATTGCTCCCTCGCGTCTGATGATGATAGCGGTCGTTAGTCTCCCAAGATGTAATTGTCAGTGTAAATACATGTAAATACGCATCGATGTATGACTTGCTTCCAGGGTTCACGAGTACGTATGTCAGCGGCCCTTGCCTGTTTGGATTTTTCCCAGCGGAGGTTTGCATGTGCGGGACGCGGACAATTGCCTTATACGGCAAGGCAAACTAAAAACTGCTTGTCGACCCAGTAATGGAACAATGATACTACCAGTGGGGCAAGAAACGCCACAATACTCAAAGGCCGTGCACAAGTACTGCCATCAAATGCGTGCGACAAATCAAGGATGTTCTGGCAATTTCACATTGCATCACTGGAACGATGCAATGGCACTCTAGGCACCAAACCCTTTGCGATGCGTGCAAAGACTCCTGGTAGTGATCCGGCTTAGCCAACGGCCGATGATGAAATCATCTGACGGTCAAGTTATCCACGGCTCATCATAACTTGCACTATGCGTGCGTGATGGTGGATGCATTGAATGGTTTGCGTGATAGAATTCTGAGACAATGCTATGCCTGCAGCCCTAAAAAAGATCAAGTGCCATAACAGGGCGTATCCTGAGTGACCCATATTTAGGACACTGGCCACATGCGGAAGTCGATGGTGACGGGACGTGGAGTTCGAGGCGCGATAATAATGTGACTGGCCAACAGTCTCAGTCAGGACCAGCGGAAGGACTCTGACACTGGGGCATGATGAGCAACGTCGAGATCGCTTTTGACGAAATAAATTGCAAGAAAAGTGTAATAAACGGACATAACGGAGTTAAAGATTACGGCGTTAGCTGACTTCACTCCCTCTACTTGCACCCACTTGGAAGGGTGGAGTAGAATTTACGATAATCTTCAAACCCCCTCTCCGTTCATTGGAACGAAGGAGCATTGGTGCTCTCTTTCTCATCTCAAAGGCATTTTAGCCTGCTGGCAGGTCTGATTCGACCGTCAATCGTATCGTTTTTGCAAGCTACATAGCGCACGTACGCCAAAAAAAAAATCTATAACTTTCCTCTCTAGCCATCGTAAGTGTCTTCTGAACCTTTTTGGCCAGCGTTTACATATTATTTGCGTATTTTCCATACTTTTAGAAATGAGCAAGTCCTCCGTCCAAACCCCTCAGACAATTAAGCCCGCCATTGCAGCCAACTCTGCTCAACCATCTCAGGCTCGCCCTGCATCTTGGTCTAAGGGGGTCTCACAAGCTGTTACTACCCCGCCTCCGAATTCTGTCGCTACTTCAAACTCTACATCTCCACGATCTCAATCACCTAGCAATGGCGCAAAATTTCAGGGACACGCTCGAAGAGTTAGTAACCTTGGACCAGGCGCTCCGGCGACCAAAGAGAGCGTCACTATACCAAAGGGTATCGCACGCGTTAAAAGTGCGTGTGGCAATGTGTCTTAGGGATTTTACTACAAGCGCTGACGGTTGTGATCGGTTTATAACATCCAGACACATCATCGCCAATTAGCTTCGGTTCGATAGGTGATGCAAATGCTACGCTCTCTAGCTCCCCCGCACAAGTGCCTCCAATATCGGAAGGACTTAATGTGCAGAAATTTGGCAGCCTGAACGCTGAAACAAACACGTCCACGTCAACCAGTTCAAGCAAGGCTGCACCCGCCAATGCGGCGTCACCTATACTCGCTGCATCTACCAACACGAGTGTTGCCAAACCACCCCGGCGAAAAGTTGACGTCAACTCCTTCTTCCAAAGTGCTCCCACTCCAGGGAATCCCTCTTCTCCTGCACCGATACCACCTTCTGTGGCACCACCCGGGCCAGCTGGTCGTGCGGACCCGCCTGGCTTCCCGCCGTCCCAGAGGCTGAGCAATCCCCCACCTCCTACTCCTACTTTCATTCCCAACCAGCAACCACCCTTCCGTCAGCCGTCGCAAGGTCCTGCACAGAGGTCTCCGCAGTTATCCCGCGCGCAACCGGCTGGCCCCACTGGAGGCCATTCGTCTGGTGCAGTTGCAGCCCCAATTCGAGCTGGGCACCCTCAGCCTAACGGTAACCTAGCGCCTGTCCCTGTGAATACGCATCCTACTGCCCCCATGAGCAGTCCACGAATGCCTCAGGCCGCGCTAGGCCAGTCCCCGATCCAATATCCGTACTCGCCCTCGGCTCGCCCGCACGATCCCGGTTTCTCATATCCATACTATCCCTATGGCGAACCAATGGGCTGGCCGTACCCTGTTCCCCTGTTCACTCCTGGAATGCCGCAGCCCCCCATGCACCATTCTACTATGCCTCAACCACATTCTCCCGTACCTCCTTCACCACGAGGCAATCAACTTCCTCCCCCTACACCTACCCTTCCCCCAAAAACATCAACTCCGGGAACCCCCACATTGGGACCGGCCCGTTCCGTGTCATCGCAGTTAGGACAACCCTCATCGGCAGGTCTTTCGCCACAAGCAGCATCCTTCCTACCTCGTGGATCCAATCGGAGCAATCCAATTTCTATCAAAACGCCTGATGGGAAACCGGTAGACATAAAACATCCTCCTACACACACACGCACCGTTTCGACTACCTCTGTTACCCTCCCTGGCCCATCCAGAGGGGTCCGGATGGAGAGTGCAGCGGATCACGCAAAGCGGCAGGCTGAGGAGGAACGAAAGAAAGAGGCAGAGGCTAGAGTGAGACGAGAGAAGGACGAAGCTGAGCGGAAGCAACGTGAGGAAGAGGAACGCCTTGAGAGGGAGCGCATTGAAGCGGAGCAACGAGCTAAGGAAGAGGAGGAGCGCAAGGCCAAGGAGGAAGCTGATAGGAAGCTCCGAGAAGAAGAGGAGCGAAGAGAGGCTGAGCAAAAGGCCAAAGAAGATGCGGATCGCAAGGCTCGGGAAGAAGAGGAGCGCAAGGTTCGGGAGGAGGAACGCAAGGCTCGGGAAGAAGAAGAACGCAAGGTTCGGGAAGAGGAGGAACGTAAAACGCGAGAAGAGCAGGAACGATTGCGACTGCAGCGTGAAAAGGAGGAGGAGGAGGCTCGGGAGCGGCTTCGTCTTCAGAAAGAAGAAGAGGAGCGTGCTGCTCTTGAGGCACAAGAAGCTGCTGAGCGAGCCGCTAGAGAAGAGGAGGAGCGTCGTCGTATTGAGGCCGAGGCCGAAGCAGAGTTGGCTCGTGAAGCTGAAGTTGCTGCTCTTGCTGCCAAGGCCGAAGCTGAGCGCCAGGCCGCAGAGCGTAAGGCCCAAGCAGAGGCCGAAGCTCGTCATTCTAAGGAAGTATTGAAGACTGAAGCTGAAGGCATCTCCAGTACTCCCAGTCCGCCACCCTCGCTTCCATCTAAACCAGTGATGGGATTGTCCTTGAAACGTCCTACTCCGGGGCACTTAGACTTATCACAGGCAACCATTCGCGATGCTTCGACCGCTCCCGTTTCTGCTCTCGCATCGGCCAGGATCATTCAGGACATCGAATCCTTCAGTTACCCTGAGGGCATCAAGAGTCCTGCTCCTGAGTTGAACGTTAATGCAGAGAAGGGCAAGTTCCGGTGCGCCATCCGTTCGTTGAAGGCTTACAGAAGGATCCTGATCTTTTTATAGTTATGACCGTCAGTTCTTGCTTCAATTTATGGAAGTCTGCAAGGAACGGCCAGACGCTTCGCCGATCCTCAATGCTCTTGGTATTGACAAGAGTCAGAGTAAAGCTGAGGAGACCAGCGGACGACCGGCCAAAGCGCGTGGAACGGGTCCCATGCCTCCACCGTCAGGACGATCGACTTCCATAGGCGGTTTTGCGTTTTCTGGCAGTGGCAAAAGTGGGATGGCCATGAGTGGTGCTCTGGGCGGCTTCGCTGGGGCCCCAGCTAAGAGTTTCCAGGAACGCGTCACTCAATCTACCAATGTGCGCAGTGTGAGCATGAACGTCCCTCCATTCCCCACTCGAAACAACATGTCTATGGCTCGAACGCCGAGTCAGGGTGGTGTCGGTGCCATCGGCCCCCAGAACACGAAGGATGTTCCTCATCGCCCAAGAAGTAAACGCGGAGAGCGGCGTAGCGATAAGAACCAGTTGTCAATGGGTGGCCCGTCTCACTTTGGCAGCCCGTCAATCCCCCCATTCCTCTCGAACCTGTTATTCCACTAACCCAGTCTGAGAATCGCTGGCAAGTCAAAAACATCCAGGCCACCCCTGATAGCGTTGATGACCCAAAAATCGTCGAGCGAAAAGTCAAAGCATTACTTAACAAGCTTACAATGGAACGATTCGAGAGCATTTCCGATCAAATTATCCAATGGGCCAACAAATCGGAAAATGAATCCGATGGTCAAACTCTTATACACGTTATTCGCCTTGTTTTCGAAAAGGCTACGGATGAAGCCACATGGTCCGAAATGTATGCGAAGCTGTGCCGTAAAATGCAAGAGAAGATAAGCGAAGATATCCAGGACGACAATGTGAAGAACTCGGAGGGAATTCCTATCAAAGGCGGCGCTCTCTTCCGAAAGTACTTATTGAACCGGTGTCAGGAAGATTTTGAGCGCGGTTGGTCTGCTAAAGAAAGTTCTGCCGCTGCCGCTGCGGCCAAGGCGAATGAAGATAAAGCAACAAAAGAAGCTTTCGACGCTAGGGAACAGAAGGCCGAAGGCGAGGTTGCTCTCTACTCCGAAGAGTACTATGTTGCAGAAAAGGCCAAGCGACAAGGTCTCGGTCTCGTCAAGTTCATTGGGGAACTCTTCAAGTTGCAAATGCTGACAGCTCGCATCATGCACGAGTGTATCAAGAAGCTTTTGTCGAACGTCGATGATCCCGAAGAAGAGGAGATTGAGTCACTATGCAAATTCCTGACAACTGTCGGAAGGCTTCTTGATACCCCCACGGCCAAAAAGCATATGGACATTTACTTCTCCCGCATGGAAGAGCTGACGAGGAATGCATCGATCAATTCTCGAATGCGCTTCATGTTAATGGTGAGATATGGTGCTCAAGCGTTGCATTAGCTCTAACAGCATTTCATTTCAGGATGCACTCGATCTTCGGGAACGCAAGTGGCAAACTCGTCAAGCGGTCGCCCAGCCATCAACGATTGCGCAGGTTCACGCAGATGTTCGTCTCTTGGCACCCCTTCATTTTTCATCTTACTGATGTCCTTCATAGGCGGCAAGGGACCAGGCGGTCAAAGAGAGGGAATCAGTCCAACGAACTCAGATGGGTGGCAGTATGTCTCGTGGTGGCTCGCGAAGAGGTGGGGAACGAGCTGAATTCACGTCAGACGGTTGGTCAGTGGCTGGGAACAATGCGATGCCTCGACCACCGCCGACAAAGGCTGGGGATCTGTCCAAGTTCGGCACGTTCTCGAAAGCACCGCCGCCGACGACGTTTGGTCCGTCCCGAGCGTTCTCGAAGAAAGAAGTTAAAGGAGGAGAGACGCCCGTTCTCTCTCGTCAAACTTCATCCGCGAACATGTTCTCTGCATTAAACAGCGATGGGGCTACCGAGGTCCCCCAAACATCATCATCCAGTCGTGCTCCGAGCCGCAAACCGAGTGTCGATCTGGGTGCGGGAGGATTACCTGAGCCTCCTGTCCGGAAGAAGCTTAATTTGCAGCCACGCACTGTCCCACAAGAGTCTGAGGAGACTGCAGTAGAAGGCCAGGGAGCCCAGGATAAGAGTGATACCGGAAGGGCGTCTCCAGTTGGTATGACTGAGGCACAAGCTGATGCACGGATTGAGGAGGATGTCAAAGAGTTTTGGACGCTTCGGAATGTTGGCGAGGCACAACATTATTTCGAAGCACTGCCTGTGGTGCATAGATCACGATTAGTCCTCAAGTTTGCCTCTACCGCGTTGGAGAAGAAAGAAGTCGATGTGGTTCTTACGGCCGAACTGTTTAGCAAGGTTTCCGACGCTGGTCTTTGCTCGGGTGAGGTGTTTGAGGCAGGCCTGGCTTCTACGGTCGAGATGGTGGACGAGCTTTCCATCGATATCCCCAAGGCATACTCATTCGTCGCGAGACTGCTGAAAGGATCCAAACTTTCTCAATCGTCCATCGAGTCGTTAACGTCCAAAATCATGGTTGACGGAGATCCCCTAGTTCCACCTAGCAAAAAGCTAATTAAAGAATACGAAAAGCTCGAATAATACCCCGCCCGCATCTCACGCCGCGCTACATACCCATCCGTATAGATCTCTCTTCGCACACACTTCGCTCATCTAGTCACCAATCCTACGTCCGCATTTTGTGTTTTTTGAGTTCACATTGTCCTTTTTATTCGGTTCATTTGTTCTTTGTTCTTCTTTTCCCTTCATTCCAACCTCTTTGGGTTAGTTATTCCTCACACTTGCATTATAGGGTCGTCTTAATACTGTATCTCCGATCAAAACAGTCAGACATCCTCATTAATTTGATTCTCCAGCTACACTTTGTCAGTATAATCAAGCCAGCACCCTTTGTTTAGATCTGAGCACCGTGGCATCTCCCTTCGATAGTATTGAATGAGCGGTAGCTAGCTGAAGGTTTGGACGTACACCAAGACCCGGCTCCCCACCGGTGTACCGATCCTTTTCCCTCCTACTATATCCCGTTTCGTTCTTTCGTTCAATATTTCACCATGAGTGCTTGGTGAACAGGAAATCCCGAACTGGTCCTGCGTTCGCTCGTCCTCATGCTCTTAACAGTGTCACATACGCGTTAAGAGGTCGACTCCCTTTGTAAGCATGCTTGCAACCACATACATTCCTCTACTGTATGAGACTGCTGCCCACCTGAATGTACCTCCTGTAACATGACTCCCCGACTCTTCTTGCCTCATAGCTTCGGGAACGTACAGTGAAACAACGCATGGAATCGCATGTTGTGAACTCATTCATGCACGCTGCGCAGATGACTCTTTCTTTCTTGGCGTTCCTTTTCAATCGTCCAACGAGAGCAGCAGTAGTAGTTACGCCATGCCAAATGCAGCTGCAATATCATTACGAATTTGTCATCATCTGTCTACAACTAATTGATCTATGATCCAAACGTCAAGTCAGCGTCGTATCAGTGTCGTTCCGCAGAGTCCAAAGGAAGGTGGTCCACAGCGCCCTGGGGGTGGGCGCAGTGATAACCAGGCTGCGACCATGGCTGCCCTGTCTCACTCTGACAGTTCGTCAACACCCCTTCTGGACCCGTTCTCCCTCTGGTTCATCCCGAGGACCGTAAGCAACTTAGCAATGTTCGAGCCACTCTTGACGAGCCCGAATTTATCATCAAAGGTTTGCTCAACAAGCCCACAATGACCCAATTCGAAAGGATTTATCAGATCATCCAATTAAGTGCTACCGCCAAGGCGAGTGAAGACAGAGTCACGAGAGGGTCGCTCGACGCTGGGGGACAGATGTCCTCTTATGAGCACCTAGGCAGGTTACCAGCCTCTATTAGTAATGAGTATTCTAAAAGGCTAAGCGACAAGGACCCGGTCTCTTGGGGAACTCCTCAAGTCGCGAATGCTGACGGCTCGCATCATACACGAGTGCATCAGGTTAGAAACTTCTGTATAACGTTGATGATCCCGCGGCCCGAAGAAAAAATCGAGAGTCTATGTGTGCTTCTGACAGCGGTCGGAAAGCTTTCTTGACTCCCCTACAACCAAGAAGCATATGGATATTTCTCTCGCATGGAAGAGCTGACGAAGAACGAGAACGAGTCAATCAACGCTGGAAGGCGTTTTGCTTTAACAGTGATTTTATCGGATTCAAACACCGCATTATTTTGACGGCATTCCAGGACGTTACAGCGGTTGACCCTCGAGCTCGGAAATGGCAAACCTAGAACGGTCACGCAACCATAAACGACCACGCAGGAAGCACCGACAGGCTTGGTGGGATGAGCTGGTGTGATTTCATATGGCCGACGAAGATCACACTTTCGATGTCTCCGCCACTGGATCTCAGGAATTGAGATACAGGTGATGTTCATCTGCGAAACTCCGCATCTTTCTCCGAGAAAGGTTGCGATTGACCGAGTACGATTGAGACAAATCCTCTTTCCGGTACAATGAAATTGCATTTTCTTCATCTGGATAGCATCCATTTCTTGGTGCTCTGCCTGGTTCACCTTGTGCAACGTGCACTTCAGTCGCCGACCCCTAACTCGGGGTTCCCAGTGATGATTGTGTGCCTTTTTGCGGGGGACGCGGACAGTCCGGCTTTGGGGGTTTTACCATTCCAGAGACCGATCGAAGACTAGAGTTGATCGGATTATATCAATGTACCACTTCAGCATTTTGAGACCCATCTTTATTTGGCCCAGCTTGTACTAGTGACTCACATGCGAACATTATGGTCGGCATTAAGATTCGCACTGTATCCTTGATGCAACAGTCAGGACTTTGTCTCTGCCCTCAAAGCACACCACCAACAGGCCAGTGGCGTCCCACGAATCCAAAGCTCACAACACTTAGTAAGTGTTCCAGACTTCAGATGGCAGCATTCCCCTCATCACTAAAGCACCGTAATAATAACCAATTAGTGAAAATAGGACAGTGGGAGAGCAAGTCGTACATTTCCAGTATTCAATAGCAGACAGTTCCTGCCATTCACCTAGCCTGTTCGTGGCATCCCGCAAGACTAACGTGGACTCTGAATAATTTGATCCCGGACGTATTGGACCGAATGCCATCGGTAAAGGTAATTCTCTTGAATGCCATGAATTAAAGAGTCTTCGTCGTGAATTGCTTCCCAGATAATCTTCAACAACAGGCGAACGGAATGTCAATGGAGCCGGGGCTAAGGTGCAGATGATCACCTTTGGGCTCGTTAGGAAGCTGGACAATTCACCCGAATGGTCATGTTCTCACCAGGTTGATAAAACCCACCTTCAAGTCTTCAAGTTTACGACTCGTGTCTGAATCATGATAAACTTTACACTCTCCAAACGCCGCCAATAATGTGACGATAATGCCACGTGCGGCTGGTGAATCTAAATGCCCACCGTAATTCTATGTGCGCGAGCATGAGTTTCAGGTGGGAGCATGATACTGATCTGAGCCACCCACCACTCCTAAGATACCAGATGGACGCATCAACGTTTTTAGGTCTTCCCAGAACTCGAGGGTGTACAAATGGTGGAGAACTCCTCCACCTGAGAAGCAATCATGAACCACGTAATCAAACAATTGCGCATCTGCCTGTCCCGGATTGGATGTTCGAAGGGATCTCATGGCACTCGCTTGTTGGCGGACCCAACTTCGTGCGTCTTCGAGATAGACTTGGTTTGGTTTGGGAAGCTCAAAATGCTTCCGCGCGAAACGATACACAGCTGGATCGATTTCAACAATTGTGGTCTGCATCCCATGCTCGACGAATGCTTTTGCAGCAACACCTATTCCGGGTCCGCTAAAGCACACCATAATCAAAACCGGCTTCCCGGGTAACCCTACGTAGAGTGGAAACTGGCTTACATAGTGAGGACCCGATTGGGCGTAGTTCGGATTGATTCAAGAGGGCGATTGACAAGCCGCACAGCTTCCTGGAGGTAGAATGCAGTATATATGCTACGGAAAAGTTTTGTGGGAGGGTCTCCTTCACGCTCGGGGAGCAGCCACATGCCGCCGAGGAGCGAGTGGTCGCAACGTAAAAATCGTGTCCGCACGCCATTGATATCCGTTTCGCCAACAAGGATCATTCCCGTGACGCTGAATGATTTGTCCAATATCTGTAGCGTACCATTGAGGGTGGTGTATGGGGTCGCCGGGGTTCTGCACGGCGACCTTTTTTGTGACACTACAGACGTGAACAATGGAAGGGCCAAATACAAGGCCAAGACAAAAGTGGGATTCATTCTTAGTCTTCTCATAGACCTTCCTGCATGTCGCTCGCGCTTTTGCCGACTCAAGGCATGCTGCATCGCCAACAGTGCAGCAGGAAACGATGTGATAAGACCCAAGAGAAGATACTGGCGTAAAATATCGTCAGCTTGTGACACTAGAAAGATGCGTGTGCAGGCTGACCATATTACAATAGTTTACCACACCTCCGAGTGGCAAGTTATCCCACAGGACCCTGTCTGCACGAGCAATGACAACCCATGAGAACATCCCTGAGCCAAATCTGGCGGGGAATGGCGAAAATCCAGAAGGAGAAACACGGGACTATGACGCGACCTGAATAGCAAATCAAAGGATGAAAAATAGGGACCATACCAATACATTTTGCAGCATCGACGCTCCCAACACAGTAACAAGAGACCCGCCTAGGATGTGAGCCGCGATAGGACCCCAGAGAGGGTTGAGCCACCCAGACGTATGCACTCCGACACAATACATAATCGCTGGCGACGCTGCAAACCATAGGCTCATGAAGGCGAACCCTGTTCGTGAATCCAAACGCATCCGCTTAGGAATGAAGGAGGCCAGAAGACAAATAACCAGAGATATCGTTGGGAAGTGTCGAGCAGTTGCTGCACTCCCAAACAGAGGGTGAAGGGAAAGCTGAGAGGCGACATCTGAAAATGATATTATCGAAAGTACGAAGAAGCCCGCAAGAAGTGCAGTGACAGAGCTGGGCGATGTCGAGGATGTTGGGGGAGGCTAAAATCCGGCACAAGGCCAAATTACAAATCAATGCATTCTAGCACCCTTGAAGGCTATACCCACTGGATTCTCATTACGTTCTAACGGCCGAACGTTTCGCCTCTCCTGGGCATCGGCCATGCCAACGTCGTTTCGATGTCACACGTGAGCCCAATTTCGAATGACCTCAACGGTCATGTGCAGGTGATTAGAAAACCTAATATTCACGACTTCCAAGGATTTTAGCATACGCTGATAGCAGGACGTTAGATGAATGGTAAGTCTAATGTATTGCAGGCGATAAATGCTGTGAAAAGAATGGCAACTTAAGGTGGACAAGTTAGCATTAATAAATAGTCAAAGCATGCCACCACTGCCATGAGCGGCGATATTAACTCGGGCCTCTAGTAAGTGGCGCATTGAGCCTCAGTGTGTTCATTCATGCTTACGCTTGACTCAACATTGCTCTGGCAGGCTTCGTGACTGTCGCGGTGAGTTTGGGTTTGATGACAGTGTTCCAGAGTTGGCCGGGCAACAGCAGGTGAGAGAGCGGTGAGAGAGCCATCGATCAATCTTGTAACCCAAAAAAAAATTCAAGTCCCGCAAACCCCAAGGGTGAATATATGACTAGAGGGTGTAAGCAGAAGCCCGGCGCTTGGGAAATCTTTTCCCAGGCCGTGCTTCGTGGTTCTACAATATTACCAGCAATCGTGAATAAGGGAGTTGCAGTGATGGTCTCGTCCATTTCGGATTGTTAAATTCGGATCGCTCGGTGAGGATTTGCTGCAAACGGTCAAACTTTTTCATTTCAATATTTAGGCAAAGTAAAATTTTGGGTCAGTTATCGGGGATTGGGATAAGCATATGTGTACCTTATCATATCAGAATCTGACCCATAACCCATAGTACCGCCAGAGCAGGAGTTTCTTTCTTTCCCAGGCGTTTCTTGGTGCCACGATAACTGAAGTGAATAGGTTACTCAGTGTGATTTCACGTTTGAATACTTGCACCGAATGTCATGATCGATGCCTGCGGGGCGTTACGACTCCGCGTACTGAACAGGGGCCCATGACCATGTCTAATACTCTTCATTCAGCTCATTACGGGCCGCTGGACATTCAAGTCAATCAATTCTCATCCCTGGCAAATACATAACTTCGGGCTTGCTTGATGCTCGAATGTACATCTGGAACGTTGAAGAAAAGAAACATCACTTCGAAGTAAGCAGTTGCAGGTGGTATCTCGCTTGTCAGATGGTCGAATGATAAATGAGGAGCCAATGCGCGGATCGGTAAAATGTCCATTGCATCTCACAAACAAGCTTCGCGTTTGCACGACGATGTCATTCCGTATGACCTTGGATCTTTGCATGTGCGGCATAACGAGCCTAGTGGCAGACAAAAGTTGGGATTTATGGATAAGTGCGTGGAATAGGAACAAGTTTACGTCGTGACGAGAGTTAGTACACAACCCTTATGACACCATCCAGAAAGCCGGCTCTGGATAGTGTGTGGGACAGAGGGCGACACACATATCGCGCAAGTCTCAGACCCTCGAGCTTGGGGTGGCAAAGGGCCTGACCTGACCTCCAGTTTGGCGAGGACTCGGACTCTAGAACGTTTGCAAAGAATGTCCATTTGTGTTCTCTATGAGGGGATTCCGCTTGAATTTGGTTCATCAGAGCAACTCTGCTTCGCACGTAAACTGGTGGGTTCCATCAAATGAGTGCGGGTATCAGGATGGGGGTGCCGAAGAGTAACGTCTCGGAGCACGGATATTGGACCGGCGGTACCAACTTGAATCCCCACACTTCGGTATGTCTTATACAGGTTCCTTGGTGATATGGAAGCCCCCTGTAGGTGATCAGCCTATTGGACAGTGAGCTCTGTCGAGGGCTTTCGGCCGAAGAGATCGAGGCTCGAGAGTCACATGCTCTATCTCCTGAGCCTTGTGCTATAGGGGCAAACCTTGATGAGTTGATGTCTGGACGAATCGTCAGGACTTACCTAAGGAGTAGGCATCGTCCACCAACCAGTCCTCCAACCCATCGTAGGACCTCTCCACATCAATCTCCGCATTTGCTCTGTCCGGCAGTGCGTGATCCCTTGTTGGGCAGATCCCGAACAGATGTCATCCATTATTGACGAATGCGCGTCACCGCTCCGTATTGAGGAGTGGGAGAGGCTTCCGTCATCTTCAGGTTTGGGCTGCGCAGCAATGGAATCATCCTGCATCTCCGAAAGCCGCATTGTAAGCTGGGGTTGATGAGCCTAGGAGATTAACTGACCATGGCGCAGTTGTTGATTTGGTCACCTCGATCTCTCTCATCCAAGAGAGGCAGAGGTGATGATGCCTGCGTTGGGGGGCTGTTAGCTCTCAAGCTCTATGATCGGTGCAAATGCCACACCTGAGGGCCCGCATGCCCGCAGTCACGCCAATCGGGTGGGTGATGCGAGTTTCGGCTGGGAAGAGGGGCAAGCGAAGTCAGTCCGATGCCTCACGGGGTCGCTGCACGAACCGATCTTGCCGGTGGACCCTGGAAGGTCGTCCATGGCTGCCACGTCGGGGAACGTGATCAGCCGTCCGATACTGGAGTCCACAACCTCCTCGGTGTTGGGCCCTATTTTCCTGAGCTTCTGGCGGGCTTGGGTGAGAGAGCTCATAAGCATATGGCCGGTAGGGTAATCAAGCAGATCAAACTTGCATCCATCATAAGGAGACGCCAGGTCATCTCCTAAACCGCACTCCCCGCTTTCTCTCGGCCTCTTCCCTGACATGCCAACTGGTTGGCGAACAGGATCAGAACTGGTGCCTGATCTTGCGCAATCGGAGGCCACAGCAGTCGACGCCCCTGTATAACATTGTTCATACCGCAATCCACCACGTTTATGAAGAATGAGATGGTGAGGGTGACTGACCTGCCCGAGTGCTAGGATCCCCACGCTGCTCGCATTGGTCCTCATGATTGGGAACCATAAAAATGGACAGGGGCGTCGATCCTGCCACTAAATCCGGAGGGATTCATGAATAGAGATATGATATACTAAAGACCAAGAACCTACTCCGTTGAGAGTCAATGAAGCGATCCAACAACGATATCAGTTCTTCATCCAAAATTCGGATGCTCCTGCGGGTGAATGAAATGAGAGGAAGTGAGTATGGAATGAGCGGTAAAACCGAGATGCGAGAGCGGGTTTAGGTGTAGGGGCAAACCTCCATCGCCCTTGCCATGAGGCGGTGAAGATGACTCGAGTTGAGACGAAACGGAGGAAAATTTCACGCACTCTTCCACTTCCTCTTTCGTATGGCGATTTGTTTTCGCTGTCGGAGCTGTTGCTCCCTTGCGAGATACTCGTCAGTTACGTTGTTACCGAAGGACGGGGGGCAGTACATGAACACTCACATTGTTAGTTCCTGGGTTCGGCATGATGAATGGTTTTGTCTTGCGGCAGATAGGGGGGTAATATTTTCTCAGGGATGAATATATATATAGCCGTGGCGTGGAGGTACGGTGTGGATGACAGATGAAGTGATTCGAATTTTAAACCAGTGATGTTCGCGTTTCTACAGTCCGTAGAGATGGGACAATGTTTCTCAGCCGAGTTAAACAGTGGGAAGCATCCACGATTCAGAATCAGCTATAAACCGGTCCTTTGCGTGCGTGACCCTCACTACCTGTCAACTTGAGGATGGAAGATGTCGGTTCAAAACGGTCTGCTTACGTAATGATCTGCCAAACCGTCGAACATGTCCTCGGCATGTTCTTGTAATATCAAAATTGTATCATGCGGGCATCTGTGGTGATTATATCGATCGGGTTGAGACTACACGATCTTTATCTCTATATGGAACGTAACAGGCGGATCGAAACCTGAAAGTCAGAAAAGCGCTTTATGTACAACTAGGTGGAGAGTGTGAACAGCTGACGCGAATTATCAGTATTATAGTTGGTGAATTGCCGTATATGAGAATATGAATATCTGAAAGGTCGCTCTCACCGGATGGTGAGGGCGGCACCACTACTCAGGAAGTACGTACCTCGCTGGCGTATCGTGGTCTTCGCTTCTTAACTTTGACTGTCAATGTCTGGAGACGTGGATATTGCGTCACTGGGGTGTTCATTCCCGTGGCTCAGTCATAATCAATGGCGGCTCCGGGTGCAGACCTCCTCCTTACGATCGCATGCAATCTTCATGGTGAGTAAACTTGTATTTACATGTGTTTACATCGGCTCTCTTGCGTTGAGCATCCCAACTTGGCACTTCAACTCCCATCTGCTCAGCCTTGGAACCACGGTCGTATGTTCTGGGAAGTCCATTTCATAATAGGCCAAGGTAATTGACCAGATGTGTCCATCTCATCCTTTGATTTCGAACCCCGTGTGCTCAACACACAGTACGTCATAAACAGTCCCCTCTAAGCTAGCACACTCCACAACGTTCACTAGGGGGGACGTCTTTGCGTACACTCTGCTTTCACACGGGTGCATCATCGTTTGCATGCCTGCTCTTCATCCCAGATTCGAAAGTTGAAGCAGCTAATGTTGTATACCGAAGACTGTCAGGTTTAGGCGTATGCCTCTCCATTGGACATTTCAACATAACCATTCCATTCTATTCGTTGCTGCGTTCTCGCCCCGGCGTTCAATGGTGACGGAATCAGGTGGTGTTGCATTCTTTTGACCACGTTTCTTTCGTCAGCTCCTTCCATCTGCCCATCTTAAAGGCATTACATAATGACACGGCCTTGATACTTTGTGGTGGGTATTGCGGACTGTGATCGTTGAAGCAAGGAAGCGTGGTGAGAGTCCTTAGGCAGAGCAGAGCTACGGAGTTAGTAAGCCATCGATGAGTTCCCGCTCCCTGGCACACTCGCAAAAGGATTCATCGATGGCCACTGCTTCGTGCTGGTTCCAATGGAACCCTACCCCCCACGGACGGGCCCTCTTCCGTTATCACCACATGCGTCGATCTTGTTATTATTGCAGTCTTTTGTACGGAGAAAATAAACAAACATTTCTTCCCTGCAACCAAAAAAGGCACGTGCTCTTTCACGTGCCTTTTGGGGGTGAAATCAATGGACAGCGAACTAGACGCGGCAGTACGTGCGACAGATACGGACGCTGCGCAAGCTAGACTTTCTGCTGTGAACAAAGGGTACTTGTCCGACGATGTCTTTATTCAGTTCTTCATTCCTCGTTCGCGTTACTTGCCACCGCGGCCGCCTCTGATCAATGTTGGGACGTTCATTCGCGCAACCGCTATTGACATGCTTGTCGACAAATGGATCCAACTATTTGGGAGAGTGCAGGTCGTATCCCTAGGGGCTGGAAGTGATACACGGTTCTGGAGACTATCGGTGATTCATCATACCCTCTGATGTGTGGAATGCACTCTTATCTCGTTTGGGACTCTGCAATGTTTTCGGCTCGTATAAACGATCCACCAAACTTTAGACGGCAGGGAAGTCGAAGTCATTAGAACACTATGTAGAAATCGATTTTCCAGAGAACACGGCACGGAAAGCGCACTCCATTCGTAAGAATGACGCGTTAAACCGGCACCTGGAGGATATCACGATAGGTATGAGTTAAACTCCTGATGAATCATAGTAACGGCCCCTAACTATCCCACATCGAAGATCAAGGCGGTACGGCTCTCCGCTCTACTCAATACAGCCTCATTCCTCTTGATCTCCGAAACCCGCCCTCGATCATTCTTGCCCCTTTAATCAGTTCCGGGCTGTTGAAGCGATCTATACCAACACTTTTCCTGTCGGAATGCGTTTTTGTGTATATGCCACCTGCAGCATCTGACGCTCTGGTGCGCTGGTTTGGAGAAAATTTTGAGATAGTTGGGGGTACCTTGTATGAGATGTTTGGATTAACTGACGAATTTGGGAAAGTCATGCGAGCAAATCTTATGGTCAGTTATGATTACCGATATTTTCTGCGAATGACTAAATAGGCTCAACCTTTCCTATGCAGACTCGCCATGTGCAGCTTCTGGTGTAGATGCATACCAAACATTGGAAGCGCAAAGTGCAAGATACTTGCAACATGATTATACCCATGCGACGTCGATTACCCTCAAGACGGTGAGAAGGCACTATATCCCCTCGGCTGAGTTACAGCGGTACGTCCATCTTGTTCACCTGCTTCGAGTTTCTATAGTACCTTGATTCAAAAGGATTGCCTTCCTGGAAATGCTAGACGAGATCGAGGAGCTTGATCTTGTTCTGGATCACTATGTGCTATCCTGGGGAGTCAAAGTTGCGCCGGGTTCAGATGATGAAGTGGTGCGGCACGCCGTAAGTTGGGGTATAGATCGCGTGGATGACCCCGCCAACGATAAAGACGAGCTTGAAGAAGGGGAAATCCAACAAGATGCATGAACGGTTGAAACTCAGCCAGCTTTTGTGGCCTGCATCCATGAACTTCGCGATCGGAGCCCCTGCGAACTGTATTGTATTTTGTAACTGACGATCTTCATGATCTTATACCTTGTATGTACCCATGTATCATAATATTGATGGAACATAGATCACGAGCGTTTCAGGGAAGTATGAATATTCCACTCCTGCCCCCGGTGGCTCGATCCTTCCATAACACTAGTGAGGTCGCAGGACATCAATGCTCAATCCCTGTTGTCATATGTAATGACATTTCCAAACACATTGCCTCGGATCCGGTCTCTGAAGCTGATTCCGAGCCGCCTGATCTTGGCGCTCCCACGAGCAGTCTGAGGTTTGTAGGTCAAATATCCGGAACAACAACTGCAGCTAGCTCCCACCCCAACTGGCTTATTATCCGCTCTGCATGCCGTTGCCTCCTTTCCTTCATGAATCGTCGTTCTTGGCGCAGGCATGGCTCTACTCGCGAAGCAGCCTCAACTTTTACCGTGTGCACATCATCGTGTTTACAGTAACTCCTCTCATATTCTCTGCCATCATGTATGGAAGCAACGGGAGATACCCAGTCTCGTACATTGACTGTCTCTACAATTGCGTCTCAGCCATGACGGTGACGGGCTTGGCCACTATCAACCTCAGTGGACTCACAGCTTGGCAACAGTTTATCCTGTGGTTTCAGATGTCAGTGGGCAACATCGTAAGCCTACCTGCAACTGCTGTGGTGGGCTACTGATGACAGCTAGTGCGTCCATCGTCCAATAAGGTCACTGTGTCTTGGGTGATGGTTCTCGTACGGCAGCAATTCCTCAAAGCCCAGTTTGAATCTGCCGTTCAGTATAGGAATCGGAATGGTGACACACGAGGGGGACGGAGTGAAATTCTCCGGATCGATATGATTCGAAGGGTTGGCGATCTCACTCCAGTAAATCCGATGGGATTCATAAGCGGCGAGGGAACAGCAATTATCGATGCGACTGGAGGAAGAACCGTTCTGAATCAGGGGCCTGTGACTGGGGATGTCAATCATTCCGGCGGTGGCCTAAACCCCTCATCGCAATCTCTCACTTCGTGAGTTGTTCGTAGTATTGTTGGTTTGTTTTTTGGTTGTGCGACCACAGATTTCAGGGTTGCCTCGTCCCGAATATTGCAACGACGAGCATCTGATCGTGGCGAAACGTCAGGAGATGGAGATGCTGTAGGTGCGTTATCGATCGTTGACTAGTTGTGTCAGCATCTTTTGCTTAGATTCTACCTAGAAACCGCGTTATTTGACAGTGAAAGACGGATAGCTCAGCCAAATTCGCAGAGATCAAATGCAACGGAGCAAGACTCGAGTGTGGATCCCACACAGTTTCAATCCAACTTCCCCCGAACACAAACTATTGAATTTGTTCAGCCAGAACAGCTCCTACATCGCCGTGAACGCGGACACTCCTTGGGTCTTTCTTCTACAGCAGAGGACCATATAGGCGCCGAGCCAGAAAGATGGGATCGAGGTGGGCCTTTGGGCCTCCCAGGACGAACTAATACCATCCGCACAATTGGTTCCGAAGTCGACCCCCCGCCTGCCGGGAGCGCATTGCCTCGCCGGACGTCGGCGAAAGATCTGGGTTTCGGGGGATTTCCCATGCCTCATCAGCTCCTAGCAAGAATTGGCGCTCGACTCTTCCCCACAGTCGCGGAACGCATAGAAAGGACGACAACGAATCAAGCCCAGGCTATCTCCTTGCAACCGAGCAGGGTCTCCGCAAGCGCCGCAGCAAGGACGGGGTTGGGCATGACAACAGCCCGCACGAAAAGTGTTCCTTACATCAGCTTTGATGCTGTCGTTGGGAGAAATTCCCGGTTTCATGGGCTGACCAAGGAGGAACTGGAAGAACTCGGTGGAGTAGAGTACAGGGCACTGAAGTTACTACTCTGGCTCGTCCCTGCTGTAAGTATCTAGGCCAAATGATCTCTGGACGCCCTGCGATTATAGGTTTTATAGTATCACTTTGGCTGGCAATTGATTATTTTCACTATCCTCGCCCCGTACATGGCCCAGTCACGATGGAAGCCGGTATTTCAGTCCCAAATACGACCGCTCGGCTCAACATGGTAAGAGTAACTCCCCTTGGAACCAAATCAATCACTTACGGCTCTGTGCAGGTATACCGCCTTTATTGTTACTTCTGCCTACACTAATTCTGGGTAATGCATGTTCTCGGCAACTTGGCGACCTATTCTCAGTACACTCATCGCAGAACCTCACTCGTTGATCAATCCATGACTCCATTTCAAAACGCGTACCCACAAATTATCTTCTTATTCATAATCATCTTCGCAGGCAATACAGCATATGTAGGTATCAAGGCGCTGGAATATGTCCTTTTCTCGTGCTGACTGCTTCTGTGTGTAGCCAGTGTTGTTCGTATTTTCACTGCATACGTTTCACCTTGCACTGATTTACACCCTACCGCGCAAAGTCTTCGCCTTACAATGTAAGGGGTTAATGATGTTTCGTGCCACTGCCAAGCGCTCAATGATCACCACAGATGGATCATGGCCAAATGTGTGGCTGCACAATCTCGAATCCATGAAACACTTCATTTCCTACTTGACCACCCTCGACGTTGCTTCGTCTATCTATTCCCGTCTCACCAAACATGGTTCCTTTTCGCGTTCGTCGCTGTGCTCACGGTTACAGATTGGGTCTCATTCTTAGTTCTGGACGTCGGCAACCCCGAAATCATGAGGTTGCCCGTGGGGCAGCGACTCCTGATCGGACTGCTTCAAAGTGGGGCCGTACGTGCGGCTGGCTTTTCCGTTGTTGCTTTGTCGGTTCTCGCGCCTGCGGTCCAGTGAGTCGCACCTGAGCAGTTGTCAGCCAATACGCGCTGACGAAAGCCTTGACAGGGTAATCTACGTTATCATGATGTTCGTGGGTGCTTTGGGTAGCCTTTGTATCCGCATACCGAATATATTTCCAATCCAGGTATATATCGGTCTATCCGATTGCGATTGCAGTACGCTCCACCAATGTCTACGAGGAGCGCTCCCTCGGAATCATAGAAGAAGATCATTTGGAGGAACCATCTGATGTTGGGTCGAGAGGACAAGTGTTGGGGAGGTATTTTGCATGGCATGCTAGACGCCAACTAGCATTTGGTTAGTTTTACAATCCGCTCAAGAATGAAGTCGGAATCTACACATCCTTTCGTAGATATGTGGTGGATAGCGGTTGCTTTGGTACTCGTCTGCATAGTTGAGGTAAGACATGGCCTGACTTCTGGCCACTCTAGGAGAACGTGCTTACACCCCTCTTTAGCGAGGTCAGATTGAGGACAACACGAAAGTCTCCATTGATATATTCCCCATCAGTGAGTTCTTTGTCTTCCGCAAACGGTTGGGCTAATCGCCTCGGGTAGTTTTTGAGTTGGTTTCTGCCTATGGGACGGTCGGAATGTCTCTAGGGGCTAATGGGGTCAGTCGTCCGAAAATCAAGGGAAGACCATTCCGCTAATTTGTGATATTCAGCAAAATTATTCACTTTCGGGTGTTTTGTCCCCATTGTCAAAAGTGATCATATGTCTGGTGATGCTTCGTGGTCGCCACCGTGGTGAATGTTATTCAACCCCAAAAATTCCCTCCCATATGTAACTTTTGCTCCCATATGCTAGGGTTGCCTGTAGCAATCGATCGAGCCGTAATGTTGCCCAAAGAGTACCAGAGAGAAGACGCAGAGATATCCGCGTTGAGGAGCCGCTCTCATTATGCCGAAGGCAATCATCCTGTGGACACGGACCACCATCAAACCAGCCAGCCAAACGTTTCAGGACGACACAATACCGATAGATTAACAAAAGACAGATAGCACGCGACCACGCATACAGTGTCGCGATGCTCGTCTAGAGAAGCTCACTCTTGTAATGGGACCATCAAAACGAGCATGACTAGTGCCCGTTACCCGTTGTCAACATCGCCTGGCTCTATACAATTGTGCATAATTAAACGTATCCACTTCTTGGGAACCGCTGGACAGTTTATGGTGATCGGCCAAGGGTGCTTCAAGGGCGAAGTGGCAACGCGTGGCTCGCAGATGCAAATACAACGGTGAGCAAATGGAGAAATGCAGACAAACCGGGGACTGTTGGAGTGATAAAGGGAAAATGGGCAAGAAAATGACAGTGGAAACATCAAGCACATAGAAAGCATCAGGCACAATCTTACAGTAGGCAAATGCCGCAAAGCTGCAGTGGTGATGGCAATGGCAGCGGCGGCGACATCGCGTGCCAGGCCACGTCTCTGGGCTCACCGATCTTGCTTACCAGAAGGGAGATAGCAGGCGACGCGGAGGCAAAGGGAGGGGAAGGGCAGCGCACTGATCCCACTCCTGGCACTGGTCATTGGCTGAGCTTGCGAAGCTTTTGTCAAGCAGTCGTGATTTGGATTGGACATTCGCTGTCTGCTGAATATTGCGCCTCCGCACTGAGCCAAACAACATACAGCCCTAGCTAAACACCAACCAAAAGTTCGTTTAGTGCTTCAGGTTGCACGTTGGTCACATTTGGTACGTGTCCTATATCGGCACCGATCAATCAGCATCTAGTTTAGGCAAGCATCGTCAGCAAAGCGATAACGGACGAGCGTCATCGGACACGCATTGTCTAGTTCAAGCGAGAAGCGACCATGGTTGGTGATTCGTGTCAGGCGGTTGGTGATTCGCGCCAGGCGATTGTAGCTCGAACATGATCGAACGATGGTCATTCCGCAATTAGTCTCGTGTAATAAGAGTATTAAACATCAACAAAAGGTCGTGTTCGGTGATATTAATAAGTTACGGGTCGAAGTCGATGGGATATTCAATCATCACTGTGGAAGGGACAGGCCAGATTAGAAATGCCGAGGGTGGGACCGAACGGAGACGTACTCGGCTGGTTCTCTTCTCATGAATAGATCTATGGCTCCAGAAAATGCAGCAAAAGCTAACCCGCCGGCGACAGCAGCTCTAGGGCCGGAGTTATGGGCCAGAATGGCGCCAGAAACAAATCCAGCAGACAAGGCATTATTTATATCGTTTTTTGCCCGGTACTTACAAGGAAAACATCTCAGAAGAATGCAATATCGACGAGTTGGCATGTACTTACTCCTCAATGATACACTCTACACCAGAGTAGAGCGCGCCAACCTTCCCAAAACCTTTCCCGGACTTGTACATCCCCTTTCCCATATCTTTGAACACCTGTGTCGTCTTTTGACGGGTGGACATATTTTCTTGCTGCCACGTTCGGGACAATGGGTCCTCATACGCGAAGCTCGTCGACATCATGGAGAAGAAGGCGCCCAAACCAAATCCTTGAGAGAACAAACGTCGCACTTAAAGGGCTGTCATAGGAAACACATTGTATTGAGCTCACCCATGACTCCCGCCATCCCGCATTTGAAGACGCAACTCTCGGCACCCATACTCATATACTCCTGCATCTTCCGTTGCTGATCGAGGGCTGGTCTATCATCTTCCGCAAGACCGGGTGGCAGAGGCTCGCGGCCTGCAGGGAATACCGGAGCCACCAAGGGTATGGATGGCTTCGACATTCTACGCAAGAAAAAGTTAGTTTTCTCACGGTCCTATAATTCTCGCATTCAGGTGACCCCGCAAATGCAATCTCTGCCGCAGCGAGTGTTCTCCTCACGACCCTCATTTATGGCCTCATGGTACGAATCTTTGGTACTTAGGCCACATTCCATTCATCCGTCATCGTTTTCCAACTTTGTCTTCCGGCGCCGCTTCCGAAAAGACAAGCGACAAGGAAGTTTTTTGTGGGGGGGTTTTTGATTTTGGATGATTGCTTACTTTTTACGGACCAACGAGGTCGGCCTGTATGTCTTACCTTAGTTGCAGTGTAGCGGAGTTGGCCGAATTTATCGTCTGCATTACATATGTAAAAGGTTATTTGCAGAAACATCACTCGGCGCCACAGTCATACTAGGCCGCAATACGGAATATCACACTAGACCACAGCAATCCATTGCCAAATATATATGAACACGATACAGAGATGATGCCCGGCGGAGCCCCGGAAAAATCAGCGAGCGACCAGCCTCAAGGCCCTACTATTCGAGCTGTTGGTAAGGTGAAAAAAATAAAATAACGAATATGTTTTAGAATTGCTGCATCCGTTGTTGGACTCGCTCTTTGACTGTTTGATAAGCGCTTAGAAGAGTCTGCTCGTTGATGACGATATCTGTGGTATCTGCCGGGGTCTACTGACTCTGGAGGCAATGGCGTTGAATCCGTTTCTAGGATAATGCTGCGTGATGGGAAGATAAGGAAAGGGAGGAATCAAATAGCTGAATGCGCGCACCCATCATCGATCGTCTCATCTAAGCATAATAGAACCATATCCAAGTTTTCAAGAAGGCTTCTCTTCTCCAGCTGATTTCGAAGTAGCAGAGAGATTGCATCATAGAAAGCGGATAGAGCAGCATTCAGCATGAGCTCATTTTCCACCGCCGTCCCGAGAATATAGAAAATGAGGTCGAGGGAATGTTTGTAAACTGCGAGGTACGACTCATAAATAATTATGTCGCCTAACACAGATCTCAATCAGCGTGGTGGGAAATGGCTTTTAGCGAATGCTCTTGCCTCCAGGCTTTTTCGTTTTCTCCCAGAGACCCTTCTCAAAAGCCCTCTGGTCCTTTAACACCGTAAACTGTTTACCAACCGCCTCGTTCTGTGGAGCATTCTTCGGCTTGAAATATTTGGCCAAGACTCGATTTCCATCCGTGTCCAGCACGATGAAGGCCGAAGTGGTATAGAGAGAAAGATTCGGTGAAGCCTAAGGGTTTGTGTCAGCCAGCTATTGCATACGGGCACGTCTGATATTGCTCTGGAACGAGCGAAGTGAGCAAACGAGAACCAACCATGACAAATAGACGAATAGACGAATAAATTCGGCCAACAAATGTTTTTTTCGTGTCAGAGCTAGTCACCTGACCAATTGAATTGACCCTTCAGCGCGTATTTGGAGAACACGCGTGTGTCTTGATCGCACGCGCACACGATCACATCTCATCAGATTTGGTTGAGAAAAAAACTCAATGCATATCTTGCGCGTGCGATCTGTAAGATATTCGCCTCATGGGTACTGAGGCAATCGCATATCCTTTCAGTTCATTGTTTGGGTTCACGTGGTGCACTTGCTGAGGCCGGTTTTACATTGATATTAAGCCATTCTTTCAGCTGCATGCGGCCACGCTGTTACCTTGCATCTCGCTCAGGCCACCCTATAATAATCGGGCATCTCTGTCTCTCTCTTAGATCCCGGTATCTCTCGTGGGCCTTTCCGTAAAGCGATCTCCGAGATCTCCTTCCTGCGGCCAACCCTCAGCAGCACACAATCAGCATCACCAAAGTGTAACAATGTCGCGTCCTGAGTATAATGGTCCTATCTCCTATGGAAACACTCCATCGGTTGGAATCGTTCCTTCCGCTGAGGATCAGTATGCACCCACCTACGGTGGAGTGACCGCAGGAGGGGTTCCAACATCCCCAGCACCTCAACAACATCAGCTGTACTATGGTGTCCCTCAAGCCCCGGGGCCAATAATGTACGTGGACCCTCAGCCTCAATATTACCCTGCGGCTCCTGTGCTTGTCGGATGGACGGCGAATGGCTATGTTGGCTCTCCAAGCCCTCAAGCCCAAGCCCAATCACCACCACCACCTACCTACGGTGCTAAGGAAGCGGGGTGGAAGATTCCTAGTGGAGGAGGTGCGTGTTATTGACTTTCCACTCTGTTGCCTCTTCCATACTCCACCCGAGCACACCCCATCTTGTTTGAGTTCACGCCCAATACGAAGCTAATTCGGTTGAAATGAACAAGATTACACTGACACCGTCGTGCTTTCTCCCACGATACGCTCCGAACAAGCATCAATGCAAGGCCCATGCCCTATCCTGTGGGATGTTAGACGTCACCCCTCATCGGCCACCGTCACCCCAGCCACAGGTGTCAATCCCGAGCTAAATCGTGAGTTACCGATTTGCCTCATCGATCGCACCAAATTTCCCCCATCATGTTCCAAATATGGTACGAATCTGAACGTGTGGTACTATTAACAGAGGCCGTTACACATCCACCTGTTCGGAGCATGATCATCATATCCAAATACCTGCCCTGGTCGATCTCCATCAAGAAGTATTCGGCGATTAGGTGCAAAGATGTCGTTGAGGCCGTGTACAATACATTGCAGGAAAAGATTTCTGCCAGTGAATTCTGGATCGCCAGTCCAGAAAAACGCAAGATCATGCAGGCTGTTAACGAGAGGGTGAATTTCTTCCTTGCCTCATTTTCATCACCGTGCAATAATGCATTCTTGTGATCCAGGAAACTGATAACTCCCGTTCGAAACGCAAATACATTACGACACGTATTAAGGGCAGAGAAATTGAACGCCTCGACACGCCGTTGCGGGTTGACTTTCTCGATCAGATGACGCTCTTCAAGGGTCTGTATCATGATCCAAAGATGATTTCGGAAAGGCTGGCCCACGATCCTGAGTCTATCGAAGATGCGTGGGTGTTGTCTTTGGGGTTCTCTCCTGATGAGGATGCTTGATGAATCGTCGGTTTTTGCGATCTGACGGGACAGGTTTCCCCACTTGTACGAATCGATGCATTGATTGCTGCACTGGCAACTAGTTGTAATTCTATATACGCGAAGACTTGTATGCTACATGGGTCAAGGGATTATGTCTATGAAACAAAGAAAGAATAAGGCAATATCATACAAAGAACGCCCAAGAAAAACCGGCCATGGACGAACATCACCGCTGTTCAACCAACATGCGTTCATAACACAACTTAATCACTCATATTGTCCTCCAGAACTTGACCGAATACCGAGATAAGATCATGCCTTGACCCAATTTTCACCACCTCGCTGAACTCCGCGGCAATCTCTTTAACGTCCTCCCACCGAGAACCATCATCTCCACACACCAAAACAATTCGAACACATCATCTTGCACCCGTCCAGTTATGCCTGTGTGCTGGGTGACAATCCTCTTCACCGCGCTTGTGAGGCTTGCGTCCTTGTCTGTGCTAGCGTGAAGCGAATCAACATCGCCATCGTCCATAACCAGATAGAGGCTTCGGAAGGCTGAGTGGTGAATGAGAGTTCTCGAGAGGACAGATTGGGGCAGGGCTGACACATCTGACACCCATTTGGCGTCTGTGTACCCTTTTATCCCCAAGGGCGTCAAGGCAAGCGACTCAAGGCACGGATGGCGCAAGACAAAGTCGTCAAGAACCGCCAGCGAGAGCGAAGGTGCGTTGATAACGGCAGTTCGGAGGGGCGGTGAGGTGCTGATCTTTGGAGGCTCATCCGTGGTAGACTGAGTGATGAAAAGGTGTTGCAAGTTAACGGTTTGGAATGCCTGAGAATATGATGCGATGTCACCCTGTAGTACCAGGGTTTTGAGTCTAGGCAAGCGGAGTTGGGACTTTGGGGTCCAACCATCCCTTGACGACGCTCTCCAGTAGAGATGCTCTAGAGCTACACATTGCTTTAGAAAAGCCCAAGTTGATTTAATGTTCATTGCTTGGTCGATGTGGAGCTCAGTGAGAATAGTTCGGCTCAACCCTTTGAGGGAAAAGCTCCAGGTGGAGGAATTTCGGATGTCGACTCTTCGCAGACACCTATCCACCATGGAGGGAAGGAAGAGCATGGAGGAGCAATCATCTGTGTAATCCGTACTCGGCTTAGCCTGAATGACGAGTTCCTCCAGCGCTGGCATGGCCTTGGTGAAGAGGATAAAGAGTGTTTCCGGAGGGCGCCACGTATGTCCAAGGTTCGGATACTGAAAGCGTAATGGTGAATGAGTTCGATGAGTTTGGCGTCGAATCCCAGGCCACACGCTGTGTGAAGGAGAGTTTTACGCTGAGAGGCAACCCTTTGGACCTGTCGATATGTAGTGCAAGCTGCTTTTCGGCGGACCCCGACTTGGAGAAGATAATACTTGCACATGTCCACTGTCCAAAGAGCCAAACGTCAGAAAATTCATCAACAAATCAATTCAGAAAATATGACCAGGACCGGTTCATTCCAGATCACTTGACGCCAATGATGACATATCTTCATCAACGAAAACAAGGGAGTTTCGTCAAGGAACCCCGCTGCTCTCCGTACATGTTCTAAAATACCAGAGAGTACTGCCTCTGGGAGCTTATTCACAATGCGTTCCGAATTTGCCAATCGCCTTTTGGCGAGATCATGGTGATGATCATCAACAGGCGCGGGAAATTTTGGAGTATTTGGATTCTTGAGGTCTTCTGCGTTCTGGTGTGCGTCCATCCTCGTGGTATCAACGCACACAATGACCGTTGTGTTGCCTCCTGAATTTTTGCACCAACGGTGCCTGGCGTCCAAAGAAAAGAAGCGGGTGAATGTGCTTTTCGGACCATAAATAGGATCCTCAGGGTCACGCGCCGTGTGTGAAGCCCGGAGCCGAGGGGAACACATTCAAAATAAGATTTACATAACTCCGATACGGCAACAAGTTTGATGGCAGTTCCCACGTTCGATATAAAATTTCCAATAATACCGATGGGTTATGTCATGGACTATGACTTACTGGAGCAGTCGGGCCATGTAACCGGCACAAAAACTGACAGACTGCCGAGGGTTCTTCAACCCATTGATCTCCCCGCATCGCTGGGGTCAACGATCAGGGATTTTTTTCGTTCCCGCCAGTTCTGTTGAACGGCCTCTGCTGCTCAATCATGCCAACAAGCAGCACCCCCAAAAAATCAACCGGGATGGGGGACACTGAACAGAGATCGATTCGCGATGGTGATATCGAGATACTGAACACCCCTTCAAGACACAGTGACGCCGACTTGGACGAGTGCTTTTCTATTGATGCTCTGGATGGTCTTGGGAAATTGCCCCCGGAGAAATCCCTGTCTATCCAGAACGGACAGCGACATGAACGCTACCTTGTTGTATGGGACGACGAACGTGATCCTCAAAATCCTCAGGTAGTGTCGATATGACCTCAACCTCGTGCGATCTCATTTGGCGAGCTCGACATCCCATCAGAACTGGAGTCGTCTGTATCGGTGGTGGCTCACCTGGTTGGTTGGTACCCTTACCCTCAACGCCACCTTCTCGAGTTCGGCGCCGTCAGGTGTCATCCAGCAACTTAAAGACGAGTTTCATCTTTCAACCATCGTCACCTCTCTCCTTATTTCGCTCTTCATCGCAGGATATTGCGTGTATGTATTCATATGATTTGCCCTAGTTTTGAGAACACTTATTCCCCCCCCCCCTTACAGCGGCCCTTATTATGGGGCCCTCTATCGGAGGCCTATGGGCGTCGACCGGTTTGGGTTATTTCCTTTACTTGCTATGTTGCATTCCAGCTAGGATGCGCGCTAGCACAAAGCACGACCCAGTTACTCGTCTTCCGCTTCCTGGGAGGATGTTTTGCCGTTAGCCCATTAACCACCGCGGGGGGAGTCTTTGCTGACTTGTGGGACGCAAAGACACGAGGGAAAGCAATGGCGATTTTCACAGTATGCCTGATCCCGATATTCATGCCGAAGGGCGTCTTGACTTTGGTCTCGATCTCAACAGGTAGCGCCTTTCGCTGGCCCAGCACTAGGACCAATGGTCAGCGGCTTCATGAATGTCCGCGGTCTCTCCTGGAGATGGTTGTTCTGGGTCTTAACAATCTTTGCTGGAGTCTGCACGCTCTCTATTTACTTTCTGCTCCCCGAGACATACGCGCCTGTCATTCTGAAACAGAAGGCACAGAGGAAACGGAGGGAGACGGGCGACAATCAATGGTACGCACCTATGGAGGCCGCACAAATCTCTTTCAGCCAGAAAGCCACGGAGATTCTGTTCAAACCGTGGTTGATCTTTATTTTGGAGCCCATTTTAATATCCTTGACGATCTATATCTCAGTACTTAAATGTCAATATCTTCATGGACGGAGCTGACTTGAGTGTTTTGTGATTCAGTTCCTTTATGGTTGCCTGTATTTGCTCTTTGAAGCCTTCCCCATCGTCTATGGTGACAATCATGGCCTGAATACTGGTCTTCAGGGCCTAGTGTTTCTGCCACTTTTCATTGGGGGTGGGATCAATTGTACGCTGGTAAGCAACATTTCTTCGATCGCACTCGTCAGTGCGCGTTAATGGCCGTGGAAGATTGTATTCGTTGAGAACCCCCGCTACGAAAAGCTCGTAGACCATTATCATCCTAACCCGGTCCCACCTGAGGAACGGCTTCGACCGAGTATCGTTGGATCCCTGTTGGTCACCATCTCGTTCTTTTGGTTCGCCTGGACAAGCTTCCCTTCGGTCAATGTGTGGGTTCCAATAATGGCAGGACTACCAATGGGTTTGTCCATGATCATGTTATTCGTATGTTTTTTCCATCAGCCTTGAAACATCCCTTTTTCTCAAGTCTCCCGTCGATAGATCTCGTTATTAAATTACATCGTGGACGTGTACCTCCAAGTAGCTGCAACCGCACTCGCGGCTAACACCGTCGTGCGAAGCCTCTTTGGTGCTATATTCCCGGTATGCACTTTCATTTGCTGTCCCTCATTTCCCTTCTCTTACATGTTGGGCGTAATGCCTGCGGTTGCATTCAATCGAAATTAGCTATTTGCTTCCCAAATGTACCGCAAACTGGGGCCCCAGTGGGCATCCACTCTTCTGGGCTGTATCCTTCTGGCAATGATCCCTATGCCGCTTTTCTTCATCCGATTTGGGCCAGCTATTCGGGCGAAGTCGAGATATGCCCCCCCGAGGAGATAACACACTTTTTCGCCCCTTTGACCACACCGGCATTTCGTTGTTTGCGCCACACACCAGAATTCCAATAGGCCATTTGGTGCCGATCTAAGACCATATCTTCTCGCCTCGAGGATATCCTTATTGCCTCGGCGTGGCTCCCGATAATGCATCTAACAACAGAGCATTGGGGTCGGATTCCATGGGGTTCGATAGTGTCTGATATTAGATGATATATGGCTCCAAATTGTGATCTTCCATTTTGAGTCTACAATGACACCAATAATGGTGTTTACAACCACCGGCGTGGAATGTCTTTAATTGTTGTTTTTTTCCAGCTTCTTGGGCCGGGTGTTATGCGATGGTCGCCGCGCCGCTGCCTCATGACGCGTGCTTCGATGTGCCGATGAGATATCGGCATTTCTGCGAACGCATCACTGTCTTTCTATAGAGTTGGCGAGAACATCCCGTCAGTAACGAGAATGGGCACGATACATCTCGAGGAAAGTTGCTCACATTTGCCTCCTCTATGAGCTTCTCGAGCGTGTCCGAACACCATTTTGCATTCATACTAGCCAGGGGGAATGCTTCGTGAGAAATCTTGATAAATCCATGTGCAACCCCCTCCCCATCCTTGACTCTTCCCTTCCCCTTCTTAACGGAGAGCTGCTTGGCCTCCTCGACGCTGAAACCAGCATCACGAGGAACATCAGTGGTCCACCGTGGACCAGCAAGAAGTTTGAATTTGTGTATGGCAGATGGAGACTTGAGGGGAAGGTAAGATACGGGGGCTACAATAACAGCTTTGTTCGTTGCGGGGTGTGGCTCGCCACCGTATGAAAGGGTACGGATAGAGATGGGTGATTGCGATAGAGGGACAGGATGAACAGGTTTCCGGAATGCTTCGGGGTAACGAAGAGTTTGGTCAGCGTTCACATTGTGCGCATGAAGGGGAGGAAAAATTACCTGCTAACAGAGGCACTTCCATCTCGATCAGACGTAGGTATTTTAACGTCTGACGTTGCTGTCGCAACATGAGATGTCCTACACTGGTAATGTCATCGTGTTTGAAATCTTCCATGGTGCGCTCCAAATCGAAAATGGGGGCTTCGACACCATCCTCAGCAGAAATTTCGGCCAAGTCTGTGCCCCACTCCATTTCCTCATTACTTTCTGAAGGATTCAATATCTTGCTGGTGTCGTGTGGGAGTCGTTGATAGGTGAGTTGGTTCAACATCTGTACGTAGGGATGTTGAGAAGGGATGTTCAACGGCCGTGAACACACTAATGGTCGTGAAAATCTAGTTAGAGTTGCTGTCCTCTTCATGTTGCGACTCGCGAAGGTGCGAAGGTGAGAAAATCCTTCGGAATCAAACCGTGGAAATTTGAAATGACCGGGTGTGAGTCCTGCCTATAAACAAACGGCGTTGGCAATGTTCCTTGCGTGAAATCCCGATGACCTCGCAGCCTCCACTCGCGGCTTCCACATGAGCCACTTCTCAATACATCCAGACTAACTGAAATACGAGGCGTCACCAATGCGGGATTGATCTCAATTTTTCATGTTAAGTATTTGAAAGGCTCCGCGAAAGTGTCCGCCAATGCTTGTAATATTCAGAATGCAATATCGAAGAGATCAGGAACTCCATTCATATACGTCGGTACATGGTTCAAATGACTTTTGCAGCACACTTTATCACTTACGCAGCGTTCGGCGTTGAACGTGTACAGCGAACGGACCAAAAGATCCATGAGTGCCGGCATTGTTTGGCTTTGCTGCGTGGGCTCGTCGAAGAAAATTCACACTGTTCAAAAGCTAGTGTCGACGCCCGGGGCCGGCCAGTGAAAACTCTTCGTTGAAGATTCGTAGGGAATGGTTGTGAGGCACTAGTATTCACGAGCAAGGAGGCACGGTTGTCATTGCTTGTATACTTCATGAGCCAAAGTGTCCTAGAAAAAAGTCATATCTTCAACGTCCTGATCTCTTTGTCAGCACTCTCGCTGGGGAGTTGGGGTGTGGAGATGGGTATGGAGAACTGGAAGTGTAGAGTCCAGCAGCTCTGACGCGGTCGCGGCCCGGAAATGAAGGTGGTTGCGTGATCGGGAAAGTCCTCATGCTCATGCAGAGGCAACAATAATATTAGGAACAGTGATTAGCGCGGAAAGCACGCAGCCGACAGCATATCGATCGCCAGAGTAGCCCTGAAGCAAACGTGGACCAATTCGCGGAGCGGATTAATCAGTGCGTGCACTGATCCCTCGCCGTGCACATTGCAATACATATTATTCGGTTGATTGCCAAAATTCATTCTCACGGGTGGTGGGAAACGTCAGCATCACTTTTCTCTGAGAAATGATTGGGTTGCTATGTATCCTCTCCGAATCGGCTGTGTAGAATCACATTCCACCACACTCTCACGTCAACGGATATATTCCTGCATTTGATTCTTGAGTTCTTCCCTCTGTCGGCCACAGTGCTAGCCTCGAGAACGATTCTCCATACGCAGCAATGGTTCTGCAGCCTACGTACAGATGATGGTTTTTATTCCATGTTCACTCTGCTTAGACGCGTGCTACCTCATTCGTCCCGTTCGATCCCCACATCTGCCGCTTCACTGCTTCGGTCCAGCGATAAACCTTCTGAGGCAACCTTCATCGTGGCTTCCGCGCGCGTATCCCTCAGCTCAGTTCCGGTTCGTTAATCGGCGAGGAACACAGGGTCGTGTCTGGATAATCAAGTCCACATAACTTGATCGGGCAATCCGGGCTGCCATTAATATTTCCTTTCACCGGCTGGGAATAGCTCACTGGAATGATTCCCACTTGTCACTGCACTGCAAGGCGATGTGAAACAGCAATTATTTGCCTGCGGAATGCCCATGCGCAGCAGATATGGTACCTGGTCTGTCCTGGAATTTAGTGTGACTAGCGAGCGGGCAACCGCTGTCTTGTTATGTTGTCAATGAGCCGCACGACTGTTTGCTGCGCTTGGTTGATTAAAGTTGTGCTCTTCCTGACCCTCGTGATCGCAATATAAGAAATTCCTTGTCCCTAACTTCCCGCACTAGCTGGCCTTTTCGTCTTGCTCCGTTGCGGACGAAATTCAATCTCGGAAATGCTCAGACAGCTTTCCGAATGACATTTATCCGGTCACCGCGTGGATTCGTCCGGATATTCTCCTAGGAGGGGTTGTCCGGAACGTCGAAACCTCCCAACTTCATCCAAGGCTTGTGTGTTTCGAGTTAAAGAAAATAGATTACTCACCTCTATTTTTCAGTGGGTGTTTGCTGCGCATGCAGGAAATAGTAACCAACGAAGCAGGGACTTAATGGTAACATGGCCACTCGTAAAATTGTTCCCATAACCGATTACATCTACATGTCGTACGGTCAGTGTCTATTTAATCCCAACGCGCATTGACGCAGACAGAAGTAGAACAGACAACAGCCCCCGCTGTGGCACATATAAGCTCATCGCTCATTCGAGGAGGTTTCTCAGCATTGCTGACTCTTAGATGATTTACATTCTTTTCGCGGCTCTGTTGGTCGTGCCCGCGTGGACGGCCACAGTCTCGTACACGATGGACATCGTGAACGCTAAAATATCTCCCGACAATTACACAAGAAATGCCATAACTGTCGGGGGAGCACTGGGTCCATTGCTCACCGCGAGCAAGGACGATAACTTTCGGATCACTGTCAATGATAAGTTGAATGACTCGACCATGTTGAAGTCCACTTCCGTTGTATGTCATCCTTCACTCGGTCCAGCAGAGCCTTACTTTGTTTTCCATAGCATTGGCATGGTTTGTTCCAACATCGGACTGCTGACATGGACGGAGTTGCTTTTGTTTCGCAGTGCCCAATCGCTCCGAACAACTCCTTCACTTATCATTTCGCGACGGCTGGACAAACGGGCACCTATTGGTACGGAATGTTCATACTCGAGCGGAACTTCTGCAGCTGACTTGGTATGAATAAGGTACCACTCTCATTATTCTACCCAGTATTGCGATGGTACGTCAAATCGTTTTGTTTTTCGGGTTTGTGGGAGTCACTCGCTTATTGTGGACGTTCTTTAGGACTGAGGGGTCCCATTGTCATTTGTGCGTGGAAGTTTCGCGTATCATAAACTATTTTCGTACTGAATTGCAGTATGACAAGACGATCCCAATGATCCTCAGGCGTATCTCTACGATGTTGATGACAGCTCCACAGTCATCACACTTGCAGACTGGTATCATACGTGCGTCGCCTCTGTGCTCAGGGTTTACATGTCACTAATGCACACTCGTAGCGCGTCGCAATTGGTCTTCAACAAGACAAGTGGTGTCAGTCCCACTCCCGATTCCAACCTGGTATGATATGAGGGAGAAATTATTGGTTGTATTTTCTGATTAATTGGGACAGATCAATGGAATTGGCAGATACAATGGCTCTACAAATGACCTTGCCGTGATTTCTGTCACGCATGGAAAGAGGTACAGGCTTCGAATCGTCAACATGGCTTGCCACCCCAATTACGTAGTTTCTATCGACAACCATACGCTGACAGTGATCGAGACCGAGGGTACTGCACATCGGGTATGTTTGTGCCACTTTGCTTCCTCCTGTTTAAACTGACATGCTTGTGGAAAGCCTGTCACAGTCGATTCGATTCAGATCTTCTCTGGCCAACGATATTCAGTCGTGGTATGGTCATAGAATGCTGATCTCTATGTATGCAGCGCTCACTTTTGGCGGTAGGTCACTGCCAACCAAATGGTCGGTAATTACTGGATTCGAGCCTCGCCTTCAACTGGCACGTCTGGATTCACGGGAGGTATCAACTCCGCAATTCTTCGATATGTGGGTGCTGCGAAAGAGGAGCCTTCTGGTACGACACAGACAGTAGGTACGACGCTCAATGAGACCAGCTTGATACCGCTCGAAAATCCGGGAGCGGTGAGTCAGATAATCATCAAAGCACTTCGCTCAATCCACTCAGAGTGTTCACGACTAGCCCGGAGGGTCTAATCCAGCAGATGTTTCCATTAACATTGCAATTGCATTCACCAATGCCTCGTTTTCGATTAATGGCGTAGTTTACAAGTCACCCACTGTGCCAGTCCTGCTCCAAATCATGAGTGGCGCAAGCTCCGTGTCTGATTTGCTCCCTTCGGGTTCAATTTACTCTCTTCCTTCGAACAAGACCGTTGAAATAACCATACCTGGGGGAACCGCTGGCGCCCCACATCCATTCCACCTTCATGGGGTACGCGATAATGGTAGAATTTCAAACTCTCGACACTGACTGCCGGGTCTTTCAGCATAATTTCCATGTAGTTCGGAGTGCTGGATCTACTACATACAATTATGGTGAGTGCACACATTCGATGTCTCTGCTTGTCGTTCCAAACTCAGGGTCTCATTTGTTAAGTCAATCCTCCAAGACGAGATGTTGTTTCGACGGGATCTTCAACAAGTGACAATGTTACTATCCGGTGAATATGGACGCCCCCCTTACGCATCATATTAATACTCATGCATTTCATACCCAGATTCCAGACGGACAATCCTGGACCTTGGTTCTTGCACTGCCATATCGATTGGCATCTTGAAGGGTATGTGTTAGCGTTGTTTTTTGGGTGCAGGATTTCAGAGTCACTTTTAGCGGACTGGCCATTGTGTTTGCGGAGAACATCGCGGCGCAAGTCAATGGTACGAACAGTGAAATCATTGATACAGAGTGGGAAAAACTGTGCCCAATCTATGATGCTCTTCCCTCTGATGATTATTGATGCGAGGAAATGTCGTGCGCTTGCTGGATAGAAGATCGTAATCGGACATTTATGCACATACTTGACAGTTGTAATAAGCCACCTGCACAGCTAGTAGCTTCCGTCTTCTGTCTCTATGCATTATAATATATATTGTCTTTACATCTGTCTCATCGCTCTGGGGGATGGGAAAGCCCCGAGTAACCTGTCCCATAATGGGAATGGTAGGCATCATTCCAGCGTCAAATGCGAGGGTTCCCTAGGATTTTGAGTTATGATCCACGCGTGTGTTGTTGTTGGACTCTATCTTAATTGTTACCCCGTGCCCCGTTTTAGCGACTCATTACACCGTGCATACATGAGGGAATCTTGTCTGGGTGGTGAATTCGGGTAGATGGCGAGTCACCGGATCCGCGGAGATATCCAGGCATTGGAGGATATTAATGTGGAGGATTTTACCAAGCGTGCAGTCCACGTAGATTTTCCTCTTTATTCATTCCTTTGTATAAGTATATATACGCACGGACATTACTGTAACCCCAAATTAGTTATCTGTTGATCCTTTTTTCTTGTACGCTGTGACGTCATTGAGTCGTCGACTATACATCTTGCGCCGGCATTTCATGAGATTGCCGATGTTTACTTTTTTGTTTGACCATCGAGATGCTTGCATCCGCGATTTTTTTTTTCTCTTCATTCATCTTTAATGATGATTTTTTCATTTTTTTTTTTTATTTTCGCTATTCGATAGTTATAATATACAAGTTCACATTTTGAATGACGCTTTCCGATATTCATTTTCTATTATCTTCTATCTTACATCTGTGCTTGCGCTGAAGCGTGTTACCATATTTGGAACGCCACGTTCACCTCGGGTTGTGTGGCGCTAGGCAGGTGACCAGCCTCTCTTTAGGGGGAAGAGTGTGGCGCCGGGGGTGATCAGGACAAGTGCTGACCGTGAGAACCAAATTGGCATTCGAACAAACATTGAAACAACAATAAACACACCATTTTTCGGGAACGTTTTCAGCTCATGAGCGGCCGTCGAGCCCCCTTTTCAGGGAAAAACGCGCGTACACAAGTACCGAGGTCTACATCGAACAGTCAGCCACCTGTTAGTTCCTCACATAGCTCATCATCGCGCGTGAAACACGTCGCCCAAGCCGACATTGTGCCGCGTCCAACTTCACTTTCCTCGTCTGCAACAGCTGTCAGTGGTCTTCAATCGGCCCCTTATAGTCAACCAAAGTCGCCCAAGCGTTCCGGGGCCACCCGTGATGGGGGTACAAATATCCAAGTTGTAGTGCGATGCCGGTAACAATGTCGTTGAAGCATGTTGCTATAATTGAAATTCATGTTTGCTTTCAGAGGACCGAATGAGATAGAAATCAAGCAAAAGAGCCCCATTATCGCACGCACAGAGGGTGCTAGAGGCAAAATCATCACAATTCGTGACAACAACCAAATAAACAATTTTGCAATCTCGGACTCTCAGGATGAGGTTGGAAGACATTACGCTTTTGACTATGTTTATGGTCCTGAGGCTACACAAGTCCTGATATTTGAGGATATTGTCTCACCTCTTCTTGAAGAGGTTCTTGGCGGGTTCAATTGCACGATATTTGCTTATGGTCAGACGGGAACTGGGAAAACGTACGTCTCAACCTATATTCACCTCTAGGATACTAATGTCCTGTTCCAGCTATACGATGCAGGGAGATGTCGAGCCAAACGAGGAAGGAATGCCATCCGACTCTGCTGGCATCGCTCCCAGGGTCATTTCTCGTCTTTTTCACCGCCTTGAAGACGAAGCGTCAGATTATAGCGTCAAGATATCGTTTATGGAGCTGTACAACGAGGAATTGCGAGACCTTCTGTCTCCGGACTTGGCGAGTCCCCATAGCGAGTCGGGTCCAGGTGGCAAAGATTCGGGGGGTCTCAAAATATTTGACGAGAACAAGAAAGGGGTCATGGTTATGGGCCTTGAGGAGCATGGGGCACGAGATGAGAGAGAAGCCACGAAGATTCTCGTGAAAGGCAGCCAGCGGCGGCAGATCGCATCCACCAAACTCAATCTTCATTCCAGTCGTTCGCACTCCATTTTCACTCTCACAGTCCACACGAAGGAGACATCATCGAAGGGCGAAGACCTTGTTCGAACCGGAAAACTCAATTTAGTTGATTTAGCTGGATCAGAATCCATTGGTCGATCTGGTGCAGAGAATATGCGAGCGAAAGAGGCTGGGATGATCAATCAAAGTCTCCTTACCCTCGGAAGGGTTATCAACAGCCTCGTGGATAAGTCGCCACATATTCCTTATCGGTAAGCCCTATTCGTCACGTTTTCCGAGTTGCTCATGGAGTATTTGATTGTAGAGAATCCAAGTTAACTCGAATACTTCAAGACTCTCTCGGTGGTAACACTAAAACTTGCATAATTGCCACGGTTTCGCCGGTCAAGGCCAACTACGAAGAGACGGCATCTACTCTAGATTACGCCCTTCGAGCGAAATCGATCAAGAATCGACCTGAGCTCAACCAAAAGGTAACCAAGAACGCGCTGCTTAAAGAATACTTAGCGGAAATCGACAGACTGAAGGCTGATCTAGTAGTAAGACTGGATCGAGCTCAAAAATGCCTCAGGATGCTGACATGCTCTGCGTTAGGCTTGTCAGACGAAGACCGGACGATATTTCGATGAAGAGAACTGGCAAGAAATGGAGACAGAGCAACGTCACATCAAGAAACAAAGGGACGACGCACTTTCCGCACAACAAGAACTTGAGTCTCAGCTCAAGACGCTCCGCGAACAATCCAAACATCACTTCTCTCAAAGCCAGAAGAAAAAGGCAGAATTGGATGCCGCCAATCTAGCCCTCGATGAACGCACCAATACCTTGGTGAGGACAGAACGTGAACTCACCGCTACAAAGTCAAATCTGGCGGATGAGATCGTTGTTCGTCGAGTCCATGCTAGGAACGAGGCGAAATTGGATCGGGTCGCAACTGGGCTTAGAGCTGTTGCGACTCAGGCGGTCAAGGATGTGAACGGGTTGCTCGAGAAGTTAGGTAAGGAGCCTTTGAAACTCACGTTTCCGTTGCTGAGCGAGAGTTTAGATCGGAAGTCCATCATCCTCTCGTCCAATGCCAATGTCGTGAAGAGTCATGGTGATCATTTGGCAGGGGAGGCATCGTTACTTGCAAAGGAGTTGGGTGACTTCATCAGTGAGCAGCGAGACATGCATAGGAATGCCATCAACAGAGCCGAAGAGTTCAAGGCAACTCAAGTTAAAGTGCTTTTGTCGATTTCCCTTGAACGTACAGATGCTAACTGATCTTAAGGCCCTAGAAGCCTATTCCGATTTTATCGAACAACAACTGGCGAAGTTATCTGTTGGCATCACCAGCATCGAAAACAAGGAAACTGCTTCAATGGACGTCACAACAGCCTTTGCAGATCTGGTTCACGAGATGTCTCAGTCGTTCCGTGCACAGTCTGCCTCTTGGGAAGAAGACATGAAACAGAGAGCCACGGAACATCTTGGGGGAATTGGTGAAGAATCGTTCAAGCATATTGCGAGTGTGAGTGATCAGGGAATCCGAAAGAGGGAACATTATTGAACCCTGTTGTGTAGACGGAGAAGTCATTGAGAAATCTCTCAGCGGTGTTCGACAATGTCTTGGAGGATGTTCGAAACCACGTCGAGACTGAGCGGAAAGCAATGGCAACACTACGGGAGCTCACTGACAGTTCTACAGCTACCGAGGTCTGCATTCAAAGACGGGTTGTGTCGGACGCTTGCTTACTTGCTTCGTCAGATATCTCTCTTGAAACGCCAAAATGAGCAACTCCTACGACTCATCGAGACCGAACGGGCATCAACGGAAGCTCTTCAAAAGGATCTCCTCTCCCAGGTCACGAAGGCCATGAAAGGTTTCACCACTGCAAGGGACAAGCATATTCGAGATGCTTTTGGAAAGATGAGCAATGAACTCGTTGACTGTCAACACGAGGTCGAGAAGCACAAATACGAGCACGGAAGCGGCGTTGATGGATCCCTCACCCACCAGAAGGAGCTTCTTTCTCGCATTGATCAGCGAGGATCGGAGTCTAAGCGGATTCGCGATAGTGGCGGAACGTCGTTCAAGCATCTCCGGACAAGCATCCAGAATGGTCTCAGCCAAGTTCAGTCTTCCATTGCTCAGGCCACCGCGGCGCAAGCCAACTTGGTCAAGGAAGAAACAGGGACTCTTGACCAGGCTCGAGCAGGCGCTTACGATAGGTTGCGCAAAGGACAAGAGGACCGTATGGAGCTCCTTCAAGAGATTCAGGCTGACAGCCATCAAGCCTACAGTTATCTTCGTGGTGCTGTGGCTGCTACTTCACAAACCATTCAAGAGACCGTGCATGGTGTAGTTTCGGACGTAAGTTGTTCGACTCTTCGTTGATAGGACATGCTCTAGGGACACTGAATTCGTAGGTCTCGCAAATTGGTGCCTCAACATCAAATTATGCCAAGTCATCGAAAGGCCATCTCAAGGTGATACAACAAGCGACGACGACGCTGCGAACCCAAGGTACGAAGGAGGAAACGACCACGGGGTCAACTCCAAAAAAGAGGAAATGGGGGTACACCGATGAATGGGAAGTGACGAAAGGACGTGGGGCTGTACTAGAGGAATGGCGGAAGCTCCAAGCTCAAGGCTTGGATTTTGAGGACGAGGGGAACGGCGACGAGCCTTTAACCGTCGAGACTATTCCCTGTGCCGAGTCTGAGCCAGGAATCCCACCAATCAAGACAACTCCGGTCCCCGTTGAACCTGAGACAGAACCGGAGGTGCCAGACGGACCAGAGTATGTAGATTATGAGGTTCCAATTGTCGATGACGACGAGACAGGCGGCCGGAGGCGTGGATGCTCAACCCTCAAGCACGATTATTCCTATCACTATCACAGCAGTCTCTGCACCCCCAGTGATAAATGATACCCTTCCTCCCAAACGATTGACTCGACAGAGTCAGGCCTCCGCCTCCCCATGACGACAAGATCTACGACTAGTCTCAAGGTCCCTTTCAGGGGACTCAAACGTCCTGCAAGTACGGTGGGCATCACTACCGCACCTGCAGCAGTTCCGACTTTGTCGGAAAAGTCTGGTGGGACAAGGAAGCGTCCCAAGATTGCGTAAATCCCCAACACACCGATTTCTTGCATTTCAATCACTATATAATGAACCCGCGTGTCTATTTGACTTATTTTGAGTTATTTGTACATCATATGTGTTTATCTTGGCTTTGTTTTTGGACAGAGAGTGCGTGTAAAAAAACAGAGGATCGGCGCCTTGATTGATGGGGCAAGGAAGAAACGAGTTTTGTGGTGCTTTTCGCAACATTTTTGGCTACAATTCGCCATAGCTGAGCTCATAAACTTCGCCGGTGCCCAACCCGCGCGTTCTTTGCGCGCTGGGGTTAACCAGAAAAAAAACCGAGTCGAAAGTTTAGGATGGGTGCCGTAGTCCGGCACTGAGCGGACGCCTGCACAAAGGAATGTAATTGGTGTTGCTGAGGGTTTGCGAGCCGAAACGACAGCGTAGGGGTGTTCTCTAGGGTGAGTTGACGCTGAAAGCGGGGTCGTGGATGCGAATAGGAGGGAGAAGACGGACGGAAACTCGCGTCTTGTACATAACTTCGTGCTAGATCTCCCATCTCCCGATGAAATATACATACCTAGTAATGTAGTCGCGGCTGTCCGACTTTTCAACTTAACAACCCCTTACAAGTTCACACCACTCCAAAGTGCTGAACAGCGAAAGAACGACACTCCCTCCGCCGACGACGCTTAGTTCACGGGCTCCCCTTCTGCGTTATACCTACTTGCGTTCTCTACACTCCTCTCCATTCAAATTTCTCTAACTCGCGATTACCTGTGGTTCGAACACTTTGTTTTCTGTCCTTGTCTCACCCTTCCCGCTCGTTATTCCCCCCATTTCGTCCAACTTAAATGCCACTGGTACGTAGGAAAAAGGTCCTGCTGCATGACATCCCGGACACCATCGCAGCAGAACCAGCTCAGTCGACGCGCGAAGTCTTTTTCATCGAGAGAACTGGGGAAATTTTCATGGACTATGAGTCCTATTCAGCCCGCATGTTGTTCTACAGAATGAAGATATTCCAATGCGAGCTCACCGGCAAGGGAGGACTCGACTACTTCCAGGCGCTAGAGAGCGAACGGAACGAGGCTCTGACAATACACTCTCGCTTCCCTGAGCAGCTCAAGCCCCCCGTTTTATCTGCTGTGCAGTTTCGTACGTTGAACGCCTCAGTTGCCTGGAACCTTCCGAGATACTTACTCGAACTTTGCAGAAATAATGGGCCGACTAGATCATCTTGTAGAACTTGTGTACGAGAGGTTCGTACACCGGTATTTCAGAGGTGAAAGTAAGTTATTAGACCTGCCACGCTCTCACTACTCTCCAACTTACACACTAACAATGCGTCCACAGAAGTCTTTGTTGATATCCAGAACGAAAAGTACTACGCGCGTATCATCAAAGTATTTCCTCCTAAAACTCTCATCAATGGTACATCACCGTCAAAAGACGCCCCACCCATCGTGCCCCATTCCGTAGGCGTTAACCTGCGCGTCTCCTACGAGGAATCAGTCGAAAAAGATGACCCCATGGGGTACTTCTACGCTGTCCGAATGATCGAAGAGACAGACGCCTCCACAGGAGATGGAGGAGGGGAGGCTGATGATGACCCGGAATCAGAGAAGTGGGCCGGCAGCGAGATGGAGGTCAAAGCCAACGCTATGAGGTACGTCCCATGACGCGTCCCCATAGCATTCTGAGTAGAGAACCTGTTCAATATAGTCGCGACCGTTTATCATTCAGCAAGTCGATCCTTCGACGTTTCATTCGCGACTGTGTCGATCGTGACCCGGCTGTAGCCTCGCCATGGACCGTAAAGCGAGCGATTGCAGAGAAGCACGGTGTCCCAACTGAAATGACGGAAGACATCCGTATGGCAATCAACGGTGCCAAACAGGGGGAAAAGGAAAAGCGCAAGAAAGTTTGGGAGGAAAAGCATGAGATCGAGGGTATACCGGCGTCTAAGCGTAGGAAGAAGGAAGAAAAAGGTATCTATCACCTGCAGAGTGACCTTCAATGTTAGACTCACTTTTTCCTACGAGATACCGCTACTCCAAGTGGTGCGCCGGCTGAGAAGCCGAAACCAAAGGGGCCCATCAAGTATCCTATAGAGGATCTGGATGTCACCATCTCCGAAAGGGAACGTAAAGCTGGGAAGGCAGTTGTCCGACCTGCGTTTGATCGCGATGTCCCGTTCGGGTCGGACTTCGAGCCGTTTCTCATGTCTTGGGCTTTTATGCAGTCATTTGGGTATGTCGTCACATTGCCAATGATGTGACGTATAACTTCACTTAGCATCATCTTGAAGTGCCGTCCTCAAGCTGTCAACATTCACATTGGATGAATACGAGATGGCTGTTCGACACAATCTTCCCGACGTTCAGTGTGCTCTTATAACGGAAATCCATTTGTGCCTGTTGACTGTTGCGAAGGAACGCAGTCCTATCAAGTTTATCGCGCTTGACTCCCTAAATTTCTATGACTCGCAAGATCGTGAAGGCGAAGTTCCCTTTGCAGATTTAACAAAGGCTGCAAAGTCCGTCGGCGATAGACGGGCCTCTGGGTGGGAGACACCTATTGGGAGAGAATCAAAGTCAGGATGGGAGGAAGGATTGACTATTTTCATCCGGGATGTAAGCGAAAGTTTTGGATTATCCCATTTTTCATGTTCACTCATTGCTACGCGGCAGCATGCAACAATAGACAATCTTCCCAATCTCAGACGAATTCTACGTTCCCTCTTGTTCGTCCCCGAGACAGACCCCATTTCATCATCGCCCTCTGATGTTACTCCTGCAACTTTTGCGCGAGTACAGCCTTCTGAACGATATCCTTTCCTCTTTGCAGAGGACAAGATAGCGATCATAGGCCTCTTAGTCGAGATGTGCCTCTTTTCAAGAGTCATCCGCGGACACATAGACTGGGCCGACACTAGCCTTACAGAGTTACGAAAAGAGAAAATTGAAGTGAACCGCGAAAAGAAGCGACTGTAAGTCTGGTGCAGTAACTTTTGTCGGCACTAACTTCTGTTTACGTCTCAGGATGGAGGAGATTACGACAATTGATGCCAAGATTGAGCCAGGGGCTGGAACCCCAGCACCCCCCGAGACGAATGGTGTCAAGGAATCACCTGCACCACAATCAAGTGATGTGGAATCGGAGCAGCGAGCCAACGATGATCGCTCCGATATCACAGACGAACAACCCACTGGCCGTCGTTCACGGGCGAGTCTTGCCCGAAAAGCATCTGCTAAGCTTCAGGCATCCCAAACACCTGCGTCAAAGGTGGCCGGACACGGTAAGGAGAGGGCTCAGGCCAGAATCAAGGCTCAGGAGATGAAAAATGCACTGGCCGAGCGCCGCAAACTGGAGGACGAGTTGACGAAGGTAGAACGGCGTCTCGAGGCCATTGAACGCGAGTTCCGCCAATTATTCGGGGTTGGGCGGACTCGTCCACTTGGCAAGGACCGATTTTTCAATCGAGTGTGGTGGTTGGATGGGATGGGTTCTGGTACTCTCGTTGCTTCTGGGGGTCAGGCAACGTATGGGACTGGTCGAGTGTTCATTCAAGGGCCAACTGAAGCCGATTTGCCGATTCTCAGAGATCGGGGTGACTCGTTCATACGGAAGCGTCACGAGGAGGAAGATGGCCCAGACGGAACGCTGAAAACTGGCACATGGGCGTATTACTCTGAACCTCATCAGGTAGAAGAATTTATCGGATGGCTCAATCCCAAAGGCCACCGTGAATTGGCTCTTAAGAATCAATTACTAAAATGGTCTGATCACACCACTTCTGGTATGAGGAAACGCACATCGGTAAGTCGTCAGAGTTTTTCTCTACCGTAGTCTTGGAATTACATTATTCAAGCAGGACATCTCATCACGACCGGAACGTCGCAGTACCCGTGGGAGAAATACTGCTGCGGCTGGCACATCTGACGTTTCGCGTGAGCTTTACATGACATGGACCAATCGCTTGAGCTCTACAAACCTGGCAAAATAATAAGCATAGATCCTGCTTGCACTTTTCATTCGGCAACATCACAATTCTCATCCACCTCAACCCATGTCTTCGCGTCATTTTTTTTTACATCCCACACATGCTATCTTTGTTTGATTAGCATGTTCTTCATGCGGTATCAGGTTTGAATGCGGTAATTTATTCCAGACTTTCAATAGCTCTTATCACAACATGGTGTCTTGTTTATGTCCCCATCCTTATAATGATAGCGCACCAGTCACGATATAGAAAACTCCCGCCTCCGAGTAATATAAAATCTCCGTCCGTCATTTTTTTTTTCTGGTCTGAGTCACTCAATGCCTCACTGAGGCTAAGTCTGCAGAACGCTCCACGGAGAGTTCGACAAGGAAAGTAATGAACAAGTCCTTTCAGTCCAAAACACATCACTGATAACATACACCCAATCGAGATAACCTCAAGCTTCCAAGCAACTTGTAATTGAATCACTTGGCCTCCCCCGCTGAGCTCGGTCTGGGGTTATAACGACTACCCCTGCGCCCGACGGACATCTGGATTCATCACCATTCCCGCCCACGCTACTGAGACCACTCTGTTGGGCAGCCGATCCAGGCAGGTGGTGATCATTGGTCCAGTGAAGGTGGACACCGCATTTCATGTGGCGCGCCTACTTCCCACGTTGATTAAGACTGACGATAAGCATTTAGAATTATTCATGTTCACCAAGTTGCAGTTACGCATTTGATTCACTTACAATGCAAGCAGTGAGTTCGAATAAATGGATGCGAGAACTAAACGGCGAATCAACCCATGTCATTTTGATGGGATATTCATAAATATCTCCGTACCGAGATTAAGGGAGACGTATACGAGGCTGTGAGTGTTTGTCAAGGACTATGGTGATGGTCAATGCAGTGGTGGGACATCACAAAGGAGGGCACTGACGAAGATTATCACTAAGAGAGCAAATGCGGCGGTTAGAATGCCAGTATTGATTATCCATATGACTACTTGGTTAAAAAGCAAGTCCGTCCTGTGCAGAAACCCTTCAATTTCTCGCACACAAGTAGTAGACTTTGACTCACTGCTTGAAACCTCGACCGCGCTGTTTATCGAGCGTCCATGCGACAGGTAAGGTAACGAATACGTCACATACAAAACTTCCGCAAAACCAAACGGTAGCATGCCACTGCATCAACGAAGCACCAGTCAAAAAACTTCGGGGCCGCACAGACATCACAGGCCTTATGACTGCCTCCAAATTGTGAGAAGCTACGAAGCAAAAATATTGCAACCGCAGAACCCCCACCGAGAAGAATATCAAGTCAATATGGACTGGGTTCCACCGACGCCCGCAACTAATGCAGAAACAGCATGAGCACAACAATCACAAGCAAGGATATAAAAGTACACACCGAATGACATGAGTGAGAGTAGCAGCGTCAGCGCAGCACGCCACAGCCTTGGGTTGACTAAAGGGAAAGCTGCTGCAGTGGAACAAGAAAACTTCCCGTATTACATCACGCATACCTTTGTATAAACGCCAAGAAAACCATAGTTGGGTAAGAGCAGCTGATATTGGCTGAAGAACCAGGATGAATGAGGTCAAGTGCGATGCGCATGACGGACAGTTCACCTCCAGTAAGGCTATGCCCAGGATTCGGAGCTTATAAAATCACGAGACAGAGCATGCACGGCATGGGTGCTTACGGCGACGCTCCTGCGGAAGGGGAGGGATGTGATCAGATAAGACCCCTCACGGTCAAGACCACCTACCACGTCATCCGCTTCAGATAGGCAGGAGTGTGGAAATGAGAAATCTTACAAAGACACCATTAGCTACAATCCGATTATAATATGTATAAGGTTAGAGTGTGCACGGAAAAAGACTCACAGTATAGTGATACTCGCAATAATCTCGTGGAAGGACATTAATTACGACCACTGCGCCAACCCGCCATTTCGTCCATCTCTTGTCGGGTAGTCTTGATAATAGCAATACGCCTGGATGGTCAGGACACCAAGGAGTCTGCATGATCGACACAATTTCAAGAAACTCTCAGCCAAGAACCGCGATCGCGAGCCACCGCATGCTGAGACAACTCACATGGCAGATACATAACACCGTCAAGACTTGGCGTCATTGTGCCTCACATACAAATCTCCAGCAAGGGAGCTAGCAATGCCATCCCAAATTTCAAGATGTGTCGACCTCGCACCCACTTCCATTTCGGGTGAACATAGATAGCGTGGCAATTCCGGTAAGATCCGGTCATGCGGTCCCGGTGCTTGAGCTAAACAATTTCCTTCATTTTTAAAATCAGGCTCTGATCTGGGGGGGTTGCATTCTACTTCAAACCTGCGAGCCCCCACGAGCGTTCATTTTGACAATCAGAAAACCAATGTATTTCCATTAATAGGGCTTGTACTCGATTCGTCAATGACTTGTAGAGTGCACAGCTAGCATAGATTCATGATCGCTCCACCTGCAGTAGTAACTTTTCCCCGCCAGGACTGCAAGTGTCACGACCTTTCAAATCTGACAGTCATTGAGTTCATAATCACCTAATTAAGTCTTGGCGGTTGAAATTACAGTAACGCTATCGAAATCCAAGCGGCCTCAGCCCTATACCGCAGATTCGGGAATTGGAGCTTTGGTGGTTTTCCCATTGGGCTTCCCAATTGCTTGAGTAACATCAGTTCTTTTGAGCAATGGCGCAAATTTCGGCTCAATGAAGATACCCCTGTGGACCAAAAATTAGTGGGAAACAGTGCCAGGCTGTGTGATCTACCCACGTTGCATCCACAAGCAGCTTCCCTGACAAGTCTTCAACGCGGCCGGACACCACAGCCTTCCGCCCTCTGATTTCCTCCAATTTCGTTGTGATTTTGATCACCTGAGCATTGATCCGTAAGGCAATGCTAATACCGTTAACACAGGACGACGAACCTGGTCTGCTATTGTGGGTGAACGATAGTTAATGTTCAGGTTAGCAGTAACACCAATGTGTCCCGGCAAGTTCATGAACGCCTAAATTACAAGTATATTAGCTTATTGCAGCGATATACATGAATCCTTTTGCTGACATTTCTGGCGAGAGACTCGTCTAGAAGGGTCGCTAGCAACCCACCATGTATGATGCCATCATGGCCCTGCCAAATTTTCAGTCTTATTGAGACATTCGCTGTCCATAGGGACAACTTACACATAAGCTTCTTCCAAGGTGGATAAATGCAATAGATTCTGTCTCGTCATGTTTCGCGAATAGAATAGGAGGGACCGCAAGTTTTCCAGGGCCCCGCAGCGATCCGGCTGTCAACGAATTGACCTGAAAATGCGCTTGGACACTGGACACTGGCACAACTGGGGAGAGAAACTCACTCGCTTTTCTTCCGGATACTTAGCATACGGTCGGCTTTCGTAATAGTCATCTGACTTTTCTCGAAGTTGAGTAACGACAGGCAAGGATTGGAGCAGGGATTCCACAGTGGCAGTCTGTGCAATGCCCTCAGGATGATCTGGCTGCAATGGTGGAGGTGCGGGACGAGGAAATAGAATTGTTGCGAGTTGTGGTGGGTAAACGGTGCCCAGGCCATAGGTGAGAACGCCAACAGTGACAGTCGTTGCTATAAGATGTCGGGATGAACATGGAGAAGAAGAGGGGAAAGTAATGCTTCTGGGCTTACCTATCCTAAGGGCTGAAGATGGGCGTTTTGCGTCTGTAGCATTTGTGGTACTTGACCGGACAAATGAGCGTGTTCTAAGAGAGAATTTGAGCAATGCTCCGGTTCTAGGTAATGAGGAGAGCATTTGGGGAAAAGCCATATTCCTCTAGTTTATTTTAATAAGCTTGTTTTTGCCTCTATGCGCTGAGATGAGAACTACAAAAACCACATCCGGGACGCCGGGAACCGGTCGCCGAACGTGATTCTGCACCGCCACAGGCAACCCAAATATTGCTTCATTCTCAAAGCGAATCTTGACACTTTCGAGATGGTATTTGGCCTTAATATCTCTGCATTTATTATGCTGTGCTAACAGCGGTGGGGCTCCAGGGAAAACTCAATATCGCTCATCACAAGTCATATCACCCATATAGGTCTGTTGTGGTTAGGTCAAAATGCCATGTCGCTGTCTGACCCCGAGTTTTTTTAGACGAGACAACATTGAAAGAGTTAGAAGGGACGAAGAAGAAGCTAGGAAGAAGGAGGAAGAAGAGGAAGGGCGCATGCTACTTGCGGTGAGTAGGACTCTGTAATGTGCTCAGATTCACGGGTACCCGGGTCGTCTTTCTGATTTGTCGAACCGCAGGATTCAGAAGCTCGGATCGATCTGTTGCGACAGCATGCCAGGATTTCCGACGGCCCCAGCTCAAAAAAACGGGAAGCTCGTCGGAAAGATGAGGCTGACATGAAACGGATATCTGAAGGCACTCAGGGACTCGTACGCTCGCGGGAAGCTGACGAAATTACCAGTCTCACCACTCTAAATGGTCATATCAATCTTTTTGCATCTCTTGAGACCGCCCTCACTAGTCAACAGTTGCAACTCGTCGAGAAGAAGAAAAAGGAGAAAGAAATGGCGAAGGAAGAAGACAGAGGCGCACCTTTGGCTCCTGATGCCAATGATCTGAAACCCTGGTATATCGACAAGGACCTTAAAGGTGGGAAGCAAAGGGAAGCAGAAAAGGATGAACAAATCCATCAGCAAAGGGTGTAAGTACCCAAGCAAACTGGCGTCCTTGTAACTGCTCATCCCATCCTTTACTCGTGCTCGCTCCAGATTGAAAGAAATGGCCATTAAATCCTCGTCAGACCCCCTAAAATCCATGAATGCTCATCTCGCCCGTCGAGCTGAAATTCTTGATTCATCGTCATCCAAGTCTGCATCGATATCACATGCACCGAATCGAGCTGCACCATCCCACATCATTCCTTCTTCCTCGGATCCATTTGTAAACGAACGCCTGTCACGGGAATCGAAGGAAAGGGCTCGAGCCCTAGAACTTATCGCTCGACGCAAACGTGAGATGGAAGGCGAAATGAGTAGTGTCGCCGCAACACCAAGGGAGTATACGGATGTATACAACGCAAGGGAGGTGCATGAAGCTCGTGAGAGCCGGCGGGGTGGCGCGTGGCGCGATCGGAGATGGAATGAGGATGAGGATGATGCTCGACGTACCGATAGGAGAAGAGATCGTTATTCTGATTCTGACGGGAGTAGACGTCGATAATACTCTTGACTCACGCCAGATCTATCGGACTTGCCGCAACCTATGTTTCGGCTGTTCCATTGCACCCGGCCATGCCCCTGATATATATTGAACAAAGCGCCTCCGCCGATCATCTTTAGTCTTTCGAATGCTGCCCTGGCGGTATCATCTCTCGACTGATCCTCGTCCGACAATCCCTTCACAACACTTGTGGGTATTTCCTTGCCAAGGGTATAGTTCTTCATTATCACATCCGATTTCTGTCGACATGTCCAAACCAAAGATACCCGCCATCTGGCAAATCAGACCCGTCGGACTCGCTGGAACCTTAACTTAAAATACTGTTGACCCTTCGATTTGTAATCATGTGTGTGTACCATCTATATTAAGATCCAAAACGTTTGCTTGCCATCTCTAGCCTCTCGAAAGCCACTCTAACGCTTTCATGCCCCGTCCAATCCCCATACAGGAAACCCCTCACGACACTAATAGGCACGAAAACTTCCTTACCATGCCATGTATAAGTCTTCGCAAAAGTGTCTGAAATCCATCGACTTGTCCAAACCATAAATGTCCACACCCATATCCGCCGAACGAACTTGATCGTCGAGGAATTACCCCGAGATGCAAAGACACGATCCACAGCGATACCTAGCGGTTGTACCGCAAAGAAAAAGAATTCAGTGTACAATTGGAACAGAGTCCAGGAGGTTCTGTCAACAGAGCCGCCAGAAACTTCGTAGATCCGTCGAACCATGAAGGAATGGAGCACTGCTGAGGTCAAGAAAGCAAAGATGACCGTTATGAAGTGATGGCCTAGCGCTGCCCCCTCGCCAGGTTTGTGTTGGCCTCGGGATTTGCTCAACGATTGTAGGCCAAACAATGCAAGTATTGGCACAGAAGATCTCTCGAATCTCCTTCGCATAATTGAATGCCAACCCCGACTCCAAAAATATGAAATCGACGGGCTTAAGAACGTTTGGTTGAACAGAGGCGGCCAATTGTTCAAATCAGTCGAAAGTCCTGAACCGACGAGAATGATTCCAAGAATTGCTTCGATAATGGAGAGGACGGATTGCAGATAGACCGCCGTATATACCCCAGTGACGCATTGAACCCAAGGCGGTAGGTCCAAGATGGGATTAGGAGAATTTAGGTTAAAGGTAAGGTGCCGCTTCACAAACGTATCTCCAACGTCGACAAGAATATAATGGAACATTGCTCGTTTAACGGCCGAAAGGATGAAGGATTTCCTTGAAACGAATGGAGAGCGGTAGTTGGCCACATGAAATGGTGAATAATCCCAGTGTTTCCCATTTATGAAGCTTGCCCCGGAACAAACAAAGAACTGGTCCAAGGTGTACTTGAAACGACCCCCCAAGGTCTTAGGGAGAGGCTCTTTCTGGCCTGTCTCGTGTGATACCAACATGGGCGGCGACTCATCGTATAGGCTAACCAAAGACATATCGATAGCTTTAAAGATGTGATTCCAAGTCATCGCTGCCCTGATGGAGATCAACTGAAAGGGAACATCAATATGATCTGACAGCCAGTAGTAACTGTATGTTAACCAACTCACAACAGGTTTGAAATACATAGTCTTCACTGTCTCTCTCCCTTCATACTCGTACTTCGCGGTCGCAAGAATCAAGATTGGGGCGACAGCAAGACGTGCAAATTTCCCCCACACCGCATCCTTGTAAGTCAACGAGAAGGTGCCGAAGAACAGCAGCAAATGTGCTACCAGAAGAGTGGCAGACATGTTGCTGGAAAGGGACCCTGGCCAGACTCCAAGGGAGTTCTGATTAAAACCGGCTTGTGTGTGTGTGAAGGCGTCAAGGATAGCGTGGCGACGGCCGATAGAGCGGATGTTTTGGGATTGCTGCCAGCCGTGCCCGTGCCCGAATGGAGGACAGTATGATTATCCGGTGAATGAAGATTCCCCTGGCCACTTGAAACTCACAGGGCTAGGGATACACTGGGTACATGGATGGATGGATGGATGGATGGATGATTTCATTTTAAAGTGCGCCATCTGTGCCTATCGGCATACACCGTACTAATGACTCGGGTGAAAGATATTTGGAAGAAATATATGTAATGGATAAAGAAAGGTTACTGTCAATGGCGAGACATCAAGTATCGGATGGTGTGAGGAAACTGAAGAAATAACGCTTAAGAGGAACACGCATCCTTGCTGCGGTGGTATGGAGTATCAGAGGTGTGGGAGAAAATAAAGCGAAGCAGGGTCGTAGTGCAGAAGAGAGAAACGCGACCGTCGCGTGGTTCGTGTGGTTCTTGCGGATGAGTTGAGGAACCCCGCTATATACTCGCAACCTGCCGATGACTTCCACGACCAACAAATGGCTGAGCTCTATCGCGACTTAGATTACCTTAGTCGAAATGCCTCATAGTCACCATTGTCCGAGATACCTGATACGATAAAAGCTGTGATGGAAGGGAACATGCCGATCTAATGGATCGAAAGATCGTCACCCGAAAATCCATAAGCGGGTGGTTTGTCGATCCTGGCCACGATGTCTTGGCGTCCTTGGGACTTCCTGCAATGATGATTAGGTCATCCAGCCATCACAGGTTCAGATCATTCCCGAATTCATGTTGAAAGATTCGGGCGTATGTGGCGTCTTGGTCTTCGCCATCAGAGCGAGGCGAAATCGGCAAGAGTCCCACAAACTCCATCGCTCAATCCTTCCAAGTTCATATGTGATTATGCAAAAATAGAACAACAAGTGGTCAAGAAACCGCATTCATCCTGGCTAGTGCCACTTTGACGCTCTCCTTCCCTGTCCAATCTCCAGACAGAACACCTCTAACGGGGCTTATGGGAAGTAGACCCAACTCTTGACCCCTTAATGTCCCATCCGCCATCCACCGACTCGTCCACAACAAGAAAACCCATGCCCATAACCGCCTTGCAAAACGAACCTTTGTACCAGAACCACCGAGATGGGCGATGGATCGGTCAACAGCAATCCCGAGGGGTTGTATGGCAAAGAAGAAGAATTCTGGACGCTTGTGGAAGATCGTCGGGTATTCGTGGTTTTGACGGCCTCCGGACGTCTTGTCTGCAATCAGGGTGTGTATCCATGCGGAAGCTAAGAAGGCGACCGCCACGGAGATGAATTGGTGGGATGGTGGGATATCGGACTTGTATTTCTTTGACGAAGCCGTTTCTGGAGCTACGTCGCTCCGTCCCAAGAGTGCCAGGATAGCAACGGACAATCGAACAAAACGTCTTCGATATAGAAGATGCCATCCACGACTCCAGAAATGTGATACAGAAGGACTAAGGAATGGTCGGTCGAAAACGGGGCCCAAAGGTCCAGGTCACTGGACAATCCCGTCCCGACAAGAACAACGGCGAGGGCGTAGTACATGATAGACACAGACCCCACCGCACAAGAGGCAATGACCACTCCAAACAGGCATTGGGTGATAATCGGAAGTTCAAATATGGGATGAAGAGATGCAGGGTTGCACACGGAGTATCGCTTTACCAACGTGTCAACAATGTCCAGAAGAAGGTAGTATTGGAATATCTGCATTATAGCAGATTTCATGAAAGAGAACTTCGAAGGATATGGGGAGCGATATTCGACGATTTGAGAAGGAGAAAAGTCCCAGTGCCTGTCAGCAAGTAGACTGGCCCCCCGAACTGCGATTAACTGGTCTAACGCATAGAGTAGTCTCCCTCGGATAGAATGAGGAAGAGGAAGTGTCTTCCCTGATCGATGGGAGACCCAGTGAGGCGGGGACGTGTCATATAGACTGCCAATCGATAGGTCGATAGCATGCATGATCATGTCGTACGCGTAACCAATTGAAACGGCTGGCACCTAAACGAGAAAGATCCTCTGGTTTGATATGATCCGAAGAACGGGCCTCGTGGAAATGCTTACCAAAAAATTAATGGCATTTTCTGGCTTCGCACTATCGCCAGACACAAGCCGAAGGGAGAATACCACGATGAACGGCGCAGCAAACATACGAGCCAATTTCGCCCATACAGCGTCCTTATACGTCAGTGTAAACACACTGATGAATAACAAGACGTTTGCTGTGATGAGGTTCAGAGGGATGGCGGGAACGACCTCGTTCCACATAGTGGCAGCTGTAGAGATGAGCTAGTAGTGTACTAGGAATTGTTCAGTCCCGCACGAGCAGAGAACCACCTAGCGCACGAACGTCTAGCGTAATATGAGCAACAAACGCACCGGTTATAAAATGAAAAGTACCAACCTAATCTCGAGCGTACGCGCTTGGAGAACCGGTGCGTAGCCTCGTCCATACATACATCGGGCTCGGGGGTTGCCTGGAACATTCGATCCCGCATGCATCCTCAAAAACAATCTTCCCTGGAAAACCCAGGTACGTGGTTTCTCTCTTATTTTACAATATCACCATGGTGAAACTGAGACGGCCCCCCGAACCCGCTCTAGATAAAAGGTGCCATATCACTAGTGTAATATGCGTACAGTGCATGCATGTCTCTCGTGCCACTCGGTGGCCGGAACATCAGAAAATTATAGAAACACATTAATCTAACACATTACTCATATTGTACGGGCACAAATTCTCCAGCGCAGCCCGGACACGTTAACGTACCAAAACATTACGCATCAAAAATCGCCTTGACATGACCATCAGGCTGCTGATAATATCGACGCCGCACCGCGTCATGTATCATGGACCTATTGAGTTAAGTAAGCATCAAGCCCCATGCACAACTAACAGTAAGAACGACTGACCGCTTCTCAAAGCTTCCACTTCCCCCACAAGATCCCCCTTGTAGGGCTCACGAATAAACTATTCTCCTTATGATCCCACAGGCCCTTCTTCGCATAATCATCCGCCCACCATCTCGTAGTCCAAAGAAGCCATGTCCATGCGAAAACCCTTCTCACAACTCGGCTGATGCCAGGTCTACGTATGAACCGCCCAAGGAACGAGTCTAGGGTAATGCCTATGGGCTGGACAAGGAAGAACATCATGACCCGCTTCTCGATGAGCGATCTATGGGGATGCATGACGTCAGCTGGTGGACGCGCATAGATTATACCATGATACAGAGCCGAGGCGGCGAATACAACCGTCGTCGCAATGAATCGTCTCCACGTGCTTCGCCCTCCGTTGAGCTTGATCTCAGGTGATTCCAGTTTTGCACCGGATTGTCCATTAGCAGCTTCAATAACTCGAGATGGTCGAGGAGTTTGTATGAAAAGAGATGAGAGCCGAAGAAAAATTCGGCGGAGAAGCGCGTGCCAATCTTGACCCCAGTATTGCGTCAAGTTTGGTGATAGGTAAGGGTGAACGAACACGGGCGGCCAGACGTCGGGATCCGGTGTCAAACCCAACCCGACACAGATAATCGAGATGTATGCATGCAATAGATTGGTATTTGCATATACGTAGGCGCACAAGTGAAACGAGAACGCGAATTGAGTGTACCAAGGGAAAAAGCTTGTGATGGGTGTAGTACTCGTGGTATCCAGTCTAAATTGCTTGGTATAGGTATCGACGATGTCCAATGAAAGGAGTGCGAGTTGTGCATTGATGAAGGTCCAGACGACGAATGCCAGTCTGGACTTATAGGCGATCTATAATTGGCTATGAAACCGGGTGCGAAGTCCCAATGTCTCCCGCTGATCCAGCTCGAGCCTCTTGGTGAGCCCCACAGATCGAGAGCATATTGCAAGCGGCCAAGAAAGGTGGTAGGGAGGGGCAATGGTTTCCGTGTCTCCTTGGATACCCAGAGTGGAGGTGAAGGATCATTAAAGCTGATGATTGACGCATCAAGAATGGCAGAAATATGCACGAATGTGAGGCTGGCGATGCCAGTGAAATTCTGAGGTTTATTGTGAAAAAGAGAACGCCTCTGGCTGTGATTGGTTAAAGACAAACCTCCCCACTGATACTTTCGCCCCATGTCCAATAGTGCGCATAACCGAAATTATAGAAGTAATATATCGCAATTGGTGCTAAGATGAGGCGAGCACATTTTGCAATCAAAGACCTTTGATAGGTAAGGGTGAAGTGGCAACAGATCAAGAGCAACCATCCTTTCACGAAAGGTGGAAGAAGGACGACCAAAGGACTCGCATCCGATTCAAGTATGGGCATGCTAGCGGTCAATGACCTGGAAAGCACTTTTGAGTTGCCTATGGATGAATATGAAGGTAGGTGAAATATCTCTGCGAGGTGCTAGCTTGCAATCTAATAACAATGTGTGAAAAATATCCTGACAACAGAATGAATTCCAAATTGGGGGAAAACTCCGTTCTTCGTAATCAAATGGACTCAGCATCTCAAGGGCGCGGCCCAACGGCCAGCACTTATTCAGTACCGAGATCAAGCCGGCATGATCGATAATGGAGGCCGACGGAAGCATCGACCGGAGCCATCCCGGAGCTGACAGCCCGCTAGCACTGGTGTTAGCAGGAAAACATGAGTGTAAAGATTGAGCATGTGTCGGATCGAACATCCGAGAATTCGAAATCATTCGTGGTGATCGTGTCATGTCCCACTGATTCAGAGGGCAAGCGCCAAGCACCAACAACTCCGGCCAATCAGAGTTGTGATGCATGCATGCATTCGGTACTTGTGTAATAGCAAGACGAATAGATATGTAATTTCATGGACCTCTATGCATCCAATCACCCCACAAAATCCCTCTGGTTGGGCTGATGAACAGAACTTTCTCCTTATTATCCCACAAACCCTTCTTCGCAAACACATCCGCCCACCACCTCGCCGTCCAAAGCAACCAGAACCATCCAAAAACTCTCCTTAGGATTCGACCCGCCCGCGAGTCGCCTGCGAACCTTGCAAGGGCCGTATCCAATGCGATGCCAACAGGTTGAGCAACAAAGAACATCATCACCCCCATCTCGATAAGCGATGTATGGGGATGCAATGCATCCGCTGGCACCCGCCCATAACACAATCCATGAAGTATAGCAGAGACAGTAAACGCGACTATAATAGCAACAAATCGTTCCCGCAAACTTTGCCTTCGCCTCGGATTCGTCTCGCGCACCTCAGGTACGGTGTGGGATCGTCGGGATGACGTGAAAGGAGCGGACAACCGAAGGAAAGTTCGGCGGTAGAACGTATGCCAGCCCTGGGACCAGAACTGTGTCAGGTTTGGCGACCAGAGCGGATTGCTGAACATTGGTTGCCAAACATCCAGGTCAGGCGTGAACCCTAACCCAACGGAAAACAGGGCAAAAGGGGCGTGCGTAAGGTTGCAAGTGGCATAAGTGAAAGCGCACAGGTGGAGTGAGAACGCCATTTGGGTGTACCAGGGGAAGAAGTCCGTGATGGGTCTTGAACTCAACGTATTCAATTGGAACTGCTTGGTGTATGAATCCATTACATCCATTGGCAGTATGATTAGTATCATGTTGATGCATGTGCCGAGAAGAAATGTTAATCGCGAGGAGTATGATGACTTATAATTAGCGACCGAGCTGGGAGCGAAGTCCCAGTACCGCCCACTGATCCAGCTCGAGCCTCGGGGTGAACCCCACAAGTCAAGAGCATATTTCAAACGACCAGAAAACGTCTTCGGGAGTGGTAGTGGTCTGCGGGTTTCCTTGGATATCCACAGAGGAGGCGAAGCGTCGTTTATGTTGATTAGGGACGTTTCGATGAGAGCACAGATGTGGTAAAACGCATAACCTGGTAGGCCTACATAATTCTACCCATCAAAAATGTCAAATGAGGACCAAAGCAGTGTCTTCATGAGGAAACGCTCACTTCGCGAGGAATGATGTTGTCATCCAATACCCAGAAGTACCCATGTGAGAACTTATAAAAAGAGTATATGCCTATAGGAGCTAACACGAGGCGGACACCCTTTGCTGCCAATGACTTCGGAAACGTCAGACTGAAGTAGCAGCAAATCAGCAGAAACCATCCGATTACGAAAGGTGGGGCAAGGACAGCCAGAGGATGCGACTCAGACTCAGACGCAGCCATTCGAACGATTGTTGAAGGACGGCGCGTCCGTGCTGCACTGATTCTAGAGTTAAGCTTGTTTCACTTTCGAATATTACATGTTGGATACCAGAATATATTGCTGGGCTCAACAAGCCGCGCACCCGTCACGCGTCGCCGTGCATATTATATTTTATTTTTATTTCACGGGACTAATCATGTCCTCCGGGTCCTAACTTCCCTCTGCATCGCGATTATGGTGGAGGTTTTCTGCAGGGGGAGCCCTCGTCTCCTCCCACCTGCTCGCTCGGTGTTCAAACTGTAAGTTTTTCTCCTTGCGCAGCTGGGCCCTAACTTTCCATCCTGGAACTGCGTTGTTGCTGCTTTCACGCTTCTCGTTTCGTTTTTCTCCGTGAGTTCACCTTTCGTGAACCTTCATATCCGTGACCCCTTTCGTTGATCTTCAGTCCACCTCGCTTTCTCGTACCGCTCGAGTTTCTCTCCTCCATCCCTCGTTCCACCTTTTTCGCTCTGATTGCCTGTCTCTTTTCTGTTGCTTGTCTCAGGGCAAGGATTGCTCCGGTTGCATTAAACCATCGAACGATATGCCGATGATAGGTTTGGAGTGGGAAGACCCACAAGACGGCTTCCGCGTACAGGCCCCAGGTTTTCGACCATTGTCCGTCGTAAATAGCTTGATCTTGCTGCGCGAATTTGTTCCGGAGAATATTTCGATTCCGTCCCCGAGGTCGACTGCGTCATCATATCGAAGCGTATGCGTTTGCTTGTGGTCGACGAGAAGACCGAAGTCAACGAGTTGGTTCGCGAGGATATCTTTCCAGAGGTGTGGGGGAAAATTCGGGCATACCACCTCGTTTGAAGACTGGCTCGTTCAGTATTTGCATTGTAGACGTTTCGGAGCACTTGCGTTTCTGGGGATTGTTGAACGTCCCGGCTCTGAGGTGACTCCAGGACGGTCCTCCGTTCCCGATTCCCCAGTTCTACGCATATTCTGCTCAGTGATCGTTTCCTTTGTCACAATATACTCGCTTGGACCGGCCGGGTGGGTCTTCGCGAACCAACTCGTTGACTTCGGTCATCTCGTCGACCACAAGCAAACCGGTTCATCATCCGGGTGTCATACTCGGGACCAGGCCAATTGTTGGTCGCGTCCGTACAATATTTAGATCTGGCAGTGCCTTTATTGAGAGTGATATTGGCCTAGGTGCTGCAATTTTAATTGCTGACAGCATCCAACGAAAGCTGGGATGCCTCCTGTATTGACTACGGTAAGGTGTTTCTATTCGAGGAAATTGAGGGGGTTACCAGAAAACTCGAAATGTTACTGTAAAAACCTAACCTAAAAAATCATGCGTCGAATATGCTGTTCTCGGGCTTGCTGGGGGGAATCAATGGTACATTCCACGCTCGCGCCCATAGTTATCGAACAACACAGAGGTAGCGAAGAGAAATCGCTGGAAATGTGGATAATCAGCGCAACTGGAATGCTCAAACATTTAGAAACGCGTTCAATCGCACGGTCTTTTGTATCTAGGGAATGGAGGAAGCACATAACCTTCAGGAGTCTGTCCCAATGTGATTTCCGATTGGCAATCATCACGCCAGAAATCCAACTGATCTGATTTCCTAAGAGGAAACCATGTGTTGCAATCGCCGGTTCGCAATTCCTCTCAGTCATGCCTTTGTGTCAAGGATGTCGGGCGGTGGCGTCGTACGATATAGTCAAAGGCTTCCGGCGTCGAGACCGTCGGACAGCAACCGAAGAGCATGGTTGGGGGCTTCGCAGTCGCCGTCTACCGAGGCGCAGGAGGACAGAGGATATTCCAAAGACAGACAAAGGGAATTACCATTTTTAGATGGGATACCAGGCAGCGCCCATTACGATGCAATGCAAGTGGGTCGGCAGACGTTACAGAGGCTCAAAAGCAACATCTTTCGTGACATGCAGGAGAAGAGCGTTGAGAACGTCGTCTACGTCGTCGTAAACAAGGTGTCGGAGATTGCCGGGCCTGTCTCTGTTTGGCATGGTTTCCGGTTCGGGAAGGGCTTTGAGAGAAATTTCCATCCTTAGCATGTCAAGTTCACATTTCCATCAGAAGGCGTAATGTGTATAAAGTCGCTTGATAACGACCGCACTCATCCCGCACCGCTCTAAAACCCCCCTCTTCAGAGCAACAGCTCTTCGTGCCTCCTCCCTCACTATCCCCACAACGTGTGTTGAACAACTCCACCTTAGAACACAATCTCCATGGCTGCCGCTCTATTCCCCAAAGCCAATGCCAACGGTCTTGTCCTCCTGGGTTCTACTCCCAGTGAGACCTTCCACCTTTACTCCGAACTGAGGTCGATATTCTTCTCACCCAAGTCGAAATCCGCGTCGAACAAGACCCAAAAGTCGACTTCAAACGAGAAATCTAAGGGTGGTTTCTTTGCCTCGTTTAGCAAACGCAAAGTACCGCCTGTTCCCATCAAAATCATACCCACATGTGATAGCGACTCGGACAACGACGGTGATGATTCGGCCAGTGTGGAACCGTCCAGTCCTCCACCCCCATATTCCGCACTTCCAGAGTTTGGGATGATTTTGCCCGCTCGACCTACTCCTGTGATCACATCATTCCAAGGGAGAATACCCGAAGAGCGTCGCTTAAGGAAGTCGCGGTCTCATTACTTCTGAGGTGTTGGAATCACGATGGATGCTCGCACTCTGGTCAGAGAGTGCGGTACCCACAATATAGAAGCCACTGTGCCAGTCGCGTCCTGTACGCTTGACTACAGCCTTTCAGTGCTGATTTTGGCCGCAATGATCCTACTCCCACGTATGGGAACCAGCTGATGCCAATGAACGCGTCCATAATGTCCGTGTTCTTTACACCGATATACCAGCCAATCCGAGGACCGAAATCTCGAAATCTTCACACTCGTTCGCGGCACCAGCATCTGCGAAACAATAACTCGTCGCGCAAGTTTCTTATTTCGTGTCGAACACATGTTTCGATCATCCGCTAAGGGAGTACCTCACGCCAAGTCGAGCCTGCGATCAGATTGGGATCTCTATGGACAGCTACTACCTTTTTATATATTGTCTAACCTTTTTCCGTTCATTTTTTCTGTCTACGCATATGTATCTTCTCTAATATAATGCAAAGCACAACTGCTTCTGTTGCGCTCTATGAAATGCAGACTCCTTCCCAGTCGCTCACATGATTCTCCGAGGTTTAGCCGCAACTTACGTGCCTCCGAATCTGTCGAGCGACTGGTACAACTTGCAACACGTGATGTTCCACGCTAAGTTGTAATGAGTTGTACATAGGTTACGGAATATAATTTTAGTATTTATGCATGCGGTCATTGTACCCAACCCAACCCGTGGAGACTAAGGAGCACATCCAAGGTGTGCTCCTTAGTCTCCACGGTTGGGTTGGTACAATGACCGCATGCATAAATACTAAAAATTATATTCCGTAACCTATGTACAACTCATTACAACTTAGCGTGGAACATCACGTGTTGCAAGTTGTACCAGTCGCTCGACAGATTTCGGAGGCAACGTAAGTTGCGGCTAAACTCGAGAAATCATGTGAGCGACTGGAAGGAGTCTGTATGAAATGTACCTTGAGAACGATCCTTCGAGTTAGCGTTGAGTGCAACAATCAATTGTCTTTCAGGGAGACATGCATGGCGCCGTCGTTGTTTACTTATGGTCCGTTCCATTCCTGTCATACAGATGCGAGAAAACCACCTGGTGCGCCCTCTGGAAGGCCAAATCCCTCGCGCCCCGGCATCGAGCGAGCAGAACTTTTCTGCATAGAAAGCTTCCAGTACATCTCTGAGGCGTCCTGCCGACCGCGACCCCAAGAGTGAACAGACTTGAAGAGTCGACTTTCAACCGAAGCAGAGTGAAGCAAAGAAACGACACCAATTGTACTCTCGTGCCTGATCCACCTGCGAAGGTCCGAAGGAAATGCATGGACGGTTCTCACAGAAGTCTCAAAAGGTAAAGCAATGACATTATATAGATGCCTGTTGCCTTGGATTTGTTCATCATGGATTAGGAATTAGAGACCGAGTTCGGGCGAGCTATGCGCATGCAAAACCGCTCCGAAACTAGCTTTCAAAAAACCAATGACAACCCTTAGAAGATCTGCGTCACCTTCATATGCGGTCGTGAAGCAGAGAGACGTTCGGAACTGCTTGGCTTCAAACCTATCAGCGCGTTTCTTCCACTCCAGGATTTGGCGCACGGAATGTCACGCACAATTTCGTTCTTACGCAGATGCTTCCTGTCCGAGACTAGCGCTATAAACAAAGCGAATTCAGGCCTTGAAAATCTTTTCAATGCTCTGTTGCTGCACCTGCTTTGGTACCTAAAAGTGAATACTTTGGAAATCGTGCATGGAGTCCGGCTGCCCAAATCCCCGAATACCTTACCGCGCATCAAGCAGCCATCCCCGCCTCCAGATTGAAGTTTCTCCTGGGCTGAGGTTCTGTCTGACTTCCACGAAGGGGGGGATCGTGAAGGGATGTTTCAGTCCTCCAGGAGTTGTTCGTCTTTGTCTCCCCCACTCCCTCCAGCAATCTGTCTAGGCAGATCCAATGCTATCCAAAAACCGTCTGTTTTGAGCCAACTACGACCCAGGGAATCTAGCGGAACATTGACAAATCTCTGATTAACCTGCCATGCAATGAGCACGACAATTAAATGGCTCGGCACCATTAACATTGTACACTTGCACTTGCGCCTGCGCCCCGAACCAAGTCCGCATCGTTCGCAACTCTTTGACCTCGACCTCCCCTTCACTGTGCTCGGTTGTGTTTGAGACATGTGTTGAAATTCTTGTTTTCTTGGTGCGCTGTGGACCGTCCATTGAGTCCGTCGGACTATACTTCTTGCGCACGGGCATTTCCATGAAGGATTGCCCGATGCTTCTACTCTTGGCATCCATGTTGATGAACGCAGTCGAGGATGGCTTAAAAGCCACCTCGCGCGATTTTTCTCTTTCCTCTCTCCTCAGTTCACATCTTTGGAACTGAGGTGAGACTCCCTTTCATCACTTGGAACATTGTCTAACGTTGTATATATTTCCTAGCGCTAATTCGCGACTAGGTAATGATTGATAACAACAGTTCGCATCTTTGGAACTGAGCGCTAATTCGCGACTAGTTCGTATCTTCAATAACATGGTATTCAGTTAAGTACTTTCGAAGACAGGGCTATAAGACTGAGCAACAGTTTTCTCTATAAACAACCGATTGATGCCCGGACGCCGCCCACCCGACCCTGACATATCAGGCTAAACTACGGCGTGAGTATAGGTGGACAAACAGTTGACCGTCCAAATTTACGTTCCAATAACACTGATGATTGATGACCCTGGCTTACACTCATGTCTAAGACTGACCAGGGTCGATTTGCGATGCCACACCTTATGGTAAAGAACGTTCTTCTCGTGCTTCGAGCAATGCAGTTCTTTCGCTTGATCATTGTTGTGAAAACGTTTAGATTCTAGCCATGACTCCAACACCATTTCTGTTGGATGGTCGATGATTCCTAGTACGTATACACACTAAGTTAGTGCTGTAATAATGGACACATCAAATGCAATGAATAAAAACAATGCGGAAAGGAGGGTAGAACGGATGACGGGTCAAATCTTGAGACGAAGCAATAGATTGTAGAGGTAGAATCAGCACCCGTATCAGATTAAAGAAATCAGGGAGCGGAGACGTGGCAGGATCGAGAAATAGTTGTGATACGGTTTCGTGCGATGATGATTAAACGGGGTTGTGAGGACGATAATGTCTTGTCGGACGAAGCTCATCGCCGTCGGTATCTGGTGCGGTTGGTGAAAGCGATATTGGCACTAAGAACGGAGGGACTTACCTAGGGGCGACGACTACAGATAACCCAGCAAAGCAGAGATCGCGAATGTCAGCGATTGCCAGGACAACTTCCATGACGTAAAGCTCCGCTTACATAGTTCATCGCTAATGGGTTCAGATCACGCCTCGGCGGCCTTTTGGGGACAGTGCCCAATTGAGCAAGATGACTCTGCCCGGCCCCTTGGGGGTTTGGATCAAAACCAATGCTTGGCCTGTACACCGAATTTGACATCCCGGGGAAAGATGGTGTAGGTGGAGAAGGTGTCACCATTTCCCAGACCTCCGTCCTCTTATTACTGGACCTGGCCATAACGAACGATTCGTATTCTTCTGCATCATATTCTGCATCATCTTCAATGATAAGTGTTCGGGGTTTGGATTGTGGGGAAGTGACAACATAGGAGGGCTGATGATTGTGCGAGGTGCCGTCGGCGCTAACAAGATGCTGTTGTGAGACGGGTGCTTGGGGGTTATGCGCAGGAAGAGGTTTGAGAGATATTCCCTCTGGTCTTCCAATTGTGCGGCGGGAATGAGAGTAGCCAGTTCGGCGTTCCACTGACCGGGGGAAGAATATCTAATGGGGAACAGGTATCGGTCACGTGTCATAAAGGTTCGTCCAACTTACAAGGAGTGTGTGAGCGGATGAAATGACAAGGCCCACTCCAGCAAGAGTAGCGCAGAAGTCTGTTAGGGCACTTGGTTCATAAATAGAGCTCGCGATCCATTAGCTTGTATTTACCTGTCCACAGTCTAGAAGTGAGTCATCAGCACCTTCGCTTGCTGGCGGAATCAATCGGACTTACGCCTTTTCATTGATGTGTGGATGCGGGTTCACCCCATCGATTGCAAGAATAAGGACCGGGACACAGAAAGCGAAACGGAATACGATACGTGTGACCTTAGAAAGCGGTTAGTGAAGTGTAGCTGCAGGCGGCGTATTGAGGACCTACATTCAGGTCACTGAAAGTGAGTAATCGGATGACGACCTCTGGCTCTCCCCCAGCGGATTTCTACAGACATAAAAACTGAGGAAACAGAGTCATCATCTAACAAGAGCACCAGCTTACGACGCGATCAACAAATCCCGGGAAGACCCATCTAGAAGAAAAAAATACATCAATGGCCGTGCTCCTCACAATGGTTCCTTCCGATGAAGTGTACGCACAGAATTTTCAATGAGACTAGAGTGATAAGCAAGTCTGCAGAACTACCAACTAAGAACATATATGCCTCGCACTGCCAGAGAGAAGAGGCTTAAGTTAAATAGTGCCGCAGCGAGGCAATCATCGTGCGGTGACCTTGAGAGGATCGTTACGCGTCAACCAGGTAGTCAAAGGTATCCCCACCATGCCCGCAACAGAACCAAGAGCCCACATTTTGAACTGAATGGACTTGAGCCATGAGGTGTGTCTCGGCCGTATGACCGTGAGAAACAACCAAAAGCAAAGCTACGACCACAAGGCACGATGTCAGGAACAATCACATCCGGGGAAAGAGTATGCGCTCCCAGGGCTGCAGGGTCGGCCTTACATACTTCTTCTAGATGCGACACACTGTATTTGTATGGCGGGTAAATTAATATTGATTCGGGTAATGAGACCGCATAAGCGGTGTTGGATTGCACTCACATTTCCAGACCCCACGCAACCGCAAAGATCATGTTGAGAGGAATGAGGAGCTTCATGTCTTGCTCAGTCCAAAAGAAATATGGCTTCGGAATAACTGCAATGCTCATTAGCGGACGGACGCAGATCTCTGCGAAGGTGGGATTGGGGCATGGGCTCACCTCCAAACCCAGGAAACTCCATGTATCCCTCTCTGTACTTCAATACCATCATCCCGATACTGTAAGCGGAACAAAGTGGGAGTGCGGTCAGGTAGGCGAACTGGAATATTCATATATCAGCGTTCATTGGATCATAGCTGGCTGCCAAGGTACGTACGGTCATAACACGCTTAAAAGCGCCCGAATTTGTGCTGTATCTTAGTGAGGGAAACAATATCCTCATTGCAGTCATGACAGGGCAGGGCATATGAACGGTAGAGTACCTCACGCAGCGGAATCGATCAAATTTCCAGAGGTGGGAGATAAGGAACCCAAGATGCTGCGCCGAGGGCGGAATACAGAGAATAAAACGAGTATCATATTGAGGGATCCACAGGGTAAATCGTGGGCGTGAACACTTACAGCCACAGATAGGATTGACCAGACAGTATACACAGGAGGGGAGATATGGGTCATCCTACACTTGAGATGGCACTAAGGTAGCCAGCGAAGGGAGGGGAAGATGAAAGGGTGATGGGTAGGCTTCAATTGCGGAAATAGGGCAAAGGGAGTGCTTAACATTAAAAGAAGTTTCGTTAGTTCTATGCCTTTTTGGAGGGGTTTCATACGAACGAATAAATGCTGATCAAAAATTGGATGTAAGGCAGCCGAATTCGCGGCGGCTTATCCCCATAACAAAACTCGAATGGAATGTGGATGGTTTGAGTGATCCCTCGGTTTCCTCGTAGCTACTGTTCCAACCAACGCTTTTACCAAAAGGAGCTCATGGAGACGTTGGAAGATTCGATTCCGAAAAGACTGTGGTGTCCCAGAGATCCAATCGTGACTTTGACAAATGCAAAGTGAACCGAGACAGGAGCTTCTGTCAGTATGGGAGCTGTCTCTTTCTTCCGGGAAACCTCTCGGTCAACCTCCTTCATTGACCTCCACTTCCGCCCTATGCTTTCTTCCTTGTTGCGGACAGGAGAGTTGGGTGGTAGGTTACCAGCCTCGATTGTTGGCCCGTCGGTTTCATCACATTCTTTGCGGTGGCTGCGCAAACATTTGTCGGCAGGACCCGCCGCATTCTCGATTGCGACGATCAAACCCGCTTAGCTGCAAACGATCTTCCAACGATTCGGACTTACCTACCTGTCCTACTGGCAGTGTAGTATGTAAGAAGCGTGTAATTTTTCCGTAGACGCACAACGATGGCAATCTTTCGATTCTCCCCGTGTGCTTATATTACTCAGTTCGACTAGTCAACAGCAACTCCTGCCTTATCCAGCCTTAAGGAGTCCTGTGTTTCTTCAGCACTAAATACCATCGGGGCGGTCTCAGACTCTCAGGAGTACTCTCCGTGTGATGCATCCGTTGCATAGTTGACAGTGCTGAGATTTTACTAACGCAAATGCAATCCGAAGCACAGATACATGTAGTACTGGGAACTGGCGGAGTACTAGTAGCTCACGTGTGCGGTCAACGATGTTCTTGATTCAATCTTTACGGTCAGGCAAACCAGCTTCACCGCGAGAGTACGACACCAGAACAGACAGACCAATAATATAAAGTGTAAGTAATGCAAGGATATATGCCACAGAAAAATACCAAACCTAGAAACAGGGAAAAAGGACAGATGGTAAAAAACTACGAAAGGGGAATGATGTGTGCCTGAATATTAGTATACACTTGCTTGAAGATCATGAGACCATTAACGATGGTTGTGGGGGAAACGGAGCGGGTGGATTAGGATTGGGGGGTTGGGGAGGCGGAGGTGGTAGGTTTGAATCCTTCTTTGTCTTCTTCTTCTTTGAAGTTGAAGGAGGGTGTGGTGGGTGTGGAACTGTGGAAGTGTTTGCTTTCGCAATTCCATTAACATCTATGGACGCAGGGAGATTTCCATTTGGTAAAAGGCCTGATGACGCGGGAACAGGGCGGTTTTCGAGTTGGAACGTAGTGAAAGCTGGGGTAGATGGGGGTGGTTCGTTCTTGACGGGAGAATGGACTGGTATGACATTCGTTATGGTATTCGATGGTGGAGGGGCGTTGGACGAGGAAGCTTTGGGTTTCTTCTTTGATGTCGGACTTGAGGATAAGGAAATCTGCCCAAGTGGACCCATCTTAGACTTGAGCTGGTTGGGCGCCTCATCTGGTAGCTCGAGCACAGGCGCAGATGGGTCGTCTATCGATAACATAGAAGAGTGAGGTTCGGGACCCAACAGTAGCTGTCCAGTAGAAGGAGGCAGGGGCGGTGCAGGTTGGGTTGATTTATGTGATGGAACAGAATCTCGGACTTTCTCGAACTTGGTTTGATAAAACGGCCGCAGAAGGCCGATCTGTTTCCCAAGTTTGTTTGAGGTGAGAGGTACGAAAGGCTGAGGAGGAGGGAATCGTAAGGGGGGCTCTTTGTTTGCGCTATGGGAAGATGTCAGAATTGGGGTCGCCACTTGACAACAACTCAAGCAGACTTACCCTTCCTGGGCACGAGGATCTTTCCTTTTCCCATGACCATGAAACAAACGTGGGGGAATAGACATTGATGAAAGACCGAATTCTTTGTCGAGGCCCAATTCTCTAAAACCGAAGAAGTCTTCTCCCAGCGCAGCAGAGAAATCACCGCTGCGAAATGACACGTCAGCCATGCACTGAAGCTACATTTCCAATGAAATGGCGTACGTCATGAGGGCATCCCCATCCTCAGCGAACAAACCGTCATCGTCCTCGAGGATAGGTTCAGACTCAAGCTAGAAATCCTAACTTCAATTTCCAGGTTCGCCTCAGGAGCCAGACACTGACCAATTCGTTATATGCAACATCCAATTTGCGATCAAGCTCGGCAAGTCGACCCCCGTATCGCTCAACGTCGTCCCGAATGTAACTTTCAAGATCTTGGACACGGGCAATACCGGACTCAAATAGTGTGTGGAGTATTATTTCCTGCGAGGGGTATCAACACAGAGAAACTGGCTCCGGGAGGGAAACCACACACCTCAGATGACATTGTATCCGAATGCTGCTCGGAAAGAAATTTCAGAGTCCTGCCCATGTTCATCATGAATTCTGCCCCTATATCAGTGAGTACACCCAGTGGTACTTTTCCGCTTCCTGTATGAGCTATGATGAGTAGAAGCAATGACTGGGAGCGTCTCTCGTCGTACCTTCAAAACCGGAGTGCTCCAGGAGCTGAGCACAATTACGCTTCAACATATGCCCAGCCAATTGTGCTCCGTCCTCGAGAGGGATAGGTCCGGGAACGTCTGGAGGGGCAGCAGGCGGGGCCTCGGGCATTCTAGGAGCGGGGGGGAAACGTTCGGGTGGATCTGAACCCGCAGATGACGAAGGTATGCTTGCTAAAAGGGCTGAATGTGTCCGACGAATATGACGTAGGGTATCAATATTTTTATACATAATTCCCTTCATTCCCGTAGAAGTGCTCGGACGAATACTAATCTTGTCAGATCTATTTGGTATAACTCAGTGAGGGGAGTCCTATTTGGGCATTGGATGTTTGGCGCACCTCTTCCGTTTGAGCGTTTTTCTGCCAAACACAGCGGACCCAGAATCATCTTCTGGCAGAATCAATCTCGGAATACCGCCAGGTGCAAGGGCATCTGACCACACAGATCCCCACCACATCCCAACATATTGACTGTCTCTTGCAATGGCTGCCCGTGAAGCGGGGCTGTCGAAACTTGTTTTCAGTCGTTTGAGTGGTCGGTTGGAGCTACTACTGTCTCTGCAATCGCGGCTTCAATCTGGGGTCCCAATACTAAGGGCAATGACAACTCACGGGTCTAATCCCTTATCAAAAGTGAGGTTGCTCTGGTACTCCCGTGCCAGAAAACTCTGTGGAGACTCTTCATCATGCAGGATGGTGTGGAACTTTCTACGTAGGTTATTCGAACCATCATCCGGCAGAAATCCAACACGAGTATTTGAAAAAGGGGATGGCTTAGAGGGGCCAGCTCCTGCAGAGTCTAAGTACTTCTGCATGTCATGATCGAGATCCCAACACTGCTGCATGTTTTGGGGGGTACGGATGATAGCGGGAGTATCAGGGAACGATTCAGGGGACCGCGCAGCTCTGTTCTGCTTCGACTTAGCGAGCGATGCGGACAAACGGCCATCTCCTCGCTCTAGAAAAATGTGTAAGCATGTGCCAAGCCGACGATTGTTGGGGCCATAGCTTACGCGCGCCATTGAGAGTTGGTGTGTGGCCAGCAGATCTGGGGTAGATCATACCGTTAGGGAGTTTAGGAGCCCTCCCGTTAGCAGTCTTGAATTTGCTTTTCAGTGAATGGTCATGGCTCAGGCGACGGTCTTTCCCAGTGACTCCACCAACTCGGCCAGTAGGTTGTTGGGATGATATACCATTGCTGGTTGGCAAGATCAGGTTCGGAATTCGATCTGCATTACCCAGAATCCTCTCCACCGCCTGATCCGCCTTCTTGCGCATGAAGACAGTTGACCTTCGCAGAGGGTGAGCCTGAAGGGGGGTTGATTGAGATAAGCTCGACATCGTGAATCATTCCACCTACCGGATCGGTGTTGTACTTTAGACAGTTGTCCCATATTAGGTTGAGATCGTCGACAAATTCCCGTTGAGTCTTGTACACGTGCGTCTTCACTTTCTTCGTCATTGTTCCAAGATCCATGGGATGCTTGATGACTACGGTAAGGAGTTCAAAGGAGCGAAAGGACGAGAGCCTGGGAAGCACACCTAGATCATAATTTGGTGCCTCGCTACGCCGCACCGGTTTCAGGAAAGGGTAAGCATGTTCCTGCAGTGGCGTCGGGTCGAATCAATGCTGCACGAATATTAGGTGTATAGATCAAGGCACGAACGCTATTTCGCAGTTCCGACAGAATCTTCTCCAAGGCCTCGTAAAACCCTTCGGTAGATCTCGCATGCTGGGTATCAAGCCGTTCGACGGTAAGTGGCACAAGCTCGGAACGACGGAAAATTGCACACCTTCAAGTCACGAGCTTCCGTCAGCAGTTGCCTGATATCAACATTCACATTCGATACATCAATTCCACCACTCTCGATTGAGTTGAGGAGGTGCTATAGTGCAGGATTGGCGACAAGGGATCAGGACAATGAATTTAGCCTTTATACGGCCTGCGACATGCCTTCATGCCGCGTCTCCTATGCGGACGGGCAGCGAGACCCTAGCGTAACTCAAAACAGTAAGGAGAGCCTTCCTTGCCACCTAAGATATTGAGACCGAAGTGGCTGGCGTCTCAATGTGTCCCAGGATGAGCTTGACGCGTCGGAATCAACCGAGGGAATTTGCCGGCGCTTCAGACGTCAATGTGGTTTGCATAGGGATCCTAGACCCATGGTTAGTGCTGCTGTCACTGGGAGTGTTTTGGTCTTATGGGGAGCTTTTTTGCGTTAGTCATACATCCCATTGCCAGCAAGCGACCAGAATGCACCTGTCAACCTCAAACATTTTCCGGACGGCGGGTTTTTCACCACCAGCGGGGGAAAACCTTCTTATGCATACGGTGTCCCTGGTTTGCTAGGTCTTTCGCAGAACAGATATGTCTTTGCTTGCGCATTCTTTGCTTCTGTTGGTGGATTGACGTATGTGTCGGATTGGAACTGCTCATGTATCATCCTTTTCTCATCACTTTTCTCAATGAAAAGCTTTGGCTACGATCAAGGAGTGATTGCAAACGTCCTTGTCATGAAAGATTTCGGAAATCGATTCTCTGCTTCGCCGTACCAAGAAGGCCTCCTGAGTACGTGACATGCCCTTTGTCGGCAACCCAAATGAACTCCACGCCACGCAGCTGCCCTCCTTGAGTTTGGAGCTTTAGCAGGAGCATTAGTCGCTGGGTCAAAGGCAGAAAACTCTCCACGGCGACAGATGATCAGTTTTGCATGTGGTTCGTCGCCTCAAAGCTCCCGCTCTTCATTTAATTTTGACCATCATCAGTCGTCTTCTGCGTAGGCTCTTTCATTCAGACAGTGGCCCCAAGTCTGTCCGTTCTTGGCTTAGGCCGATTCGTGGGAGGAATTGGCATTGGGAGTTTAAGGTGACCATGATGGGTTCGTATGCCATCAAACTCATTCAAACTCCCCTTAGCACTCTTTGCCCATTATACATGTCTGAGATAAGGTAAAGCATTTATCAAGTCTGAGTATACATCGGCTAATTGGCGCCAGCCCACCGGAAACTCGCGGCACAATTCTGTCAATTGAGCAGTTCTCTATTGTTCTTGGTGTCGTCTTTGGCTTTTGGTTTGGTTTCATAACAAGAACGAGTAAGTCAGGTATTTTCCTATAGACGAACTCTCGCCCTACCTCAATCGTTGAAGTCCCTGGATCTTGGTCATGGAGGCTACCCCTCGTAGTGCAGCTCATCCCTGGAGCCATGCTAGCAGCAGGACTTTGGTCCTTCCCGAGTCCCCTCGTTATCTCATCGCCTCCGGAGCTGATAATGAAGCTGCCAGGGTGCTTCGTAAGCTTCGTAATGCATCGAACCAAGACGTCGAGGAGCTCATTCAAGTACGGGCTGTCAAGATCGCCTCCACTGTCTCAAGTCTCACGCATCCGTTTAGATCGAGCTACTGGAGATGCGAGTGGAAACAACTCTCAATAAGCAAGGCCTAGATCAAGACGCATATCGCGTATCTGAACAAGGCTTCATAAATGAAACGTTATACCCCTGGCTCAGACTCTTCGAGCCCCGTTTCCGCAGACAAACACTTCTTGGTATTACTATCATGTTTTTTCAACAGTTCTCTGGCATCAATGCTGTTCTGTATTTTGGTCCACGTCTCATGGTTAGCCTGGGAGTCACAGGTGACACCATCATCCTTGTCTCATCAGGTTTCGCTAGCATTATGCAGCTCGCGGCCGTCACTCCTGCGATCATTTTTATTGATCGCTTGGGTGGGTACTTCAGACAATGAGGAATTGGTGCAAGTCCACTCACTGCTGTCATAGGCCGAAGACCACTTTTAATGGGTATGACCCGAGCCGGACTCTAAAGTTTAATGAACTCACTGTAAGGTAGCCGGTTCGTTGATCATGGCGGCTGCTCATGGACTGATAGCAGGACTGGTACGTCGCACTATCGTATTCTCTCTGGCATGGTTTATAGCCATCCAACTAGGTCTGGTGTGGGAGCAGTGACTGGCGTTCACATCAGAGTCTTGCTGGACCGCCGTGGCGTAAGTGGTTACGAAGGGAGCCACTTGGTTCAATAACAATCTGAATCGTAGAGTTCTCTCTCTAGAATGATATATGTATATGTCTTTGGTTATGGAATGAGTTTCGGTCCCATCGGTTGGGTGGTAAGTTGTCCTCTCCTTATGCAGAGTAGACTGCGCCCTGATTTTGACTCGTTGTGAAGTTGCCAAACGAGATCTTCCCCCTCACAGTCCGTAGTCACGGCGTGGGCCTGTCAACCGCATCCAATTGGCTTAACAATTGTGAGCAACTACGCCATTCCATTATCGAGCTGTCTCCGAGCTCACATTCTTTGATTCAAGTCATCATAGGACTCATATGCCCTGCTCTTATCTCAGCCTCTCCCGTGTAAGCCGGCTGAATATCCAAGCTGCTCTTCCTCACTGATGGATGGACATTTCAGGGCCACATTTCTTCTATTCACTTTCAGTTGCGCGGCTGCGTTCTTCTGGTCACTGTATGTTGTTCCAGAGACAAGGGGAATTTCACTCGAGGAGATGGACGCTCTGTTCGAGAGCGAGGGTGGCCAAGAAAGTATGAGGGCCAAGGAAGAGGTTCGTCATGGCCCCCCGAATCCCTTGGCGCACTCTGATTCTGGGATCCGCATTTAATGTGCTTAGATCGAAGTCTCGTTGGGCCTTCCACAATTGGTGCAAAGGATTCTGGATTCATGATAATTGGCCTCATGCGCATTATCTACGTTGCTGCACTATATACACTTACTGTATAGTACCCATGTCCTGTTTGCGGCCTTGCCGCGAAGGTGGCTGGTGGAGAAATAAGGATCATATCAATGACGTGAATGACTGGAGAACGTATACATAATTGCTTTCTGCCATCTACAGCTTGACGTTCTCCCCTGAGGGATTTTTCCATTTTGAAAATTTCCCTCTGTGCGTCCGTGGTCTCACCTTCGAGTACCACTCCCATGCAAACCTCATCACATCACCATCAGCATCATACGGCGTCGGTATCTCAGAGTACCCTGGGCGCGCAGTAGGATGCCGAAGATACACAGCAGAACATGTTAGTGGGTTTGATTCTATGTAGGCGGGGAGGAAAAGGAAAGGGGCAGAATAATCGGGAAATTTAAAACTATCAGCGAGAGATTGTGATGAAGCGAAAGGTTTCTCAGAATTCTTTTTGGGAGAATCTTGTGAATTTTCCAGTCCATCGGAGACCAGCGATTTCTCGTCTGATTTCTCGGACGGTTCAGGGTCGGGTGTGGATGTAGGTTTTCGCCTTAGAATCGTCATGGCTTTCGGATCAACAGTCACCATATCACCTGGATCTAGCCTGCATTCGCATTCCGCTCCTAAAGGGGATGACATCAATGAAATAAGCCAGTAGGAGTGTACACTGGTTACACACCACGCGTCCATTAAGCTGCACTTTCCCGCAAATCACCATCTGTCTAGCCTGATACACGCTAGGTGCGAAACAACACCGGAATATAAACGTATCCAGCCGCCTTTCCACCTCCATAAACATCAGGCTTCCTAACGGTGTCTTCGCTGCAAGCTCGCCAGCGGCCTGAGCCTTTCTTGTCATTGCATCCGCTTCCTTCGAACGACCCGACCACTTCCCCAGCTCCCAAGCAGTCTGGAGGAATTGACCCTCTTGCTCTTTACCCAAATTCGTCTTCCGGACACGAACATCGGGTAGGCGTGTAGGTAGCCACCATCGTTTGAATTTTTTCTCGGGAATATAATCACCATGATACCCTCTCACAAGACGTTTGCTTCGCCATCGTTGCTGGAATAGTGTCATAGAAGAGCGCGTGAAGTTGGTTTCATTGGCCACCGGGCCCAATGATCTCCGCCAAAGGTTGTACAAATTCAGCGGACGCCAAGACTGTCAAATGCAAACGTCGGCACAGCTTTAGGGAAGATAGCATCGAAGAATAGCATACCATCCGCGGCAGCGAATGTAACACATTGAAAGGCTGAGCTTTGCGCATGGTTTTAGACACTTGCCAGTGTGAGAAAAAGGTCAGCGCTAAAGGAGCGGAAACAAATCCCAAGCAGTCAATCGTGAAGTTCAATATGTCAAAAAGGCCCACGGATACTCGGTATGTAAAGGAGAGAGGTCCATTCAGAGAGGTGCGTAACATTCTTGGTGCTGCATACACGGACTCAGATAACTTTCTCGTAGTTCATTTTTCGCAGACGCATTTGGTTTGAGACAACCTTCGTGCTCTCTATGTTGGAGCCATGGGAGAAATTGCTCGTTCGTAAGTCGATTTTCCGGGAAATTTTCCGTTGAATTCAGACTCAGGCGGCTCTCTCATTTCGCAGTGATTGTGATCATCTTTACTACTGCATTGCTCTTCACGGGAATATGCCTGTATCTCCCACAACATCTCCAATTCCTTCGTTCTCGTGCTTCCTTCTATCTCTCCGGAGATGACACATTGTAATTCCCCCTGCTTCATTATGTCATGGGCAGGCCAATTCCACATCCAACACTAAGGTGTTTCCTCAGATTTCTTGCTGACTGAAATGGCCTATTATCTATTTATGCTTCCCCCTTTGTTTCAAGTCAAATACGGTATGGGCGAGTAATAAGGCAAAGACTGCATTTGAAAAGAAGAACCTCCTATTCTGGATCTCTGCTCACACTATGTGGTTGCCAACTGTAAAAAAAAAAAACAAAAAAAATAAAAGTATTTTCCACGCAAGTCAGAGCACAGGGAGTCGCTGGCGGCAACAAGATACATTTCAGAACGGGTAGCAGGGTCGCCCACACATTGCCGCAAATTGAGCAGTACATTGAACATATTTGAGGGAGGGTGCACGCAACACAGAAAGAGAAGATAAAATGTTGTCAACAAGCCTACAGCCCCTGCCAACACTGATCACCAACCTTGGGAGTCAGCAGGTGCGATGGAATGCCTGCATGAGTCCGCATTGTCGGCCAGGGCGCGTGCACCACGGAAGTCGGAAACGTACATAATCTCATTGCCATCGGTCAATGTTCCTTTGTCGTCACCCACTGAAACGCGTTCATCACCAACGGTCAGCGAACCTTTGTCGAGGTCGACCAGGATACCTCCGGCATGCGCAACATCTCTGCCCTTACGGAGAACGCCCGAGATAGGTTGATTGGAGCGGGACTCTGCTGACAGGAGGCTGGTCCTCACTGCGGGTGAAGAACGGACCTCGCTTCGCAAGCGGGCCCGGTAACTCTTCTTCCGCAATGCGTTTCTTGCTAGAGGACGCGACGTTCGTGCATGACGCATGACGTTGGTTTGACCGACAACCTGAAACGCAGACCAATGCAGTTGAATTTCTCTTCTCCCCGTATTGCGAGCGCGCGTGCTACATCATCGGAAGGCAAGAAGTGAGCTGAGGAACAGCACGAAAGTAGAAATCAGATGCTCACAATTGAAGGGATCACCGCCACCCTTTCCTTGAACAACAATTCCAGTCCATCACGGGGAACGTCCTCAATTACACAATGTTCGCGCTATTGGACAACCCAGAGGTCCAACAACTGTACTACCTGGTATGCAAGAGATATGAAATGATGAGCTTTTAAATCTCACCTCGGAGTCCCAGACCAGTTACACCATCGGTGGCTTGCCTCTACCTCCCCGCATGGTGTTATTGTAAACGGCAGTGAGGGTAACGTCCAGCCGGTATATTATTCTACAGATGATCGCACAGCGACCAGCTGCGTGATTAGAACTCAGAGGTAAATGCGTCAAACTACCAATTGCATTTGGATATCTGAACCGGCTGACGGTCCGAGTTTGGACCTCCACTACACTGCAAAGGTCGTGTTTAAGCATGTTGACGTCATCAAAATCTGAGAAAATTAATACGGTTGGTATTTAAACGACGAGAACTGTCCGTACATTCGGATGCTGCACCCCATGTTTGTATAAAATACTCCGGTCAAGGAGGGGAAAAGAGTGGGCGATAACGAGACTCAGGGTCCCATTGGGGCTCTGATGACACCAAAGGAAGACTGCTCTCGTTGTTCGATGCAGAGCCACCTGGCGCGACGTCACCTCAAATCGAAGCAAAACGAATTGATGCAGAGGTACGGGGGAGGAGCAGAGGCGCGAGAGATCAACTGCTCAGCGCTACCCAACGCCACAGAAATTCTTTCGGCCCCCCTCCCCCCCTTGGTGGGAGCGGCATGGCTTTTTCCATAAACATTGGGTGGAGAATGCGACGTACTGACGGTTCTGGTCACCGAGATAAGCCCAACCGGATTCAATTCCTTGAGATTTCAATGACGTCTTCTGAGAGTGGCATTTACCTCTGCGCGCTAAGGTAAGATTAAGGTGAGTTGGGCCATAGCGACAAATATAAAACAGATCGCACCCCTGCTCATGCCGCACGTTAAAGGGGGCCGTACGCATACGTGGTCACCTCCACCATCGTAATGATGCCGAAGAGGCCGAATTCGCCCAGCACGTTTCGATTGCACTGCAGAACCCAAGTCCCTCGAATAATCTGACCATTAGAGAATGCAGCGCTCCGTTAAGCCACAGAGGGAACCCCAAAATTTCTCCGCTTGAGCATGAGCGAAGCGAGTAGAGAGAGATTATTCCCGCTACTCTGTAGCGGGTCTTGTAAATTTTTCGACCCTGATTGAATGCGTTTGATGACTATTATTGCCAATTCTACATAACCCAGGGTCCTCCCAACTCAATAATCAATTTCACGGTGTTTCTTTCACTGTTTGTACTGTGTCGCATATTCGTGACCGTTTGCTTTCCCATATTCTGTTTGGTGACTGCTACCTAATTCCCATCGGCCGTGCCCCTTTCCCTGCGTGTGCCCATCTGTGCTCCCAATTCCCGCATTATGACAAATATCTTCACGATGTACTTACCTTTTTGCGGTCCTCTCTATGCCCCTTCCAATATCAACAATGGACCTCGTATGCTCTACGCATTTCACACTCTCTCAACCAGAAAGTTGTCTTATCCTCCCTCCTTCGATTCCAACAAATCACTAGCTATTATCCTGATCGACAGACTATTATTCAGACCCTGGAATCTATGTCTTCCTCTGACCTCTGCGCTCTCTGTTTTTTTTCCACCGTGTTCCTTATCTCAGCTTTCCACTACTCAATCGAGACCAGCTGCGGTCATTGTTGTTCGCACACATCGCTTCTCCTAACCCATGTGATTTTGGTCACCTTGGGTGTGTTACTCCACATTCAACTGCTCGCTGCCGTCCACTCCCTGTTACTGATGGTGTCTCTCTCTTTCTCACCGACGTCACACAACTCTCATGTAGGCCCTAAATTCTTGCGCCGCGTATTGGCACATTTCAACATTCCGTTCCAACCAAATACCGTTCTCTCTTCTCTGCGTCGCGCATTACTGCAACTGCAAACCTCCACACTCCAATCTTCCACCTCTCCTGATGCCCATTCTGACCGTCTTTACCACGGGTGGCGTGCTCAGTGTGCCGCCTGTTGGCCAGCCCTGATACCTCTCAGCTGTAAAAAACAGATGATGATTAATTTTTTTGCTTCATTATCATCATCTTCTCTCGCTACCGCTGTTTTCAGTGTGTGTGGAGGTCGGTTTTCTGTCCATCTCATGCTTCCTCAGCCTGTTGAAATGTCGTCTTACAATATTTCGCTATTGCAAGGTGAATATCCACCGACTGCTCCTCACCCGTTTCCCAATCATCCCCTCTTACAACATATGCTGTTGTGTCCGGAGGGAGTGGTGTCAATGTCTCCCTCCAGCGTAACGCTTCAAGTCTGTTATAAATGTCATCGCAGTCTCAAACGTGGTCGCATTCCCAAAACTGCACTGGCTAACGATTTATATTTTGGCCCGATACCATCACAGCTCGCAGATTTAACCATCATTGAGGAGGCGCTGATCGCGAGAAGACGTGCCAAAAAGTTGGATTGTCCATTTACATGATGATTCCTTGTCCCGCGGGCATTCCATTGGTCCTCCTAATACTTCTATCAATCCCACTGCTCAGCGGGCTTTGAAAGGTCATGTGATTGTGTTCCCTGCTAAACCGGAAGCTCTGTCTCCATTTTTACCACCTGCACTCAAAGAGGTCATTACTCCCCTTTGTGTCGTATTTGTTGGTCATGTCACCCCCACCAAAGAGTGGCTATTAAAGAATGCGCGGCCATTAATAGTGAGACAGGAAAAAGTACGGCTGGCACTGGAATGGCTAATACACAACAACCCTCTGTATGCGGATGTAATACTCCATGAAGAACACCTCAACAGTCTGCCTGCTTTAGATGTAGCTCCTGTTATGAGTAACACATTCAGACCACGTCCGCTGTGCTCACATGGATCCGACTATTGAAAGCTGCCTGCTCAATCACTGTGACCTCGAAAATTGGTTGGGTAAGCTAGATCCCGCCACTCTCGCTTATCGTAGCCAAGCCTCTGCCAATGGTCAATCGATCCGAGGATCTTGGACGACCGTTAGTGATTGTTCCCAAGTGGCTGAAGTGTGTCACGGCCGTGCATTCCGGCCCATTAGCCGCCCGTCCCGATGCCGCCCGAGCCCGTTACCGCTATGCGAGCGTGAGCGCGAGCCCCGACCTCAGCCCTATCCTCCCTGAGGACCCCCTGCTCACTTCCCCGCTTGCCCCTAGGCTCCCCTACACTTGGCCGACTCCCCCACAGCCACACCGACCTCCCTGCCCCGAGTCCGCCTCTGGTACCGACCTAGCGTGACTCCGCAACATCGCCTACTCCGCTATGATACCATCGCCGCTATCGCGGCCCTACACCCCTTCGTTTATTTATCTGTTATTGTTTGTTTTGACCCTCGGTCATTGCTGGCCGCGGTGCGGCCAACCCCGCTCTTTGTTCCTATTTGCTTCCGGACCCTTCGGCCTTCGGCCCGGGTCCGCTTCTATTCATTCCACCTTCATATATATATCCTGTATACTACATTATAGTACCTGAGCTCTAATATCGACTTGACCACGACCCCAAGCCCTGACCCCAACAAGGCAGCCCCAGTAAGTTCGAAATGAGGGCCAAGAGACAACTAGGGGGCACAGCACTCCCTTTAGAGTTGCTGAGGCCAAATGCCCTACCCTCGGGCCTTGTCTGAGGCATCGCGGCCATCGCGGCCCTTAGCGGTCCGCATCGGCGACCTTCGGTGCCCGACCCCGGATCAGTATCTAACAAAGTGCCAGTGTTCGGCATTATTATGAAAGCAGAGTTGTTGGAGTATGGCAATCAGAAAAATGCCCCATTTAATGTGTGGAAAGAGCAGGGGGTAGGCAACGATTCCATTTCATGCTGAGGTGTCTCTTTCACTGAATCCTCATCGTCTCCATAGCACCTGAAAGTCAATTCAACCAAATTCCAATTACATTTAGGGTTACCTCTCAATGCTCCGGTGACATTGAAAAATAAGTTTGCAGACCAGCTAATCGACCTCAACTGCATTAAAAATGCATCTGCACTCAGTCATCTGGTGGAAGGTTTGCACTTTTGACACACACTCTTTGTCACAACCATGCATCCCGGCCCGTTAGCCGCCCATCCCGATGCCGCCCGAGCCCATTCCCGCTATGTGTCAGGGGATGACTCCCGGGTCCCCATGACCCTCCCCTATGGTCCACAGTCCCAGGTGTAACCAGCCCTGTCCAGGGCACAACCTACTGTGGGTCAGAGATGGTATATAAAAGAGAGGCAAGTATATACAACTTGCCTACTGTGGGTCAGAGATGAGAAGGAAGTTAACTTCTCATCTTCCCACAGTGGCCACAATACATCGAAAACTTCCGGAGATATCCGGAAGTCACATGAGACCCGAGACCCGAGGTCCGGGCCATCCGGCCGCACTGAGCATCCGGCACAGGGTGCGCGCAGGGAGTGCAACAGCCGGGTGCAGTCACGGGTGCGGGTGCGAGTGCGGGTGTGGATGCGGTATGGGCTAGGTCAGGGTGTATGCCCTGACACTATGCGAGCGCGAGCGCGAGCCCCAACCTCAGCCCTATCCTCCATGAGGACTCCCTGCTCACTTCCCCGCTTGCCCCTAGTGTCAGGGACCGACCCGGGGTCGAGAGCGCCCGGGTGTATCGCCCGAGGCTGAGGGTCCGGTAGGTATGACATGGGCGCGCGTAGCAGCGGGCCCGAAGCCGACAAGGGTCCCTGGCCACTAAGACTAAAGTGGGAAATGTGTTATTGTCATTATCAAGGGAAGTGTAAGCTACTTGCCTAAAGTGGGAAATGTGAGAAGAAGGTTGCTTCTCAGTTCCCACTTAGGCTGTGTTTATATACATGTGGTTGAAGGCCACGTGGGAAGCGCCACGTCATCCGAGCACACAGCCACCTCCGTCTGGGTACCTCCGTAAGAGGTCCTAGGAGCGTCTGGTGTGTCCGGGTTCGGGCGCGTTACGCTGCAGCTGGGTCAATGGTACATTGATACAAAGGAAGTCGTCCGTGTGATAAGAAAGGAATAAAGAGGAGAGAGAATAGAAAAGAAGGAGAGGAAGGAAGGGAAGGGAGAAAAGGGGAAGAGGGGGGAGGTCGGGAGGAGTGGATGGTGGGGCACCGGGTTAGGTGGGGCCGGGTCAGGCGGGCGTGCCCTGACACCTAGGCTCCCCTACACTTGGCCGACTCCCCCACAGCCACACTGACCACCCTGCCCCGAGTCCGCCTCTGGTACCGACCTAGCGTGACTCCGCGACATCGCCTACTCCGCTATGATACCATCGCCACTATCGCGGCCCTACACCCCTTCGTTTATTTATCTGTTATTGTTTGTTTTGACCCTCGGTCATTGCCGGCCGTGGTGCGGCCAACCCCGCTCTTTGTTCCTATTTGCTTCCGGACCCTTCGGCCTTCGGCCCGGGTCCGCTTCTATTCATTCTACCTTCATATATATATCCTGTATACTACATTAAAGTACCTTAGCTCTAATATCAATATGACCACGACCCCTAAGTCCTGACCCCAACAAGGCAACCCCAGTGAGTCCGAAATAAGGGCCAGGAGACAGCTAGGGGGCACAGCACTCCCTTTAGAGTTGCTGAGGCCAAATGCCCTACCCCCGGGCCTTGTTCGCGGCATCACGGCCATCGCGGCCTATAGCGGCCCGCATAGGCGACCTTCGGTGCCGACCCCGGACCAGTGTCTAACACTCTTCAGTAGTTGATAAAATGCTTGTATTCAGAATCCTCCGTCAAAATCCACGACGATGAGTATGGATTTGTATACCTTGACAGTAACGACTTGCTGTATTGCTGTATCGTTCATGCCATGTTCAAAGAGTCTCGTCCACCCTCCATGTCATATCCATTCCCAGCCATCGACTTCCAGTCCCTCCGATCCCTCCGATCCAACTCCGCTCCTCCCTCACTAACCTCGGAGCCCCCGTTATTCTGCAATCCTCTCGGTACCCCTCGATGGTCACCACCCCCTCATTTCAATTTATTACCTACGCCTCCCTAAGTACAGAGCCCCGAAGACTTCCGGACAGCTCCGACGTCCGCTAGCGCACCCCTGCCTCCGCTGGGCAATACACTCGCCTGCCCTGCAGAGTCCACCTTCGGGCTTATCCCTCCTTTCCGTTTCTGGGTTATCGCCTGCCTTTCCGCTAACCCCACGAACCGACTCGTCGGTAATATTCAGTCGGCTAATGGTTAAACCCCGTTAGCTCCGCTCCGTTCAGCTCCGCCAATTGCGGAACCGTCTCCGCTGTAACCATATATATATCCCACTTGTACATAGGTTACGCCCCAGTAGAAAAATCAACTAGAGTTACCCCCCTAGGTTCTAATTGCCAGTCAGTAAGTTAGGGCACGGACGTGTCACTAGGCACAGCGCTCTTGGCAGAAGTTGCTGAGGCCGAAGCCCTCCGTTACGGAGACACTCCTTCGTCTCAACCCTGGTCTCTGACACTCCATTAAGGACTGTAAAAAGATTAGTGTTGTAGAGGCTTTCCAAAGTGAGCACACACAGCTTTCGTCCACTGTCCTGCCCTTCATCCACTCGAGCATAGAACCTTCAACATCCACAGAACCTTCAGCTACTGCTCCCACGGAAGTGACTCCGACAATTTTTTTGCATCCGCATTGGGACCCCGTGTCACAACCCGGCGTTCCCCGGGGCCAGACGACCTCCTCCCTGACCTTCTCCCACGCCCGAACACTCCCCACACACTCCGCTCGCCGCCCGCCACCGTCTAACCACTTCCCGCCACCTCTCCACAACCCCTCTCCTAATTGTCGTTGAACGACCTAGCGGCGCAGAGCGCCGTGACCTGTTGTCCCATGTTTCTCCGCACCTTGTTACCTCGCAGCGAAGGTCACACTTGACCTTTGCTGTCTTGAACACGTGCCCTTTGTTTGTTTTCCTCCTTCTTTTCTCTGCCCGCAATCTCCATGAGATCTGGCGACTTATTCCCCATTCAGTTCCCTAGCGCTTGTTGGAGTTACAACGATGCGTGACTCACTAACCAAACTCACATGATCTTGTTTTTCGTTTCCGTTGTATTGATACCGTGACTGCATTGTATATAGGTAATTGTTTGGGTCTACTTTCCTTTTCTCCTCAGTTCTTCATTAACGGAGACTGAGGTTAGTATCATTGTTTTTAGTTAGTTGTTACATTACTTACTCTGTACTCTTCTGTACTATAGCTCCCGCTTTAGGTTAGTATTAACCGTAGTAATTCAGTTCTTCATTAACGGAGACTGAGCTCCCGCTTTAGCCCTCCTATTAGGTTATGAGCCCAGAGGCTCTCTAATTCTAACCAGAAAGAACTCCCATCAATCCAGTATCAATCATGACCACCATTTCCCACAAAGTCGATACCAGAATCTTCGAGAATGACCGGCTACGAGCCGATGGATCGAACTACGGAACTTGGAAATCAATGATCGAACTCGTACTCGAGAATCACCACTTACTGGAATACATTGATGGTTCAATCCCTAAACCTTCCTCCACTCCCCCTGCTCCCGCACCCACTACTGCGCCTGCCAATACTGGTACAGGTTCAGGAAACACTCCCCCTGCTACTCCTGCTCCACAACCCAGCACCGCGTTAACTCCACTCCAAATATGGAAAGAGGGTAATTCTGCGGCTTTACTCCAACTTGTCATGTCCGTCGATGAGGAAGTCAAACTCCTCATAAAGGGTATCAAAGAAGCTCCTATAGCATGGGCGGAAATCAAAAAGAAGTTTGAAGGAAAAGGCGTGAAGTCTGTCTTTTACCTTATGAAGAAACTCTTCCGCACCGTTATGCTTCCCAAAAAGGATATCTACAGTCAAATTCAGGAGCTAAAGGAT